GGAGGTAGAAGTGAAGATACAAGTTAAAGTGATATAAGTAGTAATTGTAGTGGTAGAACTGGGATTTTGTTTGAAGAATTAAAACATACATAAATAATGGGAATGATTTTGAAGTGGGAAAATTTTTAAATAATTAGAAGTCCTAAAGTGTTAAACAGGTTTGAAGTATCAGAAAGGTTTGAGTCAGTTTGAATGAGTTTAGATTTGTCTGACGAATTTAATAATGCATGAATAATGAGAATAATTTTAAAGTGGGGAAAAGTTTAAGAAAAAAAATCCTGAGTACACCCCATAATGTCCTCAATGAGCTGAATCTTTGAAGCCCAGAATAGTTTCTGTAGCTCAAAGTTTGTGGGTGGAGATAGGTGGTGATGCAGACACATATTAACTGTGTGTACATGCAGGTCTTTTAGATACAGACACTTGCACACACATGGTCAGACTGTGTGTGTCTCGTTAATGATTGCATCCTAAACAGCTGTGAGATCAAAGGCATTAACTGACCTACTGTTTGAATGAGAAGCTGCCTCTGGACTTCTTCACATAGCACAATTTCCTTATATCCCAGAATGAAAATTAGAACATCGTACGAATCCTCCACCCTTCATGAACACAATGAATGTGGCCACAACAGCGAGTTAAAAGTCTAGACGTTCAGATGGTTATCTTAAAAGTGATGCATTGAAATCACATGAAAGTCCTGCCCACCATGTCAAAGACTCTTCGTGATTAAGAGCAGAAAAGCTCATGTTATTGTGAGAAATCTCTAAAAGAGATTTTTTAATGTCTTCTGGGCTATTTAAAGCCGTCACTCTGAAACTTATTTGACAGTTTCTTTTATACTAACCGATGCTTTCTTATTTCTTCTTTAAATCTACACAGAAGAGTCAACCCATTCCTGTAAAAGGAGAAGCACTGAGAATTGCGTGCTCAAGCTTCAACAGGAGGTAAGAAACACATTTAACTTATGATAACAGTAAAATGCAAACTCAAATTTATAGCGGTGTGATATTAAACAGTAGTTTACCAATGTGTCTCTAAAACAATCTTTTACCTCTTTTGCATTTAATATGCAGAGTGTAACATCTGAAACCTGGTTATAACCTGGTTATAACCTGAGACATTACCTGGTTATAAACTGGTTATATCCTGAGACATAACCTTGTTATAACCTGAGACATTACCTGGTTATAACGTGGTTATAACGTAGTGATAAACCTGAGACATTACCTGCTAATAACCTGGTTATAACCTGGTTATTAACTGGTTAGAACCTGAGAAATTACCTGGTTGTAACGTGGTTATAACCTGAGACAATACCTGCTAATAACCTGGTTATAACCTGGTTATTACCTGGTTATAACCTGAGACATTAACTGGTTGTAACCTGGTTAAATCCTGAGACATTACCTGGTTAAAACCTGGTTATAACCTGGTTATATCCTGAGACATTACCTGGTTATAACTAAGTAATATCCTGAGACATTACCTGGTTATAACCTGGTTATATCCTGAGACATTACCTGGTTATAACCTGGTTATAACCTGAGACATTACCTGGTTAAAACCTGGTTATAACCTGGTTATATCCTGAGACATTACCTGGTTATAACTAAGTAATATCCTGAGACATTACCTGGTTATAACCTGGTTATATCCTGAGACATTACCTGGTTATAACCTAGTTATATCCTGAGACATTACCTGGTTAAAACCTGGTTATAACCGGAGACATTACCTGCTAAAAACCTGTTTATAACCTGGCTATTACCTGGTTAGAACCTAAGAAATGACCTGGTTGTAACGTGGTTATAACCTGAGACAATACCTGCTAATAACCTGGTTATAACCTGGTTATTACCTGGTTATAACCTGAGACATTAACTGGTTGTAACCTGGTTAAATCCTGAGACATTACCTGGTTAAAACCTGGTTATAACCTGGTTATATCCTGAGACATTACCTGGTTTTAACTAAGTAATATCCTGAGACATTACCTGGTTATAACCTGGTTATATCCTGAGACATTACCTGGTTATAACCTGGTTATAACCTGAGACATTACCTAGTTATAACCTGGTTATATCCTGAGACATTACCTGGTTATAACCTAGTTATATCCTGAGACATTACCTGGTTATAACCCAGTTATATCCTGAGACATTACCTGGTTATAACCTGGTTATATCCTGAGACATTACCTGGTTATAACGTGGTTATAACCTGAGACATTACCTGGTTATAACGTGGTTATAACGTGGTTATAACGTGGTTATAACCTGAGACATTACCTGGTTATAACGTGGTTTTAACCTTATTATAACCTGAGACATTACCTGGTTATAACGTGGTTATAACGTGGTGATAAACCTGAGACATTACCTGCTAATAACCTGGTTATAACCTGGTTATTAACCGGTTAGAACCTGAGAAATTACCTGGTTGTAACGTGGTTATAACCTGAGACAATACCTGCTAATAACCTGGTTATAACCTGGTTATTACCTGGTTATAACCTGAGACATTAACTGGTTGCAACCTGGTTATATCCTGAGACATTACCTGGTTAAAACCTGGTTATAACCTGGTTATATCCTGAGACATTACCTGGTTATAACTAAGTAATATCCTGAGACATTACCTGGTTATAACCTGGTTATATCCTGAGACATTACCTGGTTATAACCTGGTTATATCCTGAGACTTTACCTGGTTGTAACCTAGTTATATCCTGAGACATTACCTGGTTATAACTTAGTTATATCCTGAGACATTACCTGGTTATAACCTGGTTATAACCTGAGACATGACCTGGTTATAACATGGTTATAACCTGGTTATATCCTGAGACATTACATGGTTATAACCCAGTTATATCCTGAGACATTACCTGGTTATAACCTGGTTATATCCTGAGACATTACCTGGTTATAACCTGGTTATAACCTGAGACATTACCTGGTTATAACGTGGTTATAACCTGGTTATATCCTGAGACATTACCTGGTTATAACCTAGTAATATCCTGAGACATTACCTGGTTATAACCTGGTTATATCCTGAGACATTACCCAGTTATAACCTAGTTATATCCTGAAAGATTACCTGGTTATAACATGGTTATAACCTGGTAATATCAAGAGAAATTACCTGGTTATAACCTGGTTATAACCTGGGACATTACCTGGATAAAACCAGGTTATTACCTGGTTATAACCTGAGCATTACCTGGTTAAAACGTGGTTATAACCTGGTTATATCCTGAGACATTACATGGTTATAACCTGTATATAACCTGAGACATTACCTGGTTATAACCTGAGACATTACCTGGTTAAAACCAGGTTATAACCTGCTTAAATCCTGAGACATTACCTGGTTATAACCTGGTTATAACCTGAGACATTACCTGTTAAAACCTGGTTATATCCTGTCACATTACCTGGTTATAACCTGGTTATATCCTGAGACATTACATGGTTATAACCTGGTTATATCCTGAGACATTACCTGGTTATGACCTGGTTATAACCTGGTTATATTCTGAGACACTACCTGGTTATAACCTAGTTATAACCTGAGAAATTATCTGGTTATAACCTGGTTATATCCTGATACATTACCTGGTTATAACCTGGTTATAACCTGAGACATTACCTGGTAATAACCAGGTTTTAACCTGGTTATAACCTGAGACCTTACCTGGTTATAACCTGGTTATAACCTGAGACATTATCTGGTTAAAACCTGGTGATATCCCAAGACATTACCTGGTTATAACCTAGTTATATCCATAGAAGTTACCTGGTTATAACCTAGTTTTATCCTGAAACATTACCTGGATATAACCTGTTTATAACTTGGTTATATCCTGAGACATTACCTGGTTATAACGTGGTTATAACGTGGTTATTTCCAGAGACATTACCAGGTTATAACCTGGTTATATCCTGAGACATTACCTGGTTATAATCTGGTTATATCCTGAGACATTACCTGTTTATAACCAAGGTATATTCTGAGACATTACCTGGTTATAACCTGGTTATAACTTGGTTATATCCAGAGACATTACCTGGTTATAACCTGGTTATATCCTGAGACATTACCTGGTTATAACCTGGTTATAACCTGGTTACATCCTGAGACATTACCTGGTTATAACCTGGTTATGCCCTAAGACATTACCTGGTTGTGACCTAGTTATATCCTGAGACATTAGCTGGTTATAACCTGGTTATATCCAGAGACATTACCTGGTTGTAACCTAGTTATATCCTGAGACATTACCTGGTTATAACCTGGTTATATCCTGAGACATTACCTGGTTATAATCTGGTTATATCCTGAGACATTACCTGTTTATAACCAAGGTATATCCTGAGACATTACCTGGTTATAACCTGGTTATTACCTGCTTATATCCTGAGACATTACCTGAGACATTACCTGGTTATATCCTGAGACATTACCTGGTTATAACCTGGTTATAACCTGGTTACATCCTGAGACATTACCTGGTTATAACCTGGTTATGCCCTAAAACATTACCTGGTTGTAACCTAGTTATATCCTGAGACATTACCTGGTTATAACCTGGTTATATCCTGAGACATTACCTGGTTGTAACCTAGTTATATCCTGAGACATTACCTGGTTATAACTTAGTTATATCCTGAGACATTACCTGGTTATAACCTGGTTATATCCTGAGACATTACCTGGTTGTAACCTAGTTATATCATGAGACATTACCCTGTTATTACCTGGTTATTTTCAGAGACATTACCTGGTAATAACCTGTTTATAATCTAGTTATATCCTGAGACATTACCTAGGTATAACGTGGTTATAACCTGAGACATTACCTGGTGATAACCAGGTGATAGCGTGGTTATAACCTGAGAAAGTACCTGGTTATAACCTGGTTATTACCTGGTCATTACCCAAGACGTTACCTGGTTATAACCGGTTATATCCTGAGACATTACCTGGTTATAACCTGGTTATATCCTGAGACATTACCTGGTTATAACCTAGTTATATCCTGAAACATAACCTGGTTATAACCTGGTTATAACCTGGTTATATCCTGAGAAATTACCTGGTTATAACCTGGTTATAACCTAGGACATTCCCTGGATAAAACCAGATTAATACCGAGTTATAACCTGAGACATTACCTGGTTATTAACTGGTAATATCCTGAGACATTAGCTGGTTATAACCTGGTTATATCCTGAGACATAACCTGGTTATAACATGGTTATAACCTGGTTATAACCTGAGACATTACCTTGGTATAACGTTGTGATAACCTAAGACATTACCTGGTTATAACCTGGTTATAACCTGGTTATATCCGGAGACTGTACCTGGTTATAACGTAGTTATATCCTGAAACATTACCTGGTTATAACCTGGTTATCACGTGGTTATATCCTGAGACATTACCTGGTTATAACCCGGTTATAACCTGGGACATTACCTGGATATAACCAGGTTATTACCTGGTTATAACCTGAGACATTACCTGGTTATAACCTGGTTATATCCTGAGATATTACCTTGTTATAACCTGGTTATAGCCTGGGACATAACCTGGTTATAACCTGGTTATATCCTGAGACATTACCTTGTTATAACCTGGTTATAGCCTGGGACATAACCTGGTTATAACCTGGTTATATCCTGAGACATTAACTGGTTGTAACCTGGTTATATCCTGAGACATTACCTGGTTATAACCTGAGACATTACCTGGTTATAACCAGGTTATAACCTGCTTAAATCCTGAGACATTACCCGGTTATAACCTGGTTATAACCTGAGACATTACATGGTTATAACCTGGTTAAAGCTTGAGACAATACCTGCTTATAACCTAGTTATATCCTGAGACATTACATGGTTATAACCTGGTTATATCTTGAGACATTACCTGCTTATAACCTAGTTATATCCTGAGACATTACCTGGTTATAACCTTGTTATATCCTGAAACATTTCCTGATTATAACCTGGTTATAACCTGAGACATTGCCTGGTTATAACCTTGTTATATCCTGAGACATTGCCTGGTTATAACCTGGTTATATCCTGAGACATTACCTGGTTATAACCTGATTGTGTCCTGAGACATTACCTGGTTATAACCTAGTTATATCCTGAGACATTACCTAGGTATAAGGTGGTTATAACCTGAGACATAACCTGGTAATAACCAGGTGATAACTTGGTTATAACCTGAGAAATTACCTGGTTATTACCTGGTTATAACCCCAGACGTTACCTGGTTATAACCGGTTATATCCTGAGACGTTACCTGGTTATAACCTGGTTATAACCTGAGACATTACCTGGTTATAACATGGTTATAACGTGGTTATATCCTGAGACATGACCATGTTATAACCTAGTAATATCCTGAGACATTACCTGGTTATAACCTGGTTATATCCTGAGACATTACCTGGTTATAACCTAGTTATACCCTGAAACATTACCTGGTTATAACCTGGTTATTACCTGGATATATCCTGAGAAATTACCTGGTTATAACCCTGTTATAACCTGGGACATTCCCTGGATAAAACCAGATTATTACCGAGTTATAACCTGAGACATTACCTGGTTATTAACTGGTAATATCCTGAGACATTACCTGGTTATTACCTAGTTATATCCTGAGACATAACCTGGTTATAACATGGTTATAACCTGAGACATTACCTAGGTATAACGTTGTGATAACCTAAGATATTACCTGGTTATAACCTGGTTATAACCTGGTTATTACGTGGTTATAACCCGAGATATTACCTGGTAATAGCCTGGTTATAACCTGGTTATAACCTGGTTATATACGGAGACTGTACCTGGTTATAACGTAGTTATATCCTGAAACATTACCTGGTTATAACCTGGTTATAACCTGGTTATATCCTGAGACATTACCTGGTTATAACCTGGATATAACCTGGGACATTACCTGGTTATAACGTGGTTATAACCTAGTTATATCCGGAGACATTACCTGGTTATAACCTGGTTATATCCTGAGACATTACCTTGTTATTACCTGGTTATAACCTGAGACATTACCTGGTTGTAACCTGGTTATATCCTGAGACATTACCTGGTTATAACCTGAGACATTACCTGGTTGTAACCTGGTTATATCCTGAGACATTACCTGGTTATAACCTGAGACATTACCTGGTTATAACCAGGTTATAACCTGCTTAAATCCTGAGACATTACCCGGTTATAACCTGGTTATTACCTGAGACATTACCTGGTTATTAACTGGTAATATCCTGAGACATTACCTGGTTATTACCTAGTTATATCCTGAGACATAACCTGGTTATAACATGGTTATAACCTGAGACATTACCTAGGTATAACGTTGTGATAACCTAAGATATTACCTGGTAATAGCCTGGTTATATCCTGAGATATAACCTGGTTATAACCTGGTTATATCCGGAGACTGTACCTGGTTATAACGTAGTTATATCCTGAAACATTACCTGGTTATAACCTGGTTATAACGTGGTTATATCCTGAGACATTACCTGGTTATAACCTGGATATAACCTGGGACATTACCTGGTTATAACGTGGTTATAACCTGGTTATATCCGGAGACATTACCTGGTTATAACCTGGTTATATCCTGAGACATTACCTTGTTATAACCTGGTTATAGCCTGAGACCTTAACTGGTTATAACCTGGTTATATCCTGAGACATTACCTTGTTATTACCTGGTTATAACCTGAGACATTACCTGGTTGTAACCTGGTTATATCCTGAGACATTACCTGGTTATAACCTGAGACATTACCTGGTTGTAACCTGGTTATATCCTGAGACATTACCTGGTTATAACCTGAGACATTACCTGGTTATAACCAGGTTATAACCTGCTTAAATCCTGAGACATTACCCGGTTATAACCTGGTTATTACCTGAGACATTACATGGTTATAACCTGGTTAGAGCTTGAGACAATACCTGCTTATAACCTAGTTATATCCTGAGACACTACCTGGTTATAACCTGGTTTAATCCTGAGACATTACCTGGTCATTACTTGGTTATAACCTGAGACATTACCTGGTTATAACCTAGTTATATCCTGAGACACAACCTGGTTATAACCTAGTTATATCCTGAGACATTACCTGGTTGAAAACCTGGCTATAACCTGGGACATTACCTGGATATAACCTGGTTATATCCTAGTTATAACCTGAGACATTACCTGGTTATAACCTAGTTATATCCTGAGACACTACCTGGTTATAACCTGGTTATATCCTGAGACATAACCTAGGTATAACATGGTGATAACCTGAGACATTACCTCGTTATAATCTGGTTATAACCTGGTTATTACTTGGTTATAACCCGAGACATTACCTGGTAATAGCCTGGTTATATCCTGAGATATTAACTGGTTATAATCGGTTATATCCGGAGACTGTACCTGGTTATAACCTAGTTATATCCTGAAACATTACCTGGTTATAACCTGGTTATAACCTGGTTATATCCTGAGACAATACCTGGTTATAACCTGGTAATAACCTGGGACATTGCCTGGATATAACCAGGTTATTACCTGGTTATAACCTGAGACATTACCTGGTTATAACGTGGTTATAACCTGGTTATATCCTGAGACAGGACCTGGTTATAACCTGGTTATATCCTGAGACATTACCTGGTTATAACCTGGATATAGCCTGAGACATTACCTGGTTATAACCTGGTTATGTCCTGAGACATTACCTTGTTATTACCTGGTTATAACCTGAGACATTACCTGGTTGTAACCTGGTTATATCCTGAGACATTACCTGGTTATATCCAGGTTATAACCTGCTTAAATCCTGAGACATTACCTGGTTATAACCTGGTTATTACCTGAGACATTACATGGTTATAACCTGGTTATATCTTGAGACATTACCCGCTTATAACCTAGTTATATCCTGAGACATTATCTGGTTATAACCTTGTTATATCCTGAAATATTTCCTGATTATAACCTGGTTATAACCTGAGACATTGCCTGGTTATAACCTAGTTATATCCTGAGACATTGCCTGGTTATAACCTGGTTATATCCTGAGACATTACCTGGTTATAACCTGATTGTGTCCTGAGACATTACCTGGTTATAACCTAGTTATATCCTGAGACATTTCCTGGTTATAACCTGAGACATGACCTGGTTATAACCTGGTTATATCCTGAGACATTACCTGGTTATAACCAGGTAATAACCTGGTTCCAACCAGGTAATGTCTCAGCATAATATTTCACCACAGTGAATAGTCAAATTTTGGGGATTCGAGGGACAAGAACCTCCTCAACAAAGAGCTAAAAGAGAGGCTTGATGTCTGTGCAGGTAAGATGAAATTAGAACTTTAAATTAATTTTCATCTTGTTCTTAAACTCTATTAAACTTCTTAGTGACTATATGAAATGGACTTATTGTTTTCTCATACAATTTTTTTAATTCAATCAGAGCATCAGGTATGGTTGATTTTCTTTTAATCAAAAAAATTCTGAAAATATACTCAATAAATTCCCTTTATATTTTATGTCTTATATGTGTTGTATGCCTGTTTTCGGTACAAGGTGGCTGAAATAACAATCCATCTGCATGCTGGTACAGGCCATCTTCCGCTTTCTGATGGTTCAGTGTGGTGTCTCACAGTGAGGCAGGCAATGTGTCAGCCCAAGATGACAGTGTCCCGGTCTGGGGTAGAGATGTCCTCTGATGAAACTGCTGAAGTGCACCCATCTCCTTTCACCAAACTTTCGGCCGTTGTTAGTGACCACAGATATCCTCCCACTTGGTTTGGTGTTCTGGTGGAAAATGCTTGTGGTTCATCAGATTCTGTGAAAGCTGTCCATTTACGTGTGCTGTGCAAGCTTAGTCAAATGATGCTGTACCTTCATCGATTGATAAGAGCTACCACCTTCTAGTCCTGAAAAATAATGGTGGCCAACTGATTTCATCACAAAGCACAGTGAAGGAGCTGAAAGCTGTGAAGAGGGTGATATGTCAAGCTTCAGCAAAGCAAGCTCCAAAGTTGTCACTACTTGCCTACATTGTGCAGGATAAGATTGGGACAGAGGATGTTTTCTGCTAGGGGAACATATTGAGAGGACACAGTTTAGCATTGACAATCATTACTACAACTTGTCATCATTGGTGGTGTCAGCGTTTCCAAGGATAAGGCTTCATCATCACATTGCCAAACTCAACTGTCTTGAGCTGCAGAAAGGGAGCATGTTGTTCTGTTTCACTGGCACCAGCATCCATTTTTAGGTCTTGAGTTTGGATTTGTTTGGTTTTTATCCCTGCTCCTTTCAGTTTTAAATAAACCTCAACTTTTTTTTGAACCTTCAACTTTGGTGTGGCGTCCCTTTTTATGTTGGGAGTCTCTCAAGCCAGTTTTAGAAAAGTAAGCCATCACATACACTCACCGGCCACTTTATTAGGTACACCTGTCCAACTGCTCGTTAACACTTAATTTCTAATCAGCCAATCACATGGCGGCAACTTAGTGCATTTAGGCATGTAGACATGGTCAAGACAATCTCCTGCAGTTCAAACCGAGCATCAGTATGGGGAAGAAAGGTGATTTGAGTGACTTTGAACGTGGCATGGTTGTTGGTGCCAGAAGGGCTGGTCTGAGTATTTCAGAAACTGCTGATCTACTGGGATTTTCACGCACAACCATCTCTAGGGTTTACAGAGAATGGTCCGAAAAAGAAAAAATATCCAGTGAGCGGCAGTTCTGTGGGCGGAAATGCCTTGTTGATGCCAGAGGTCAGTGGAGAATGGCCAGACTGGTTCGAGCTGATAGAAAGGCAACAGTGACTCAAATAACCACCCGTTACAACCAAGGTAGGCAGAAGAGCATCTCTGAACACACAGTACGTCGAACTTTGAGGCAGATGGGCTACAGCAGCAGAAGACCACACCGGGTGCCACTCCTTTCAGCTAAGAACAGGAAACTGAGGCTACAATTTGCACAAGCTCATCGAAATTGGACAATAGAAGATTGGAAAAACGTTGCCTGGTCTGATGAGTCTCGATTTCTGCTGCGACATTCGGATGGTAGGGTCAGAATTTGGCGTCAACAACATGAAAGCATGGATCCATCCTGCCTTGTATCAACGGTTCAGGCTGGTGGTGGTGGTGTCATGGTGTGGGGAATATTTTCTTGGCACTCTTTGGGCCTCTTGGTACCAATTGAGCATCGTTGCAACGCCACAGCCTACCTGAGTATTGTTGCTGACCATGTCCATCCCTTTATGACCACAATGTACCCAACTTCTGATGGCTACTTTCAGCAGGATAATGCGCCATGTCATAAAGCTGGAATCATCTCAGACTGGTTTCTTGAACATGACAATGAGTTCACTGTACTCAAATGGCCTCCACAGTCACCAGATCTCAATCCAATAGAGCATCTTTGGGATGTGGTGGAACGGGAGATTCGCATCATGGATGTGCATCAGACAAATCTGCGGCAACTGTGTGATGCCATCATGTCAATATGGACCAAGCTCTCTGAGGAATGCTTCCAGCACCTTGTTGAATCTATGCCACGAAGAATTGAGGCAGTTCTGAAGGCAAAAGGGGGTCCAACCCGTTACTAGCATGGTGTACCTAATAAAGTGGCCGGTGAGTGTAATTGGGGGCTCGTCAGAGATGGATAGATGGATCTTGGGAAACAAACCTCAAACATAAACATTAGTGTATATAACATTATAATTAGTGTTTAAATATCTTTATATCTCAATTTTAATTTCATTATACCAAATGACAAATTAATGATTCTTGATCATTAATATGTCTATAAAAAACCTTTAATTCACATGTATTGTATGTTTTTCAAAATATCTATCATGAAACACATATCAGAATATCCTATATCCGTTAAGATATGCACATCAAAACACGCCGAACAGTGTCCTATGTAATACCCACACATAATGCAAAAAAAGAGAAACCACGTGAAATGAAAATCTGTTAAGTATTCAGCGAGTTATGACTGATTAAATTGACACCTCATTGCGCCTGTCAAACAGATGGCACTGAGCCAAGCGGTAACAAGGTTAAGGAAATTTCCCTTAAACTCATTCATAAAGTCTATCCATGCAAAGAACTATATTAAGGAAAGATTTAAGAAAGATATTTATATGAATTTAAGCTTCTGTAACAAATGTCCAGAAACTATCACACATTTATTTTGGCAATACCCTGTTGTGAAGAATTAGTGGCAAAACCTTTGAGCTTTTAAATGAAAACATTGATAAAATCTTTGTTTTACTTTGGAGGAATGTATTGGTCGGTCGTCTGGAAATTAATACAAGGGAAAAGAAGACTATAACAAATCTTATTATTTTAATGGCAAAATTCCATATACATAAATGTAACTTCATTAATAAGAAACTATCTTTTGTCACCTTTGGCGAGGACTTTGAACAATACATTCACTCAACTCAACACTCCCTGATACCAAAAGCAATGAAAACTGTAACTGTAAAGGTTTTACAGATATTTATATAAATAAATAAATAAATAAATCTTTAACTCCTCCTAGCGTGCGTTGTTGGTACATGTATGTCGTATGAGTTTCACTGTTCTATCTACAGTGTAAAACTTGAATTTTGTAAATAAGGGAATAAAAAAGAAACTGAACGGAGCGGGTGACCACACCAAGATGGCGGCCCGGTTCTACGTCAGTGCCATTAGGAAGTAGCGGTCGTTGCGACTCCGTCACCAATACTTTTGTTAGGATATAGAAGTTCTAACAGGACATAATCGCTCATTAACTCCTCATCACTAACGAAATCTGAACATTTACCGCAATTATCCCAAGGTCTCTCATGCTTATTTTCACTGCTCGCACTCGCGAGGATGTAGTTCGACGTCGTGTTGAAACGAGCTGCTGTGATTGGATAATTTTCATGTCGTTATTTCCTGCTGTCAGTATCGACATTTCCGGAAGAAGCGGAAAACAACAGTAGATTCATTTTTTTCGGTAAATAGTCCAACTACGAAATACAAACAGACATTCAGATTTGACTATTCTCCCGACATTTCGACATGGTGAGTAAGATTCTGTTTAGTTTCATCACTGTCTGCACTTGTGTTAAATCAAAACAAACGTTCATGCAGCAGTTTAGCTAACGACAGGCTAATAACAACAAGCAGAAAGATGCTCTGTCATGTCGCACTCAAGTCCTTCGTTAACGCTGTGGGGTTTTGTTTCTTTCGTAGTTTTCCTTCCATGTTTTCGACCCGATGACCCGGGGCTTTCAGAACCGTTTCTCCACTCAGTACCGATGCTACTCTGTGTCCATGCTGGCTGGACCCAATGATCGCTCCGATGTGGAGAAAGGAGGCAAAAGTAAGTATTTTCCTGTCCAGCTGCTCCTACACCTTCATAAACTATGTGGTAAATGTTTGAGAACAAACAAGGACACCTTCTGTTTCTGATCCTGTTGACACACGGTGATCTGAGCTGAAACAAGACGATGAAGTTTGTATGATGCCAACTCATGGAAAGGTCTGATCCAAAGACCCCTACACTTAAACTTTTCACATATGGACTAAATCCTCTGAGAGGGTCTGCAGACTTCTAAAAAGACAGTTTTTCAGTTGTGGAACCACTTATTTTTTAACCACTAGACCACGTTGGACTAGGTTCTGATCCAAAATCCCCAAACAGCCAGGCGCAGACAAGGCTTAAGGAAACTGTGCTTTAAGAAGACTTAGATGAGAAAACTTGAGAGGTCTAGGTCTTGCAGGTCTGGATTAAGACCTGGTCTAATGTGGTCCAGACAGAACTAAACAAGTGGTATCACCTGTTTTAACAGTGTTACTATAGAGTATAAATTAAAAGTTAAAAAAAAAAAACACTGAAGCTGTTTAAGAGGGCTGAGGAATCTCTGAGGTAATCCAAGCCAGTCCCGAGATTTCCCTGTGTGTGGAGATCCCGTATCAAGAACCTGTTTCCATAACCTTCCCTGTGACAGCCAGGGCCATTGCCCAGTAGTTTTGTCCCACCTTAAAAGACCCTCTGTCAGAAGAAATGGATGTTTGTACCACGAATCTCTTATAATCTGTTAGCATCTTTTTCTGCTGTTGCTCACTGTCAAACTAGAGTTTATCTCATTCTTCTGTTTAGCCGCTCTCTAAACATGTATTTGTGACAATGAGATTTTAAGGTGCCGATGCAGTCCTACTTTCCTTTAATGACATAAAGATATCTCAGTGTTTTTGCTGTTTCTCTTCACACATCTAAATAAGTGGGAAGGTTTTAAGGGGATTTTTCTTGCTTTACGACCAATACTTGCTTTGTGGTATAAACCTACACCTTCACTTTCTGATTGGTACTTGGTTATAAGTTACAAAAACAGCAAAATGCCTCCCAGTTCAGCCAGTGAAAACTGAATCCTCTTGACACTTCAAGACCCACAGACTTGTCTTTTTCCTTGAATAACAAGTTTCATTTTTGTGTCCCAAATTTTTAACAACAACAACAAAGAACTTTCTAATTTTAGTGTAAGATACTCTGATATGTACATTTGTCTAAGATGATCAAGGTCTAGATTTCTCCTTTAAGTGGATCAGGTTTATCCATAATACGCAGTGAAATCTATTGTATTTACTGACCTGTGTGTGGTTTGTGTCTAATGTTTCATCTCTCTCAACTTTTTTCAGTAATAATGCCTCCTTCAGCTCTTGACCAGCTCAGTAAGTGCAAGTTTAATCAAGCAGCACCAGTGGTTTCCCTTCGGGGATCAATAAAGTTCTTCTTCTTGTTATTTAAAAATCCTATATGAATTTCCTTTGAATGACACATTTCTTTTCATTCTCTGTGTGCAGGCAGGCTGAATATCACATATCCAATGTTGTTCAAGCTGACCAACAAGAACTCAGACAGACAGACACACTGTGGTGTTCTGGAGTTTGTAGCAGATGAGGGAATCTGTTACCTCCCACACTGGGTGAGATACAGGAACAAGGGCGGGGTGCTATGATTTAAAAAGAATTAGTTCCTGAAATATGGAGCATAACAGAGTTTTTAGACATTCATGGACAAAATGTATACACATAGATAGAAAAATAAATTTCATGCCATCGTTCTCATCACACCGTAAATCTTCTGTTTTTGATTTTGGTGGTTTGGTGTCAATCAAGTCTGAACAGATGTTTAATTTTTGTCCCTTCAGATGATGCAGAATCTTTTGCTGGAGGAAGGCGGTCTGGTCCAGGTAGAAAGTGTGAACCTCATGGTGGCCACTTACTCAAAGTTCCAGCCACAGAGCCCTGACTTCCTGGACATCACAAACCCCAAAGCAGTGTAAGAAATATCAGTTTGCACCTTTGAATTTGGACTCAAATGCTCACAGTTTGCATTTAAGTAAAGTAATGGAGTTCATTCTTTATTGCAGTCTGGAGAATGCTTTGAGAAATTTTGCCTGCCTGACAACAGGTGATGTCATAGCTATCAACTATAATGAAAAGGTACATCAATGTTTTTCAATTGTTCTGTGAAAAAAAAAAGTTTGTTTATTTTTATTTTTTTGCTGAACTTGACTGTCGATGAACTTTGTTTTACTTCAGATCTATGAGCTGCGAGTGATGGAGACCAAACCAGACAAAGCAGTCTCTATCATTGAGTGTGATATGAATGTAAGAGCCTTTTGGATTATGACAGATAACAGTTAATTATTCTGGAGAGTTCTTCATGCTTGATGTGTTCTGACTCTGGCTCTCAGGTGGATTTTGATGCTCCGCTGGGTTACAAAGAGCCTGAACGTCGACCTCAGCACCAGGAAGAACCCGATGTAAGGATTTAACCCTTAAGGTCCATTTATACACGAAGTGCTCTGAACAGTTTGATGAAACAAATTTCTCTACAGGAAGAAGAAGCAGATGTGAGCAGTTATGCAGACATGGACACAGGTTTCAGAGTGAGTGATTACAGTGTGCGGCAGAGGAGTAAATGTTTTCATAGGTTTGGTGTTTGGACCTGTTGTAAATTGTAATCCTTTTTTTAACCCTCAGGCTTTCACTGGCTCAGGCAATCGGTTGGACGGAAAAACAAAAGGGATTGAGCCCAGCCCAGCTCCTCTTGGTCCAAGTGACATCAAAAGGTGAGAAGGTGTTCAGTAAATTAGACTTGTGGTTGACGGCTTTTACAGGATTGTTTATTCAAAAGTTAATGCTGATGCTAATACTAATGGAGCAGGTTAGTACGATATTTACCAGTGGTTCCCAAGTCCAGTCCTCGAGGCCCACTGTCCTGCATGTTTTGGATGTTTCCCTGCTCCAACACACCTGATTCAAATGATGAGCTCGTTATCAAGCTCTGTAATGGCTTACTAACGAGCTGATCATTTGAATCAGGTGTGTTGGAGCAGGGAAACATCCAAAACATGCAGGACAGTGGGCCTCGAGGACTGGACTTGGGAACCACTGGTATAGACGATATATAGAGCAGATGTCACATTGTTTTTATTTGCATTTAACACAATACAGCACTTTTAAACTAATATAAATGATAATCTTGCACATTATTCTGTGCACATTACAATCTGATATGTATGATTATTTTAGCCAGTAATGTTTCATATTAATTTTTGATTAATTTATGAAATAGAAACAAAACATTGGTTTTAGATTAGACTTGACTGATATTAATGTGAGCAGCAACACAAAACTGCTCAATTCTATACATCAGAACAGAATTTATATTCAACACCTGTCTGTAACTGTTTTATATTGAAAGTGCTGGCATTTAGGTTTGGGACAAAGTGTTATAGTTATGAAGGGAGACATCAATACTACTAACTCTGATTTTTTTCTGTGCAGACTGGTTTTTACATTTTATACCTACATTAGACGTCAGATGATATAGAACAAAGTGAAAAGGAAGATAAAGGCGATGATTACAGCTGACTAAGCACTTAACGCACTGGACCAATCATTACCTTCAGTGATGAAACCTCAGTGGGCTTTCTTGCTCCAAATTTGACAAACACAGTGACATCTAGTGGTTTGAAAATCGCATTGAGGCCCTCGATTGGTTCATGCTGTTGATGTGCGTGGATTTATTAAAGGATGGAAGAAATAAGTTTTTAAAAAGCCTTAGTGTTATAAAATAAAGCTAAAAGCATACTTTTTTAGATTTACTTAACCAATTACAGAGTATTTTCCTCTATGGTGCAATGAATAAATTTGCACTGACATGTAGCCTTTAAAATTATTACTATTGTTCTTTTAATTAATTTATTTTTAAATTATTATTATTATTTTTTTTTTGTTATTTAATAAATTTTTTTGTAGCCTTAAAATGTGATGTCTGTTTGGTCTGAATAATGACTCTGACATTAAACCAGTCTGCCAGTGTTTGTTATTAACCTGTATTTTCTCATCACACAGGGGCATTCCCAACTACGAGTTCAAAGTTGGCAGGATCACCTTCATCAGGAACTCAAAGCCTCAGCCCAAGAAGTTTGTTGAAGATGTGCGTAGTTTTTTATCTTGAATGATTTGATGTTTAAAGTTAGACATGGCCATACAGTTCGTAACTACCTGTTCCTTTACCACAACAATGTGACGGTGTCCGTAATTTTATTTATGTTTAATTCCCAGAGTAAAATTATTCATATTTTGTTCATGCTGTGATTTTCTAATTGAACCTGTTTTAAAATCTCTTTTAATCCTGACAGGATGACGCCTTGAACAGGTTCATCGCCTTCTCTGGACAAGGACAGTCACTGCGCAAGAAGGGCAGAAAGCCTTAAAGGTTTTTATGTGGAGAAAGACTGGCTGATGTGCACAAACCCACCAAATCTACCATCATCTTAAACAGCAGAGTAATAAACTGACCCTGTGATGCACTGGGATTTTTCTCTGTGTCTTTCAAACAGATGCTTTGCTGATCAGTCTGGGTTGTGTAGTTGGAGGTGGGGATGTTCAACTCCTCAAAATGTGAGCTGCATACCGTCGTTTCATTATCAGTATTCACAAACCAAAGTGACTGATCAGACCCTGGCCAAATAAAATGTACCACCACAAAACACAAAAGGAGAAATTGGTGAAGAATTGTTTCATTGTTATCAGGTTGGATTTTAATTTGATAAAGCCCCTCTTCCTCGGTTTCCAACAAACCCTTAACGTTTACAGTTCACTTTGAAATCTATTGTTTTCAAGAGTCCCATTTTTTATGATAAGTTGGGAACAAGTGTGGGTAAGTTTTCCTGCTTTTGGTTGCTAAGAATTTAATTTTGAATTTGATTTTTTTCTTGTGTTCAGACATACTTTGGGAGTGTTTTTCCTTTTTTGTTTCTGGTTAATTTATAGACAAATAAAGAGAAGTGCATCAAAGTTCATCTCCTGGAGCAAGTTTATTTCTTTTTTATTCTCAAATGGTAAGCATGGACAAACCAATAATACTGTTAGGGCTGCACAATTAACTGCATATTCATCATTGTTGCGATATAAGCATTTGCAATCTAGTCTTCTTATAAAGGAAATGAACATTCAATATTAACAACCAAAGCTCTCTAACTTACAATGTTTTTATACCTGTATGAAGGAAGCTTGAATTTAATGGTCAGACTCTTACACTATTCTTCCATTACCAATCAGAGCTAAGGCTTGTTGTCATTTACTCTCTGAGTAGCTGATGCTGATTTAAGGTTTTTAATGTTTTTTTTCAATTCTGGAGAAAACTTGCATATACAGAGATTGTGTAAAACACAGTTTGAGTTACAGCTGATAAGCACCTGTAGTTATTCTACTTGATATTATGAATCATTTTCCACCAACACACATTTGTTTTCATTGCATACCTACCTTATGTACAATCATAACACTCTTTAGACGTGACAAAAATTTAGGATTATGAACTGTGTTTTACTCAGTTGAGATGCATTTTACATGTGAGAATGTAGAAATTCCAGAAAAAAACAAATAGTCCAGAAGAAATTACCACAAGTTGTCAATCCTGTAGGATCAGAAAAAAAGCCATATGAACGTGTGAAAAACAAGAAAAACATGATTTTCATCGGAGTGTGTCTTAAAATTAAACTAAAATATGTCTCCTGTGGGGTAAATTACCTTGTTGAAGTAGCCAAAAAATAAATAAAATACATTTTAAAATCTGAGTAAAGTGAAAATAAAACCTAGAGAAATTCTGAATAAATCCGTCACAATTATTGGGTGCATATTGACAGTTTTCTCCATTTCAGCAATGTGCAGACTATGATGCTTTTTGACATTTAGATTTTTTATTTTTTGTCAATAAAACTCTATCGAGCATTTAACACAACAGGACCATTCAACACACAAGCAAGGAGGGTTATTTTGACAGGGGGCCACACATATAGGAAAACAGGAGTCTTTACAGAAAAACCTTAAAGAGAGTACATAAATGTATGGTCTTGATGGCTTTGCTATTTGTAGAATTTTTAATAGTATTAATATACAGCTTGGTTTCATTTTTGAAAAAATCCTAACAAGGATTTTTATTTATATAACTACATTGATGGATATGCCACTTAGCCAACAAAATTATAAGGTTGATTATATAATAATGTTTGTTTTTTATAGGGTATAAAGGAAGTGAAACCAAACTGTATATTTTCAAAACAAAGAGTGAAATTATTCTCAATAGAGGTAGAAATAAAATGACAAACATCTTTCCAGAAATTAATTGAGAAAGGGCAAGACCAAAATAAGTAAAAGGTATCTTCAGGATTTTGACATTTAGATGTATTTCATGTTGTAGTCGGGCTCTTATTGTGAAAGATATTGAACCGGAAGTTTTGCTCTTGTTCGGGTTAGCGCAGCAACAATGGCCGCGTCTGATGAGAGATTATGGAGGGTAATTTAACCAAATCATATTGTCAATTGTCAATACACTCTTTTGAGAAAATTTTAATTTGATTTTACCTGCTTTGTTTTGTTAAAGCCCAGGCATAAAGTAAAGAGTGTCAAATCTGTCACAGAAGCGCTGTTAGCCATCGGTATCACCGTGGTAACCTTCAATGTTAGCTCCTCTCAGCAGTGTCAGATGAAGATTTTACCAGAAACACTCAACCTTTAATACTTTTTTCCAAACCCCGCTTTGCCAGTCTAGTGTAAAACCTTGATTTAACATTGTATAAAAAAGGTTTGGCAAGCTTCTAAGCGAATTAGTGTTCATTTGAAGCTTAGCAGTTTTGGATGGACACTAATATTTTCACAGTAGAAAAACCAGACACTCTTTAAAAGGACTAGAACCTTAACCCAGCTGTACCCACCTGGTGAAACTATGTTATATTTGTTCCTACATTCCAGTCAGTCTGTTGTCAACAGAAACACAATAGTAGGACAGCAAAATTCAAATTAATACAACTAATTTCTGCCTTTTTTGAACAGCCACCTCGAGTTTGTGATGACTACTGGAGTGAATTCAGACACTGCAAAAGCTTAAGGAACCGTTTCCATCACTATTACACTCACGGGACCCAACCATCCTGCCAGCAGTGGAAAGAGGACTATCAAAACTGCAGGGAGTGGGAGCAACACAAAACCACAGAGGCCAAGGTACGACTCTTGTAAGCCATTGTTGAAAAGACCAAACCCCTGTACCTGTGTGGCAACATGTGTAATTTTTGTGTGCATTTCAGGAAGCTTTGCAGCAAAGTGAGAGGGGCAGAGTGGCAGAGCAGAAGAAGTTTACCCCTGTGTGGGAGCTGAGGCAAGACCCTCCTAAAGACTGGCACTTACCCCTGAGCCACGAGAAGCCTCAGGACACCTGAGTAGTTATAGTTGGAGGTGAAAATGAAGATGCGTGGTTCTTTTCTACAAATGGACTCGAATAAAGTATATCAAGCCACACGAAGGACTGCACATCACTTATTGATGCTCCCTGTGACAATGAGAGGAGGGATAAATGTTCAAAGTTCTGGCAGCATCTAGTGGTCCATGATAACCATTACAGCAAATGTTCAATCTGTTAGTTAAACAATATATCTGAAAGAAAGTGTTTGTTTAATCTCAAGTAATGAAGTCTAGTACAAAAGCTGGCTGCCCCTATACTGTATCAAGATTTCATGAGGTAACATTTTCAGATTTTTACTCCTAATAAAAAAAACCATTGATTTAATGAGGGAGTGTGTTAAAGAAAAATATGCTTATATTTTTAAAATCTTGTATACAGCTATTTTTATTTGAATCAAACAGGATACTTGACTGCATGTGCCTGCCACCAGTTATATACTTTACCTGCACCATAGGTTCAATTCCTTTTTTTTGCTTTGTTAAGTTAATACAGGTTTATCCTAATATATCAAAATGTTGAATAACACTGAACACATTTGACTTATTAAAAAGAGCACATTTATATTTATTGTTTTATACAGAGATGAAAAAGTGGACATGGGTCAATATGATGCCATTTGAAAGAATAATTTTGCATTGGATACAGAGAGGACAAACGAGGTGTTTGTACAACTTGAATGTTTAAGGGAAAGTGTCATTCACTCCCACACACACAGGCTGTTAAAGTTGTTTACTGCCTTAAGGACTCATGTACAAACAGGGGGCACACAAAAAATTAAAGACAATGAACACGTGCTGCACCAACTGTTGTTCTCTGTCCATCACTGTGTGTAAACTTTAGTGATATCCACGTATTTCCCATCAGGAGCTTCATAGTTTTCCTTTGGTGGCGTGAAGGTTGGACCTTCATGAGCGAAGGGAAACAATAGGGGGTCTGGCTTTAGCGCTGCCTGGTACAGCTCCTCAGACTCCAACTTCAGCTCCTTCAGTGCCTCCTTTTGAGCCTTCAGAGCTAGCTCAACAGACTCCACCTCAGCCATGTGCTGCTTCTGCAGAAACAAGGACAGATTAGCACCTCATACGGTATATATTTGACTAAATGCACATGATGGGGAGCAAAGGTCAGGAGCAGCACTTAATGTAAAAGCTAAAGTGATGGAGGTGTGATGGGTAAGTGGTGACCTGTTTGTATAGACACCACTCCTTTAGCAGCAGAGCTCGACGCTCACTCTCTTCAACTGACAGCCTCGATGTAGAGCGTTGCCTTTGTGCGAGAGGAAGAAAAACAAAACACATTTAGAGCACTTAAAAGTCAGAGGGAACCATTGAAAGCCGCTAAAAACAAAGTTACAGCAAGTCAAAGAGAGACAAATGATATATAAAAGAAGATCTATTACACAAGTGAAAAACAGTCATCTTGTTTTACTATAATGTAGTGTTTTGAGATACATTTCTACACCCCTGGACTGTAAGCGTTCCATTCTAAAACCTAAAAGAAGAACTTGGATGAAAGTTTCAGCCTTTTCAACCCTGAGAGCCTCCAAGAACAACATTCTCACATTAAATCATGACCTTTTCAAAGTAAACCAAATTTCAATGAAATAAACAGATCAACAGTTTGGTCGTTGTGTCCTACATGAAAGTTATCTCAACAGAGTTTTGTGTCCAGCAACTGAGTTCAGAAGGCAGAGCAAATTCATAGTACGTGGTGCATATCTTCTTCACAGCTGGTTTCAGTCAAAAAGAAATAAGCCCTAAATTAAAAAAAAAAGAATCAAGTCTCTGCCATCTTATATTTTTTAAAACAACAAAAATAACCCCAATAATCGTGTGGATCAATGCACTTTTAATAGGTTTATAACTCGAAATAAGCAATACAGGGCTATGAACACAGTCAGCAGTGACAGTGTACTGTACCTTGTTTCATCCAAACATTTGGAAGGAGTTATAAAGTCCTCGATTGGGATGAACTCTGGTGGAATCTTTTCGAGCTTCCTCAGCTTTTTTTTCAACCTGTCTCGTACTAGTGCTTCTATTCGAGGGTCCGCTTTCTTCTTCTTCTTCTGGGGTACCGCTCTAAAACACAAAACACAAGTCTGCCTGAGCATGTTCTATGTTCTAACAAGTTATATGTTAATATTGACCGGGGAAACAGATGTCGTTGTGATGTCAGGGATGCAGGTTCTCACATTGAGTTGAAAATCAACAATGACTTGGATCATATACTTATTATCTTATTGTTCAACAGTGACATGATTCTTCATGTGAACATAGACCTGTTCAAAGCTCTTTCGATTACAGCATTTTTTTAAGTTTTAAAGAATAATGCCTTGCAATTGTATTTTGCGAAACGTTGTTCTTAAACTGTTTGACTATTTTGCTTTTTGAGGAAACTGCTTTTATAACCAATCATGACACCCACCTGTTCCCAATTAGCCTGCTCACCTGTGGGATGTTCCAAATAGGTGTTTGATGTGCATTCCTCAAATTTCTCTGTATTTTTTTGCCACCTTTCCCTACTTCTTTGTCACTTATTGCTGCCATCAAATTCTAAAGTTAATGATTATTTGCAAAAAAAATAAAGTTTATGAGTTTGAACATTAAATATCTCGTCTTTGTAGTGTATTCAATTGAATATAGGTTGAAAATGATTTGCAAATCATTGTATTCTGTTTTTATTTACGTTTATCAAAATTTCCCAACTTCATTGGAATTGGGTTTTGTATATAGATAGTAATACAAGTGTCTCTGTCATTTACTGGTTTCAGCCTTTTAAATGCAAAAGGCGCCTTTTCTGCAGTTTTATCAAGGTCACTTAATCTAATATAAAGTGACCTGGAGTCTTTTGGTTTAAGTGTGACACTTTAGATTGATCATACCTGAGAGCAGCTGTAGTCTTCAGAGTCATCACTGGTACAAACCAACAACTCTGCACAGCATGGTGCTGCTCTCCTGCTACAAAGCTAGAACAGAAAACAATTGACAAATACACGTTTAAGACAGCTGGATTTATTTGTGCACCAAGGTCTGGATCAGCATTTGTGATCTGAGTAACCTTAGCTTTATTAGCTCAAAGTAGCTAACGCCTTCTTTAACTTGTTACATGAAAGATAAATTTTGTTACCTTGACGAAGCGACTTGTCGGGATAAAACCCTGCCGATACAGCGCGATAAAGCCACAGACATGTTTCACAGTCAGCTGTTTCACTGTAAACTCATAACCTTAGATTCACGTGCAGAGGTACATCACTGCATTTGTCCCCTTGTTTCCTTGAGTGACAGCCACGGAGCATGCGCAGAGTGCTTTGAATTTGACGGTCGCACTTTCGGGTATTTTTTTATTTACAAAAAATATATACATATAATCCACAGATTTCTTCGAATTCATAACCAGCTGTAAGATAGATAAACTTTTTACTATAGTGGCTATAACTATTATTTCTTTGTCATGAAACCTTTGTGTCGAATCTTGATAAACGGAGCTACAATATCGTCAGTGATATTTGGGGGAAAGGTCGCGGTTGTGTCAGCTTTTATATCATTGAGAGGACCACAAGTGGAAAGTCGGAGGAAACATTGGATCCTGCAACTGTTGGTTTCTTGAATCGGCATCATGGCGCTCCTAAGAGGTAATATCCACCTTTTTGAACAGCATGACCACAATGGGAGCATGCTTCCTGCTGCTGCACTGCTGGACTTGAAATCTTTTAAATATTGCTTCACCTTTACCCGTTTCACGACTTTTGTATCAGAATTCAAAGTTAGATCACATTAAGCAAAATGAAAGCAGTCTATGCTTAGCAGCTTTTCTGCTAATTCAAATATCAGGAGGTGTTTTTAAAGGTTTTCTGATGACAACGTAACTGCAAATGAGGCTAAAGGTGAAAATATGGTGTCAAGATCACTGGCAGATGTTCATAGATTAGAGTCTTTTACCTGCAAAACAACAGTAAATACTATTGTTGGGTTACTGTTTTTCTTTGATCAGGGTCGGAGGAAGGACCTGGGTGACCCACTTAATGAAAGTACATATATTATCACGTCAATATACAGTAATTTATAATGCATTTTATGGGACAAAGTCTTCTGCCAAATTTGCTCAGTGCAGAAATAGATAGAGAAACTGACCTACTGCCTTCTGATTTTTAGTCTTGTAACAGTGTAAACTGGCTTTGAAAGTCACACGTCAAAGGACAGTAGTCAAACATTACTAGTTTCTGCCACTTTTGACCCATTCACAGTCATTTGCTGTTTTTTTTTTCTCTCTTTGGTATTGTCGCTCACTTTTTATCTAGATCCCTTTCCTAAAACAGATGATGGCACATTACATAACACTGATCACACCACTAAGCACACACACACCACCTCCAGTTGTCACAGTGAGGTCCTGATAAATGAAAGGTCAATGCAATCAAAGTAAAAGATCAGCTCCTGCTTATACCAGGGGTTGGTCAACAAGGAATTATGTGTTAACGAACGTTAAGGGCACATGGAGAGGTGATCAAAATCAATATCATACAAAACACTTTTTTAACCCCAGTGAGTTTTTAATCTTACACCAGTGGTTCTCAAGTCCAGTCCTCGAGCCCCCCCTGTCCTGCATGTTTTGGATGTTTCCCTGCTCCCACACAGCTGATTCATATGATCAGCTCGTTATCAAGCTCTGTAATGGCTTAATAACGAGCTGATCATTTGAATCAGGTGTGTTGGAGCAGGGAAACATCCAAAACACGCAGGACAGTGGGGGCTCGAGGACTGGACTTGAGAACCACCGCCTTACACAGCAATGTGCAGCAAGAATTTTACAATAAATTTACAGAAGACATGTTCAAGTCTGTTGTTAACCAACAGATTTAACTTGCCCATGACATTATTCTACCCTGTTCTTCTACTGTGGGTTTGTGTTTAATTATTGTACAGCTTTTTGAATCAACAGGTGTCATTTATCTATTGTTCTGAGGAAAAAGGACAATTATCTTTGAGCATTAATAATTTGTGTCTTGTATGACAAGGGCATAATTCCATAGAAAGATTAGCAGTCTTTGCCTCACCAGTATATCGTTGCTTCTCTTTTTACTGCAGTCTAATTTACTCCCCCTGATGCATAAACCTCTCAAGCTGCATCTTTTTTCTTCATCTTAATGCACAGCAAATGTCACCCATCTCTGCAGTATGTGCCACCCAGCATCTTCTGTCACTGTGATCTGGCTGCGTTTCATTGGTGGGAGGTGTGAAATCTGTGTCGCTTTACTACGGCGCTCTCTTTCTCTGCAGGTGTATTTATTGTAGCTGCGAAGCGCACTCCATTTGGTACTTATGGTGGCGTGCTGAGGGATCACAGTGCAACAGACTTGGCAGAGCATGCAGCCAAAGCGGCCCTCACTGCAGGGGGTGTAGCACCAGAACTTGTGAACAGTGTCATCATGGGAAATGTGATGCAGGTAGCTGAATCGCCACAGATAACAGGCATTTTAGACAAATTACAAGCTTGTTGAGCAGCATCCTAACATTTTTTCTTCTCTTTTTCAATTCAGAGCTCAGCTGACGCCCCCTACATCGCTCGACATGTGGGTCTCAGGTGTGGTGTTCCCATCCCAGTGCCTGCTTTAACCGTGAACAGGCTGTGTGGATCAGGTTTCCAAGCTATCATCAGCGGTGCTCAAGTAAGCATTATATAATTGGCAACACATGTATATGTCACAAAGACTTAAGCCCCCTTGTTTTTTAAGTATAACAAATCACATATATGATTTGACAGAATATGTGTTATCCTTTGTTGCTTCAAAACAAAAACCTCTGAAATTGTGTGTTTGCAGGAGATTTGCCTCAGGGAGTCGGAGGTGGTTCTGTGTGGAGGCTCGGAGAGTATGAGCCAGGCCCCGTACGCTGCTCGCAACATTCGATTTGGTACAAAATTTGGATTTGATCTCAAGGTGAGCTTGTGGTTGATTTTCTCTTTTCGCTCTTATCCCCAGATATACCAGGAGTCATGTGGTGATCATAGAGTCAGCTTGTTACGTAACATTAGAAGCTTCTGTCACAAAGAATAAACCTTTTTTTTTTTTTTTGTGGGTTGATTGACAGCTAGAGGACACCTTGTGGGCAGGCTTGACTGACCTACATGTCAAAATCCCTATGGGCATCACAGCAGAAAACCTGGCAGAGAAATACCAGATCACACGAGAGGACTGTGACAACTATGCATACCAGACACAACAACGGTGGAAGGCAGGTAAGATGGGCTTCACCTTTGCATTATCCCTTTGAAATATCTACCTCCTCACAGACATAATTCACTTTTGAGAGACCAATAGTTTTAGATAGGGGGGTGCTATTCAAGACAAGTTGATTTGTAAAATTTTACTGGGTTTTTCAGTCATATTATACTGCACTTTCCTGCTCAAATGTGCTGCTCTTCACTGCAGATTTTATCAATTTTATTCAGGTTCTGTTTATAAAGTTTTATACTGTTATAATAACTTATGAATGTATATTTTTATAGTTAGTTTAATAAATTAAGCGCTGAAAGACCCAGACTGATACCCTGTTTGTGGAAACCTTCCTGGCTGATAAACCTGATTCTGATTTCTTTCTTTCGGCAGCTCACGAGGCCGGTCACTACACAGCAGAAATTGCTCCCATTGAAGTGAAAGCTAAGAAAGGAAAAGTGGCTATGGCTCAGGATGAACACCCTCGCCCTCAGACCACGCTGGAACAGATGGCCAAACTACCAACTGTCTTCAAGAAAGGAGGGACTGTTACTGCTGCCAACGCTTCAGTGAGTTTACACCAACATTGTCCTCCTCTGATTTTTTTTTTTGTTAATAATTCAAAGGAACATTAGGCTGGTTTTTTTTGACAGAAAATGCAGAAATATATAACACCAGTTGATCTCAAAAGACTTAAAGCTGATAGGCCATCCTTTACCAAAAGTATCCACTGAAATTCTGACCCTCTTGGTCTCTGTAGGGTGTATCTGATGGTGCTGCTGCTGTTGTGGTTGCAAGTGAAGACGCTGTGAAAGAGCACAAGCTCACTCCACTGGCCAGACTCGTAGCCTACCATGTGTCAGGCTGTGACCCCAGCATCATGGGAATTGGTGGGTTGCTGACATCTGTGTTAATGATATTTTCTGTTGTCCTTTCAAACGGCTAAATAAGCTGCTGTGTTATTTGTAAAGGTTTCTTTTAAATAAAGTTTTTTTTGTGGTTTCTTTATTCTTGCAGGTCCTGTTCCAGCCATCACAGAAGCTCTAAAAAAAGCTGGTCTGACTCTCAATGACATGGATCTTGTGGAGGTTTGTTGCTAGAAAAACAGTGTCACATGAGCAAAGTTTAAGATTACAAGGTTAATGTGTGTTGAAGTAGTCCTCAAATGGGACTACAGCAGGGGTGTCAAACTCAACCACAGTAGGGGCCATAATCTGGATTTAGGTCTAACCTGAGGGCCAAACAGGGTCAACATTTCACCAAAACTGTCAACCTCCCTCTCAAAAAATATGTAACAAAAACAGCAATGATTATGAATGATTCAGGAATTAAAAAAAGATAAAAAGACAAGTTAAAAGGCAATCTGAGATAGAGAAATGTATTTTATATTAACTTTTCATTCTATTTTTATTGAAGAGTTCAAAATATCAGAGCATGATATTGACAATAGAAAAAATAATGCTTTTAAAGAGCAAATACACGAGGAGACCATTGACATCAGGTTCAAAAGGTCAAAGTATGACTTAAAATTTAAAATTGGAATCTAAACTATAAAAATGACAGAAGACTAAAAACTGAGTTGGACAAAACCAAAGCATGAAATAAAAAACCCAATCATGTTTGACTTGTAATCCTGAAATGCAAAATTCAAAACATGAAATAAAACACCAAATACCCCCCCCCCCCCCCCCCCCAAACACACACATATTTGTGACTATTTATCAAATCTTCCTTACTCTTACTCAGATTTTCGTGGCTTATTAAGGACATTTTAAATTATGGTGCTAAAGTTTACATTATTATACTGAAGGAAATCTGCAGACTTCATACTGGTGGGCCAATAATAATGTGCCAGATCTAATTATTCCACGGGCCAGATTTGGCCCCCGGGCCTTGAGTTTGACACCTGTGGACTACAGGGTGCTCTGAATGGCTTGTTCAGAAAATCACTGGAAAAATTCAGAGGGATCAATGTGAAATATGCTGAATTTATGACATCACCCGACAGTGAATCTCTATAAAAGGACAACATTTTTCATTTTATAAAAGGAAACACAACTTTGTTGCATGGCAACAATGTAGGAGGCTTCCAGAATGCTGGGTGCTGGGGAACTTAAAGGGACAGTGGCTTAAATGAAGCATTTTAGACAGAGGCTGATGTGAGGGTTTTCAAAGACAGCAGACTTACTTCTATGTGGAGTTCATCCTTGATATTCATAATACAAATTTTTTCTGTGTTGTCAGTTTAAAATATTCCCTCTCAATTTCATAACTGACTTAATTTTTTTCCTCAGGTGAATGAAGCCTTTGCCCCTCAGTACCTGGCTGTTGCTAAGGCTCTTGGTCTGGATCCGGAGAAAAGCAACGTTAACGGTGGAGCTATCGCCATCGGACATCCTCTCGGTGCTTCTGGAGCACGAATCACTGGCCACCTGGTCCACGAGCTCAAGTAACCTTTTACCGGACACTTACAGATGAATTAAACCAGTGAAAATCTCTACATATAATTAGCTTTAACAATGTTGCTTGTTTTTGTTTTTTTTCAACAGGCGACGTGGAGGCAAGTATGCTGTTGGCTCTGCATGCATCGGTGGCGGGCAGGGCATTGCCGTCATCATTGAAAACTGCTGATTGAAGAAGCTGCAAATATCAGAAGAACTCCTTAAACAGAATGTCTCACACCAGTGTCCACTCAATGGAAATACAGACACATACTAAAAAGAGAAAAGAACATTAAAAGAACATACACAGAAATAGGAAGTTGCTCAACTGAGCATCCTTTACTCAATTTTCCTGTAACACACAATGAAAGCCAACACTCAACGGACGCTTTTGGTCTGTTTTAGTCTATTTCCACAAAAATGTGTAATAAGCTCAAGTTCAGTGAGGCCTTAAAGCCCTATAATCTAAAGAGCTAACTCATGCTACTGAACTGCAGTGGGAGAAGGAGCAAGGAGCATCTGTGTGTTGGTGCCTAAAAATCAAAACTAGCTCTTTAGTCACATTTTTGAAGTAGCAAAATAGTAACCCACAGAGTTCAGCTTGTGTTTGGTTACAGTGAAGTTTAAAGGAACACTAAACACCTAATGTATGCCTTAAGGTGATCTTTATCACTCCAGTATCAGGCCAACTGTATTTCCAGAAAACTTGATCTGGCAATGTAAACTGGTTTTTGTATTTATGTTTCAAAAGATCCAATAAACATTTTCAAAAAAAATAAAGTGTAATTCTTTCATGATGTTTTCTTGATGATGCATTGATTGAAGTTGGTGATATTTTCGTTGTTAAGCAGGGAAAACAATATCTTTTAACTGACAGTGAAACCCCTTGTAGTTCTTTACTCTACTTCTAGTATTTTTATTCAGTTTTTCGAAAAGCATGATTTCCTTTTTGATTTGACCACTTTACCTTTATTTTAGTGAGTTAAAGGATCTTAAAACTCTACCTTTTGTCAAAAAGCTCATGAATTTCAGTGGACTGATGGAATACAATGGATAAAAACATTGATTAAAGCTGACACACTTATAAATATTAGTCAGAACATGCAGAACTATTTAAATTTAAATGGGTTAATGCAATTCATTGTAGTGTTTTCCTACTCTGCAGTTAAATAGAGTTTGTGAGCATTTTCTTTTTTTTTCCAGCAAATTAGAAATATCATATTTTGAGAAAACAGCTGTATTCATATCTTAATAGAAAACAATATTTACTACAGCTACTCAATTGTGTAAAATCTATCTAGGTGCGGATGAGGATCGGTCGTGGAAAAAATTATGTATTTCTTAATTTTATTCCACGCTACACTGACACTTAAAGGAGATACATTTTGGACTACAAAACCCATCACAACGCCGAAGCTGTACGTATTGACGTCAAACCCGAGCGTCCTTATATACGTAACATGCCCGGATGTCGGTCTTTTTTTCATAGCCAAGGTAGGAGACCCTTGCCTTCATGCTACTGTAGTAATCAAATCTGTTTTCATCTGCGTTACAGATCAAAATGACACTCACTAGACTTTAGGAGATGAATTATTGTATTTCAAAGATGCGCTAAATGTCCTTATTACTTTGAACTGATTACCTTGGTACTGTTTAATGACCTGTTTGGTTGACGAGGCCGCCGGCTAGCCCTCCTGCTATCGTTAGCTCGCTACAGGATAGAAACACGTTGTCGCTCATTTGGTGTTTGTGTAGTAAACGGAGAAATTTACGCTGTCGCTTTCATAATTTCAATCGCATAAGACTAAATTGACATTTTGAGGACACAAAGGTCAACATATTAGCCAGAGTGCGACTGAGCTGTAGCCATGATACCAAATGCTAGCATAAGCTAACACCTGGTGATGTGTCTGTTTGACGAGTATAGTGAGTTTTGTGCATTGTGGACAATTTTAAGCCCAGTTCGTTAGTGGGATCTGCTTAGGCAGCGTGCCAACTAAACAGAGACCACTTACAAGATCCAGACTAAAGATTTTAGTGACCGGACATTCAGGTTGAAACTCAGGTCAGAGCATCTATCTGTAACAGAAGTTGAATCTTCTGGGGCTGCAAATGTTTTGGTTTCAAATCCACAAAGATTAAAGATTGTAGAGTTTTGTGTGATGACATTGCAAGTAACACTGCTGCTATTAATACTAATGTCTGTTCCAATTTGTGTCAGATGGCAGAGGGAGACAAGAAGCCCGAGAAGAAGCCTGACAAGAAGGTTGTCAAGAAGAAGCATGGGAGCCGCAACCCAGTTCTGGCTCGGGGTATCGGCCGCTACTCCCGGTCTGCAATGCACGCTCGTAGGGCCATGTACAAGCGCAAGAGCAAGACCACTGAGACCAAGGTGAGAGGAGATCTGTCATGTCACATACACAATTATAGAGGGAGTTATTAGTACAACACAGTTGATGGCATCATCATCATCATCATCATGCTTGCTGCTGTTTCAGGTGGAGAAGAAGATGAAGGTGAAGCCCCAGTTCACAGTTGTCAAGACTGTTGGAGGAGATAAAAATGGAGGCACTCGTGTGGTCAAGCTGCGCAAGATGGTGAGTAATGCAGTAACCTTTTTAATTCTTTTAGATATAAAGTTTCTCGTGCTTGTGATGCAAAACTTGTTGCGGGCTCAAGATTGAGTTGCTATAGCTCAACTTAAAGTCTGTCAGCTGTCGTAGCTGTTATAGCTTTTCATGGATGTAGTCGGAGATTTTCATTTATTTCGTTGTATCATCTCATGTAAACCTTCAATAATGTACTCTTCTGCTGTAGCCCCGCTACTACCCCACAGAGGATGTTCCTCGCAAGCTGAAAAGCCATGGGAAGAAACCTTTCAGCCAGCACAAGAGGAAACTGCGAGCCACCATCACTCCAGGAACTGTCCTCATTCTTCTCACCGGTCGCCATCGTGGAAAGGTAAAAAACCATGCGGAGACACTCATCCAAGAAAATCTGTGCTCTCAGTAAACATTGGGGAATCGTCATTAGAAGCACTGCTTTTAGTGCTCTGGATAATTTAAGCTGCATAAGTTATACCCATAAATGTAGAAATTTAAGTCAGACTTTGATTATAAGAGGCAACATACTTCACTTGACAATAAAAGAAGATTTTAGAAGGATGACAGCAAACAGCCAGACTTGAACTTGTGAGCCTGAAAAGATGATGAAGAGCCGCTAGACCTTCAAATTGGGATACACTAAATTGAGTGCGTAAACATTAACTTGAGTATAATAGTACTGATCAGGGTTCGAGTGTCCCGATATTGTGTTTGAGCAGGTCAACATATCCTGATTTAAAAAGGAAAAAATTAGGATATGCAAGTATCCTGGTTTTGCTACCTGTAGAATTTCAAGAAACATACTGTGATATGTATATACACCCCATTCTGGTTTATGACAGCTGATGAGTTCCTGTGCAGGTGCAACACAGTGGATAAAAACATGGGATCAGCCTGTCATGCTCAATAAATCCTAAGGGGGGAAAACTGTCCGGTATATCCACAGCAACAGCCACTATTGTCTCTGTCCGCAGTTTATTTAAGTACATAAACTAATACAATCTGGGCAAGTGACCTGACACCCCCCCAATACATCACTGATAGTGTACTGGAGGGGGATGTCTACTATATTCATTCAATAAGGAAAACTGGTGTTTCAATCCAGAGGACAGACTTGGAGAAGGCTAACAGCGTGACCCGCGCTGTGGCTATTTTAGTGCACTTGCTGATATATTATAGTACATAATGCCTCAACATGCTAAATAAGACAGGAGGAGAACCAGGCGAAGTTACAAGACAGTGTAGATCTGTGTGTTGTTAACATTGATCTTTTTGTCTATTTCCTTACTGTGATCAGAGACTCAAGTTTGTGTTTGAGTCATTTAGAACTGTGGAGCTCCTACAACAGGGAAATTAAGCTTCATACAGGCTGACCAAAGATGTATATCAAAACATCAAGTCAGTCTGTGGTGACCCGATCTGCTCTGGGTGGGGAAGAGAATGGATATAGTGATCAGAAATGAGATGCTAGTATTGATCATGTAAACGGAAACATGAATAACTTTAGTGCAAGTAAACAAATCCTGAATGTGCTAGAAACTGGGTTAAGGTTCATTAAGGTACATTATTGAACATTGATTATTGAATTTTCCCTCTGGGATAAATAAAGTTCTTCTCTCATAACTGTGATAGTCAAGTCATGTAAATGTTGTCATTGATAGAGAATCCCCTCTTGGAGAGCTGCAATGCACTGTCAAATGTTTAACTTGCAGGTTGACTGAGGATATAGCATAAACTCTAAAATTAATCCAAAAAACTCATGGCACATATGTCCTGTTCACACTTAAAGCATGCCTGCCGTCACACACCTACACATTTGAACATCTTCCGTCAATGACATTTAGCCTACAAGAAATGGAAACTGTGATCCCACATACAAGCCTGTACGTCTCTCTTGTAACTGCTTTTGATTTTTTCAGTAACAGTGATTAACATGGATCACCTCCAGCCTAGATAATATAATAATATATCAGTTTATTAAAAGGTTTTCAATCTACCTTTGGAGTGTGAATGAAGCTGCAGTGTTAAGACTAACGTTTTACTTGTTTGACTGATGCTGACACCAGCATAAACGTAACGCCCAGCAGTCGCACCAACCAGGGATCCAGATGCAAACATGATGTAATGACACCTTTCTAATTCAGATTAGTCAACTGTTATGCTATAAACAGCACAAGTCACGTTTCAGGCCTTAACCTACTAAAAAGTCAATCTATAAAAAGTTTCTGCAGGTTTGAGGCCTTTTACAAAAGAACACAAGTTGATGTCCAATTATGACCAATTTTGAAGAATAAGTCATTCATGAACAGCTGTGTGAACACTAACTACAGGTACTTTTATGTAGATCAGGGGTGAGAAATCATGTGCCATGGAGGGTCGAGAGGCTGCAGGTTTTCTTTCCAACCCAAAACTCCACCAGGTGATTTCACTGATTAGTCCCTGCTCTCTGCTTGGAGGTAAGGTAATCAGTGAAATCACCTGGTGGAGTTTTGGGTTGGAAAGAAAACCTGCAGCCTCTCGGCTCTCCATGGCACATGATTGCCCACCCCTGATGTAGATTGCTTCTGTACTTAATATGTGGCCATTTTCAGAATTAGATGCTCACAAAGTAAAAAATCAAACAGGAAAATTTCAAAATTTTCTCTATTTCTTTATATCTAAAGTTTTTGGTCCAAGTCTCTCACAGTAATTGGTTACTTAACATTTATAGTCTTGATTTTAACTGGCAGTGAACTCAAATCAGACAAAACTGCACCATTTCTCTGTGCTTTGGTTCTAACACCTGGAGATGTCTGATTCTCAAAATTAGCAACAAGTCTGAAGAAAGATGAAGCCTGTGGCATTAACTGAAAGAACCTTTATCTGTGCAGCGCATATCACAGTTTGTATTTTACATTATTTTTCCCCCTTTCAGTGTCGTTGATGAGGCCCTTTTTTTGAATTGGAAACAGTAGGAGAGAGAGAGCTGCTGTCTGTCAACACTGGTTTTAATAGGAGTCATGGATCACATTTTATCAAAAGATACCGACCAAAACAATTGAAATCAGTGGTGCATCCTTATTGTGCGTGAAAATAACAAGCAGCTTGACACATCACTATAACCACACGCCCTCAGCACCACAGATACTGTCCCTCCCTCCCACACTCAATGCTACACGAGCAAGTTATAGAAGCAGGCCCGGGTGCCCACACACTTTGAGTGGTGGCTGACCTAAATAATGTTTTTGCCATCAAACGGACAGGTAAAAAGCCCTCTGGATAAAGCAGGCAGTGTGTCAAGTCTATGTTTTAGATCTGTTTAAAGTTTTTTGTATCTTTATACTGTTTTATACAGAGGGGTACTCTCCTTATCTCCAAGGGAGTTTATGTATCACGTGGGTCCAAAGAAGAAGCTGGTTGCTGCAAAATCTGTTCCACTCACCTCTGACCAATGATATTTGTTTGTGCTTTTAGCGCGTGGTGTTCCTGAAGCAGCTCTCAAGTGGTCTCCTGCTTGTCACTGGTAAGGATGTGTTTCTACCTCCTTAATTTTAAAGTAAATGTCTCCATTATTTGAAGATGAAACTAACTGTAAAATTCATTTTTTAATCTTGATTTTCCACCCCTCGTATTTGTAGGTCCTCTTGCCGTGAACAGAGTCCCCCTGCGCAGGGCTCACCAGAAGTTCGTCATTGCGACCAACACCAAAGTCGACATCTCTGGCGTCAAGATCCCCAAAACTCTGAACGACGCTTACTTCAAGAAGAAGAAGCTCAGGAGACCCCGTCACCAGGAGGGAGAGATCTTTGATACAGAGAAAGAGGTGAACTTCTTGGATATTAAAATACATTTTTACCACTGTTGTGAGATCTGCCTTAATACGCCCCAAACCCTGGTTTAACGGCCTTCTTCTCTTCTGTCTACAGAAATACCAGCTGACAGAGCAGAGGAAGATGGACCAGAAGAAAATAGATGCCCAGCTTCTGCCCCTGATCAAGAAAGTTCCCCAGATGAAAGGGTACCTGCGCTCCTCCTTCTGCCTGTCTAATGGAGTCTACCCACACAAGCTGGTTTTCTAAATGTGTTGTAATAAAAGAGTTCCACCATCTAACCCTTTGCCTTCTTTGTCCTCTACATTTTGATGTGAAATAAGGACTCAGGTGGTGCAGCTATGCTCAAACTCCAAAAGTATGCTCTTCTTGTTTTGTCAAGCCCTGCTGTCTTAAGCAGAAGAAACGGTCCATGGCAACTGACTATAAATATAAATGGTCTCAAAGCTTCGTTCAGGATAAATGGGCTTATGAAAAACATGACATTTATCTGCAGAGTATTGCAGTGACATAACCATGTAAGCCTGTGGGCCTTAAAATATTGACACTCACTGGCTTATGAGGTACCAGTTCTTTTTAGTGTCATTTTCCAACATTTCAAATTAACTGAAAAATGTCATGGTGCATAGAGGGTAGTGTCCTCACCCAAACATTAAGTTTTATTAACCCCACATCCTAAGGTGATGTAAAGCAGGCTTTGATCAATATCAGCAAAATGCCTGGTTATAGGAATTGTGTAACTCGCAAAGAAGTCACTTCAGGAACATAAAATGACCACAACAAGCATTGGACCCAGACAGCTTAAAAGCTACACTTTAATTAAAAAAATGACATGTCTACTGTAACAAGACAAAAATAAATACAAGTGTTTCATCTCTTTAACATGGCCACGTTTTTTTTTTTTTTTATCCTCAAAAACAAAGTAGAAAGCAGCACAGAAAAAGGCAGCGGCCCCTTGCCAAGGAATGATAAGTGCCTTTGTCGAGTCAGTCAGTAATGTATGTGTGGTCAGCTGATGTGGGGAAAATGCGTTCTCTCAGCCGGACTTGAACAGCAGAATGGCCACCTGACCCAAGTAGAAGTAAATGAAATGCTTGGTCTCGTGAGTCACGTAACTGCCAAAGTTTCTTCCAACGATGCAGTGCCAGGTCGGGTTATATTTCTTGTCAAACTCCTATGAAAGAAAAAGATTATGTTGATCAGTCATAATGAATGAATACATTTGAATAAGCCATAAAACACTATTTTAAGTAATAATAATAATAAAAAGGTTGCACTGTTGAATGCTTTCATGCATGATCTTTTTACTCAAAGCCTATGATATTAAAAGCTAAGACAAAAGTAAACATCACAAAAACTTTTATCATCAAAGAGCCATGGATGCAAGTCAAACAGGCTTAATTTGCTGTCATGGAAACTCCACTATTCATCAATAGAAAATCTGCTGACTTCTCCCCTTGTTAAACTGCTGTGATGGTTTCTTTGAGTAACCTGTCTGCAATTATTTCACTAAATCCGTAACATTTGAAACAAAGACAATCAATGTCATCTAACCAAAGCTGTAGAAACTAACCCTGTTAAAGGGGGTGGTGCATCCTGTTCCACTCTTAGAAATGCCTGAAGGCTAAAACAGTTTTTCTACTGAAACAACTGAGAACTCATTAAAAGATGTTTCCTGTATCTCAGTTGGAGGTGTGCCCCTCCCTGCACTGTGGAAAGGAAAAATTTGGGAGAGTGGCTTTTGCAGGACAGTCAGTCCGAGAGGAACAGGTTTCCACAGGAAGAGTGGAAACAATTACAAATACCGGCGGTGAGTGTAACACGGATGATGCACAGGGCGTTTAGTCTGTAAGAACAAAACAGCTATACAACCTTGCTTTAGTCCCATGATCACATTCCATATTTTTGTAGTCACACTTCACTACCTGGAATTGTTACTGTGGAAACCTACGATGTGCTTTGGAAGGTGTTGAATGCGTCGGCAGTGCTTTTACCTTTTTGATGTATGCAGCGATATCCTTCTCAATGTTGTACTTCTCCAGGGCCTGAGTGGCACACTCCACGGCATCCTGCTGCATGTCTTCCGACATGTCGGCATTTTTGATCACTGCCTTCCTATCAGACATGGTTGCCCTGGGAAACCAAAACACAGCGGAGGATTCATCATCTTCACAGGCGCATTGGCGCACACACACACAATACAATGTACTCGAGATCCTGAGCATACAAAAAAGTCATCTTATCACCGTGTGAGATTTAGGGTACTTCCAGGCAGAGATAAGAAAAAACGACCACTTGGTGACGAAGCTATCATTACATAATGACCGACACATAATATTTCAAATAGCCATTTCTACAAGTGTTGCATAACTTCCATCAGCTCGCTGGATGCGCGCTCTGCGTAGTTTCTATGGATACGCAAGACATTTGAGATTATCGTCTCAAATGTAGCCGAGGTTTCAACAATCATATGACATATGAGTCTGCAAAGCGAGAGCACATTTCAGCAGCTAACATCGCAAACGTAACAGAGCAGCGGAATTCAACTATTCCGTTCCAACGTGAAAGCGCCATGAAAAATATTACAATATTATGTAAAAAAAAACGACGTTTGAGCTTCATTTGGATGTAAAAAAAAAAAAAAAAGAGTGAGTAAGGTTTCTTAGTGAGAAGAGTTTGTTACCAGCATCTCATCACATGCTTTACCAACAACGATGAGCTGTTGATTGGCTACTGTTAAAGGACGATAACTAGCTACTCATTCATCCCATAAGACAAAAATAATGCCATGTAACACTGGGTACAAACGTTATCGTTTTCATGGAACTTAAATGACAATAACCCCACCAATTTTTAGTCAGCTGCATGCATGCATCTTAAATATACCTACTTGTCTCCTGTATACTGTTTTTCAGTTGTAAAGAGACGAACGCTCCTGTAGCGACAACTCCCGCGAAGTGGTTGACACAAAAGTAATGTGGGTGTGTGGCGGTTAGAGACTGCTGCTTTGATGTGCTCCTATTGGCTGATATTAATGCACGGATCGCTGTCATTGGTTCAGTCCCGCCAATCTTTCTGGAGTTTCTGCTTGCATTTTGTTTCATCCCATCATGCATTGCGGAACTATCGTTGCCGGGGAAACCGCTGTAAATAACCCACCATGCCGTCCAACAGGCGACGGGTTTAAATGTTGTGATTTTAACTATATGATGGCTGAACGTGTGAAAAAGGATTTACACGCCATGGGATTTTTTATGCCTGTTATTTTAAGTGAAGAAATTTACGAGCCCGACTTGAAACTGTTAAATAAATCAAAACTGACTGAGCAGTACAGGTCTACCTGAAACGTCTCTGATAAATATATTATAGGTATTAAATATGTTTGTCATATCGTAAAAATAAAAGAGCTCCCTCTTTTAAGTGATTTATAAGCATAGGTAAAATTATCCAGTGACTGTTTTTCTTCTGTTATGTAAATGCCTTTACTTGAATGGCTCATGGTGACCAATTCTATCATTTCCCATTTCAAACAAGTAAAACTGCTTGACACACATTCAGCTAACTAATATATGAACTATCTTGAAGTGAAAAGACATAGGAGACACATTCAACATTTTAAAAAGCATTTTTTAGTCGTTTATTTTGCTCATACACACTTAAACCTGTTTGGTATCATCCTATGCACACCCATAAAACTACCTTTTGTCCCATCTTTTTTCACAACATTTTGCTCAAATGTTTGCAGCCACCCAAATAAATCAATCACAGTCACATTCTGTAAAATCTGATTTTTCACCCTTAAAAACTGTAGCAGGGTACCAGTTGCATTTTTAGGTTCGTAACTTTAATCTGCTGCTTTCAAATTGGGTCTTGAAAAGCACCAAAATGTAAGTGGTGCTTTGAACTAAAAAGGCAAAAGACTACAACACATGTACAATTATAACACACAACCCAAATAGTAGATATTTTAAGTCTACCACTGTAAATTGAATTGTATTGAATTTCCCTTCAATTTCCCTTGAAGTTCCTCTTATTCCTAAAAATCAATAAGAGGTTCAAAAGAATATCCCCTTACATATACAGATTCAAGATCATTTGGCTCACTTTACTTTTTGTAACCAGAAATTTAACCTGTAACCTTTTTTTTTTCTCAGCTGTATTTTTTCTCATTTATTGACCTTTTTGAGTCAGAGTTGGAGAAGACACAGCTGGTTTAAACAGCATGACTGTAATTTCCACAGTGATAGAAACAAAGCTTGAAAAACGGTTAAAATGATACCATTGGGATGTCTGTGTATGCAAACATTTTTACCTTATCACACATCCACACACCTCGAGAAAGTTGAATGGCACTACTGTTAAAATAAAGCAAGGATGGGGACCCTCATTTGTCATTACAAAAGAGACACAATTGTCACTCTGCATAGAGATAACCCTTCTCATTATATTACAATCCTTTTCCATAAATCAAGGATTATTTGTAAAATTGTGGTGAAGCATGATTAACAACTTACTAAAAATTGACAACAAACTCCCCAGAAGGCTATGAAGAATAACATTCACAAAAAAATCAAACATTTGTTTGCACAGTCTGTAGACACACAAAGATAAAAAATTTCCAAAGAGGAGTGTTGAAATGTCAGATTTTAAAAAGCGCTATGACTTTTATCGTTGCTCTCTTTTAAATAGGGTAGTTGAATGTTTTTACTTTTTTTAAACAATGACCTCATAACACACACACAGTTGTAACCATGCATCTCATTTCATTTGTAGCTTCAAACACAAACAGATGCCAAGACAAAGTCATCCTTTGCATCACTCGCTGCGGTCCTTGGGCTCCTTGTATTTGTAGTGGATGTATTCAAAGATGTCTCTCTCACTATCCACCAGCAGAGGCTCTCCTGCCACACCTATAACAGATCAACAAAGGCAAACAGCTGATATTAAAGCTGAAATCATGACTAACTGGGCACTGACATGACAAAGTCATACATTCTTTCCACATAGTTCACCAAGTTTATTTGGTCTTATTTGACTGAGACTCACCAGTGACTCCAAGTGGTCGAATGGTGTACTCATTCAGAGTGAAGCCTTTCTCCAGAGCATGAGTTCGCATGTTTTTATTGAAGATATCACTTCCAGTGAAATACAGAACCCCACAGTAGTATTGGTCCTTGGGGATTAACCTTTGGGATACAGAGGATGGAGAGTTAGAGAGAAGGAAGAGCAAATCATAAAATGACTGAAGCAGTTGGTTCCCTCTGTGATTTTAAGTAAGTGAGTCTGCTTTAAATTAGAGACAATGTTTTAGTTGGAATATTATGGATTCAGTTACCTCAATAACCATGTGTCATATAATTCATCACACTGAATTCCAACCCGCTGACTCATTTCATCACTGACGCCTAAACCGAAAATGTTGAGGGCATTATGAGGTATGATACCTTATATCAATACGCCTGTGAAGGTATTCTTCATCATCGTCTTCATCACTCTGCTGCAGCTGGCAGACTCCCTAAAAAAACAAGATCCAGGACATCATCACCACAGCCATGTGCTTCACTGTATTACAAATCCTATCATTATAGAAAAACAGCTGCACATCAGCGCCGGCCTCACCATGAACTTTGTGTCTCCTTTGGACAGAGTGTCAGTCACAAACCCAAGGGACTCAAAGTGGTCCACCACTCTATGAAGGAGCTTCGGCTGAAAAACATAAACAAACAGACCTGAACGAAAATGCTTCAATAAACAAATCAAACTGCAGTTAAAGGCACACTGCTAACACACAGTGTGAGACAGTTAGAGCAGAATGATAAAGAAATACACAAATGACTGATAAGCCTCCACCAAACACACTTTTCAAAGGACTTTCAGGTCTCAAAGCAGACCCTGCAATCAATCAAAGATGACATTAATGGAAGCTAAGTGACAGCTTTCCGTTTTACAACCTGCTTTCACAGATGCATGGCACCACCTCACCCACCCTTTTAAAGGCTAATACCCCCTCACGTCTGGTTTTCCTCAAAGAATCAAACACCAGGAACAGAGGAACTGACTCTGCCCTTTTGAATCCAATGTTTATTGTTCATGTTATCAGAACCGCACTGACATTTTGTTTTAACATGCTGGCATAAGATGACAAGCGCTGGTTGAAAAAATTCATTAACCCTAATGTGTGTAATTATGGGTGTTGGGTGTTTTATTTGGCCAATGACAATCTCACTCTGTAAACCTGTGGAGGTGATCTATAGACCCTAATCTGGCTCATCAATCTTTGGGAAAGTTAACACATTGCTGACATTCCTCTAAGTTGGTTTTGTTAAGCAACTAGTTCAAAAAATTAAACATGGGAATATCAAGTGTTTCAAACACTACACCAAGAGACTCTTTTTGCCATAGACAGAAGAAACCACCCTCCTTTCCTCTGACAAAAGACTTCAATTTTTATGTTTTCTTTATGTGTATGATTTGTAGTTGGTGTTCATATCAACATTTATCAATCCTCTTATCTGTTCACTGTTAAGTTAGTAATAATGTGCGTATTTGTGTAGTCAGTAATAACACCAACTTTCTGATCTTTAAAGAACTTCACTTTGTAGTTTTGTGTCTCTGAGGTTTAAAGGCAAGGAGTTACATTCTGTGGTTCGATATAAATATTCCCATTTATCAAAGTAGGGGTGAATCTGCTCTTTCCTTCTGATGAAGAAAAGCTGAATTCTTGGATAAGTTATTGATTTAATCTCACATATTCCTATAAGGAAGTTTTACCTGTTTCTCAGTCTCAGAGGTATAGTCTGGATGGGTCAGCAGAATATCAATATCACCACTCGATGCAGCACCTGGACATTAGGAACATGTGAATTGATTTCATGATCACAAGGGTCTGATCATTAATCCGAGACCAACAGGTATTAAGTTGAAAGGGAAGTCTCACCTCTTCTGTAGCTTCCACAGATGGTTCCAATGTACTCTGGGTCGATTTTCTCCAACTCAGCAAGAATGAGTGACTGAACCCAAACATTAGCACACAGTGTAAGTGAAGTGTTCACAAAAACTCATTTGACGAAAACACAAAGAAAAAACGTTAAATCTCACCTCCATTTTTTCCATTTCAGCTCGTGGGATCCTTTTCTCAAACTCCTCAAAGTACCTGGAGGCAAGAAATGTATTTATAACACAAACATCAAATATGGAAACAAGAGGGCTTTTAAATAATACACTAAGAGTTAGGATTGATTTGTATGAAATAGAGGTTTTGGAACTGAAAAAGCATTTAGCCAAACTCACCTGAGTCCAATCTGCTGATGATGGTTCAGTTTGTGCTCAATCTTTTTTAGGTCTGATTAAAAAATAAAAAGGACATGTCTCCTGTGAATTTATTGCAAATACGATTGTATTGTGTGCAAAGTGAAAATGAATTAATACAGGTGTAAAATGGGATTTACTAATTAATAAAGACATTCAACAGTATAATGGAAGTCACCTTCTAATGTCTTCACCCCTTCATCATAAAATTTCCTTGCAGCAGCTGGGCTGAAGTCAAGAATCAAGAGATGCAGTTGGTTACATAAGGGGCAGACAGAAAATCTGTATGAATAAAACATCTCTGGTCATCAAAAATTTCACTCAGTTAAAAAAAGAAAAACTTACCCAATTCCAGTAACTCTGGTGAGGAAGTTAATGGAACTGCTTGTGTCATCATTTCGAATCTGAATAACAAAAGTAACACATCATCTCTCGGTTTAATCAGTCAGAATCAGCATCAACTCAGTCTGTCTACATTCTTTCTAGACCTTGAGACTCACCTTTTCTAGTTTCCTTAGTTTGCCAGTTTGTAGGAACTCGTCAATCTTTTCTGCAATTTTAGCTCCAACACCATCCTGTTGAAACGTGGAGATATGAGGGAGCTGAGTTGTGCTTCCAGCAGCAGTTACATAAGATGTTAACAAAATCTTTCAGGCTGCAGCAGAGGGCATCACACAACACACACACTCACAAAAACACAGGCACAACAGTGGTAGGGAAGACAAACAATGATGTTGTCGTTTCCACTCTCCAGGCACACTGAAATAAATGTCTGAAGGCAGATAAAGTCCTCTATCTCGGTTAAGTTCAGAGCAAGGAGAAATATTTTAAGATTGACTACAAGCAAAGTGACTGGCCCTCATTTATCAAATGTCATGACAGGTCTGACATCGTGCACGCAAGTTTGAGTCATTGTGGATCTGCGGTGCAGCAAATGTCTGTCTCAAAACAATTGATTAAGATTAAGATTAAGACGTATATAAAATAAAATACTATAAATTTGTTATGTCCTTAGTGAATAGGCGTTTTTGATAACTCTGCCCAGAAACACTGCCACAGAGCAGGAGTGCCGTTTCAACATTGCGTGCACACGCGCCACTGTGGAGCGCCGCATTTGACTCCTAAAAGGCAGGTGTCTCTGTCTTGGTCCAGCAGCGGGGACGTTGTTGTACACCCCTGAAAGGGTGTGGGACATCATTTGAGCCAGTACAGTTTTGCACAATGTTGCTCTGGCGAATGGAGTGCTGCTGGCTGTGAGGACCTGATGCCCGGGGAACAATAATGAGGAGAGACTCCACAAAGGTGCTGTACAGAGGAGATAGGACCTTATCGATGGATTCTGACATGTAAAATATAAGTTTAGAAAGTGCTCTTGCTATTTAATCAGTGATAAAAATCCAATAGAAATCCATAAAAATGTGCCTCAGGGGCAGCAACACACCGTTTGGTGACGGTAATAATTATTTTGTTAAGCTTCTGTCGGACTCTCCAGTCTACTCTACATTACAGAGAAGCAACAAATTAAAACTAAATACTTTCAATAATAGGAGCAACGTACCCTGTGTCATAGCAACAAAAAATAGACATGTATGAGGTATTGATTTATCATCAGCAGCAACTTATTGACTAATTTCTTCAAACTTCACCCACTGTCTGCTATTCCGTGGCAGCGCTGTTCACTGCCACCATAATCCTGCTCCAGACAGGAGTTTTCTGGACTGCTTTTAGACTAGTTTTGATGCTTCCAAAGAGCAAATACTTGTTAGTTTCCACCACAGAAGGTATTCTTCCATATTTATCAAGACACAATCATACGTACGCTGGGATTGGTCAGATACGAACCCTTTCATAAATCTCACGTGTGTCCTATCGTACAATGAATCCTGCACTCAGACCTGCGCTCAGTTCTACGCAAGATTGATAATTGAGGGCCACTGTGATTGGCAAATAAGTATAAAACAGTACTGCAAATTTTCAAGAATTCCAGAAGAATTTTTAAGAAAACATTTTTGAGGAGCAGTTTGATTGTTGTTTACACGAAAATATAGTATTATGAAGGCCACAAACACAAGGGAGACACCACCAGTAACAGTCACTAATGTTAAAATATAAACCAATCAATAACAAAACAGTGTATCAGCATACATTTCTTTATAGGATTTACAACTACAAAATCAGCATGCTGTGTGTTTTTTCTTGAATGGGGTTCTTGTTATCAAATTCACCATGCATGTGTGTCATCATCAGGTCACATTTGACTCTTTCTACCATGTGTCAAAAATTAACTCCTTCAGGAACCAAGGCCATCGGGCTCCGGTTACTGAAGGATGTATTCATGTTGATACATCACATACCAGTTTCTTGGCCTCTTCACCATTTCTGATTTTGCTAGGGTATTTGGCGATAGTAGATGCTGCTTTCCTGGACAGGCAAAAACAAAACAATTTGAGACATTAAATTCCTCATCAACAAGTTTTCCAATCGTCTAGTCATTTGTCTTTGTATTTAGTACCTGTACGTACAATCAACACAGCCTAAGACACAAATTAGTAATAAACCCTACCCTACTGTTGTGAAAGTGAAAACATTTTGGTTTCGATGTATACTGTTTATGGGTTGTGTTATTTAAACTGTACTGGACATTTTGTATGCTTTAGTACTGAATATTCTTTAGCAGTGTAGCACAAATGAGGGTTAATTACACCTCTAGGCTTGACTTTTTACATATATTTATATAAAATCAATGGTCACATCTTCATGGTTTCACACTGTGCACAGGGCCTGATTTAGAAAATAAACATGTCATTTAAGTGTTTGTTTTCTGAAATATTTATGCACATTTGTGAATACTTGATGCTTTATGAATAAAAATGACTTCAAGACAAAGCACACCTCACTGCAAAGGCTTTAATTTCTTACCTGTATGCATTATATTTGTGTATAGCCCTGTTGACGTTTTTTTCATAGTTGGCCAGCTCTGAAAACAAGAGAAAAGCACACCATAGAAGACAGTTCATCTCTTAGGTCAATTTCCATAGTATGATGCTAGAATGCTAAACCGGCTAAAGCCCTTTAAATGACGAAGCAGTGAGTGTCAGAAGGAAGACGCTCCATTTTATATAAGACAAGCCAGGTAAAAATACATGAGTCAAACACTACATAATTTATCACACTGTATAACATGAACTGCTTTTGGATGATATTGAAAGGTTGTTTTTACTTAAAAGCAGAGCTAAGCTGTCACCCTAACCAACAGTGCTATCAGCTAACGTCATGCATATGACTTTGCTCACCAACAAGAAAGTCTGTTATTCCTTCATTTAGAGATTCCTGCGGTGCTTTCCTCTTGCTCATGATTACTTAGCAATGCCTTCAGATGTCTGCAGATATTTTATGGTTTTTAAGCGCATATATCGATTGAAACTACTTGAAAAGCTTTGCTACCTGGTAGCTAGCACTTTAGCTTACCCCCCAGCCAAACAATAGCAGCTACACGTCGAAGAGTGGGAGTGGAGCATGCGTGTTACGTCACTGGGACGTAAAAGCTGGGACGTCGAAAGCGCTAATTTTTTTGTCTGTTTGTTTGCTTTTTAATAGCCTACAGTTTTTATCTTATTTATTCATATTGGCTGAATGTTATTAAACCAACTCTGCATTCTGTCAACCTGACAATTTCGCTCATTATTTCTACTAGGTCGAAAAATGTTATGATTTAGACATCCAGCACCACTTTATATCAGTTTTCTCCAATTTTGTCGTATTTTCTATGTAAATATCGTATTTTCTTTGAAAAAAAATCTCCATGGAAATTTTTGTTCATGAAAATGTCATGCTAATATTTGTTTATGTTTTCACCAACTGTCTAAATATTTTTATATCTGTTAAACTTTGAACAAAAGTTTTTATTTTGAAAAAGGATAAATTTTGTGGCTTTGTTAATACTATATGGATCTGCATGTTTTACACAAGTACAATTCATACAGTCTATGGTACAATAATTGCAAAAATAAACATATGTAATGATATTACAATAATAAGATTAAAGTAAACTGTTCATAGTAGTTATTATTCAAAGCATTAGACAGTTCTACACAGAGGCAGAGAAATCAGATGATTGTTATTGAAGGAGCTTTTGAATTAAACTAATGAAAATACAAAGCATCTGATCTTTTTTTCTCCAAGAGTGTACTGCACATTATTTATCTGCATATCTTCTTCTCAAAATTTTAATAAATTAAGATAAAATGTCACCACATGTATAACTAAAACCAGATTATTACATAGAATTACAGTAATTACTGAATTAAGTACAACCCATCTTTTTACATTTGTACAAGAGCCAGAGTTTTGTAACGAGCAACCACAAGTGAAAATAAATCTCAACGAGGCAGTGTATTTACAGGTCCAACTCATCCTCTTCTGTTCCTCTAAGTGTGTTAGGAGTCTATTTTTATATAAACTTTGTCTCTGGAGAATATTTTGATGGCCTCCTCAATTTCAGAAAGCTTGCAATCAAGATGAGTCCGACGAGAGCAAACACTTAGACTGTCAGCTCTGAGAGGCAGTGACAGCAGCTCAGTGACGAGGGACCGATGGGCTAAGGAATAAAAAGAAGAATTACAATTAGAGGATCAATTAATTGTCAATTGTAAAAATAAGGAGAAAACTTATTGAAAAAAATAAAAGGTGAGACATACTGTCTTTGAGAGACTTCAGTGTCTCCTGTCTCTCATTTTCAGGCATCAGTGTGTGACCAGCTGGGGCGTTGGGATCAGGTGCATTTCTTCTCCTCTCCTCCGCCTCCTTTTGCCACTGTTCTCTTCTTTCCTCCAGACTGAATGTTTTACAGAAACAACAACAGGTTGGTGTCAAAACGTCAAAATTCAACCCTGGCTAAGAATGTTCTGCTTCTCAGGATTTTCAGGTGAGGAGGTGAAATACGACAAAAGGATACTCACTACTGAGGCACTTGACCTTTGACTGCACTGGGGATTGGTTTGTTTTTGAGGTCTGTCAATGACTGGGATCGTCGTAGCACAGTTTTCCCAGCTGCCCGGGCATTATGTTTTATAAAGTCTATGGCCTGACCTTGCACCTGTAAACATACATGGAACAGTGTAGTTGATATCACAGTTAAACATTTCATTAGGCTTTCTGTCTGTGCATATAAGTACAGGTAATTAGCAAACATCTATTAGCAGTTCTCACTTGCAAGTTCTGGTCCCCGAAAGAGCTGCAGGATGCCGGGCGTTTCAGAGCTAAGAGAGAGGTTTTGGACTCTGGCCTGGATGGAGTGGCAGATCCACCCTTAGAGTGGGCCTTCAGAAAGTTCTGACATTGGGGTTTAGGAGTTGTGGTGGAAACCTGCTTTAAAAAAACTGAATGAAAGTTATCAAAAGAAATGTTCAATATTCAAGGTTCTTAATCTTCTGAAGAAATGCGTCTTGCCTGTAGCTGGGCCATCACCCTGGATGGGACACTCTGGTACTTGGTAGAGGTCCAAAGAGCTTTCACTGGAACTGATCGAGACTGTGCTCTCACAGCTTCCTGCTCTTTACAGCGCCTCTGGATCTCTCGGAGTCGGCGCACATTCTCTTTTCCAAAATCCTGTGCTTGCTGCTCTAAGGGTCACGAAGCACAAAAGACAGTGCTTAGCGATCACGGGTTACAACGACAAACATGAAGATCTCATAAGGATCCCACAAATAAAACTTACTTGGTTTGGGAACAGGGGTGATAGAGACACCGTCTAGTTTAAGTAGCTCCCCAACTACCCCTCTCTGTCCTCTTTCCAAAATATGGGTGGCATTATGACCAATACGGGGTGGATGTCTAGGGGTACGAGCGCTGTAGCAACCTGGGTACAACACAGGATCTGGAGCGAGAGGCCCAGAAAGCAGACCCAAAGTCCCATTGTGGTTTCCCTCTAAACGGCCTCGAGCTTGAGAAAGGGAAAAAAAAGGCCAGAGTTAAAAATAAGACAACAAACAAAGACTTCATTACTTTCAGCTCCATTACTAAAAGTGCTGAATTCTCTAATCAGAGAATTTAAAACTAAATAGATGAGCCTGAAAACCAGTACTAAATGACTGTGATCCTCGGGGCCTTGAGCAGCACTCTATTAAAAACAGACATGGCATTGAGGAGGAAGTCACTACATGGACCTGAAATCACTTCCAAAAACAGTGCCTATATGTACACAGTATGCCCCTGCTTCTTCAAATATAGTTTAAAACCATTCCAATACACAGAGGAAACCAAACATTTCAGATAGCCTTGGAACATTGGCAACTTCTCTGGGTCACTGATTGACCGAGGCAAATCAAAAATTGTTCAGTCACCAACTGTTGGTCAGCTGAAATCCTGTATCAGGCAAAGATCGGACAGTCTTCCACTTTCAAATATCCAGAAACTGGTGTCCTCAGTTTAAAACATTTAGAGTGCTGTTAAAGGAATAGGTGATGCAAGACAACATTTAACATGTACCTGTCACATCTTTTAGGAAATGTGTACCTGGAATCAAATTTGGAAATGAGAATATAGTGTATTTTCTTTAAAACAATAACATTTTCCCAGTTTCAACACTTAATATATTAATTTTTGCTTTTCCAACAAGATATACTGGTTGTAAAAATTTTTGCAAACCATCAAACTCTGTTTTGATTAACATTTTATATAGCATCCCATCTTCTTTTGGAATTGGGGTTGAAATTATAAATAATTCAAATGTTCTTTAACAAAAAGAAAAGATTTAGAGGTTCTAGCCACTGATGGGTCCTGTGCTTAATCTAACAAAAGTAATCATGAATGTTAGTCTACGTGTTAAATGATGACAGTTGTGTAAACGATTTAGGCTGTGTTAGTGTGACACCCTGTATAATGCCCACTTCTATCCTTCACCTAGAGATATTAGGTTATGAGACCAGCATAACAGGAAAGAAACACAGACTGTACAAAAAGAAATTTCTAGTAACAGAGCCCTGTGACTGTAACCAACCTGACGTTGGTCGATTGTAGTACTGAGGAAGCAGAGATGGGTCCGGAGGGATTGGACCGAATATGGATGAAGGTCCCTCACACATCTGAAGCTGTAGAAAAGAGCATTCGATATTAACAGAAAAAAATTATAAAGGTAAATTACACACGAAAAAAGATTTTTAGTAATTATAAGTTCAAGATGTTATGTTATGTGATGGTGACAAGCAAAACATAGCACGTGTAGGTGGTGTATAACTTCATCTTTAAAGCACTTTTAAATAAGTGATAAGCTCTTTTAGATAACAAACCAAATCGCACAGAATAATTACATTAAACAAAAGTGAATTTACTTTATTTGTACTTTTTATTACTGATAGCAACAGCCATTTTGTAAATATTTTGATGAAATCTATGAATGAATCTGTCGCTCAGGAGAAGAGCTATCAAAAATATCCTGCTTACCCATCCTTTTATTGTTTAAATAACTAAAGGCCTACTGTATGCTATCTCCAAGTAGGTGGACATGATCACCACTTAAACTGCTGGCTGACATGCAGCACTACATTAGCAAATGTAAAGAGAAATCTACAGGAATACGTTTACGTATAAACACACACTCGTTTGCTTTGTTTGAATATTAAATACTATATTTCTATCAGCTAACTTATATGGAAAGACTTACCCAACGACGTTAAAGTAAACCCTTCGTAAATTAACTCGTACTGCAGTCTGCTAGCTTGCTGTATTGATGTCAACAGAGGCTCTGACGACAGATCCTGAAGCACGAATAGCACCAAACGACTAATATTTCCAATATATACAGTCCTGCTAACGAGCAATTTCAGCCGACCAAGCCTCGTCCGATGAAGTAAATAATCTTTCCTCAAAATACAGTCTTATTTCTCAGCTAGGGATTTGGTTCACACAGACTGGTGACGCTGAGGTATCAACACTTGTTTGAACGTTCTTCACCATGGCAACGGCGAGGCCGCGCACAGAACTAGACCCGATAGAAGTAAACTCACCAACAGTCAAAATCAAAGTATATTCAAAATGTGTCAAGAGTGCCCCAGTAAGGGGTTAATCTGTAAAATATAGTAGACTATTGATAAAAGGCTACAACGAATGAGTTGCTACCAACCATTTCAGAAACTTTGGATAAATTGGTTTAAGACAAGTATTAAAATGATAGGGGAAATTACAACACAAATATTACACTAATAATGCAAAAAAAATACCTTACCTCACTGATAACCCTTTCACATTAAACTGAAGGCTATCGTGGCATAACAAGCTGTTTTATACCCTATTTATTTATAAATGTATACCCCCCTGCTTCGGAGCAGCTCTCAGCTCTAGCAGGTGTAATTCTATTGCCTTCCTGCTGGTTCCTCGAAGTTTGTGTTACCTATTCCCTTTACTTTGTCTTTCAGGTTCAATAAACACTCTCTTCTCATTCAATACAACTTTAACACCACAACACCAACAACCACCAGATTTATGATTATTTATTTCCAGGTGTAAATCAAAGTATTTAAAGTGGTAGAGCATATCAAACAGGTAATTTAAACACAGTTGAAGATTAGGGTCTGCCTCGCAGGCCAAAATCCGGACAATGTGCCCCATGTTCAGCAGGGACACTGGCTGGAGGTCATTGCCCCCGAGTGGTCCAAGAGTCTTATTACACCAAAACAAACGCGGTGTTTCCACAGTACATGCCAGTCTTTTGCTGTTTTCTACAACTAGAGGCTGTAGTTATAGAAATAAACGGTGTTACTAAAATCAGGGGCAGCAGCAGTTATAATCATATCACCCTTGATTCAGTGTTGCTACAGTCCAAGCTCATATTAATTTTTTTTCTTTACATCAGCTTTAACATTTATTGACAAGACATGACTTTTGATAAATTTTGAGGACTATGTGTCTGCTATCTGCTATATCGATATCGAGAAATGAATCGCGATAAATGGCCAAATCTGTCAAACAGAAGGTTATAACATGTATAATCAACTATTTTAAAATTACCAACACGTTTTCATTGTCGGTTTCAATTCGACTTATATTTCTGGATAAATTTTATTTCCAATGTAAAACAGTATATGACCACAATGGACCTCTCGGCATTAATGCTCAGGACGTCCACATGTTAAACATTAACAGAGCAAGTTTTTTGCTCAAAGTCAATTACACAACGGCCCCGCCCTCGATCGGAGGTCTGACTCGCGCGTGCCCAGTCCGCTTGTCTCTGCTTTCTCCTTCACTGTGCCCCGCAGTACCGACCAGGGCTGAGAAACTGCACACTGCGCCTGCAAATAAAGGTAAGAAAAGAAGAACTTTAGTCAATTCTGCGGTAGGACAAGTTATAGGCGTGTGTTGCTTTATCTGCATGATAATGTAGTTGTTGTCAAGTACCGTTTGTCTCTCAGGCAAATATGAGTCACACAGACAGAGGTGGGAGTGCTGCTGCAGTTATGCCAGGGTTTCAGTGCCAGTTCAGGCCTGTGGGATCGAAAAGTTCCCATTAATCCACGTGTAAACCACCAGGGAACAACTCATCCCCACGGTGGGATGTTTCTTCTCTTTGACCAAAACATGCTCACAAAATGGAGGGTTACAACGGGGCAAAGGGGGTTCCAATTCTTTTCTTGTTTTCTTTGAATGTAATTTGATAATCTGAAAATATAGTAATCCTCAAGTGTTACTAGTGAGAAAGGGTTTATTCTTTGTGAAAGTGTTTTTTTTTAGGGTGTGCAGTGATTTTTAACCCCACCAGCAGACACAGACGTCTGACAGACGCAGGAACAAAGAAAGCAGAGGTGGACGCATCTGGCAAATAAGACAACACACACGTCTGCTAATGAGACAATGACATGTGATACCATAAATCTCGATACAACGTCTTATCTGTGTGTTTATTCCAAAGCACAAGGTCCACAAAGAAATATAAATCATGGACCGCTATCTTTTGGCACTACTGTGGTCCATAAATGCTGAATGGTGGTGACCCACTAAGTTGGTTGATAAAACATTGTGATCAGATTGAGGAAACAAACACAACAGAAGCTTTAATTTTTATAGCTTAATTTTTTATAGTCTAATGAAGGTCATGATATAAAATGCTGACTCTCCAATAGCTGATAAACTCACTAATAATTGTACAGGGTGTTGCAACAGAGTGACTATGTGACCTAAAGCCAGCTGCTACATTGTTGTTGTCTCTGTTTACCTCATAACCCACCTGAGGTGACTCTCATGCAAAAGACTGAACCATAAAACAAGAATATTGACACCACAAGCACTGTGAATACAAGCTATAAATTGTCTCGCTGTAACTTGACTGCACTTGACCTTATCTCACACACACATTCCTCCCATTATATGCTACACACACTCGCCTTGGGTTTACCTTATCTGTGGGCCTGGGCTCTGTTGGGTAACTGCCTGTTTACTCAGCTTTATACTTTAAGTATTTGTTCATTAACAGTTTGTGTATCATCTTTAAACAACTTAATTGAACTGTTATTTAGTTTTTGAGCAAAAGTTGATATAACTGCTTAAATGTCAGCTGTTGACATAGTTTGACATGATGGTTAAGTCTAAACTTTATTTCTAATACAACATTTACTAAGAGAAAATAACTAATTTAGTTTTTTACAAATTAAACTCTGAAGCTTGGTTCATACATTAAACGTCAATATATTTTTATTTTTGGTCAGTTAAAGTAGGAAAGTAGTTTATTTGGTTAATGCTAATTTTGCAGTGCGTATATATTACATATTAACAGCTGTACCTGAATTTTGGGTTCAAAGCTCACAACTCATCTCAATTCCCTCTCCAGTCTTAGTCAGACCAGCTTGTGTGAATAGATAATAAGGAAAGTGTAGATGTTGTCATGCAAAATCGTTGACAACCATAACTCTTTTTGTGTTGTTGTGGCTGCTGTTTCTGTCACATACCTCTGCTGTTTCCAGCTGTCTGCCTGACCTTCGAGTCAGGACTGTCATCTGGCCGCAGCTCATTAAAGTGTTCAGATGTGTGGCATCACTGTGTTTGTGTATAAATACAGAGTGGATTTACAATACAGACAAATGAAGCCGTATTTCATCGGGGCTCCACTGGCTAAACCTGGATGGTCGTTGAAACTCTGGTCACATGTGTCGTAGTGTTGGGTTCACCTGAGCTAAATTTAGAGCTGAGTGCTGAGACTCGGGATGAGGGCAAGGAGGAGGCACAGAGTCAAAAATGGATTCTGTGGTGGGGACGTAGAGAAGAAGTGTTTGGAGGGGACATAAACGGTCCGGGGATTGTGCATGGTCAGCATAATGCAGGTCAGCTGGCACACATTCACGCACTGTTTGAGAAATGACAACTGACAGCAGAGACAGATGGACATTTTGGCACATGCCCTGATTTACACTCAGGTCTATGCCTGTGAAAAACATAAGACCTTGAAACCTCTCTGATATAAGTTATTAAATTTGAAAAAAATAAACCATGGAAGCAGAAGACATTGATCAGATTTTAATGATAAGAATAGCTTTATTTGATCCCCAAAGGAAAACAATCAGACCTTGAGAATTTTTTGAAGTTGTTGTCTCTCGATTGTAAAAATGTGAATCAGGATCTTTCGATGGGTTTGTGGTTACGTCTCATCACAGTACTATTATTCATAAGCAAACTAAAACAGTCTTGATGGAGTTGTTTTTTAAAAGTGATTCAACTAAAACATTACATTGAATTACTTTGTAAAGACACACAGTGTAAGGTTATGCTCACAGCGTATTGATTCTGTTGTAGAGAGTGAACCTGGTTCGTTGTGGATCACTGCTTTATCATAGTTTGTGGCTCTCCACAGTCTTACAGAATTTTGCAGCAACTCAGTCTACATCCCATGTAGCTGAATTTCAGTACTCTTGTTGTGTTTTTGTGATTGCAGCAGGAATCACTTTAAGTGTAAAATGTCTGGAAACCCTAATGAACAGACCGAACCTTCAGGGCCACGAATGAGAAGCCAGTCAGCTAAAGAGACACTTTTTTTCTGTCCTAGGTCACCTTTAATTTGACAAAATATCTGTGTAATCCATTGATCTTTATTGCAAATGAGTGGCTGTTAAAATCAGATAGATCTGCTTCTATTAATTGGAAGACATACTTTCTATGAGTGTTTAACATCACGCCAACCTAAATGTGGAAATGAAAATGACTGAGAGTGAATATGATGCAAATACAGTAGGACTCAGGATGTCATTCAATAGGTGAATGACACTGTGTCATTAGATTGCATCACAGCTGCTGTAACATGCTGCTGATGTAATACTAGTGAACAGATGGTGCTTACCTGTATAATGTGCTGTGTTTTCTAAACTCCTCAATAACGGCCACAGAGGCAACTCATCATTTTGTTCTTTTCATGCAGCTAATCTGTATTTTTAATCTGATAAAAGAAAACTATTTCCCTCTGACACACAGAGGCCGTACTCTGGCCTTATCATGTTAAACACTGTGCACAAAGTACACATGTTCATTATATGTTGCCCTATGTACATACTGTATATTGTGATGCAATAGTTAGACAGTTCTTTGCATAGGAAGGACAGCTCTGACTGCGTTTTGGAGAAACATGCTAACATCCACAGACGCTGCAGACAAACCCACATATTGTGCACTGTTGCTGTCCAAACAGAGCTGCACAACTTGCCAAAGTTTCCCATTGTCCCTTGCACTTTTCTCCTCTGAAGAGGCATGGCTGAGAAAGGAGTGGTGGTGCAGACAGACAAGGCAGGAAATGGCAAACAGGCAGAGAACAAAGGCCACTGTGTGACATGTGAACACAACGTACCCATGGGACATGGTGAGTGAGGGGGGCTGTGTGTAGAAAGAGACAGACGACGCATCATCAGGGTCCTTGGATTGAGCTTTGGCTGCCACAATTGGAAATTTAGAAAATCTCCATCCTTTCTCTTTGCTAATTCTGTGCCTGATTGCAGGAAATCTGATACAGAGAAGATGTGATTTGTGTACCTAACATCGAGGAGACAGCAGGACTAAAGCGCAGAAAGGCTGTGTCAGTAGTAAATCATTAAACCAGCTCTAGGTCAGGAGTAAATGTAGGATATTCTGAATGCTCCTGCAAAGTCACCTTGTCAAAAAATGTCTTCTTCACATGCACACACACACAGACATGCACCCAGGAGACCCTGATGACTGTGTGCAGCCCGGTGCAGTGCAGTGGTGTGCAGGAGTGATAGATGCTGACTAACCAAACCTGCTTCTGCTTAGGTTCGCTCTTCTGCATTTGCTCAGATAGTTTTTTTACACACCATACATATTAAATGTCTTTAACATCCCGGCATTATGGAGAGGCTTTAAATGCTGAAAAGTAAAAGAGTCTGTCTGCATCCTTTTCCTCTCAGATTGGTTATTAGATCCTCATAAAGTCTCCTGCATATTTCTGGTCCCTGCCTTCATTAGTTAAACAACCTCTGCTGCTTGCAAATGGATTTTTGCCAAGCGATCAATAGGGTTCGCATGGTGAATGGTGGGGGAGGAGCGAAGCTGTATATCACCTGCATTCAGACAGGCTTCCACCAGCTGAGACAAATATGTGAATGGATGCATTGAGTTTGTAAAAAAATGTTTCTTTTTTCTTTTTCTTTTTTTTGCTGTAATGTCTGTCTGTTAATGTTTTACATGTGAAGGAATATAAGGCATTCGATCGGCAGTGCAAACTGTGCTGCATTGTTTTGTTCCTGCAGTAGTGCAGAGCTTCATGTGTTTGCAAGAGCTACTCAGCTTGTGTTTGTTCACTCTGTCTTTTTTTAAAGGGGCATTCCAACAATTTTATAAGCAATGTTAAGTGTGGATTAGTTCAAAGATGTGGGTGTTTATGAAGACGAGAATAACAGACAGTTAAGTGGCATTATGGGAAATGTGGGAAAGGCATTTTTTTTGCCCATGCTTGATGCTAGAGATCTATCAGCCTTTCCTGCATCCACCCTGATCATTACTCTCTTTAGATCTTTTCCCTTTGAGTTTATCCATTTTTCAAAAGTTCTGGAGTATCCCTTTAATCTTTTAGACTGATTTCGTAGTTTGTATTTTGACGTTTAAGAAATAAAAAACCTTTTTTTTTATTTTTAGGCAAAATGGCTGTACCTCCTGCATACGCAGACTTGGGGAAATCTGCTAAAGACATCTTTGGCAAAGGTTTTGGTAAGTCAATGAATCTCTGAACTGTTTGACATGAAGCAGAGCTGATACAGGAGTACACTTTGGTTGATCTTTGGCGGTCTGTTTTGACTGCAGCTGTTTTAGAGCCATGCTGTGCAACAAAGGGATGTGAGTTACATTTCCACCCTTCCTTGTCTTTTTGAATTTACCTAACTTTTTTTCTTCCTCAGGATATGGAATCCTCAAGCTGGATGTTAAGACCAAGTCTCAGAGTGGTGTTGTAAGTACTTTTGTTGTCTCTGTCTGAGTCTGAAGTGTTTTCATTTGCATGTCCAGGCTTCTCCCTCAGCACTTTGTGGAGTAGACCTGATGGCTGACTCACGGCCTTGCAGCACCTCATGTCAGGCTAAATTTGCAGCCTGACATGTATTCAGTTGAACCTGCAGAGTCAGCAGAGAAACGCCGTCTGACAGACAAGATTACACCTCACTCTTTTCCTTAAGCAACATGTCCTGTTGTGATACTTCACGCCAGGCATGCTGTGCTCTTGTTGCCATGGTGAAACCATAATGAGCGCTTGCATTCAGAGATTCCCACATGCCACAAAACTCTAACCACATTGTAAAAAAACATGACAAAAGTATTTCCTCTGCATCTCCACTCACAAATTTCTGCGCTCTGTCGTGCTGCTTTTCATTTTCCCATTGAGCTGATAAATACCTGCATGTGAACTCCGTGTAATTCTCTCTAACCTTCTCTCTCCTCTCCTTTTTTCTGCTTTCCTCTTTGGACGTTGCTGTCAGATGGTAAGAGAGAGTGTGTGTGTGCATATGTAATGATTAAACATGGATGCTCGGCAGGGTAAGCCAGTGATACCAGCTACGTGTTTGTGTGCAGACAGTGTGTGCAGGCTTGGTGCCAAGTGTCACTTTGCAGCAGTAGCTCGTCTAAATGACACCATTACCCAGGCTGCTGCAGCTGTTAACAGCACTGAGCCTCAAATGCACCCAAACAGCCTCTCCCCCACAGTCCTGCCCTTATTTTCCTTCTCAATTGACTTCTTTATCTTGTAGGTGTAGTTCTCAGTCTGAATAATGGGCCGTACAAACCTGACAGGGATTGTGTGGCAGAGGAAAAGCACAGAAGCCATGTTTGTTTCCCTCCACTCTGTTTGTGCTTTCTCTCCCCCTCTTTCCAGTTTTTCTAGTCGTCCTTTAGTGTGGCTATGTTCCTTCTGCTTCCTCTCTCGAATTTTTTTTTACAATTTCCGTCTTCTCTCTAATCGCCTTATCCCCCTCTTCCCCGCAGGAGTTTGCCACCTCAGGCTCCAACAACACAGACACAGGAAAGTCAGGAGGTCACCTGGAGACCAAGTACAAAGTGAGCGATCTGGGCCTTAACTTCAGCCAGAAATGGAACACAGACAACACGCTCACCACAGAAGTCACCATCGAGGACCAGGTGAAGTCAGAGAAACCTTATATACATTTAAAGCATCAATATTGATCATATTAACGTTGAAAGTATTCACTCATGATCTGTTTTTCCTGTTTGTGTGTAGTTGGCTAAGGGCCTGAAGCTCAGTCTGGACACATCGTTTGTGCCCAACACCGGGTAAGAGCGATCCTGTTCATGCTTCTTCCTTATATTGACCAAATAAATGAATGCGTAAGCCAGTCATTACGTGTGAAACCTACTCCGTCTACATGACTTCCCTTATTTGTATTTTGTTGTTTCTGCAGCAAGAAGAGCGCCAAGCTGAAGACTGGTTACAAGCGCGACTATGTCAATGTGGGCTGCGATCTGGACTTCGACATGGCGGGGCCCACCGTCCACGGGGCTGCCGTGCTGGGCTATGAGGGCTGGCTGGCCGGCTACCAGCTGGCTTTCGACACGGCCAAATCCAAACTGACCCAGAACAACTTTGCCCTTGGATACAAGGCCGGTGACTTCCAGCTTCACACCAGCGTGTGAGTCAATGACTTCACCACAGTAGAAAGAGAGGCAGGAAGTGGAAGTGAATCACAGCAGGATGTTAACGTCTGGATCTATATGTTTGTTGTTTCAGTAATGATGGCACTGAGTTTGGTGGCTCCATTTACCAGAAGGTGAACAGCAACCTGGAGACGGCAGTCCAATTGGCCTGGACAGCTGGCAGCAATAACACACGCTTTGGAATTGGAGCTAAATACCAGCTGGAAAAGGACGCCTCTTTGTCTGTAAGAACTTACCGCAACATAAAACACTACTATACACTAGAAAACCAATGTACAGACTGTTATTAAATGTGCTGATTTATAAAGAAGAGACAAACGAGTCTTCTCAGACAGGCTGTTAAGGCTTAAACATACAGGATCAGTATTGAGCGTGTATCGTTAGCATCTCGTATCACCCAGCAAATAGGTTGCCGTTATAATCAATGCAGCAAAGCGTACAGGACGAATATCAGCGCCGTCGCAGCTCCATCTCAGAAGCGTATCAAGAGCAGCACTGCTAAAGATTCGCGACGAGTCTATTTTTGCTGCTCTAGGCTTCCAATAAGCGTCAATTCACACAGAGAAGATCGTTCTAGACTGGATGTCATGTACGAAAACATGTGCATGTCATCTGGTATTTCAAAATAAGACACCACATGTGAACTCTTGACTGTGTATCAGTTTGTGTAGATGTGAAAATACTTCCTGGTTGTGGATTTATTGGTAACAGAACAATCTGATGGTCAATCCCTGATCCATGTGGACCCTAACAGGACTTTTAACTTCTAACTCTGTCTGAGGTTAACAGCACAGCATAAAGGAACATAGTTTACTTTATTAAACACGTGTAAACCTGCAAAAACAGAAACCTTAAAATCATGTTGCTTGTTTCCCATGTAGTAGAGGCTCAACGGTCACTGAACTATATCCAAATTAGCAGGAAATAGACCACAGAAAGGAAAAATAACTTGTTGTGAGTCTGTTGTTTCCTCTATACTGAGCCCAGCTGACCAGGACTGCACTACGCTGCTGCTACGCTCCAAATACGCATCCTGTATGTGATACCCAGGGCTGCTCTACAGAGCAAATACGGAACATGCCTGTGTGTTTTCGGCTTTAGAGTATACTGACACGCAAGAATGTCTAGAGGTGGACTTGACAGTGCTTTGAGGTGTGAACTGTGAGGCAGGGATACAATCCAGACCAAGTCAAGTCAGTTTGCAGTTTTACAAAGCTGGCTTTCTTGTAATTTAGCTGAATCACCATGGTAACCTACTCGAAACTCATGATCTGGTCAATGCTCTGTCATGTTCTTCAGAAGTATTTTTAACTTTCCTCTGAAGCCTTCTTTTAAAACTGATTTGTCTACATAGTTTCAGTGTGTACATTCTGACTGCTTCATGCTTTCTCCTCACAGGCCAAAGTTGACAACGCCTGCCTTGTTGGAGTTGGATACACACAAACTCTCAGGCCAGGTTAGCTGCCGCCTTCATTATTTTAACTGCCTAACAACAGACTAAAGCTTTATTCCTTCACACTGATATCTGACCCTGTCCTTTGCAGGAGTGAAGCTCACCCTCTCAGGTCTGATTGACGGGAAGAATGTGAACGGCGGCGGACACAAAGTGGGTATGGGTTTCGAGCTGGAGGCTTAAAGATTCGGAGGGAGAACTGACGAGAAGAGAGGGGAAAAAAGCAACACAGGAAGAAGATTAAAGAGCCCAAATGTGAAAACACGGCAAAGGTCCACTCAGCGACACATGAACACAGCTTCCCTCTGGGTCCTACTCACATACGCACACATTCTTTTGCCTTAACCTTGAAACCCTAAGCAGCCTCCAAGACCTCCAGTACTGTAACCTCTAAAGGGATTAAGCATTGTTTTGTAAAATCTACATTATTTACAGGAGAGAACATTATCTTTATCTTTCAGCATAAAATAACAGGAGACACCAAATACAGACTCATCAGCAGGAAATTTACACAGAACCTCCAGATCATGTGCTACTTCTGAGCAGTTTAACAGGACAAAGTGCACTATTATAAAAAGCCCTGGTGTGTCAGATATATCTGTTTGAAGTAGGATTCAAAGCACCTTTTTACCTTGAATGTGTCGTCATCTTGTTATGGTTCAGAAGTACTCTGGGTTTTGGATTTTAATCAAGTAGTAGAGGATGCTTGTTTTTGGTAAGTTTTGGTTTTGTTGCATGCTTTTAATGCTTGAGGGAAGTTTTGATTTTCAATGTCGATTTGATGAGTACAGAGACCGTAAACAGACGCAATAAAACCTGGAGGGATTAAGCAGAAAGACAAAGGGCAGCTGGTCCCTCTCAGACTAAGTGGACCGGTTCTGGTTCACTATTTGACCTCAGTGACACAGTTTTATTCTGTGGACCCTCAGTTGCCTAAATGTCTCTATTTCAGCTCCTGTTTGGAGCTGTATGTCGCCTCTTTGTCATGTCTGGTTTTGTGTCCTGTACCTTTTGAACCTTTACCACTACATTTCACTTTATCTGTGCTGTGCTTTGTTTAGGAGAGTTAGCCCACAGTTAGGACCTCAAACAGATTTTATTGAGTTTAAGGAATAAAGAATGTTCAACACTATCATCCTCATCTTGACTCTTTTTTTTATTTGGGTCGGTATAAAATGGACGAAGAGGAGGGAAGAGCCTGTTCTCAGGAGAGCAAAATTTCGCTAAATGTCAGTTTTGCAAAGTCTGAGAGACAAGTCTCACATTTTAAGAGCAGAAAGAACAAAGACACCCAACATAATGTAATCACAGAGTCAGTAATTATAAGATGTCAGAATAAATTTTCACATTTTTCAAGTCATCTGCATTCTTGGATTTGCATAGTTTCAGAAAACACAGAAATGTGCACTATAAATCACGTACTTTCATCCCCGTATTGCACCAAGACAGAAGGATAAGACATGGGGAAGTTCGAGGACAAAAGAGTAGAAGTGTTGCTGGATCTTTAAATTTGTCACAGGTGCTCGTTTCTTCTAACTCAGGGGATGCTCTCACAAGAACAAAAGTCAAATCAATCCAATAATAAAAACTGCAGTAGCCTTAAAATACACTCTAAAGCACCTGAGTGCTGGTGCAGAATCAAGGCCATTGCCAGCAGTGGTCCTACGTCACTACATGATCCACTCCCACTTTACAGAAAGGCAGCTTAACTCTGCAGCAGGACTTCTTTGTACCATGGAGTGTATTTTAAAGGACAGGTGCAGTTTTCATTTATCTATTTAATTTTTTCCCCTGTGCAACCATCTAATCACAAAGACATTATATTTAAGTTGTTCTCATCCTTCAGTCTCATCATGATGTGACCTGCACCTTCTCCTACAGCTGCTTCTATCCTCATGTCCAAACCTCCACATGAGACGACAGAGAAAAGAAAAGTTCACATTCACACTAACACACAGCTCAGACAGTTAAAAACTCTTTTTTTCGATCATTATCTTTAAAAAATAACATTTTTGTTAAAAACACAAACTCAGACTGACAGTTTTCTACGGAACAGATCTTGAACCCTAGTTCTTAAAATATCTTCTTTAGTTTCACGATAAAAACATGTAGCGAAACAAAGGAAATATACAGTTTTAAAACACAAAAGAAATGTTTCATCAGTTTTTTAAAAGCATGACCTTGCCCTCATGACGTCGAGACAAAAATGTGCATTTTTGGTGCATCAGCTGTTTCAAGGTCACTTTCTAAAAGATCGTTCAATTTTAAACTTTTTTCTTGCACACCTCTCCAGACATTGTAGGAATGTAAGCATGTTTTGAAAAAGTTCATTTTTACAAAATTACGCAGAGGGAATGACTGTCCTGAGCTCAACCGCCACAGATGTACAAAATGTTTTTTAAAATAACTTGGTAAAAAGCTCGGACCCATCCTGTGATTCATTCCTCTCATGTAAATCCCAAGAAGAGAGACTTTTTAGGCCAGACAGCAGTTCAGGGTACCTTATCTTATGAAGCAAATATGTGCCAGCATTTTTTCCTCCTTTCACATTGTTCAACAAACCGGCGACCTCCTCTTCTTTGTGTAATTTAACATCCCATCCACATAGAGGCAGCAGAGTACCGAATGTAAGGAGAGAATCAAACGCAGTTTAGGAGAGGTCACTGGAGAAACTCTGTCCTCCGCGCAGCCACGTCCACTCACTCAACATCTGAGAATCAAGGAGAGAGTTTTTAAAAATGAGTGAGAGAAAAACAGCAAACCACACATGGCAGCTGTTTGACATCAGAAGGAGAGTGTGTGTCTGTGTGAGAGTGTGTGAGAGAGTGTGTGTGAGTACCTCCATACTGCTCTCGGACTCCTGGATGGTGTCATGCAGCAAACTCTGGAATCGACTCTCAAATGTCCGGCTCTCCTCCACCAGAGACTCGTCACTGCAGACACACACACACACACACACACACACACACACACACACACACACACACACACACACACACACACACACACACACACATTCACAAAGACGTTACCCACACTTCTGATAGTGTCCCTCTGTTTGAACAAGTTTAAAATCAGTTCTAGATCCTTAGTGGATAAAACGTTTGAGCCCAAGTGTGCGAATATTTATATTTGTGTGTGTGTTTTTTTTTACTCACAACTGCTGCAGGCTGTGTCTGGATGTCAGTAGAGGAGGCACTGAGGATTGGGTTTGTAGTCCATCAGGACTGCCGCTCACTGGGCTGCGAACTTTACTCTGCATGAGACAAGATGACATGATTAACTGACGCAGTGTTCAGCGCTCCCTCATCAACATTTCTGTTTGTGTTCAGGACTCCTGGTGTTTATATTTTGACCTCTAGAGTATATTTAGAAGGAGAAAAATTCAACAGAAACTCTTCCTGCTATAAATGACTAATATCTGTGGTTTTTATTTCCTACTAAGGTTAAAACAAAAACCAAAAAATAACTTCTCTGGGATTGAATCACTCGCTCTCTTCCCTGATTCATACAGGAACCTGAGAAGTTATTGATGTTGCAGAGACCGGGAAATTTGGAGAAGTTGCTTTATAAGAAGGAAGTACTTTGAATTTCCAGACAAGATATTAAAAACTTTAAGGAAATTAGATGTTTTTGTTGATACTATTTTTGGAAGAGCGGACTGGACTATATCTGGACTGTGTTTTTTTTCTCCACTGAATTTTAACTATTGGGAGATGTTACAAAGTTACAGTGTTATTTAGCAGATGCTTTTGTCCAACTGAGAGTAAATACGACACAAGCAGAGATCTAGACAAAAGGAAAGGACGCGAATCAGAGGTGGTGCTGCCATGTGCTCCATCTGTGGCTGTGTGGTGGGACAGTCTGGACTGAGAACAAGCTCAGTTTTGGATTGTGTATCATCTACAGTGATGTGTGAAACTCTGAGATTTGAGGTATTGTTGAGGGACAGTGAATTAATTTGTGAGTCCTCACACAGGCGACTTTGAGCAGGTTCCACAGCTCCCCCTGTCTCTTCTCCTGCAGATTCACCAGGATCTGCTCGCTCTCCGCCATCTTCTGAACGACTTCCTCCACCTTCGGCAGCAGCTCCATCACGCGCTGACGGCACACTGCGGTCTTACTGAAAATAACACACACAGTAATGATAATAATAATAATAATAATAATGATGATGATGAGACACAGTTTCAGGACATGAGGTGTATTTTACAGAAATAAGTCACCGCAGACTGGTGGCTCATTCTAAAAGTGAATCCTTCATTAATAAAAGGATGTGACTTTTTACACATCTGCATAAATTTCTGTTTGCTTTTAATGAAGAGTTACAAATATGTCCCTTTACACTTTGTCATCACAGTACAGCTGTAAATTTGACGTCATGAGCACACGTGTCTGATAATGAGCGTGTCTGTAATAAACGGTTTTTGATTCAGTCTTGACACCAGGAGTGGTTACATTTTGCCATCTTTTCCTTTTATTTATCTGCATAGAAACAAGTTTTTGACCATTAATGAAGTCAAATAAAATTCTTTAAGTACTAATACGTTAAATTTTATCTGTAAATGTGCCCAAAATCTGCATTAAGACGCAGTGGAATACACCACAAGTTTAAAGGTGGGGTAGGCAGGATTCCGTTGAGGAAGCATCTTTTTTTGTGGTGTATATACAAAAAAGCTTTTAACATCAGTCAATAGCATTTAGTTATTGATATAATTTGATAATATAACAATACCGCTGTGTTTTGTTTTGTCTGTACAGTCAACCTTTTAAATGTTTTGTTCTCCACCTCCCCCTATCTGATTGGTTGTGAGGCGGCCGCTGCTCCTTAGTGCTGATTGGTTTATGACCTATACTGCAGCCCGTCAACAGAGGGTGCTGTTCTCGGAGTGGCTTCACTCAGCGAGGAGGCAGATGGCGTCCATTCTTTATACAGTCTATGGTGCTACAATATCGGACAGTAGAAACCAACCAGAAAGTACAAAAAACACAAGCAAGAAAACAAAGTAAACACCGGAGCCTCTGGCGGAATAACGGGCGCTTAAAAAGGAGGCAGACCGAACAATTATATCTGAAGTTCATTGAAACGATACGAGGGAGCAGGAGCGTCGGTTTGTGGGCGGGGCTTGCTGGAGCAGAGAGGGAGGGGAGAGGAGGAGCTGAGGGGAAAACTGGTTTGGTGGGGTAGTGAATGTAAAATTCAAGATTTCTCCCCAAAACTGGCACTTCCTCAGATCCTGCCTACCCCACCTTTAAGTATCACTGGTTTTTCTTTACTTGACTCATACTGACACTCTCTTCTGCAGAGCTGCTCAGGGTTTGCACGATGACAACCTGAAACTGTAATTTTTAACATTATCATTGTGTGTGTGTGTGAGAGTACCTGAGATGTGTGTAGAAGTCTCTGAGTTTCCTTTCATAAAACTGCACAGCCTGAAGGACCAGACGCACCACCTCCTGACTGTCCCCTGAGCACCTCTGGTCTGGAAAAGCGAGAGAAAAGTTTATTTTCATATTTAAACACTGTCACCAGTGTTCGCTAAGAAATGAAGGGCTGCATGAGGTCCTAACCTCGGGGTTTCTCTCGGAGTTTGCGAAAGAGCTCCATGGCTTTTCCTTCACTAAGGGGGAGGCAGAAAGATCCACAGTCACAAACCAACTCTCTCTTTTTGAACAGTGAGGTTTGCTGCAAACTTACAGCGTATCCAGGGCCTCGCCGCGTGGCTGTCTCTGCACATCCACGATGTCCTGCTGCAGATGCATCATCTCCTCCTCCAGTTCACTTACCTTGGCCTAGAGACACCCACACACAGGTTTTTAACCTTTCGAAAGCACACACACACATTCATGCGCACATATGAAGAGACACCGTACTCTACCTGACCACAGCTGAGAGCGCTTTGCTCCATCTCCCTCCAGACACCCAGAAGTTTGTCTGATGCTACAAATTGAGAACACCAACATGAGTAAAAAAACAGAGAGCTTTCTACCTGAAGTAAACATCACAACAAAACTAAGTTGTAAATATTTATAAGTAAAGGATGGATCAAATGCAGCAGCAGAGTAAACTTCCTCCTATTTACAAACATGCTTTCATGACCCCGTACCGATCCCAGTGGCCGTCTGCTCCTGGTATTTGTCCATGTCTATGTGGATGCTAGTAGTAAAGAAGTCCAGCTTGGCCATGAGTCTCTGATACATGGAGACCATCTCATTCTTCTGTTTGGACAGAGAGGAGTTGTGTCTCAGCAGACTCATGCTAAAAAAAAAACAGGAGAAAACATGTTAATTCAAAACTGGATGTATATTTGAAGTGTAGGAGTTTGTGTGTTTGGTGCACACTGTGTCCTACATGGCAGCTTTCTGTCCCTGCTGCAGTCTCTGCCAGTCCTCCTTCAGAGAGCGGATGGTGTGCCACGCCTGTCCGCAAGTCCTCCTAAGAGGGCTGTAAGGCAGGACGTGCTTCGGGTCGCTTTCTGTGAGTGCGAAAGACACGCAAGGTCAGAGAAAAACATGAGATGTTTTTGGTTATGTAATTCAGCCATAAAAAGAGATTTTTGACCACACCTTTGTGGATAATAAGGTTTATGATTCATAAAGCCTAAAAATATTCTCCTCTACAGCCTGAGTTAATCTTTAAACTATGTTTACCATTTAAAAGATTCTTTTTGTAAATAAAGACTGGTTTTAATGATGTCTGAGCTGTCAATGTTGTTTTTTCTGAACAAAATGAGTCTTTGATTGAATTCTTACTTCTCTTGGTTTATATAAATATCAAAAAAATATCTGCTGTAGGAGGCTTTGTCCTAGAGAATACATCCTAGTTGATCAACAACAAAAACACAACATGGTGTGTTTTTAATAAATCAAAAAGTTTCGGTAAAAAAGTGTGAAGTTCGAGTGGATTTCAGTGGAATTTAAAAAACGGATGAGTAAACTAAACATCTGAAAATGATTTATTGGTGGATGAAAACAGATGGAGAATTTTTTTTTTTTTTTGCTGTGTACTCACGAACAAAGCGGATGTTTTCTGGCAGGGTTCGAGGAGCAAATTGAGGCTCATAACTGCAGGAGGAGCGATCAAACAGGAAGACCAGGGGGAGGTCTGTCCGTCGGCCGTCTATCTCCTTCAGAGGAGGACAATGATAATTCTCATTAAATCCATCACTGCAAAGTGCTGTTAAAGGGATCATGTGAACTATGTTAGGTTAGAATATTACCGTGTAATCCACAGCGCACTGCATGGCCAGTCCCTGTGGCTCCAGGGCTAACCCTGCCTCCAGCAGCAGCTCCTGATTGGCTGCAGGGATGCTGGTGTCTTTTTCAATCCTCAGCTGCAGGTTCGCCACCGTCTCATCCTCAGAGACGGAGTACGTCAGGATTTTAGCAGACATCATGTTGAGGACGTGAACAAGCTGAAGATAAAGAGGAACGAGTAAATACGTGCACTATCCCTTTAAATGTCATCAAAGTGGAAATACTTTAAGTCGTGTTTCAATTACAGCTGAACCCCAAACTCAAAGATGTCAAATCTTTATAAGCTTTACAGTCATGAGAAATAGACAAAGTAAAATAAAAATGGAGGGATAATCCACCTTGAGCTGCAGGATGATGTCCAGCTGGGAGAAGCAGTTGCTGGGCGTGGCCTGAGGGTCTTTGCCTCTTTCCTCAGGAGACCACTTCAACATGAGCTTCAGCCACCTCTCCAGTTTTTCCAGTAACAGACTGTCGGGCAGAAGTGAACACGTTAGAGTTAGACGGCGATGGTGAGGATATTCGATGAGTGTGTCAGTCACTGACGGGTCACCTGTTGAGGTTGTTGGGCTGAGGCAGATGTTTCGAGAAACGCACTTCTCCTGAGAGGTCCTCATAGACGACTATATCATCGTCCTGCTTCAGCCTCAGTTTGTTGTGCCTGAAAATGTCACAGGTGGATCAAATGAGAGAAAACTCCTCAGATTTCTTTGTTATTTTCTGAGTTCACGATAAATTCAGTAATTTTCATGCGAAAAGCTGGACTGAGCTCCTGAGGTGTTGAAGGAGTATTTTCCATTTATGTAATCTCAAACCCTCCGGACTTTCGTATCTTTCATTTGTGTTATTAGCAAAGCAAAAGGGTCATTGATGTTTGCATAACTCACATTTCCTGCAATTCTTTGCTTTGGCAACCCCTGTGTATTTATATATCCTTTGTGGGTTAGAATCCAGTCATGTTACAATAATATTTCTCTAGGATGAGGCTTATCGTGGCATACCGATCACTGCCAACGTCACTGTTTAGCTAATTTTGCAAAAGGTGAATAACAGTCACACAAGTGCAGAGAGAAAAAGGGGAAAATGAGACTTGAGTAAGCTGAAATCGTGGAAACTCTGTCATGTATCATCCTTGAGCTGGGTCAGAAAACATGACTCCATTTATGATGACTTTTTGTGGTATTTGAACACATCACCAACCAAAATACAGGAAATTTTTACAAGTGGTACTACCAAGGGACAGGTTGCCAGGTTGGTAAGAAAGGACGAAATCCCGTGATGCACTCAAAGACCAAAGTCCCAAAGCTCCAGTAGTCGACAGTAACTGTGTACTTCTTTCTCTCTATGAGCTCTGGAGCCTGAAAACAGAAAGAAAAATGAGCTCAGCTGTTCCTGCAGGAAAAACCTGATGAGAACATCGTTTCTAGTTCTGTTACTGAGTACAACACTTACTAGGTACTGAAGCGTTCCCACAAATGAGACGCAGAGGCTGCTCTGGTCCAACTCTTTGGCGTAGCCGAGATCAATGATCTTGTGGATCAACTAAAGTTCAGAGCAGAATAAGGAGGGACGAGTGTTAGCAATGGGATTTTACCCTACCTGACTCAAACACACAGTTCATGGAAAAACTCCAGAGATGAATGACACAGCTGTTTGCCTGGAAACTGGGAATAGTCATGACACCAACAAAACAACAAACTGTCACTTTGGTAAACGAACGACTCCACACTCTATGTAAGAGATCAGTAAGAGAGCGGCATCATCTTAATTCTCTTTACAATCTTGAAGGACAAACAAATACATACTGCTAAGACTTTCAAATACTTGACTGTACATTTTGTCCTCAGACCTGCCAAAAAAAAAAAAAGAAAAAGCTTGTATGTTGCATTTAATGTTTCTGTATTATGTCAAAATAAGTCTTTAAGCAATACTGTAAACTCAGTGCAGATAAGGTGTGAGTATACATATAACCGCTTTAATATGTCTGGCCTCATTTATACAACACTCTTACAGAAAGTCCTGCTGCTGTAAGGAGAACATTATTATTATACATAAATAGTAATATAATGAGAGGCGCAGATGGCAATGCCAAAACCAGCCTATCCCACAGCTGTTAAATATTCACTGCTGCACAGTTTTGCTAAGTTGTCAAGGGTTAATGAGGGGATACGAGAGAGCCGAGTCTCCTGAACTTAACCCGCTAAAACCGCACACAAATATCCTCTCTTTGTTGTGGTTCGGGTGTATTTGTCACAACAAGACATTTTCAGGGCCGCTTTAACTCACTCGCTTCTCTCCCTGCTGCAGCACGATGTTTTCTGGTTTTAAGTCTCGGTGGATGATCCTCTTTTTGTGGAGGTAGGTCAGAGCCGAGGCTGAGGGACAAAGAAGTAAAAAATAATACAACATTATTTAATGAGGTTAGAAAAATGCACAGAGAGAGTTATATACCTTTTAAATAATGATATCACAACTCATGGCTTATATCTTTTCTGTTCTACAGTCTGGTGGTGTGATCAGGTGTGTTAAAGTTTAGCTCATGTCGCCTCAAGATTCCAACCTCAGGCAGGAACAGGAGCATGTTTCTCAGGTCTGATAAGCACATTTCTTATTTCTCTTCCCTCTCTAGTAAAAAGTGTCATGTGTTTTTTTTTTTTTAACCGGTACTGTTAGAGTCATCAGTAGATATGATCAGAAGTAGGATCTGCTTCACTAAAAGTTCTGTAGTCAAAACTACGGCGGCCGCCATGCTGGAAATGTTGACTCAGTCGACTTAGTCAGAGGTAAAGAGATGGATTTGAGGAAGGCTTCAAAGGTGGGGTAGGCAGGAATCTGTTTAAGAAGCATCTCTTTTGTAGTATATATACAATAAGCTTTTAATATCAGTAAAAGCTATTAGTCATTGATAACATTTGGTAATATAACGATATTGCTGTGTTTTGCTATGTCTGTGTAGTCAACCTTTTAAATTTTCAGAGCGCTCCGCTCTTTCTGACTGCAAACAAAGCCATCTCTCTGATTGGTTTCTGCTCCTTAGTGTAGACGCTGCTCCCCCGTGTCTTTCAGGAGCCCAAACAAAGTTAGCGTGCTACAATATCAGACAGTAGAAACCAACCAGAAAGTACGGAAAATTGTCTGAATCCTCCTTTAGCCAAGACCACCAACACAAGCAAGAAAACGAACTAAATACCAGAGACTCTGGCAGAATAACGGGCTCTTAAAAAGGAGGTAGACCACCCAGACAAGAGCTAAGAAGCCCGGTCAACAATGATGGGGGATGCTTCAGGATCTTACTGACCCTGTAACCTTTCTGCTGGACAGGTAAACCTCTTTAACACAGCAAGCCAAGTGTAACAGAAGGGTTTCTTGTCAAACTGGACCTGCTGCATGTTGTAGCTCCACTAAACCGTTTACCTCGGGTCCTGGAGTATGTCACTTTATCCTAGTTGTAGAAGTCCTGCAAACATTGTGTTTGCTGGTAGTCTGTTGGCATCTACAGAAGCACCAATGCTGTTTACTTTCATGTTGACTGGGCCCCATTTGTAATTATCTGAAGTATTTATCTGCATTATATCTGAATTCCCCTCCCCTGAGCAGAGAGGGAGGGGAGAGGAGGAGTTGAGGGGAAAACTGGTTGAGAGGGGTAGAGTTTACATTCAAGATTTCTCCCCAAAACTGGCACTTCCTCAGATCCTGCCTACTCCACCTTTAAGTCTCCTAACAAACAGCAATGACACACCCTGCACGCCCATTGTTATAGAAAACTTTGAATACAGACGTGGAAGATTGAACCTTAGACTGTCCACTGAACCAGAGAGTAAAAAAAGTTCTTTTCTGCTGTAAACTTTTTAACATGACACCTAATGGGCTTTCCTTTGCATTTGCAGCCAGTCTCTAGTGGACACCGGAGGAACTGCAGCTTTTTGTTCTGAAGGTTTCTACTCGATTGGACCACATGCAGTAAACGAAGAGGAAATCTGTCTCATCGTCCTTTTGTTTCCACAGACTAACATGTGATCTCACACTGCAGCAGTGATACACAGGTGGTCTCCAGCGCTTTATGACCTCACTGCTGGGTGAGCACAGGCCTTTAACAAGCTTATAATGATCAACGGAAGAGGACGTCTTGGTGTTGCGTAACTCTTTAATACGATCCATAAGAGTTTCAGATCAGTGTTTACATTCTGACAGCTTTAATAATCAGGAACAGAGTGAAAACGTTTTTGTCTGAACTTACAAGAGGAACTATAATGTGACTTTACCTCTGCGTCAAAGTGTGACTAGTGTGTGTGCTGGCAAAGAGAGTCCAACAACGCGGAACTCATAACCTCTATGCACCTTCATGTGTGAGAGTGAGTGTGTGTGTCTACCCTCACTACCCTCACGCTTCAAACCCTTTAAAGGGATCACTCATTATCAGGAAATGTCCGCCGGTTGCTAACAGGAAAAAGGAGTTTCTGTGTGTGTGTGTGTGTGTGTGTCAAAGATATTTGTGTGTGATCCACACCACATGTGTCCACTCTCTCTAACCAGTTTACACATTGTGTCGTATACAGCTAAGCATTTAAACTTCATGTTTGTGACGGAGCGTGAGTGTCCGATCGTTGACGTAAGCCTCGGCGTGAGTGCGTTCGATCGCCACGGTGACTAAGAGGTCGGTGGTTTCGGGTCCTTGATGACATAATAATACTGCTCATCACCACGACCATTTCCTTCATGCTACAGGAAACTAATCACTGCCAGCTCATTCAATCTAACAATCAATCTATCAGTCTGCGGATGTTTGATGTGACAGTAGAAGCTGTGTGATACTCACAGATGTCACATAGCAGGATCAGAACAGAGCCCTCCCTCATACCGCAGCAGTTTTCCAAGAGGTTCAGATACTGCAGAGAGCATAAACATGAACACTTAATACTTACGTAACAAGAACCATGGGAGAAAAGCAATACAGTGTTTGAAAAGGGTTCATTAATCTGTCTCTCTTATTTATGTCACAGGACTTTCCTGCTTTAAAACGGCTGTTTTCCACTCATGAACTTTGTCCTGTTTATTAGGGATCAGATTAAAACCAACTACATCACCCTCTTTTTTTTATTTGAGAAATAGACAAAATGTCAAGTCAACACTTTTCTTGTAAAGCCTCTGATTTAATTTCACTCAGTTTACACAGTATAGTTAAAGTGGACCACTGTTTGAAACTCCAGGCAGGCCTGTCAAAAGAGGACAGTTTGGGTTTCCGCTCTGTCCCAAACTAACCGCTCCATCTGCACCCAACTGGACCGTTCGGTTTTTGACCATCTGGGATGCTTTGAAATTTTTATGACGCTGTGGTTTGTTGGTTTGTGATGGTTGGCGTTTTCCTCCTCTCCCTCCTGGTGCCAATACTGCCCATCGCCTCGGGGTGCAAACTCAGATGGTTGCGGATAAAAACTGTTCCTGATTTCTACCCTGAAATAAAAGCAACTTCAAAATGTTGCATGATTGCTGAACTGCACAATGAGAGAGTTGAAACCATGACACGTGTTGATCCAACATGTCTGATTTGATGTGGCTGCATTTCAAAGGAACCTCCAAAGAGACTCATGACTAAATAAGGATCATCACTCCCTAATCAACAGTCATATACTGCTATACAGCTCTTCGACTTGAAGGTCTATGGGCTCAAATCCAGACTCCTTACCCACCCACTCTGTGGCCCCAGTCTTAAACCTTTACCTTTCTCAGGTCTCCTCCCTGGCAGTACTCCATTCCCAGCAGTGGTAGTTGATGGGAGGCCACCAGCTTCTGCATTTCCTCGGGGACCTCCCTGGCTGCTACAACGTTAACATGATCCAGCCTGAGTGATTAAAATGAGCAGACAGCAGTCAGTAGAAGAAGAGGGCCATCATAGTTGTAACATTAAGATATGAACTCCCATGATAGTCCCTTTATGAGGGCTGGCAATCTGAATCTAGACTCATTGAAGACCCACTCCAATGAAAATCATGTTTTTCTTGTTGTCCTCGTGTTCTAATGGAATTTTTCTGATGCTACCGGACATACCATGAGAAAAGTAAGTGAGAAATTGCATATCTGAGTATTTCTGTATTCAAATCGCTGTGAATCTCTCACAGACGCAAACGGCAGACTCAGACACAGACACACTCTGCAGAAGAAAAGCCCCTGAAAACGACACAGGTAACATGATTTTGGCTAAAAACTTCACAATCACAATTTAAAGACCACTGCAAACACTTAAAGTGTTAAAAAATAACTATCGGAGTGGGACTTTAAAGCTCCTGTGAGGAACTTTCTGTCAGTGTTGATTTTGTTTTGCACCTGTCTAAGGGGTTTTAATGGAAAAAACTGATCCTCCCACTGTCTTTTTATTGTGAAACTCCTCGATCACTTTTGGTTTTTGCTTTGGAAATAGTAACTAAGGCTATTTTTACTGTTTACCACCCCCTTCACAACAGTTACAAACATCAACAAAATGCAATACAGAAATTTTCAATCTCGTCATTGATGATCTCAATCGCTGTTTTACATCATAGAGATGCATCACTGCCCATTTCAGCCCGTTTCATAACCAGTGAAAAACTCCTCACTGTAGCTTTAATCTGCCGCACTTCATCAGAGTTATCCTGCAACTCTTCTTATCCCAAGAAACCCATCAAGAACCTGCTGATCCTGATTCACTGCTATGAAAGAACAACATGTTTCATTTTTACAGGACAAACCTCCATCAAATCACATCACTCAGAGAATCCTGCATCTCTCCTCCACCACATTTATCTGAAAGTCTTACTATCACAATGACATGTTAATGTTTCATCCGTTCATAAATAGTCTCTATAAATTCTTACATCATGTGTTTTCCTCTAACAACTCCCTCTCATCTCTGTCTGACGTGCTCTGCTCTGTTACTTTCTCATTCTTGGAGGTTTATGAACTCTTCCTGAAATGTGTTTCTGCTTATCACAGGATCAGGAACACTTAAAGAAAGCAAAGGGGGAAATATAAAGATAACAAACTCAGACTGGATACCGGAGCCAGCAGGAAGGTGATTTATACTGTAACCAAAACATTGTTCAACATGTAGTCAGAGTGTCGTAACAGCTACAACAACAGCAGATAGAGCACAAGAATAATCGGTAACTCTCACATTTCTCCTCTCATTTTTTAATTTATCAAAAAATACTTTTTACTGGATGTTAACAGAGAAAGATCTCGAGGTAGTGCTGTGGGCTTGTGAGGGTGCACATAACAATAATAATAATCCCAAAGTCAACACACGTGATACCAAAAACATGGCCACACTAAGGTATTTCTTGGTGCATGTATGTTTGAACATCTGTGTTAAGTAGCTGTAATAATATAATTATAGGTTGTCTTGTATGTGTCGCCTGCCCTGTGGTTTCTCCACAAGTTAGCGTGGGTGCACAGAGGGCTGTGGTTGTGACCATGTCTGTCTGAAAACAAACAGACTTGTTAAAGTGGGATTAGGAAAAAAATGGTTTTATGCTTGTGTTTGCACCACCAAAGGCAAAACACACGAACATGTATTAACCAGGAGAGAGCTCCCTTTAAGATTAAAAACCACTGCATAAGAGAGTCCTTGTAGCTGCTGTATAATATAACCCGCAACAAGAGCACAATAACTCGAACTCCGCACAAGATGCCAGCCGACTCCTCTGACCTGACACACAAACTGCGGCTAATTGACAACACAGACGAGTGTGGAAATGAAACACACTCGAAAGCAGAACCAAATGAGGAGGTGGCACATCATCCTGTTAGACAAACCACCAACAGACCGAAATAACTCCAACTTCCACACAGCAATGATTCCTTAATGTCGTGTGCGTATTCTCAGTTTTTAAGAATCCAAAATTAGTCTTTTTATTTTGAGAAAACTTGTGAAGCAGATGCGTATATTTAAGTCCAGCGCTTAACACGTAAGCACACAGCTGGTCATGGAAGGTACCTTGGTGAGTCATAACCCGTCAAACCAAAACTCGACTTCAACACCAAACTCAACTTCAGGGTGAAGTCGGGTAAAAAGAGAGAGAGGGGATTTTCCCGGTGGCTTTAGAGGAGTAAAATAATTAAAAATCAAACACAAAGGTGCATCTCTGTGGAAAAACAGACCGTGAATCTGTGGCCAAAAAAGAGACAAGGAGCTGCTTCTAAACAAAAAAGTGTGGAAATCTGTTTATTTTTTGGATACAAGCTTACTGTGTGTGAGTTTTGGTGGGAGAAAAAATAGTAACCTGCAAGATAACGCATGTATTTGTACCATTTGTACTCGCAAATCTCTTTTAAAAATCAAACTCTTTCATTCCAGAGTCATAACCTTGAAACAGGTCCTGCTTTGATACTTCAAAGCAGGACCTGTTACATCAATCCTGAGGGCATTGTCTGCGTCACAGCGAATTACCGCAATTTTAGTCATTTATTTCCTGTTGCATATATTTCTGTTTCAGCAGACAGAGCTTTGGTCAAAGCACAAGCTGGTTCTTTCATTATAATCGGTTCTTCTCAGGCTGATTAATGCCCAGTTTTGATGATTGCTTAACAGCTTTTTTGACAAATTGAGGATCTCGTGGCTTTTCGGCAGAATAAAAGAGGAAATCTTACAAAAACTAACACTAGAATCGTCGTCATATATGTCAGCTTCAAATCAAAACCACAATCTGTTCTGCTTTGGATTTTACCGACCTAACCAACATGCGTAAGTAGGTTAGTTGAAGAGAAAGGGTGTAACGTCAGTCCTGTGGCTCTACCAGCCAGGTCTCTTTTGGGCATGCCTTTGCTGAACCAACTCAACATGCCAGCAGCACTGTTGGCTTTAAATCTCACAATGGGTGGAAACTGGGGCATGTTGTCCTTTCTCTAAACAATCAATTGTAATATGCTAATATGAAAATGTGAAGGAGTGAAACTGACTTCTTCATGATCTGGATCTCCAGACACCATCTCTCTTTGTTTCTCTCGCTCAGCTCCTGACGGCACTGCTTTACGGCGATCTGCTCCTCTGTGTCCTGAAAAAACAGATACATTTTTATGTTTTAGATATAATCAACAGAAATTAAACACAAGAGGGAATTTGACTTAATACCTATGACTTAATCACAAAAATCTCCAGACAGCAAATATTAAAAGTTTACTTCATATGTTGAACTTATGTTGAATATTAGTTCTATTATCAGCTTTTGTGTTGGTAATTTCATGAGCCGTCTGGTGAAGAAAACACACCTGTAACTGTCGCAGAGCTTAGAATCACTATACATGAACCAGCCCTCCCATGTGCAAACCATGACACACACATACACAACCAAATATACAGTTTACATTTGACCTGACGGCCAGCACAAGTTCATCTCATTTCCTGTCTCTCACGGCATCATCAAGGAAAAGGTAGACACCCTGATTCCCACTCCCTGATCAATGAACTAATAATAGTTTTTAGTATTGTTATTATAAGAGGAAATTTCCCGCAGAGGAAGTCGAGTCATCAGACCAGCAGCGGGGCACCACCGCTCTCCTCTGTGAAGTCATTTCCGCCTGCTTTTCCCATTGCCCCTCAAACACCGGTGGCACGGATGACCGTTGAGAAAAGTCTTAAACACACATCATTCAGTCTTTAACTCTGCTTCATGTTGACAGAGAAGGAACTGATTTAATGAGTCGATCAATCTTAATTTTGTTTTATTTTCAGAAGATTATTTCCTGAAGAGCTTCTGGTTCACTATCACTTATAATGCTGACGATTTAAAGCACAGCGTTAGAGAGGGAAAAGGAAGGGCCACTAAGAGGGCGTGTTCATATTCCCGTAGTATCCTCTCACAAATGATGAAACTCTACAATGCTCTCATCCTGTGATTTATGGTGAAATCATTACAGTTGACACACTTTAAACTAGGCTGAGGTGAGTAAAGAGGACAACTTCCTGAGCTGTTCATGATGTCATGCTGTTTCTAATCAGGGTGCGAATAAAAATCCAACTTCCAATGAGTCGCTGATTTTCATCTGTAAAATGTTAGTATATTTACTTTTCTTGTGAAAATACTTTACACAACTTTTTATTCCAGTACTTAAACTAACACAAGATGATTTGCTCGGTCCTTTTTATTGATTCATCTTTTGTCAATGAAGAAGTTTTTAACCTCTAAGAAACATGTTTAAAGTTTGAGGATTCAGCGCAGCAATCTACTTAATACAACATCCTTCTCTTTATATAATTTACTGTATAGCCACATTAAACATTGTAATGATCTCCCAAAATGACTCATAGTGAGTCAGAGTGTTTGAAACGTGTACCTTGTTTTGCCATCTTGTGACATTGCCAAAGCCCCCAGTGCCCAGCCGCTCCTTCAGCTCCCAGGGCCCACAGCTCTGCGGCTGCTGCAGGGGGACTCGATTCATGGCCTCAGCTACAATCAGGAAAAGATAGTAATAGTGAATGAATTTGCGAGACGAGAAACTCACACCAGAAAACTTTGTGAAAACACTGCTGCTGTGGTTTTATTTGTTTAATATCATGTCTATTTGATGCTGATAGGACCGCTGTATAACATCAGTATCCCTCTCTGGGTCGTGCCTTCAATAACACTGACAGAATAGTCACCTAAACTTTGTTTGATATGTGACAGGTAGGGCTGATATATATGAAAATAAATTTCCCTCAATATCAATATCCTTTTCAATTGTCGGCATTCTGCCATGTTTTGGTAAACTATACGAATAGCCAATGAAATAGCTCCGGGTCCGCTTCGCGCTGAACCAATCATGTGCCGGATAAGAAACAAGTAGCAAACAACTGTGTAGTAGCAGGCTGCGGCTACACACTACCAGAGCACTTTAACACGTGAAGCCGACAGCACTGTCTGTGAGAAAAAAAGAAAATGAGTGTGTCCCCCAGCAGAAATGCAGATGAAGGCTCAACAGATGATGACAACGTCGACAACACTGGCATGAAAACATCGGTGGCGTGGAGATATTTTGTTTTTTTGAGGTCGGACATGAAGCAGAGTAATGTGCACTGCAAATTATGTCGAGTACATGTTCTCGCAAAGTTAAGGAGCTATACCTCAAATCTTTTTCACCACTTGAAGCAGTGACATGCGGCAGCGCACGGGCAAAGCAACATTTTCATTCTGCTTTCTCTCGCGCAATGCCTTTAGCAAAAAGTCGTAGAGACACAAACACCTCACAGATGCAGTAGCTTATTGTATTGCAAAAGACACACTACCGATAAGCACTGGTAAATTTCATTTTTCATATCGTGATATATATATATCAATATCGATCATGATAAACTTTTTCCCACATCGCCCAGCCCTAGTGACAGTTTTTTTTTCTTTATGTAAGAAAATAACAGATAAAATGGTCTGTCCTATAATACAAGTATTGGCACAAGTATTTTGGCTTAATAACTTAAATATCAAACAATTCTCTCAAGAACAGCTGATGTATATCAACAAATATCCCTCTAAATTTGATGTCAACAATGGTTTTATGTTACTTTTACCACTACTTGTACCAGCAAAGTCTACATTACAGCATGTAAATGAAGGTGTAGGCGGTCTTTAATGTATTACTACCTGTATTTAAAGGGCCTGTGTACTTATACAGTTACTACAAACACCCACATACAGTAAAAAGGCCTTTCATTGCTGCATAACCAACCCTTCAGGTAAAAACAGTCATCCATGAGGCTGCATCTGGTCTGACTGTATGCTGCACTCTTTATATCAATAAGTTGTGCATTAAAATAACTCATCTCCTCTCTGTTTTCTGAAGTTATTATAAACTACATCGTTCGTATATGTTTTCGGACTACTTTCATGAAGTGAGCGATTCAATCACCAGCGGATAAAACTGTCTCAACTCTAACCTACCTTTCGGTTTGAAGACACAGACGGCGCGCTCTTACGCCTGTTTTTTTCCACTATTTACGCCTCCGATACTACCTACAAGCGTGTTAAATATTAACACAAAGTGGTAATTTTAGCGACACAACAAATCTCCAAAACTTTCTACTTCCTGATACTCATATTTCCTGTAAACCTGAAGAGACCCGCCCACAGAGAGGCAGGGTCATCTGCGCGGATCAGGTTTTGCTGCTGGGTTCATGACGGTACAGTCCCTCTCTGAAGTGACTCAGTTCAGGCTCTCATATTGATCCCTCAGACTCAGTTCGAAAGTCTTACTAATTATGTGAAATAGAAACCTGAATTTAAAAATAAAACAGAAGTTTCAGAGCAAAAGACATGTTTTCTGGCCAAGATACAAACTTTTTGGGACAAGTTTGATCAGACTCTTGGAGGCACCATACATTGCAAGACCCCCAGACTGACTGATTGTAGTAACTTAAAAGTCCAGAACATACTTGGTAAAATGGAACATGATAGGTGTATGTTAAAACTGGTGTTTAATGACTTGACAAATAGAGGAGCATACTCACCATGCATCGTAGTTTCTTCACGCTTTGAGAGGTAAGCACAGGACCAAATATTTCACCAAATATTTTATATTCCTGCTCACTGCATCTTTGATTTGAAAGGTTATCTTCTGCCTCAAAGTCAGAGAGGATATACAGATTCATTACCTGAGGACTATTTTAACTGAAGTAAACATAATAATAAATAAAACTGTTTTAAAAAGGCACTGCACAGATCATTTAGATATCCTGGATTTCAACTGTTTTTTTTTTAAACTCTTTTTATTGATACACAGTTGCAGTAAACAGTAAATCCAGAGATAGTCACATTTTCATTTTCTTTCATAATATATAGAACCCAACACCCATCCCACCCATCCTGCAGATCTATACATCCAAATAAATTTTTTAAAAAGTTCTTCATTGTTTGTTTGTTTGCTGCCTGCGTCTCTGCATGTCAGGTTAACCAGATAGCCGATCGATCAATCTATGTGTAAGGAGTCGTCTCAAGGGGGAGGGGGAGTCAGTGGATCAGCAAGGTGTGAGTGCAAAGTCAGGGGGACAGTTCAGTGGCAGGGAGTTTGTCAACATAATCAAGTAGTGGTTTCCAGTGTGAATAAGGATTTCAACTGTCTTATTAATGTCCATTAGTTTCTAGTAAATCAAGGCAATAAGACTGACTGAAACATGTATTGGTGTGTAGCTGAACACCTTCAAAGCATAATTATGGTTTGAATTGGTAAAAATTAAAGGACAACAATGAGGATACAAAAGTAAAGTATGCTTTGTTTATCTAGCATATGCTACATGTGGCCCCATATGTGTCATAAAGATATGTTAAAGTTAATTAAAAAAAATAGTGTGTGTGTGTGTGTGTGAGGGTGTGTGTGAGTGTGTTGACTTGAAACCACCCCCTCATATTCTGGGAATAAATGCGTAGTATTAGTAAGCACAACATTATGCCGAAACATAATGAGGAACATCCTGGAAGAAGCTTTAAAAAGCACAATGAGTGTGTTTACTGATGTATGCGGCCTTTGACTGACACTATTCTGGGAGTGAAAATAACTCATTTTACAGCTTCTTCTACAACTTCTCGCTAATGGCTGGATCAGGTTCCCAAACCATTTAACTCGCCCTATAACAGCTTCCAAGCTGACGACTCATCTTACTGCATTACTTCATGTGTTTTCACAGTTTGCCCCGCACTTCCTTTGGGGTGAAATTTACATTGTAATAAACATTTGGAATTACATTAAAGGATGATTTCATTTCCAAATTTAAAGTTTCATGCTTAAATTTAGCATTTGTGCAATTTTCATTGTAGTTGTTAATCTTGTGTGAGTCACTTTATGTGCCTTTACGCAAATAAATAATCTTCTCGGTCACATTCTCTAAGTTTCAACGTCATTGTTGATTCAAAGCTTTTAACCTGGGCAGATGCACTCCAAATCTTCCAGAGTACATTGGTGATGTTTTCCATTTCATCACCTGTTTTTCTTGGATCTAAAACTAGCAACTCACTCCCGCTCAGCCAACAAAACAAATCGTCATTTGCTAAGGTTTGAGTACGTTATCAGACTTGTTCTGACGTTATTTTTGGGTGTGTGAGTACATAGTTTGGGTTATCTCAAGAGAGACTTTTGAGAGTGAAAAGGCTTTCCTGTTTATTCTGTCTAAGTGTGGTCTTCTCCCTGATATCCAAGTTTGGATGGTACACAACTAAGAGTATCTCTGGGAAGACAAAACAATTGAAACTCTAAGCAGTGATAGACTGTTGTTGTCTTTGACTGTTTAGTCATGTAAACCCAGTCTGCGGAAAGGACTTATCTGTTTTCCTTAAATACATACTATTATATTTTCCTTTGAGTTGATTCATCTTTTTCACAACAGCCTTTTTTCTGTCACACGCACCTGGAAACAGTCAAACTGTTTTGATGGTAGAAAGTGCTTAAAGCAAAGATTTTCAACAGACAGGTCATGAAAATTACCCACTTGTATCTTTATTTAAACACAGTTTCCATTTTTCTGATGGGTTAAAAGTCATCTGCTGTCTTTTTTTTTCACTTGGTCAATGCAAGGTTTGGTTGTCAGAGACATAAAACTTTATCGAGATACATTTTTTATGCATCATCCTCATAAGATGGGTGATCATGATTAGGTGAATGCTTCTACCCAACACAAGGGAGGGGGTGTCCATGGTCAGCAGTTTGCGCTAAAATTTGATAAAGTCTTTGGCAAAGGAACACCGAATACCAAAATGAGATGAGATTGCTTAGAGTAACTGGATTTCATGATCTGGACTAGAGCCCTCTTGAATAGATGACATTCCTGAAGTAACCATCACAGCCCAGTATAAATGTTTGTGTGTGTGTGTTTGATTTTTTAATCAAGATGTGGGAGTGCGCTCTAATGTAACACAGATGGAAACAAATATTACAGACGTCACACTAACCATACCCGCCCATCACAACCTCAAGTGCCATGTTCCTTGTTATTTAATATGGCATTAACAGGCAATAAAAACAATGAACATGAATTATCCAGTGTAAATAAAGTCACTGCTGGTGCTAAGAAAAGATGCAGCTATTCTTGAGTCTAAGCGACGGTGATTTCCTGAGGAAGGGTTGGGTTGAGTTGCGAGAATAGTGGTTTTGACAAATGACTCCTGGTGCCAGTCGGTTTACCGTACAGATAAATTGTCACCCACAGCTCATCACAGACTAACAGTGTGAAAGATCAATAGTGAGCCAGTTTTAATGTCACTGCTCAGCCATCAGAGTCTATCAGGCAGCAGTAGCTCAGGAGGTAGAGCAGTTGTCCAATAACCGAAGGTCGGTGGTTTGAATCCCCCTATCCCGAGTCTGTCCGTTGTGTCCTTAGGCAAGACCACAGACTGTATATACTATGGACAACTTGGTTTTGCCTTCCACCAGTATTTGAATTTGAAGCAGAAAAGCTCTTGGTAATTGCGCGTTTTTTCTCCACTTAGTGAAACCAACATTGCACAGTAGCATTGTACGCATTCGGCTGGTGAATCGCAAAGAGTCGCTGTGATGATGCTCGGCTCAAACAGCACAACCCCTGGGTGAGCTATGCAATCCTCGCAGTTCATAGGCTGTATCCAGTGTCAATCATAGAAAACATGAACCCCCTAATAACTTTTAAAAACGGAGCTTCACAGAAAAAAGAGGACTCGAGCACAAACCAGTCTTACTTTAACTACATGTTAACATCACAAGCAGGGGGGAGAAAAAATTATGTTCTGTGTAATAAATTTCTAAAGTTTGTCCACAGCTCGATAAGCTTCACTGGAGGAGGCGGGATTCATGACCTATACTGCAGCCCGTCACCAGAGGGTGCTGTTCTCGTTGTTGCTTCACCCAGCGAGGAGGCAGACGACGTCCATTCTATATAAAGTCTATGGGCAAGACACTTAACCCACCTTGGTCCCAGTGTGTGTCCTCCACTGGTGTATGAATGTGAGTGTTGTGTGGTGGTGGTCGGAGAGGCCGTAGGCGCAAAATGGCAGCCACGTTTCCGCCAGTGTGCCTCAGAGCAGCTGTGACTACTAAGGTAGTTTACCACCACCAGGGTGCGACTGTGTGAGCGAATGAATGATGTATCCAATGTAAAGTGCTTTGAGGGTCTCTGATAAAGCGCTATATGAAATCTGATGCATTATTATTATTAATTTACAAAGCTCTGTGGTCTTAAAACAGTTTTACCTCCAAACAAAACGTCAAATAAAATCTATTTGTTTTTGCTCCTTGGTTAATAGGCCACACTTATGTGATTGTAAAATAAAAAAATAAAAAACTTGATTTAAAGTTCCAATGAGGTGTTTTTTTTTTACATTACTGAAACAGATTGATACTCCAATGAATGCCTACTCATGATATCCAAAACCAAACAACACCATCAGACACTGAACTGAGGATATACCAAAGGGATGTGAAGGACCTACTTTATATAACCCTGAAGTGATGCGAGGAAACAGATGTCAGCCAAAGTGACAGAGGCTTATCAAGAAATTTATGTGGAAATTCAGTCATGTAATTTTTCAACAAAAAAAAAGGCAAATATCCTCACTCAAGATTTAATTTTGACAGCCCCCCACCCCACACCCCTCCATTTTTAACTTTCCTTTTAAAAACATGATGTGTGTCTATGAGGGGTGCACAATGAGGTAGTAGTTGCAAAATTTCCTGATAAAATACTCCGGGGTACAACTCGTCTGTTGAGGGGAGGGTGTGATTTTCCTGGAGAACCGTCTGTGTGAGTGTGAGCCCCGCCCTGTAGGCTGTCTGCATCATCACCACCATCTTCATCATCATCATCCGGCCGGACAGGCAGCAGCAGCAGCAGCAGCTTCGCTCTCCCTCCCGCTGAGGTCACAACACTATCGGACCTCCCCCCTCAACTCGTACACCGCCAGGACCAGAGCGCTGCGATAAAAAGTGGAAGCAAAAAGGGGAGAAGCTCAGTCCAAGCGAGGAAACCCTAAAGACTCAAGACTTTATCCTGCAGAGACGGAGAGAAGTTATCGAAGAGTTTCACCGTCCACTGTGGTGAGTGTTTTCTTTACGTTGATACTCTCGCGATGTTTTTTGCAGTGATGTGCATCAGGTCCGTTTCTATTGATGTAAATGAGGGGTTTTAATGCAAGTTCATTTAATTCAAGACAGGAAATCATTATGAAGGCTTACTTTAAGTTTCATAAAGTTTTTGGTCCTCTTCAGTCTTGTTGGACGTTTTTCTAAAATTACATTAAATGTGGTTGTCTCATTTGCATTTAAAATATATTTTTCTATGAATTTGGCAAATAAACAAAGCGAGGCAATATGATACACTAAAAATCAACGTTGGACAGTGAAATTGTTTTGTTCCCTCATTGAACACACACTTTTCACTTCCAGTTTTACACCAATCTGCAAAAAAAGAAGGGTTTGTTAGGAATACTAATGATAAAATAAGTACAAGCTACAGTAATCTGCAACACTGTAATTAACAAGAGTGATTCAACATGACACACACACACATTTCTACATGGATAACGCTGTTGGAGCCATGCTCACATTAACCGTGGGAGGTTGAAACTTTAGATTACCTTCTGCTTGCTCAGACATTTGGCATCCAAAGCCTTTCCCACCCTGACTTCAGCAGCTCTTTATTTGCTTTTTCCATCTACAAACTCCCCTCACAGCATCACACACACTTCCCCTAACTCCTCTCAGACAGTTATCCGGTAATAATTTGTATTATCAAAGCCACTTAATGTTATAAATGTTACAAGAACTTGGTGATACTGTGCCCTGCTGCTGAACTCAGTGTGAGTTTTTTATCTACAAACATCCCCCGCAATGATACTGTATCTCCGTACCACTCTGAGCTGAAACCTGCACAGGATCACCGTCATACAGACTGTTATCGCGCCAAGGAGCTGGATTTTGCACCCCCTGAGTACCCCTCCTGGCATCTGCAACATTTATATTTTCATCACTCTGATACTCTGTGCTGTTGCATGATGGGAGAAAGTAGTTTATGTCCATTATCTGCATTCCCAGCAGTGTGGTCAGCTGTGTTAGAGCCTCAGACTCAAGTTTGTGACTCATGGGACCTCAAAGCTGTAAGTTAAAGGCAGGTCAGACTGAGGATAGGGTTGAACCGGTCTGCGGGAAATAAAACCAGAGGATGACGCAAAACTCTTATCAGGTAATAATTTGATACTTGAACGTTATCCATTATGACTAAATGTTGGAGTGACATCTCCATTAAAAGGCATTGTTAGAGGTTACAAGTCTAGTGAAAGCCGCTTTCTGTCCCGTGCAGTCCTGGCTGGAAGTTTGGATGACTCAGGACGACTCACTGTCTTTCTGCTGACCGCTGGGATTTGATTTCATCTTTCTCCTCTCCCTCTTTTTCTGCTCCCTCCATCCTTTCATCTCTTTTCACATAGCTGTCTCATGTTCCGGTTTACACTCATTTCCAGTGTCAACACCTGCTCTTTCTTCATGATAAGGAGCTCAAAGCTTCACATTGTGCACAGTGGAAGGCTGTAATAAAGCAACAATGCAGCTCTCTGTTCTTGAGGGACTTTACAGAGATGGATCACAGCTGATTTACTGAAGCTTGACTGAAAACTCCCTGAATGAATAATGCCTGCCTAAGGAGCTTACCGACATGATATTGCATGCCAAAAACACATCATCATCAAACATATTACACACGTGCAGAACTATTAGACGAGGGAGCGACTCCTATCTGAAGCCTCTGTGCAGGTTTAGTGCAGATCAAACCAGTCCAGAAAGAATCTGATTTACTGGAAACATAAAGCTGCCAGCCTGCTGTGACAAGACAATGGGATTAGTGCTTACGATACAAGCCCTCAAAGAATTATTCCTAGGAAACTGAGATCTGTGCCAGTAAAATTAGACGATAAAAGAGCTACAACCCTTTCTGCAAAGATGTTTCCTTTTACACTTCCTATTGGCCGTGGGCAGGAGCAGACACTCTAAATATATTTCGTATTATCGTCTCTGATCTTAATTAAATGACATTTATGAGTGCCTTTAAGTTTGAAGTTTGAACTTCACAGAGGGATGCAACATATCTCCTGTGAGCTCTAACCATTCTCACGGTTTGAGACTTTGAAATTTCGGACAGAAATGTCTCACCTCAGACCATCACAACCTCAGCATGCTGTCATCATTACACGTTGCTGCTAATGGTCCTGTGACAAAGTTTGTGGTTGCAGCAGTTCCTTTGAATAGGCTGCAAAAGCGCCCAAATAGGAAGTGAAAAAAGTGGAGTGTATATTTATGTTCCTCAGTCTTATCATCTGTTGCATGTGTTAGTTTTACCAAAGCTGTGCATCTGAAGCAGCTGCTGACTCACAGTCTGGCTGCTGCTGCTTCTGCTGCTCCAGGACTTTTTCATTTCTTCCATTCATATTTGACCTACTAGAGGAACCACACTCTCCTCAGGCTGCGTTCGTGGTGGTGCACGTTTCATGTTTCCAAGTGTTTGGGTGTGACATACAAATGCCTTTTTAACCCAGTCAGAGCTGTGGGATGCTCATGGTATGTTGGCTTTTTGAGAAAAGAACGAACATGACCCAGTTGTTGTCAGAGTATCGCAGAGTTTGGCCCTTATGTGCAACAACAGTTGTTGTCTAATGTGTGGTTACATGTTTAATACTCAATTATTCTTAAATATCTGAAGCTTTTAGAAGTAAAGCTTTACTTTTACATGGAAGTAAAACAAAAAATACACAACAGTTGATCAAAGTTAGGCCTGTTGCATTCTGGGATGTAGGCAGTGGCACCCAAGCAGGGCCCCTCTCTGTCAGATACTGCATATTTTAAAAAGGGTGGGATACACTTATTTTTCATATCTGGTGTGGACTTGCTGGCGTGGGTTTTTGTGCATGCGTGTTGATATGAACTCATGCTTCCGAAATGCACGGGGCCTGCGCTGGCTGTGTTATAGTAGGAAACACATGTTTTGAGCTGACAGGGTGGAGAGTGGGGTGACTGAACGGAGCTGAACAGCTGCACAAAGGAAACAAAAAGGAAACTGGTGTGTTGTTGTGGCCCTGGCAGAGAGGCTCTGTTGGGGGGGGGTGAAAGTGCAGGTCAGCGGGGTGTTTTCGAAGTTTGAGACACAGGGATAGCTTTGACCAGACCTGTTCTCCTGATGGTGAGTGTGAGAACGCATGTGTGTGTGTTTTAAAAGTCCGATCCTGAGGGTGTGGGTGTGTGTGGGTGTGTGGATGTGTGTGGGTGTTCTAGTGAACAATGAGCAGAGAGAACAGTAAATCTTTGTGCGGGGTGTTTATTAGATCCACGTTCCTGAGCACTTTGTGTGCGTGTGTTTGGTTGCCTCAATGGTATATGAAAACACACTCTTCTGCTTTCTATTAGCCCGGTCGGCCACAGGGGGTGAGTCAGTGGATGTAAAAACGTGCAGGCATGTATGCACACGTTTCTTGTTGTATGTCTGAATCTGCGTCTGTCTGTGGAAGATCCTCAAAGCTATTTTTAAAACATCTTCATTATTCCTCATATGTAGGTCAATTTTTCGTCACACTCCTTGTTTTATTCAACTTTCCTCTTCATCTCCTCCCATTTCCTTCATCACTCCATCTCTCAATCACCCCTTCCTTTGTGACTCATGTTTACTCACACTTCACTGTGGAGCACCTCTTTTTTTAATAACTTTTTCCTGCGTAACGTGACTCCTCTAAAAAAGAAATCAGGAACAAGTGTGATATCAAACGTCGTTTTATTGAGATAAAATAGGGAAGTGTTGACTTTAGTGTCTTTGTCTTGCTGTGGGCTTTCCCTGCTGTTTCCTCCTCCTTCCCTTTTAAGTCCTGAGTCACTTCATCCTCCCACAGCTGCTGCTCTGCTCTGTCGGAGAAGGAATGCTGTCGCAGCGCTGCAGAAACCCTCTTTATTATCGCTCTAGGGTTTTCCAGATTAGGTTGTTTGGTGCGGTAGTTAAAGTCTTATTTTTAGCATAAAGTGAAGATGATCTGCATCCTGTTTATTCCCACTGAGAAAGCTGTTGATGAAATATGATAAAAGGGGAAATGAACTTAAACACAGCTGCAAATATGTATACACTACAGCACATCCTATCAGACTGTCCTGCACAGGTTGTGATAACTTCCTGTATGAGTCAAGGAGTCAACACAACTACAAATGGCCCCCACCTTGCCCACCCTTTCCTCCCTGGTGGGCTTCCTCAGCAGAGACGGAAGGAGACCGACCTGAGAAACAGTCGAGAAAAATTCAAAGTTTCCTGTAATTGTCATGTCTGTTTTTGACAGATTTAAGACATAATATTTACACTCAAGGAAATGAATGTTTTATTATGACTGTTTGTACTGCATTTGTGTGTAAAATGATCTCTAATATGGTTTTATATCCTTTTTATTTTACAGATTATCTCTTGAGTTGAAAACGACTTGGGAAACCATGACAACAACACTTGGACTTCTACTGTTCCTATCTACTCTCTGCTGCAGCCAAGCGGATATTGTAAGTACTGCACCCATTTTATGAAGGGACCTCAACTGTGTTTTGAGCGCCAATCAATTAGCTGCAAATCCTGCAAACTTCATAAGAGTGTATCCTCATATGCTTACATTCTACAGTGGTTTATTACTCCTCTCAGAAAACCTAAAGCCGTATTTTTTCATGGAGAATCAAAGTAGATTTGTGCATGCCAAGTATGAAAATGTATCTTAGTGTGCTTGAATCTTCAGGAATGAAATAAATCTCTGTCTACAAGGGTTTGAAATTATATCCCACAGCTGTCTGTAACTTAAGTTTTGTCTTTCAGGCAAAGCTGCTCCGCACAAAAAGAGGGACTCGCTTTTACAGAGGTGAGCCTGACTGGCAGGCTTCTAGACGGACGCTTTTGATTATTCATGTCCAGAAGTCTTCATCTTCCCTTGACACCCCCTGTGAGCCTCATCACACGCCTCTTTGTCTTTTTTTGTCCCCTAATAGCACCGCCTTCACCATCACCGCCGTCACCTTTATCACAGTCTGTTAACTCACTTTATTTATGTGTTTGCGTTTCCTCTTTCTTTTCACCTCTACGTTTGCACCGCTCTTATTCGTCACTGTGATCAAGTTCTGTGTGTCTTGGCTGTTTACTTACTATTTGTGTATCTGTGTGTGTTTGTGTACGTGTGTGTGTTTTTCAGCGCAATGTATTGATAGTGAGACGTCAGCTGTGCGTAGTTCAGGGGACACTTGGCTGCGATGGAAGGGACAGCGGGTGGAGTTTTGTCGTTGTGCGATGAGAGGACGAGAGCGTTGTCATATTGTGCCCGTCATCAGTGAGTGTGACATTGTTGCATATACACAAGCACACACATGGATTGGCTGCCTGTTTGTCTCTTTCTAATCAGGCATATTTTTGTGCATTTATGAGATTGAAATCCTCTGTTTGGTAATTCCTCTGTCGGTCTTTGCCGCCCTTACTGACCTCTCTGTCTTCATTTTACCTCTAACTATCTCCCTCAACCTCACATGATTATTTTTTGTGGGCTTGCCTCAATCATGTCTCCAAGTTAGTGTTATTTCAGTGTGTCCAAATGAAGAGCTGCTGGCTTTTCTGTGTCTTTAAGTGGGCGTAGTTTAGTCTGAGTTTGTTTGAAGTACTCCTGCCAGGCAAACCCTCACACACACTTTCACCCCCATTGACGAATTCTGGGAGACATGACTTGCCCCTCCTTCGCACAAATTACAACCACATTTTCAGTCTGCCCCGTCTGTGAGCTCATGGCACTGAGAGCGAGCGGGGTGCTGTTATTCTTAACGCAAGACTCTAGGAAATGTTGAAACAATAAATGAGAAACCGGACTGGAGATGGCCGGGAACCAGATCCAGTCTGGAAAGAAAGTCAGGATGAGCCATGCACACTGACCTTTGTGTACTTCTCATGTTTCTATGTCAAATATGACACACAAGACCACACCCACAGTTTAATTGGCCGTGAACGTACATGCTTCGATCAATCATGTTTGTATTCTGAGAAATTTTATGACATATGACTGACTAACCAGCTCTCTGTCTGCCCTTTCCAGACTGCTACGTGTCTCAGTGCTACAACGGTGGGACCTGCAAGGAGGCTGTGTACACATCAGATTACATCTGCCAGTGTCCTGCAGGCTTCAGTGGAGCTCAGTGTGAGATCAGTAAGTACCAGACGGAGTCTTACCTGAAATCTGTGCAGTATGATTCATTGTTTCACTTCTGTAATAATGAAAGGGGTCTGTTTCCTTGTCTGTGACAGAATCTTTCAAATTAGATTAAAGCTATAAAATTAGATCAGGACTTAAAATCAGGTTTTTCCAAAAGAAAATATAATCCAATAAAAACCTCAAACCTGTTTGGTTCCAAGTTTTGGTGCTGGATTAGGATAACTCTAATCGAATCAATTTGGATTATCCTGATCAGGGACTCGGGGTGGATTGAGGCTAATAAGAAAAGTGAAAAAACTTTTGAGGAGGTTAATCAGCACACCATTTTATGGTTATATTGATAATCTGCATGTTTTCTGTATTTTGGGCTCTGATGCTTTGTTGATATGGTGACGTAAAAGAAAAGTAGAGACACTTTGACAAAAAAAAAAAAAAAATCCACCAGAAGGAATGAAGAATCAGATTAGTGTGGGTTTTGGTGTCCCTTCTGGACAAAGTATGTACTGTGGAGTCTAATTCGGAGCACTGGTCAGCTAGATTTGCGAATATTCGAAAACTTTGGTTTGGTGGTGTTGATCCCATCCAATTTACTGTGAAAAACCCTGAAGGACAGCAAAAACAGTAGATCTGGATCACTGATTGGAATTAGAAGCCAGGAAACAAAAACTGATCAATAAATTATCTTCAGCTTTACTTAAATCCATGAATTCAACCTGTCTTATATTTGATATCTAGAATCCATATTTGCATAGGCTATCTCTGACTTTAAGGGAACAAAAACCCAGTTCAGTCCAGGACATAACAGTGCGGCTGATGACAAAACCTTGATTACGACACTCTACGAACTTGTTAATGACTCCAGATAAAGTCACAGTCTGACTTTGTGACTCAGACAGAAGGTGTCACAGCCCTGCGGTCTGGACAGGAGAAGCAGAAGATCATAAACCGTGGACAGACATACCAGGACATAAATATTTTTGTTTCTGCGGGCGACTTCTTTGGGGCTTTTAGGGACACCCCACCCTCTCACTGGGATAATTATGCAAACACCAGTGGTCACATTGGAGTGATTTCAGTAACAGAATAATGAGTAAGGAGGCCAGACTCTGTAAGTCTGATTGGATTTACGATCATCATAGTTTATGTTTGGTCATTGTTTTACACCACTAAATGGAAAAACACAATAAAAATGCCATTAGGGAGCAAGTTATGAGTTTAATGTCTTATATAAGAAATAACAACTTCATGTTTTCATAATGTGTCCGAACATAAACAGGCCAATATTTTCCAAAACCAAAAATTAACTTTTACTGTCAGAGTAAATAAAAAGAACTCAGTTATTAGAGTGACGTCAGTCTAATATAAATGAGTGACACCTTATTTAGTTTAACTTTCTCCTCCCACAGACGACAATGAGAAATGCATTGTGGGAAAGGGTGAAGGATACCGCGGCACATGGAGCACCAGCAGTTCAAGATCAGAGTGTATTAACTGGAACTCCACGGCTCTGAGAGGAAGACGGTTCACGGCGAGAAAAAGCGACGCTACTAGTCTGGGACTGGGCAATCACAATTACTGCAGGTACGTGACGAGTGTCAACTCTTTACACAGGAGCATCTGTAGGAATTAATGAGAATCTATTGTTCCTGTGCCAATTTTCAATTTACACTTCATCAAAGACTTATTCGTCAAATAAGTCTGATTGTGGAGCTGCAGCCAAGTACAAAAAAATGTCTTGAAACACCTTTTCTGCAAGAGCGTAGTGTATCAAAACACAGCTCATAGACAATACAGGTTGTAGTACAGGTAGTGGCAAAGCAAAACCCAACAATGTGAAAATATGCCTGAATTGGGAAAACCTTATCAGGATGAAACATTTTAAAATGTGTGTGTTTTTGTGTCATTAATAAACCATAAACATGATTTTTTTCTTGCCTCCTCTCTTTTCAGGAACCCTGACAGTGACGAAACTCCCTGGTGTTACATCTACAGAGGCAATCAGATCACCTGGGAGGCCTGTTCTATGCCCACATGTCCTGAAGGTACAGCCTCACATGAAGCTTTTAAGCTAAAATATTACAGTTATCAAAGTGAATTTCCAATAACAGTCTTTCTTTCCTGTGTTTTTTGGAGCAGATAGGAACCAAGAGTGTGTGCAGGGCTCAGGTCAGTCGTACAGAGGGACAAAATCTGTCACTAAGAGCGGTTCTCGCTGTCTCCCGTGGGACTCTCCGGCTCTGAAGCGCAAACTCAACAATGCCTGGAAAGCTGAAGCACTGGAGCAGGGGCTGGGCAGCCACAGTTTCTGCAGGTACACATTTCAGCTAAAACGTGATAACTGACAAACTCACATGTGGAAAAAAAAGAGAATGACTGATTTTCTTTTCTTAATTCAACAGGAATCCAGACGGTGATGTTGGTCCATGGTGTCACACCTACATGAACATGCAGCTGACCTGGGAGTTGTGTGACATCCCGAGATGCAGTGAGTTTCCTCATTACAGTTCATTCATTTAGCAGAAACGATCAAACCTAAGCCGCTCCAACCATAACCTCAAATCTTTCATTTTTCCAGCAACACGTCCATCTGTCATCACGACCCTTGACCCTCGCGCCCCGACCACAAACAACAACAACGGAGGTTGGACATTTTTACTTGAATTTCAAACACCAGAAGTCCATTTCTCTTCTTTTTTTGTTTTGCTTGTTACAGTCTAACTGACATTTAAACGTCCTTTCCGCAGCGACATGTGGCCAGCGTGTGGACAACAGCCTGAATCATCCTGCTTTCCGCATGTTTGGTGGTCGAGCGAGTGACATCACTGAGCAGCCATGGCAAGCAGCCATTAATGCTTACCAGGCTCGTCTCAAAAACCACTTCCACCGATGTGGAGGAGTCCTCATTGACTCCTGTTGGGTTTTGTCTGCTGCACACTGCTTCGAGGACAGGTAAGACCCTTCACAAGAACACTAAAATTACTACTCGTCTTCCGAACAGCATGCTAATATTCCCTCTCTTTTTCTAGCGTCAAAGCAGATAAACTGGAAGTGATTTTGGGAAGAACGTTCCGGAAACAGAACTCTACTGGTGAGCAGATTTTCAAGGTTAAGAAGTACTGGATCCATGAGAAATTTGACCAGGACACATTTGACAACGACATCGGTGAGTAAACAATCCCATCTTTTGTTTTCCTAGTCTAGTGTCACCGAAATGTCAGCTTGTCAAACTAAGAAAAAATGAGTATTTAAAACATGGTTTTGGTATACCATGAAGAAAGTTTGGAAAGTTAAATGAGACAGTGTAGCGGCCCAGTTTCTCCCTGGGGGTGATGATATGGAACATAAAGTGGGCAGCAGAGGCTTGTTAAAACTTTGAACCCAAACCCTCAGTCTTCAGCCACATCTTCCCAGTGCATTATTACACTGACTTTCCATTGGTCACTTTCCACTTGCAGCTCTTTTGAAGCTTCAGACGGACATTGGCATCTGTGCTGTAAACTCTCCGGAGGTTCTTCCTGCGTGTCTGCCTGAGCGTGGGCTGGTGCTGCCCGACTGGACTGAGTGCGAGATCTCAGGATACGGAAAAGACTCTGAATGTAAGCAAACATGCTGCTTAACCGTGGCACTGTGTTATTTTTGTATGGCTGCTGTTGGGCGAAAGGCATTAAATGGTTGAACTGGTAGCACTGATGTGACTGACCAGCAGGGGGCAGTTTTTGCTTTTCTGCAAATCCTTATTAGAGCCTCTTTTAGGGAGAAGTTACTAAGTCTGATATCTTCCCACAGTTTCTGCAGAGTACTCTGAGCGGGTAAAGAGAGGTCACGTACGTCTGTGGCCCAAAGAACGTTGCACCCCTGAAGTCCTATCTGGTCGCGAGATTACCCCCAACATGCTGTGTGCAGGAGACACCCGAAACAGAGATGACGCCTGCAAGGTGATCATTTCTACCTGTAGTCCTTCCCTCAAACGTCATTCAAAAACATCATCAAGACTTAGTCTTACTTTTATCTTTCCTTTTTCCATCGCAGGGAGACTCTGGTGGCCCACTCGTCTGTCGCAATAACAACAAGATGACTCTGATGGGTGTGATCAGCTGGGGCGATGGATGCGGGCAGAGGGACAAACCCGGGGTTTACACCCGTGTCACCAATTACATCGACTGGATCAACGGGATAATCAAAGCTAACCCAGTCTAAAGGTGGAGAGACTGGAAAGAAGGCGGTGTTGGATGATCAGACGCATAAACACAGTGGGTCAGATAGGAAATGTTGATGTGCATCATCTGGGACAATAAACAGAAAGACCCACCGGATTGTTTATGTTCAGAGGTTTTTGATGTAAAACCAACCTGAAGACTACCACAGAAACGCACAAGAACCTCAATCATGAGTGTTGATACTCAGTGTAGCTCTCGTTCTCTGTTCTTTGCTCTGTTAAACGTGACCGTGTGTGTGTGTACGCAGAATCACAGGACAAGCTCTTGATCTTCATTATCATGTTGTCATGTACAAAATCTTTTCACGTGTTTCCTCTAAGTTGTGAAACAACACGAGAGGTTTATGACAGGAAACAACATTTTTTTCTGCCCGCCTGCTGGTTTATGCAGAGAAACGTGGCAGACTTCAGGTCAGTAGCACTTCTAATCGGTAAGAGCAATTTAGTTTGCACAGTAGAGTGTGTCACATAGGAATGTAGGCTTTTCTCACAGAGACTGTGTTTGAGACTTGTTATGTAGATGCAGATTTGATAACATAACCAGTTTTAATGCAAATAGTTTGCTCACTTTGGAGGTATAGAGAGATCAATCTCAATTTCAGGACAAATCTGCTGGTTCAGATTCTGCTTGATGGTGCAGTTTTAACTCCTTCACTTTAGCACACTCAGCTCCCCTGTAGATGGGATGACATTTGAAAAGGTGGAGGAAGCTAACTTGGGATTTTCACTCTTTTCAATAAACCTGTGACCTGTTCTTCAAGCTTCCCTTTAGAAGAAGAGAGAACTTTTCTTATGTCCTCCACTAGTTTTTCCCACCAGACTCCTGGGTTGAGCCTAATGTGTACATAACATGTATATTGACTTTATACTGAAAACAACGTTTTGTTTTTTGTCTTTTGTCTTTTGTACTTAACAAACTGCTTTTTGACTGCAAGGCTTGAATCCTACTCTAACTAATTGTTTCTATAACTGATAATTTTAAGATGTTTTATACTACTTTTTATTATTTAAATGTTTTGTAGAGAATACTTTTGTACTGTGTGTACTAAAGCTAAATAATTTATTGTCACTGTCATAACTATATCCTGCAATATACCCAAAAATAATAAAAGAAATAAATCTTTTCTGCTTAAACGTTGTTGTTGTTGTTTAATGATAAAGCCGCACTTTAATGGAATCTGACTAAAATTTTGTTTCATCCATCATATTCATGTACCACAGTTTAGAAAAATGTGAACTCTGTTAGTTTAGGTACATAAATTCTTGACATCATCTTGATTATTTTCTGATTTTAATTTCAGCATTCACTCACATTTAAGCAACACGAACATCGCTGGAGCTTTTTTTTTTATTATTATCGTGTGCTTCTTGACTGCAACAGCGATTACTCTATCCATGGGATGAATAAAAACATTAAATGCCCTCTAAAAAGGGGAAAAGTGAGGTGAGGGGGGCCTTCGGGGAGCACTTCAGGTGGAGAAAAAATGATGGAGTTGCTTGAGTTTCGTTCACAGCCCCAAAAATTAAAAATCAGCTTTTTAGGGCTCACTCACTTACAGTGGAGTGGATCGTAAAAAAGTCTCTTCAGGATAGGTTTGACAACCCTCTGAGGCTCAGTTCAGAGACGGAAAAATCATGACCTGCTTTCAAACCCTTTTGGTGGAGAAAAAAATCCATTCAGGGTGTTTTCTAGTGAAGAAAACATGATGAGATGCACTACAGGGTTACAGCCAGACAGAGGAAACCTAATCAAGTGTTCTCTGGGGTCTCTGTCAGGAGGAAGGAAATCCTTAAGCATCCTGCAGCGTCTTTTTCTAATGGATACAAGTGTGATCATCTGATGTCCAGGGGGCTTGAGAAACACACAATAAAACCTATTAGGCAGCCCCTCTGAGTAAGAAAATGTAATAAAATGCCATCTATGAGACCCTGACATGAACATAATGTGACATATTTTCATCATCTGTGCCCTCCCAGTATAAAACATGTTAAAGACCCCTCTCTTGGGATAGTACTAAATAGAAAATGCAATAAACTGCCATCTGAGTTTACCCTTTAGTGGGAGTGTGTGTGAGGGAATGTACCAAAAGGTTAATGATTAATTTCCTCTCTTGATCGTAGAGGAAAAACAAGAGGGGTTTTTGTGGCAATGTATGACAAAATATATGAGATTAAGCTGGAGCAGCTAGCAGTGGGGACATATGGAGGTGTAGGAGCTGGAATGAGCAGCTCATTCAAAGAGAGGCAGTTCAGCAGCAGGTGAGGCTGACCGACACAGGTAGGAAATGCAAATGAGATCAGTTAGAGCCTCTCCTCACATTCTCTCTGTATCGCTCACTCTCGATCTTCAGAGCCATTTGCATCTAAGAAGCCAAACAAATACATTTCCTCATGACATGAGCTGTGAGACTCAACCTTGGACCATGACAATGGTAAAGTACATTTTTAGATTTGTCACTTTGGTTTTCTTTCTGACCGTTTTGGTGGAATCAGGAGGAAGTAAAGAGGTGTTGTCGATGGCAGAGTTTTAGTGCTGTAGCTCTTGTGTTGTCAACTGTACTTGATCGTTTTCCTTCTGGATGTGAGTGTGGGGGACAAATGATAACAGCTTTAGTTTAAAAGAACAAAGACAGCAAGTGTTTGCAGATAACCTCTGAGTAAATACACTTACTGGCATCAATGTTGTGCTTCACTCTTGAATAAAGTTCAATGTTACACAATAAAGTTTCATGTTACACACAGGATCTTGATTACAAAACTGTATTGCATCAGTATTATCAGTACAGCTGCTACTGTTGCCTTGCACTTTTTTTTAAAGTTGCACGAGATAAATTGACTTTATTATAATTTAACTGCAATAAAAAGGTTAAGCAAAGCAGAAACATGCACAGTTAACATTGTTGGTTTGAGGTAGATTTGACAATATTGCATTTACATATTTGCGAATAGCATCTAAAAGCTTTAACTGTGGCTTTCAGTCTTTTGTGCTTCTCTCATTATGCATTTGGGAACAGATGACTATGCTGCGGTTTGAGAGTTGTTAGGTTGGATGGTGGGGTTGGCAGGGGGAAATAAACTCATAGGAAAACCAAAATAGAGCCACACTCAGGGTATTTAATAACTAGACTAATTTTTCCAGAGTTTTCCAAACATGTGTCCTCTATTTCACGATGAGAAAAGCATGAAGCCTAAAGCCCCGATTATGACGTGTTACTGTCTAATATTAGTTTCTCTTACAGCGATACTGTCTGTATTGTGTTAATCATTTGAATGTTCAGTCGGCCTTGTCTGTGTTTTCATCAGATTTCACTTCATGTTCACTCATTTTCCTTTTTCCTCTTGTGGGCCTTGACAACAACTGACAGCATTTTCCACTGAGACCAGTTTAGCTGCACAGGTGTTCAGCACTGTGGTCGGCACAAAGCAGAACACTGTCATTGTAACGTGATCAGGCCCCAAAATGCTAATATTCCCGGAAAAGCAGAACAGTGACGTAGTTATCTTGATTTTTTTATATCACCTCTCACATGTGCTTCATTTTTCAACAGTGAAGTCACTGTTTTCAGGTGTTTTGTGTGCCAGTGTGGGAGACCGAAACTCCACGTAGTGCCTCCTTCTCTCCCTTCCTGTCTGCTATTATCATTCACTTTACATCTACACTTCCTCTACGGTCGCCAAGCACTGTGGGAAAACAGATACTGTCGCTCAGCTTCCTGATTTCACTTAATGAGTGTATTTATCTCCTGCCAGCCTCTCTCTGATACATGCAGATGGACTCTTTGAATGTCTGTCACAAAGCAGCTCTGCCTGCAACCTGTTATAGGAAAAGTGGCCTATAAACAAAAGCTGTACGCAAAATGTGTTTTGCTTTTAGATAATAATGTATTGATAACCTCATGTTCATTTACACCTAATATGTAGTCATGTGTATAAGTTGCTGTATAAACCATGTATTGTGTTTGTTTCCCTGCATCAACATACTACATTTAAAAAAACCTCTTTCTAGCTGAAGCAAACACACTCTGGTATCTAATGTCAAATAATGCCCCACTGTGCTCCCTGTTGAATTTATCTGAAACTTTGTTTTTCAGAGTTTCTTTGGAAAACTAAAAAACCTGTAAGTATGGTTTTGACTATTAGGAGTTTTCCATTTGTTGTCTTTATGTCTGACCTCTGTTTTCTTGGTATAATACAGTGGACCTCCAGCTCCTCCCAGAAGGACAGGTGAGATCTGAGCTCACTGTGGAAGACAGACAAAACTACTTCAATATTTCATGCCTTTATTTGTCTCATAAATGACTAATTTTGTCTTTTTTAAAATGTCTGTTTTAGACGACAACATTGGATGGCCAAAGGATGAGTTTGTAAGTTATAATATCCCTTATCTGTAAATATTTGGAAGTGTTATCATCATTAAAGTCCCATATCGTCACCCTCTTAAAATAAGGCTCTAAGGCAATGGTCAAGTTTTTCAGAAATGTTTCTGAGTGCTCTCAGAAAATGGACTAACTTTCATTCTTTACACAGGTGATTATACTCAAAGGATAATATCACATGATCTGTTCAACTGAGGATTTAGGCAATTCTAACAGAGATGGGCAGCATCATAAAGGATCGACTTAGGGGGGGAAAAGTCATTTTTGTTTAAAAGTGACTTAGGCCATTATTTTAAGAAGGTGACAATATGTAAAGGTAGTCTAAAGTGATTAGGTGTCCATGTCTATAAATGTCCAGAGAGGGGCGCTATGCAGCAGCTCAGTCAAAATTTCCCCATGAAGCAGAATAAAAGTTTACATTTATTCACCCTCTCTGTCTTCACTAATCACACCTCATTAATGTAACCACCATATATGTGTTTGTATGTGTTGGTTGAGCAGGGCCGTCTCTTTTGCAGCTTAAATACTTCATGTTTTGTATTGGCAGGATGATGATGAAGAGGACGGTGATATGTATGAGGCCCCTCCCTGTGAGCGACCCCTGGTGAAAGTCCCACAGAGACCCGTGGAGGAAAACGTGTATCTTGGTAACAGCTTTACCCTCATCACTACAGATACAGAGTTAGCTCTAACGGCATAAAAGACTCTTTAGTATTAATACTACTTGAAAAATCACCACAGCTTCTCTTAAAACTCTGCAACTTGATGCAACTTCTTGCAGGCACAACATCCAACCCTGCTGTCCCACAGAGGCAAGCTGCTCCTCCACCTAGAATGGGCAAACCCTTGGTGAGAAAAACTCAGGTGTACAGCTGATTAAGTCTGTGTCTATACTTTCAAAAGGTGTTTTAACTTCACCTCTTTCACTTAAGAAACCTCAACAGCGTGTTGAACAGTTCAACTTTGATCCAAAAATCAAGAAACGTGAGTACTGGATCTACACAGCTGCTCCTTTACTCTGTAATCTCATCATTAAATCTCACCATAATGGCTTTACCTGTGTTACTGCAGCACCTGAGATAGACAGAACTGAGAAGCCTGGAAGAAAGAAGATAACGCCTACTCCACCTGTTCGTCCATCTCCTGCTCCAATCCCTGCGCCCAACACAGAGGAAGGTGCAGCTATCACTTTTGCACACAAACAAGCCTTTCACAGAGATACTGTAACAGCCTGAGAATGACTGCTAACTGAAAATAGGTCAAAAGTCTTATTATGGTGACATGTCACCCTGAGGTTCACTGTAAAGAGCAGCATTGGAGCTGTACCTTGAGGAAAGAGTGCCACCTAGTGTAGTACCTTTGAGCAGCACATTCTTTAGTAAGTAATAAAGAGAAATCATCAGCACTTTTCATTAAAATACTCCAAACATCGAAAAGATGCTTCTCCGGTGTGGAAGAATACTTTCACTACATCTTGCACATCTGCCAAAAACTAAAGGTCAAAGGTGATGAGCAAATAATTCTGATTCTCTGTTGGAGTCCTCTCTGTCTGGACTGCCTAACAGACTTAAAATGTTAATGGACTGTCGTATATCACAACTTCACAGATCACTGTGTTTTCTTTGTGATTTTTCAGATGTGTATCTGGACCCTAATGAAAAACAGGCAAGTGTTACTCGTGCCCACACACACGTCACAGGATGTGGTCCAAATCTTTACAGACAGAGTTGTTGGGTGATATGTTTGTTAGACAGAAAGAAGTATATAACGTTTGACAGTAGCAGGAGCATTTCCAGGCCATGGCTTTAAGATAAAACAACTTTTTTAAGCTGTTACTGCTAACCAAATAAAATACCTGACAGGCCCACAAAGCAGAAGCTAAACGTGTCTGTTTGAAGTGACTGCTAACCTTTTTGTTGGACTAGGTTTAAAGTAGGGGTGTAATGTTCATAAAGCAGTTTGGACAGGATAAAAAGGATTAGAAATCAGCTCCAGTCATCGGATCAGCTTTAAAATGAGTTAAATCCTTCAAAAGCATTGATCCTTTATGACTGATTGTAGTACAGATAGGCTGCTGAAAAGCTGTCCAAGCAGCAACAGTCACCCAAATCACACCTTACAACAAACATGTGCATTCATTGACTATTTTCAAATTCAGAAACTTGAAGAGTTGTGAAAGTGAGTGTCAATTTGAAGAACTACAACAAGCTCATTTTAAAACATCTTTCACTGTCTGCTGCATCATTCTTACTCGGTGTGTATTTCAGTTGACTCTTTTTCTCCCGTGCATGTTTCAGGAGGATAATGATGAGCTGTATTTAGAGCCCACAGCTGGTAGGTTCATCACTCTAAGTGACTATTATCTCTGAATGTTGTTTTATGTTCTTCTACTTTTGGTTTGCATCCATAGATTTGTGAAAAAAAACCATCTACATAAAGTTATCTCAGACAAAAATGATCATTTATTTCCACCTCTTCAAAGCTTGCCCTCCTGACCCCCCTGCACCAATGAGGATGCATTCATCTCCATCTCCTATCGCGGCGTTTGTTCCTCCTCCTAGACCTGTGTAAGTGCACTACATCGTCTACCTTTAGCATACAGTGTAATACAGGTGCAGCTCAATAATTTTACAAAACACCAAAACAAAAAAGGATGCACCTTAGCATGGAGGCATCTGTCTGGGACTCTTATGAGGTGTTACTGAAGTCCAGGTTGTTTTCATAGCTCCTTAAACTCGTCTGTATTTTAGGCTCCTATCTTTTTTTAAAATGATAATCCAGAGATTCTCTATGGGGTTCAGGTCAGGTAACCTTCAATCCAATGAATGTGAACCTTCCTTCTGTCTGCAGGGTGAAGCCTCCAGTCCCCAGAGCCGAGTCTGTGAGTGTCCCCATTCTTCTAATTTCTTATTAGTTTCTCATGATAATCTCGTTCCTCATTTAAAGGCAGATTTAGGCTGGATTAGAAATCAAAGTCTTCATTCCTGCTCAGAATTTCTTTTTCCTGCTTAAGCTCAGTTCATCACAATGACACAGCAGTCACTTCGACTTCCTCTGTTTCAGATGCAATCGTTGCACACTCTGAATGAGGCTAAAACAGGTAACAATGACATCTTCCTCTCTCATTAAAAGCACGTCAACTGTCAGTATATAACCTCATGCAGCATTAATCATTTTAACAACATTATTTGAGTATTTTTTTTTTGTACAGCTCCTTTAGTTGAAGCAAAGAGAGCTGCATTTTCCCCCAAACCCCCTCCCCCTGCCCCAAGCATGAAACCCTCTCTGCCTGCAAACCTGAAGGAGGTAAAACCAAGGTAAGACGAGGGGGAGGGACACAGGGAGGTGTGTTTGACTAATTAAACAATTATCAAACATCGCAGGCTCAAGTTATTTTCAGGAAGTTTGAAGTGACTCTGACTCAAAGTGCATGCATGCATGACAATTAAATTCAGTGTAAAATGAGCCCTGCTTTTTTTCTTGAAGTCCTCCAGTGCCTCCTTCAGCAGACAAGCCTGTAGGTAAGCACATGAAACAAAGATTACACATTGAATATCATCAAAACATAAAGTTGATCAATAGGCTGTCGCTGTATGGAGATGTCTTCAACCTGAACTCAATAAATCCCGTGTTTTTTCTCTTTTTTAAGTCTCCTCTGGTGTTACAAGAGCAGCAAAACAATCTGGGCCTGAGGTACAATATCAAATTTAGAGAAAACTTTACTTCTGCTATCGAGGACCTGCTCACTGCTGTTATATTTCTCCTTTTACAGGCCAAAGAATGGTTTGCTGGAGACTGCAGCAGAAAGCAGGCAGAGGATGTCTTAGAGAGAGTCAACAAGGTAAACCATCATGATTTATCTCATAATATGAAAATAATCTGTTAGTTATTGTTTTTTAGCAGTTAAAACCACAGTTCGAGGTTTAGCTTCTGTTTTAAAACAAGCAAATGCAACAAGGGCTTAAGGCAAGGGTGTTGGAGTCGAGTGTTTATGGACATGTTTTTGCTGGCAATAATTCACGGGTAAAAGCCAAATCTGAGTCAGACACCTTCAGGGCTTCTTTGTCCACCACTCACTCTAGATAATGTTTCCAGCTTTGAATTATGCCCTTTAAAACATTAATCTAGTTTCTACCTACTTTACCAAAAGTCCTCGGTTGCAAATCAAAATCCTACTTAAAGCTTGACAAGTCTGTCTTTTTTCATTCTTTACGCCAGTTTTTCCATATGCTCTCTCTTTTTTTTTGTCTTGGAGGATGGTGCCTTTCTCATCCGAAACAGCTCAGCTCAGAAACCCCGGCAGCCGTACACTCTCGCTGTTCTCTACCAGCAGAAAGTGTACAATATACCCATCCGCTTCCTGGGGGAGACACAAGGGTACGCCCTTGGAAAAGAGGGCAAGAAGAACGAAGAGGTGAGGGAATATGAGACAAGTTTAATAGAGGGGAGCAGGGTATGTAGGGAGAGAGAGAGAGGAAGAAGATGTAGAAAAGAGGGCAAGGTTATGGAAGAATTGCAGCTTTATAAGAAGGCTTTGGGCTTTATTAATCTTTCCTTCTCTCGCTTAGATTTTCGTCACCCTGGAGGAGATGATTTCCCACCACAAGAATAACCAGCTGCTTCTGATAGACAGCAAGAGCCAAGCCAAGCACACAGCGTATTTAACCCACCCTGCACGTCCATAAAACTACACCACCACATGTTCGATCTTGTTCTGTTCTTAGAGTTCATATAAGTTATATAAGATAGCAGCAAAGTCTGACAGTTTTATCCTTGAAATAATGTTTGTCTTCTGTGGTATTTGAGTGTGCATTAATATGGACATCGCGCCTCCCTCTCCTCTCATCAATAAAAAGTGAAGCCAAAATGTCATCTCAGTGAGGACCGAATGGATTGATTAATTTGAAACAGCTGGTTTAAAAGTGTTATGGAAAGTTATGACTTTTAAGATAGTAAACATGAATGAAGTCCACATTTGTCAACAGAGCTCTCAATCATCATCCTAAAAATGATACTTGAGACGTACTCATACTTCTCTCAAAATCAAACATTTGCACAGATGTCAGCAGGATGGAAACCGTCTGCTTTGAGAGGAAGCATGTGAAAGAAAAATGCAATTGACATGTCTTTTTAATTTTCTAGTTTTTTTTTAGTTTCTCCATCTGTAGGAGGAGGCAGGCTCTAAAACCTAAACTAGAACTGGTCTCTAGAGAAAAGAACTTTCACTTTCGGGGAGCTGTTTATGTTTTATACTGTCTATAATACAACACTTTACATCAGCTGCCAGATTACAAGACTAAATATTGTTTTAAATGAGAATAACAGACAGACTTCTGGTGTGTGTCTTTTAGTAGTCTTTTATAGTTTTGTTAGTTTGATGACTTTAAGTTTGGAAACTGTTCACACACAGGTGTAGTTTCTGTTTGATTTTGTAGATACTGACCAAATGTCAGACTCCATCTACTTTACCATACTTTATTTAATTTCTTTCTCTTTGTGTAACTTTTTAACCCAGACCAAGATATTTTTGGTCAGTCTGTGGTGCATGTGTGTATTTGTTTGAGGATGTCGTACATGATGAAAGGTTGGCTATTTAAGTCCTTTACATAAACTTTAACCTCTGCTTGTGATGGATCCTCATCAGTGAGGGTCAGTGTGGCTTTAAGTGGTACGCCTGGAGCTCTGTGTGTGTGTGCGTGTATGTCATAGACTGTGTGTGTTTGTGTGTGTTCATGTGTAATCCAGAGAGCAGCTTGACTCTGGCCACTGACCAGATGCTGTTGGTTACACCTGCTTCCTGTCAGAGTCAAACCACCTACTCTGTGGCCAAAGCATAAATCCTAACCAGTCAGCAAACTACACAGTAGAGTCTATTTTATAACTCTCATTGAGTTTGAATAAATGACCTTATTTTGTTCTGTGACTTTAATAATGATCTGCATTTTGTAAATCCTGCTTTTGATGATGAATAAAAGTCAATTTTAACTTCAAGATTCCTGAAATCAATAAAATTAATGGTGAAATAAACATTTGCTCTTGTGCTCACGTATTTATAAAGTTTTTTTACTTCTATTTTTAGCTGTGGCTGTTGTTTTTGCATGGGCTGGTGGTGTAAATGAGTGCTGAGTAACTTCCTGGAGCCAATGTCATTTAGCAAAAAGGTGTGAGGCATCTTGTAGCTCTACTGCAGGACTACAGCGTTGAAAATAACATAGCCCTAGGACTTTTACCTCAGCTGCATTGAGAAACTCCTCTCTGTTGTGTATTTTGTACCCCCATGTTCATTATTTGTATTACACACTAATAAAAACTGCATTCAAGTATATTTTGATGGTGCAGTGCACTCATGAGACATTGGTTATTTATTCGATTTGAAGCTACAGATTAATTTCAGTTTAATCTGTAATTTCAGTTTTAATGTTTACTCATTTTGTGTGTGTGTGTGTGTGTGTGTGTTTGCCTTGGTACAATAGAGCAAGTAAATAAAAGACAAAACACAGGGGTAAAAAAAGAAAAAGGTGGGCAGCATATAATAAAGACCTCCTCTCATGTTTCAACCACATGGATTTAAATGTTCAGCCAACAGGTCGACTCTGGTGAAACATTTCCATCATCAACAGAAAGTTAATAGCTCCTATATTTACATGGGTTGCTTGGTTATTTTATACACCTGTACTTCATGTGATATTTTAAATCAGTACCTTTATAAATATTTTGTAAGTGTCTTACTTAAATCTATTCCTGTCAAAATGTCTATTACGCTTAATATGAATGTTAGGTTTAAAACCTGCTTGCATTTACCTGAAATAAAAGGAGAAAGACAATGGATTATGTTTGAGAAACGGACAGAGATCTGTTTTAGCTATCTCAGTACCACTCTAAGGATACTTTCTCTGTCCGCCTCTTTTATTTAGAGATGTCCCTGGTTACACAATGTTTCTAAAATGGTGGGGGTAAATGTGCTGCAAAGTAAGCATTTCATAGAACATAATAATGAACAATTTGTGAATAGCTGAAGGTCAAGGCGGCATCTAACGAGCTCCTTCTGATAAGGATGGATCCTTCTCAAAAGCTTCCCACGATTCATCAGCGGAGAATACGTCACCCCCACACCCACACCTGCTGATAGGAAAAACACGGTCATAGAAAACAGAAAAAACATTGTGTACTGTGTAGTAAAGCTATTGAAAAGAGAGAAGTTAGGAAACACTCTTATATGATAAAAATACTCTAATATAATGTATAGAAAAGATGTCAAAGAGTTTATATATGTAGTATAAACTCTTACATAAGAATATGAGGAATAATGATAACTTCTATATACATGTATGCACATTATTCTAACAATGAGCTGTATTAATATGGCAGGCCCAAGTATAAACTTTATTTCATGGTATATCAATCCAAAATTGGTCTCAACACAAGTCTTGTTTCAAGGAACTTTTAGGAAAACATGACTTGCTGCTTTTTGGGCCATTTTCACACATTAAAGTCAGTCATGTCCTTATCCTTGGCTTATACCCTGATAACAAGCCTGTCTGCAAAGTTAGCCATGACTTAAGTCTGCAGCAATCTACTGACCAAAGATGTTGCAAAAATATTCAATAAGTTCACCGGTGGCAGGTGCAGAGTCCTAAGCTCCATGCTTTTACATAATTTTGGGAACATTTCTTTCTTTCTCTCTGCCCCTACCTTGCATTAGAAATATTTATTTTTACTTTGACTTAAGCAGATTCACATGTAGTGAGTCAAAAATGATAAAAACTGTCCTTTTATGTGACTTGTTTAAGTGTTTCTGCCCATGCTTTTTTTTTATTCATCATGATGTCCTAGACTTTGGCCACTGCAAGCCTATTGGACTTCAACCAGGTGAAGGAAAGGAAATCGACCTTAGTACATCAAGTTTTTATTCTGAATATGCAAGTTTCTGTGCAAGGTCGTTTGTGGTGTAGGAGGCAGGCCTACCTGCTGCACAGGTGAAGCTCATGAGGTTTTCTGGTTGGTGCAGCACCATGAAGGGCAAGTTATCAGATTTGTTCTGCTGGATGGCCCAGGTGGAGGATGCTTCACCATGTTTCTCTGCAGGCAGACTAGCCCAGATGACTTTTCCTCATCTTTTATTCTGTGAACATTGAAGAGTGGACTTTTGCCGCTTTTTTCAAACATGGGGGCACCAGTGTCCTGTGGACTGAACGGACCAAAGTGCCCTGAAGGGTGTTTATTGAAAAATTACTCATAAAGCGCCTGGATCTTTATTTACATGAGCAGCTCAAACTTACAGTGATAAAAGTCAAGTGTTAATCATTTTGGAGATATAATGCAAAGGTGGGGCGCTTGTCACGAGCCCTGATTTCGAAGTTGGTGGAAATGAAGGGGGAAGGGGCTGCGGCGGAGGGGTACAAACCGCACATCCGAGACGGCTCTGAGAAAAACAGGATTACCCTCAAATTGGGAAATTCGTGTGCAGTCATCCCCGAGTATATCTCGGTGCGGAACACGAGTACAGCCCAGTATCCTTACTCGACACGAGGAGGGACCGTTTCCTTACAGGGCTCAGTAGTAGTTGAGGTGGACTAGTTTTCTTGGCGGAGGTGCGGAGGTTTCGATTCGGGACTAGCGTAGGGGGTCTACTGAATGAGAGCAGTCACTGGATTCGTCTGATACCAACGCAAGCCACCCAGACTACCTACTCCTGTCCATCATATTTGACTTTTGGGGACGTTTAGGGCACAAACAGAACAAGACCACCTCTTTTCCTCCTGCTGTCCCCTTCCCCTTTCCTTCCTCGCGGATTCTTCAGTGAGAGAAATCCTGCAGAAATGGCTCAGATACTGCCGATACGATTTCAGGAACATCTGCAGGTAAGCAGACACTGAAAAAAAGCTCTAAAATGAAATTCACCTTCTTTGTTTTTGTGTGGGTCCTTTCTCACGGAGACCCGCACGCGCTCGGCACATGTCGCATTTAAAGGGAATGTGAAATAGGGCTGCAGGGTGGTGCTCAATATAGCCACAGGCCTAGTTTTCTCCTGCCGGGCAGATGATGACTTGTAAAAATTGACCAGTCAGATCGTATACAGCAGCTCCAATGCGGACCGGTGTGTTTGTGTATCTGTGTGGACACATTGCAGCTTTCTCCCCTTCCTGTGTAAAAAACCTCGCTGTCATTTTCAATCCACGCTTATTCCAACTGCGGTGTTTGGACACTTTTATGTTGCAGGCGACTGAGCTCAGCTGTTGGTGCTTACATTGTAACCGAGACCTGACTGGCACTTGCACTCAGGCTTTTGTGGCTACCATGTTGTTGTCATGTCCTGCAGCAGCATATTCCCACTATGTAACCTTCACCAGCAACACTGCCCAGTAGCCTGTGTGCAAGAGTCCAGACCCTGAGAAGAGGTGGGCAATAACCATTATAATAATATGATAATGTAATAATCATTTAATGCTGTTTAAGGCAGATTTTTAAAGGCCGGAACAGGCTCAGTGGGAGAGCCGCAACACTCATAAGCTCATATGAAGTTGAGTTTTGTGTTGCAGCAGCAGTATTTTATTGATCTGATGTGTCTCTGTGCTCTGCTTGTGCTGTTCTCATACCACAGGAGCATCTGTGCAGTTTCAAAACCATCAACATGACAGGGTAGCAAAGGCTGCGTAGTCTCTTTTAGCCAGCCCCTTAAGGTGGAAAAAACAACACAAAATGCCCTTTTTATAATCTGTGGAAAAAAGGAAAACGAGCAGCCACTTATTTGGGCGTCGGTGGAGGAACTGCTGCCTACTATGACCCCCCTTTTCCCCTCTGCTTTGGACTTTGATAATGGTTGTCCCGTTGCAGCCCCAGTTCTGGGTGTCTTGCAGCCAAAAGAGAAACTTCTGTGACGCACCCCTTCACTACCCCTCCTCTGTGGCTTGTTGTTATGGTAACAGCAGGCAGTGAAATGGCCTTTCACTAAAGCACAGGGCCCCCACCCCCTCTCTTCCTCTGGCCAGTAGCCCCACTTTCGTCAGCCAAAGATCCTTTATTCACTAAAAACTCTGCTAGCCAAGGGAGCTTGCAGCCCAGCAGGCTCCTCTCCTCTTGATAGGACTGGTGCATGGTTGTCTAATGATGGAGGGCAGTCAGTACCTGGCAACGCCTGGGTAATAGGTTCAAATAGCTCTCAGCAGTGCATACCTTTCTCTTATACATCTTCTAAGGAAATCTCGGCCTTGAGACAGTGATAAGCAACAGACGGCTTTACGTTCCACCTCTACCGTGAAATCCCAGCTCTGCCCCTCTCATATCCCTCTGTGAATCTAGGTGGCTCCAGCAGAGTGAAAAATGCTTGGAATTTGCAAACCCAGGACTTTGGGCCTCAAGTTGTTTAGCTTTTTTTTTTCCTTCTTGGCCTGGTATTTACAGCTCAGTGTCTGCAGTCTGTGCTGGGGGTTCAGGAGTGAAACTTGGACCTGGATTTATGATGAGATACTGGCCTGTTGACCTCACGGTTGCAGGAAATAAAGAGAAAAACCAATTCTGCAAACATCACAGTTATTCAGCTTGAAGAAGAGAAACCATAGAGATGCCTGAGACAGTATTGAAAATCCTGATCCCAGTTTGTCCCTTTGTTCTACATACATGTACCCCTTTGATACAAGTGAATGACCAAGACCAGAATGTAGGTTATGTCTGTGAGCCTGTATTGATGTGATGTATGACCTGAACCAGTACCCTGAAAAAACCTGACCACAAACATGGTAAGTCCATGTTAGCTTCAGCTCGGATGGTATCATGAGTGCTGGAGAAATTAAGTTTTTTATTGTATATAGAAATGTTTTATTTCTCCTTTATGTCAGTCATATCTTATGTTACTGCTTTGTGGACTACTTTTTTGAAGGAGAGGATATGTGTGCGTGGCCGTGTCATAGATTGTGAAGCTAAATGTGGGCTGCATCACAGGAGTTAAGTTGTGTGGTTCACGTAGTTTGCGGGATGAAGGAAGACAAGGACAGAGACTGCTGTGCTGAATAATGAAAGTGCTAAAGTGAGAGTCATTTGCAGCTCGTGTGGCTCTGCTGCAGGCTGTCAGTGCAGCAGCCTACGTATTGTAGCAGCTTGTGTAAGTGCAAAAATGTCCTGCAGCTCAAAGCGCCTGGTCATTGTCCCACTGAGCTGAGTTAGGAGAGTTGAACCTGCGGCTCTGCGGCTGTTTACAGCATCCTGATGTGCTGCCGTATCTGTACTGATGAAATGATGCCCAACCATTGGAAGTGATGGACAGAAGAGGGAAGCAGGTCCTATTTAAGTCCTGCAAATCACATCAGGAGCAGGAAGCAGGCGGAGAGAAGCGTGTAACTTGGTCTAACAGCACACATCTGTGACCGCAGCAGTGGCTGGTAGCGATGAGGATGAGCGTCTGTGTTCGGTCACCAAAACTTCATCATGAATGCACTGAAAGAGCGCTCATTCACACATACAATACGCACATTGTGTCCCTCTGCCATGTTCAGTGACTCACAAACTAATAACCGTTACAAAATTTAGGACAACTGACTCGAGGCTGAAACTACCAGTTAGATTGATCAACAAAATCCATTTTTACATCATTATCTAGTTTAATTAAAGTTTCCCTTTTTATTAGGAATCTATAACTCATCATATCATGATCTAAAAATGATCCTGTAGTTTTGTAGAGCCCAGGGCAACTGAATCAGACTGATCTTTTTAAGCATGTAGCTGTGCAAATATGGACATATTCACTTTACTATCATGCATGAAACAGATTATACTGATTTTTTTAATACCGTGAACATCAAACAATGACACTATTTCACTTTTTATTAGTAAACCGGAAGACTAAGTTCACAGTGAGCTGGAAGATACAGAAACCTTGAGAAGTAGAGAGAAATCATTTTGGGTGTAGAGAAAATCCTTAGTGTGTTTTTCACACCATGTGACCTTGTTGACATGAACACTATCTGATTTTCATATTCACCCTCTTTATCATCATAATTGTTTTGATTATGTCAGATTTACTCCTGACTTGTGTTTCTTTTTTTGAACTCTGGTGCACACACATAAAAACATCTTATTTCCACATTTTTACATGTTCTGATGAATATTTCCTCGGCGGTGTGGAGTAGCGACACTTGCTCGTGTTTTTGCTGCATTCCCCGGTTTAAATTGTTTGTGTAAATCTCCTCATGAACCTAAAACCCTTCAGCTGCTGATGCGACGTGTCAGTGTCTCAGCGGAGCATCCACCCAGTGTATGACTCACCATATACTGTCAGGGCTGTATCATCAGGGAAGCTTTTGTTATTGTTGTATTAATGCTCATTCTGTGATTGTTCCTCTCAGCTGTGAGGGGAGAAGACTTCTAGCAGTCTGCCATGGGCCTGAAGATGTACGACTTGAGGTTGTAGTTGAGGTGTGATTTTAGTCTGGAATGTTCCACTGAGGAGCGTGGGGTGGTTTTTCTTCCGGTGAGTCAGTTGCCCCACCCAGAACCGTAAATTGCCAAAGGCCTGTGTTCCTGGAACTGCACAGCACAGACCCAGCTCCTCATCTTCCTCTCTAATAAACGGTGCATTTATCACTCTGGCCTCTTCTTCACACTGGTTGTCTCCTCTTACACCCCCCCTTCCTCTGGCTTTCAGGAGGATGCTGGTCTATGTCTTCCACTCTTCCTTTCACTCCTTTACTTATCTCCTTTCCTTGTTATCTTTATTGTGCTGTCCCTCCCCTCTTCTTCCAGAGACAGTCGGGCAGTCTTGAGGAGATGCAGCATATGGCTTCAATCTCCCCTCAGGTCATGTTAGGCCTTTTCACGACGCCTACAGCTTTCACGTTCATATATCTCCCTAAAGACCTGTTGTACGTTATTATAAGAGCATGAAGCAGACATGGTGGTATGACTGTGCACTCTGAAAGCATGGAAAATGTTTGGCAAGCATATGTCATACAACTGAAATTTTGCAGGGCTGTAACTGGCTGTAGTTTTGACTGTTGTTTACAGTTTTACTTTGTAAATTAAAGACCACTGCTTAAAAATGTGATGTTCAGCTTAAATACAATCAAGACAAATATGAACTTCTTTCAATTTCTTCTTTCAATATAAAGTTTTAGTTCCAGCTTTAACTCAGTGTTTAAAACTACAGAACACGTCTGGATAATCTGTAAAGGATGACAAAAACACAAAAAGTGTAAAACTGAGGCTGAGGCTCAGTATAATGTTGATATCATATTGTGTTTTTTTTATTATATTTAATTTTGGTTTTGCTTTTTTGGCATCTCATCCTGCACTGCCATGTTTCTACAGCAGCTCAGAGCAGACAAACTAGTGAGGGCGACTGCAGAAGAATATAAAGAGCGTGTTCATTATTACTTGCAAAATTTTTTTTATTAATTTATGTTTTTGATGATAAAAACAAGACAAATAGATATCATACTTATACTTATCATGCATTATAAGAGCTTTTTGTCCTTGTGGGCCACCGTCATTTCCTGAAGTTCACAACAATAGAAGAGGTGAGCAAGGGAGCATTTCATCTCAATTATGACCCTGGATATAGCTAAATATAACAACTTCTACCCTTTTTATCTTTAAAAATTATGATATTAAAGCTTCTTTTTTTGCTATTGAACTTCGGTTGAGTTTCAGGCAGAGCTTTTATGGGTCATAAAACCGGAACAATGAGCTAAAAGAGGATAAAAAGCTCCATAAATCTCAGAGGAACAGCTGCTTTGACATGAAGTTTATTTCTTTAAGGCAATTTTTAAAAAATGGACATCACAGTGAATCTTTAAATTTAATTCCACCGTAAATGAAAATGTTGATCCCACGTTCTTGGATATAATCAGTCATCGTCCTTCATTTGCTTAAAAACAGCCCCTCTCATTGGACCCTTCCCTCGCTTCAACCCCAACTGATGTGACATCCTTCCTGTTTTGTAGACGACATGATTTAAATGTCTCAGCGGTGGGGATTTGTTGTCCTGCTCTCCCAGCCAACAGCTAGATAGTGCAGTCCTTGTGATGAGCGTAAGGATTCCTTTCCGCTTGCTTCAGACTGCATAATGCAGTCAGTTCAGTCATCAGGGGGAGAGTGCGTGTTCTGCCCTGTCCTCTCACTTCACAGTCACTTTGACAATGTGCACAATCATTCCTCTGTTCAGCAGCCGCTAACCTTGCTGTAGTCTTTCATGTTTGTTAGTTCTGCTTAGATTTCACACAGCAGAAATTGACATCAGCCGGATCTTTGGGTTGTTATTATGTCCTGAATCGTCTCCTCGTTAGGAAAGTAAACATGCTGAATAATGGATTAAAATTAGCTGCTGGTGCTTTTTTTGAGATTCAGATTTATTCCTCATGTGTAGAAGTTGGTCTCCGTCAGGTCTTTTATTTGTTTTTCACCACCTGATGGAGGCTGAAAAATCCATACTAATTAAACATCCTATCAGCTAGAAAGCTAACATCCATGCTAAATGTGCTGCTTGTTCAGGTTTAATCACAGATGCTGCTTGAATGAAATAAAAGTTCTGATCTTCTAAGTAACGTTGAAATTAAATAAGACATTAGTGACAATAAAAGTTAAAAACAGACAAACTCCACTTAACTGTTGAGTGTAAGGTGAAAACTAAAGCTCTCTAGAGTTCACACCTTCTGCTCTTTGACCTTCTGTTTGGAAAGAAACCTTCAAGAAAATCCTGGAAAACTGGAGCAGACCTGCTGCTATTGAAATTGAAACACATTTTTGGTCCTCTTCTTGCTGTTTTCTCTCTGGGCAAAGTGTCAGCAGCTGCCATGAACACTTTCCCCATGTCTTATTTACTGTCGTCAGAGGTATAACCTCTTTTAATAGTCTTTTAAAAAAGAATATTCCACCTTAAGGGTAGTTTGACTTGAAGCTGCAACGTAGGAAACTCTCAGTACTTTAAACATCAGTATTTAATTTAGCATGTTTTAGCATGTAAACCTCTTCAGCAGTGAATCAAGAGCTCATTACTTTTTCCTTTATCTTAACTTTTTAACAAATACAAAACATGAGTGAGAATGTATGGAGCCCCTGAAGGGACATGGATAAAAAATAAAAATTTTTGCGGGATCTTGCAAAATGTATTGCGAGCTCTTGTTATAGTCTTGTAAGATCTCACAAAACTGTTGCGAGATCTCGCAAATGTTGTCTAAGGAGTTATTGGTCAGTGTATTACTTCCATGTCAATTCAACAAAAATATTGAAACGTACACAGCTGTGGGAAAGGTTCAGTGAATTTTATTTTAAACTTATTTTTTGCCCACCTTGTCCTTTTAACATGCACATGTCTTCAGGACATCCTTTCACCGTAAGAATTCTTTCAAATTGCCCTCCATGACTCGTGTTTTATAAGAAAACAGTGCCTGCGTTGCAGAACTGATTTAATATCTTTTTATCTGAGGCCAATCTCAAAAAACATTCAATGAACCTCTCCCATGGATGTGTGCGTTCCATCGTTTGGGTTGACTCGACACCGAAGAAGTACACTGATCTATAATCTTTTTACTTATAACCCTTTGACAACTTTGTGAGGGCTCGCAATAGTTTTGCCAAAGCACGCAAAAGATCTTGAGAAAATCTTTTTTTATTTTTTTTCTCCTTCATGTCCCTTTAGGGGCTCCGTAAAAATCAGCTGTGGAAGTGGTCGGTTATTTTCAGGGAGCAGTTGCTAGGCAACCAAAAGATACACCTTGAAATTATCCTGTTTAAAAAAGCAAAGTATTTTTCCCTAGTTAAACAATGAAATATAACATGTTTAAGTGAGCTTCAATAGTGCTGGTAGATAAATGTTCTCACTCTCATGACTTGCGTTTGTTTTCCAGCTGCAGAACATGGGTGTGAACCCAGCCAACATCGGGTTCAGCTATCTGACCATGGAGTCGGACAAGTTCATCTGCATCAGAGAGAAGGTGGGCGAGCAGAACCAGGTAGTGATCGTGGACATGTCCGACCCCACCAACCCGATCAGGAGGCCGATCTCAGCTGACAGCGCCATCATGAACCCCGCCAGCAAGGTCATCGCCCTGAAAGGTACAGATATTTATATGAGCCACACAGCAACACTTTCAGGCAGCCACAGTATAACACTATCTGCTAACTGAGGAATACTGTGTGACTGTGAGAAAAAAAGCCGTTTGCTGCTATTATTAGTGGCTTTATACCAAATGCTGAGGTTATTATTGTTGGTTTAATTCCCAGAACGAACTCTGCATGGCACAAACTGTTTATTTGTCCTTAGTTTGAACAGATTTAGCCATCTCTAAATTTGCTGTGGGAATGCCACAGTCTTGCGATGACTAATGCTCGAGTCAATGCTGTAAATATGCAGAGTGCACTCAGCCCTATTGCCTGAATGTACTTAATTGGTTGTGCAGATTGATTTTATGCCACTGAATCTAGCCCTTAGAGCACAAACACAAGCACTGATCAGGATGATTTGCTTATAATGCTTCTCTCCTACCTCCTCTCTCCTTCTTCCTCCCCTCCTGAGGATTCAATGCCCCTGTTTACCCCCTTCCTGTGGTCTATCTTTGTCTCCTCAGTCTTACCTGATTGACACTTTGCTTTTTCTCCCTTTTTTGCTTTCTGCCTTTTCTCAGACGGTGAGTTGCTTTCTGTATGTCTACCTGTCTGGGGGATCTGTTGTGATGACACAGTAGCCATGTCTCTCTCATAAAAGCTTCCCACATTGCCATCTCAAGTATGCAGCGCTGTTTTGACCACTGATCAATCTAAAGATGGACAACTTTTATGAAATGACTTCTACTGACACGATATATCCACACACACTCCTACTCCTCTAACCTGCTGGCACATAACCTACTTTTATGGGAACTATACATGTGTTAGCATGACTTGTTGTGTGGTATGTAACATCAGATATCTCCCTCTGAAAAGAGCGTGTGCAGACAGCCGTATCACATCTTTTGCTGCATATAAAGGACACCATTATGACTAGTTTTTCTGGTGGTAGTTTCTCACAGCAGCTCCTAAATTCACCTGCGCCGTTCATTTCTTTCTGTGTTGCTTCATTGGTTCATGGAGGTTGTTGCAGGTCAGATGCAGGACTGTTTATAATACTTTGAAGCGTCTCTGCAAAACAAACTTCAAGTTTTTAGCTACAGTCTGCTCTCTTTCCAGAGGTCAGCTGCACACAGGAAGTGTCAGCAGGTTATTGTGTACCGAGTGAGGTTTCCCGTGTCCTCTGCTGGTATGCAGGTTTTTATTTGCTCAGGTTTTGAGGTATTTGTGCCTGAGATATTCACCGGTTTCCTACTGAAGTATTTTCGTGACAAGAAAAGCACTCTTTGAATTTGAATTTTTAATGCATCCGTCTTTTTTTTGTTGTTGCTATGAATCATCATGTTGCCACAGTTTTCTCCACATGCATTCATTCTCACAGTGTAAATAAAAAGTAGTCCTGTTTGATTGAAGTGGAGCTCTGCTCATGTCGGTCTGCGGGTTCCTCCAGCAGCTGTCAGTTTCCTCTCTCAAACACACTTGTCGAGAGCTGCAAGCTTTAGAGAGAAAACACCTTTCACTTACTGCTCAAAGCCATGAGCTGGCGGCAGGAATCTCAGAGACAGATATCTTCAACCTGAGAAAATAAAAACCAAACCTGTGTGTGCATCACTGTCACGGTAGACACAGCATAAATAAAGGTGGGTTTTCAGTTGTGAGTTCAAAGAAAACAGATCAAATTTAAAGAGGTTAGTTACACATTTAGGTTTCTTTAAATACATTTGGTGAATATTCCCCTGTTTTGTGCAGCCGTTTGTTGCCAAGATTTATGAGCAGCCTTTGGGAGAGTATCAAGTCAAAACATCGCCAACATCCGTGTATTCATTCATGGTTTAAATGTTGTTTTTGTTTGTGTTTTAAGTCATTATTTATTCTTATTTTCAGAAGATTGAGACAAAATAAGGTACTGTTTTCATATAACTGAAAATCCTCTGGGAATTATTTATCAGAGCTTACGATAAACTGTAGGACAGACTTCATATTGTTGTAGAGGGACCATACAGGTGATATTTAAGCATTATATATTAACTGGAACTGCATTAGTACACCACAGTTTTACATTTGATGTTTTAGTTCAACTATCTAGCTCTACTCTAAGTTTATTGAAAGCTGTCTCTATAACTACTGTGCTCAGTTATCAAGTCCTCACTCTTCCTCTCTCTTCCTCTCCCCTCAGCCGCAAAGACGCTGCAGATCTTCAACATTGAGATGAAGAGTAAGATGAAGGCTCACACCATGACAGAAGAGGTCATGTTCTGGAAGTGGATATCGGTAAACACTGTCGCCTTGGTGACAGACACCGCCGTCTACCACTGGAGCATGGAGGGAGACTCCCAGCCAACCAAAGTATTCGACCGGCACGCCAGTCTGGCCGGATGTCAGATCATCAACTACAGAACTGACGAACAACAGAAGTGGCTGCTGCTGATCGGGATCTCTGCACAGGTGTGGAAAGACAGGAGGTTGTTTACTTAGGATGTAACTTCAAGGAGAGCTTTATCTGAGATTTTCTACCTCAAAAAAGTGGTAGAAAAAGTGGTATCAAGCTGCTGTTTTGTGCCAGTTGATGATTTTATTTGCTGAAAGAGGTTGCTGTTCAGGTGTTGCTTTTGGTTGCATAGAAAGCCAAAAACAACACCTGAAAACGCAGGTGTGATTTGCACTGATTTTTTTTTCTAATTTGTTTGAATCGAGTCTCTAAAAGCAGCTTGTTTCCTGCACAGGAAGTCCCTCCAATCCAAATATTTTGTGTATAATATTTCAGTCAAGTGAAATGATTCATGTTGTTTTTTTCTGAAAGAGATAGTCCAAGATTTGAACATTATTCTTATTTACTTTATCAAAAGAGATCTTAGGGCTTTAGAAACTAGAAACCAGTTTCCTATCATCATGGTAGATAAGAAGCTGTGTCTGCAAAGGAGATATTTGACTTCTTTGCTGTTAAGAATGGGAATGGAGGTAAATCAAACACAACCCCAAGTTAGCCAAGCCACCTTCAAAACAAAAGGTATAAAATGGATTTAAGAGTGTACCCACGTATGACTAGATCAATGAATTTGTATCATGTAAACTTGTGATTTTGTTGTAAAAACTGGCATTTTAGCACAGATCATAATGAGGTCTCCTTAAGGTTTTAGAGGGAGCAGTTTTTGCACCAAAGACTATGGAGGGGCTCAGACTGCCAGGTCATTGGTGCCCCTAGAAGACAAATTTGAAGACAGAGTTTGTTCAAAGTAAAAGTCAGTTACTTAAATGCCACTATATAACATACTTAATTTCTAAGAGCAAAATAATCTACTTTTCACTATATTAAATTGTCATAGCAGATCAGATTTAGTAGCAAGTTACGTTTTCCAAAAAGGTTTCTTACGATTATGATAATCTCCAGAGCTCCACCAAAAAGTCTAAAAATGACTTTAACAAACTACATTCAAAGCTTCCCAAATATGTTTGTTATTGATACAAACAAGAAAAGGATAATAAAAACCTTTTTTTCCCTCCACTATTTCACTATAAAATAGACAAGTGCAGACATTCATCAAACTTCTTTACTTTCAATTCACAGTTATATATTTAGATGGTGAACACTTGCAAAAACTTCAGTTTTTAACACATTAGTTTATCTTTTTATAACAAAGGATATTGTTATTTGTTAAAATGGTAATGAGAATAAATTGCAGAGTCTAGCAGCTTCTTATCAAGCTGTTTCACTTTAAACAGCAAGCGATATGCTTTTCCTCAAAATTCAGAGTAATAATAATATAAACCGATATAAACACTCTCATACAAAATGTAACAATCATACAATACAAGTGAATATGAATATTTAAAAACCTGAGTGTTAAGATCACAAAACTATGAGGACACCAAATGATCATCTTTCAGCTCTCTGTGATCTGTGAGCCTTTGATTAGTATGTCAGTGCAAAGATTAAAATGGATCATAATTTTGTGTTTTCATCTTTTTGTCCTGCAGCAAAACCGTGTCGTTGGGGCGATGCAGCTTTACTCTGTGGACAGGAAAGTGTCTCAGCCCATCGAAGGCCACGCTGCTGCCTTTGGGGAGTTCAAAGTGGAGGGAAATGCCAAACCTTCCACTCTCTTCTGCTTTGCTGTGCGCTCCCAGGCAGGGGGAAAGGTGAGCGGATATACAAAGGGGTATCACTCTTGATGTTTGGGCGGTGTCTTACTTTCTCAAAGAAGGTTATGTTTAGGAGAAGTTCAGTGAAGAAAGTAACTCTGCTTCATGCTTTACTGATGTGAAGAAAGTCCGAGTTCATTAAAGTGCCTGAGTGATTTTATGTCTCACATTTGTTTACTTTGGTTCTCTTCCCATCGTGGTCATGTGGGCTTTCTCCTCCCAGTTGCACATCATTGAAGTTGGCCAGCCAGCTGCAGGAAACCAGCCGTTTGCAAAGAAAGCAGTGGATGTGTTCTTCCCCCCTGAGGCGCAGACAGACTTTCCTGTTGCTATGCAGGTGAGGAAGGACGTCTGATGCTCATTTATGAGTTTTGGTTAAAAACGACTGACTTCTGAGGGTTTACATTCTCTCTCTGATCCTCTCTTCAGATTGGTAATAAGCATGGTGTAATATATCTGATCACAAAGTACGGCTACATTCACCTGTACGATCTGGAGTCTGGAGTGTGCATCTACATGAACCGAATCAGTGCAGAGACCATCTTTGTCACGGCTCCTCATGAAGCCACTTCAGGAATTATCGGGGTAAACAAGAAGGGGCAGGTGAGAAGCGACAGTGAGCCAATCTTCTCAAAACTCATAACTGGTCTGCTTAAGATGATTGTTTAAGGTTTCGGCTTTATCTCACTCATCTACAGAAGAGTTTTAACTCGTCATTTTGTTCCGTCTAGGTCTTGTCGGTGTGTGTTGAAGAGGAAAACATTGTCAACTACGCCACCAATGTCCTGCAGAACCCTGATTTAGCCTTGAGGATGGCTGTGAGGTCTAACCTGGCTGGGGCGGAGGAGATTTTTGCCAGAAAGTTCAACACACTGTTTTCCCAGGGAAGTTATTCAGAGGCTGCAAAGGTTGCTGCATCAGCACCCAAGGTACGTCTGTATTTACTGAGTGTATGCACACCCTAACACATGCCCTGACTGTGTGGAGTATGCCTCTACTTATAATACATGATTGAGAATGAGTGATAAAAAGTACATTTTCCAAAAGTTCTAGGTTTTCATTTAATAATTCTAACAGGATTTGTATTTATGGTTATGATTAAGATGATGAAAAATGATTTAAAAGGATCTAGTTGGATCCTTTTTTCCCCCTGCATACTGATTATTCCTCAATTCTTCTCTGTTTTCCTCCCTTCAGGGTATCCTGCGGACGGCAGAGACCATCCGTAAGTTTCAGAGTGTCCCAGCTCAGCCAGGTCAGGCCTCTCCTCTGTTGCAGTATTTTGGTATCCTGCTGGACCAGGGCCAGCTCAACAAGTTTGAGTCTCTGGAGCTGTGCAGGCCGGTCCTACAGCAGGGCCGCAAACAGCTTCTGGAGAAATGGTTAAAGGAGGACAAGGTAGGACCAGATGGCTCAAGATAAGAGCGAGATACACTTGATACTTGAAGTTTGAAACGTAAAAATGATGCTTGTTGTTATTCTGTATTTTTATCTCCTAAATGATCTAAAAACCTCTGTCTGTGTTTGTGTGAATCTGTTAAAGCTGGAGTGCTCAGAAGAGCTGGGTGACCTGGTGAAGTCTTCTGACCCGACCCTTGCCCTGAGTGTGTACCTCAGAGCTAACGTCCCCAACAAAGTCATCCAGTGCTTCGCAGAGACAGGACAGTTTCAGAAGATAGTTCTATATGCGAAAAAGGTAATCACACTTTTCTGTTCCCTTATTCAACAATTCACTGCCACGCTAGATATTGTTATACTCGCTCTATCAAATTGTTTTCCTCCATTCTCTTAAAAACCCGCAGCTCAATAACTCTTGAAGGAAAGTTTGTTGAAGTACCGAAAACGTTTAAGGCTACAGGAACAATAACAAGTGTCCCCAAGGAGGACTGTGAATCATTAAATCTGCCTCAGACTGCATCAACAGACAAACATTTCTGGACTTCATATAAGAAAATATGATTCACAATTTTTCTAGGCTTTGTGGAAATTTAAAGGACTTGAGTTTGTTTGGCACAGGAGGTAACTCCAGATGCCATTAAAATCCGTTACAGCTCAAGTGAAAACTGGATTTTTGTTTGACTGGTCTTTCTCAGGTGGGCTACACTCCAGACTGGGTGTTTTTGCTCAGAAATGTAATGAGGGTCAATCCAGACCAGGGACTCCAGTTTGCCCAGATGCTGGTCCAGGATGAGGAGCCGCTGGCCAACATCAACCAGGTAAACACACCAACACTAGCGCCCCACCCTCTAGAGACCCACTATGTTACTTTAGCACATGACCTCCTTGTAAAAAAAAACATCAGACATGCACGCAAACACACAACTACCCGGTGCAGGAGCTTCCATCTGTGTTATTCCAGATGTGCCAACAATGCCAGGAATTCACCCAGTCAGTGACCCCCTCCTCCTTTTAGAGCCACATCATCACTCTCCCTTTAGGTCAAAGCCTACTCATATTATGTGGAAAATGAAAAGCAGACACATCTGCATACCGGGGCCGGTTATAGTGCGTGACTCTAATCCCACTTTGCATGCTAACCCAGATTATTGTGCACATATGGAAGAAATTCAGAGATTCAAAATAATTTCTTCTTATTGTTCCTTCTCTTTTGTAGATTGTGGATGTTTTCATGGAGGGCAGCCTGATCCAACAGTGCACATCCTTCCTATTAGATGCTCTTAAGAACAACCGTCCAGCTGAAGGACACCTACAGACACGTCTGCTCGAGATGAACCTCATCCATGCCCCTCAGGTGAGCTTTCACACTATCCTTACTCTCCTGTTACCAGACTGCGTCTTCGGATTTGTTGATTTTTCTCTTGTGTGTTTATATGTGTGTGTGAACTTTTTAGGTAGCAGATGCCATCCTGGGGAACCAGATGTTCACACACTATGATCGCGCACACGTTGCTCAGCTGTGTGAGAAAGCGGGACTGCTGCAGAGAGCTCTTGAACACTACACTGACCTTTACGATATCAAACGAGCCGTAGTGCACACACATCTGCTCAATCCAGAGGTACGTCATTGAATTATTGGTCATTCCTGTAAGTGCTGCCTCATGGGAGCAACCACCTTCCGCTCTTTGTTCCTTTAACCGTACCTCTTCTTCCTTTTCTTGCCCTGCTTATTCTGTCCTTCCTCTGTAATTCCTCTCTTCTTAGTGGTTGGTGAACTTCTTTGGCTCTTTATCAGTCGAAGATTCATTGGAGTGTCTAAGAGCCATGTTGTCAGCCAACATCAGGCAGAACCTGCAGCTGTGCGTCCAGGTAGCGTCAAAGTATCATGAGCAGCTGGGGACTCAGTCGTTAGTGGAGCTTTTTGAGTCCTTCAAGAGTTATGAAGGTAGATGTCACACAACAAAGACTCAAAGAGAGTGTGTTCAATGAGATGTGATCTCAGTTTTCTGGAGCCTTTAAGAGATTGTAGATGGAGCTGAACTTTGTGTTGTTTCTGTCCTGCCTTCTCTATCCAAGGTTTGTTCTACTTCCTTGGGTCGATCGTGAATTTCAGCCAAGAGCCAGATGTCCACTTTAAGTACATCCAGGCGGCCTGTAAAACAGGTCAAATCAAAGAGGTGGAGAGGATCTGTAGAGAAAGCAACTGTTACGACCCAGAGAGAGTTAAAAACTTCCTCAAGGTAAAAAACAAGAAAATCCAACATGGAGAAGTGTTTACTCAGCAACAATTAGTGTCATACTTTATCATCTAATATATACAGTTAAATGAGAAGTGAATCTTGTGCTTTTCTTTGTAGGAGGCTAAACTAACAGACCAGCTTCCTCTCATCATCGTGTGTGACCGCTTTGACTTCGTCCATGACCTGGTGCTCTACCTCTACCGCAACAATTTGCAGAAATACATAGAAATCTATGTACAAAAAGTAAGATTTAGATTTTTTCTGGGGTGTCTGTCCATCACTTTAATCAAAGTCACTTTTGATTTGAGCCGAGTGTTGACATATTTACCGGTTCTCTGTTGAACAGGTGAATCCCAGTCGTCTACCTGTGGTGATTGGAGGTCTGTTAGATGTAGACTGCTCTGAGGACGTCATCAAGAACCTCATCATGGTGGTCCGAGGGCAGTTTTCTACTGATGAGCTGGTGGAGGAGGTAGAGAAGAGAAACAGGTGAGACAGAATGATGACTGGCTCTTTTCATCCTCTCTGGCTTTCCTGAATGTTTGATGGGATGAAACGTCTGTTTCTCTCTCCTGCATCAAACTGATTTTGTGTCTCTGTGTGGTTGCTGCCGAACCTCTTTGAACGTTTTTACTGCAGAACTTTTTGTTGTTTGCTTTGAGCTACTTTATAATGAATAGTGACTTGGAAGTATTCCCCTCTTTCTGTACAGACATAAATCTTGAGAGGATCTGTAAAAATAAATAATAATAATAAAAAAAGTTACTTTGAAATGCTTGAATTGTTTGAACCTTGCTTGCAGGATTATAAACATGAGGAATAATTTCTTATGATTTTATAACATTAACATCACTTATAGATAGAAAGTGACAGAGATTAATGTGTAAATAAATAAAACCAGGGGAAATATTCAATGTTTCTTTTACACTTCAGTCTCTCATAAATTAAAGAGAAACTTTTTTGGTTAACCTGACGTTAAAATTCCTCAAGTTTACTCCTAGTATTATCAAGTATGTGTGAAGCACATATACTTATGAATGCTCACATGCTCTTGTGCTGAGCGCACAACACTGCCATCTAGTGTTCAGACTGTGCATTACGCCTCAGAGAAAATACAAGCGTTTATAAACTGGGTTGTCTTTCAAAGGTTAAGCTGGCATTTTATAGCACTCCTACCCTCTCAGGTTAAAGCTCCTGTTGCCATGGCTGGAGTCCCGAATCCACGAGGGATGCGAAGAGCCAGCCACCCACAATGCCCTGGCCAAGATCTACATCGACAGCAACAACACCCCTGAGCGCTTCCTGAAGGAGAACCCGTTCTACGACAGCGCTGTGGTGGGAAAATACTGTGAAAAGAGAGACCCCCATCTGGCCTGTGTGGCTTATGAGAGAGGACAGTGTGACCTGGAGCTCATCAAAGTGAGTACACCACAGTAAGAGGCATTTAGACAAGCATCTTTCTCATATACCGTACATACATCTGTAATAAGTTTATATCATCTCTTCTTAGGTTTGCAATGAGAACTCGCTGTTCAAGAGTGAGGCTCGATATCTGGTACGACGGAAAGATCCAGAGCTTTGGGCAAATGTGTTGGAAGAAAGTAACCCCTACAAAAGACAGCTCATCGACCAGGTCAGGTTCCATCTAACCTCTGTTTACATATTTAAGACAATAATCCGTTGGCAGCTTTAAGTAGAAATCTGAATGCAACTGAAGGTAACGATTAATTTCTACGGCTATGGCATGTATCGCCGTATAATAGCTGATGGGTGGCTCAATGTTTTTCTCCCTTCGTTGTCTCATTTCAGGTGGTGCAGACTGCTCTGCCAGAGACTCAGGATCCAGAGGAGGTGTCGGTCTCAGTCAAAGCCTTCATGACTGCAGACCTGCCCAATGAGCTGATTGAGCTGCTCGAGAAGATTGTACTTGATAACTCGGTCTTCAGCGAGCACAGGTACAGCAGAATTCAGCACTTTGTTTGGGATTATGAAATACGTAAAGAACAATATATAGTCACACGGTGGTTATGAGCATCAGAATCCTGATAAGAGCTGCAGAAAACCAATGCAAAGAGGAAGGGTCTTTACCAATGGCTCAAACATCTGTGGTCTGTTGATCTGGGCCCAACTATTCAGGGGAGGCCATGACAGAAAATCCATTGCAGCCAGTTCTACCAGGAAAAATGCAACTTAGTATCTGTGACACCAGACAATCTATAAACGAATGATTTCAACAATCCTTAGTGACTAGATTTTGTGTTTATTATTAAAATCACTCTTGAAACTGGTGTAAACTGAAAGTTTCAGTGAAGTGGATTTAATATGCATCTTTTCTAAATTTATATTATATGGAAAAATCACCCATGTGGATGTTTTTTTTCTTAAAAGCCACGTAAGAAGTGCTTTTGTGGACGAGCTCTTTTGTTCACCCAATGACCTTTTGAAAGTACAAAGTGGCACCAAAGAGAGAAGAAGAAACAACAGGATGAGGGAGACACTAAAACTGATAAAATCATATTTAAGAGGCAGCATGGAGCAGGAGAGACCTGGCGGACTGGCAATAACTGTCAAAAGAGAACAGCCGAGCCAGAACTATGAGCCTAAAAAGACTGTCCCAGACTGTCCTGGGCGCCAGGCCACCAGATAAGATAATAAAAGATGAAAACAGGTTTGTCTTTGTCATGGAGTGAGATGGAAATGAAATTCACTACAACGAATTGTTGCATCTCAAATGTTGGGAGATGTGTGCCCAGACTGTGTCTCTGATAAAATCTGTCTGCCAAGCCCTTAATGAGAAAAGTTAAAGTCTGGATGAAATGGTATCGGGGCCGTTAACATGATTTCAAGTTTGTATTACTTATGTTTTTGTTATGTATATGAAGAGCTGTTTGTACAAAGCCATTTTGGATGTTTATAGTTTATTTAATAGAAATCAGGTGGCCAAAACTTTTTTTAAGGAGTGGTTTGAATACAAAGTATTTTTAAAAGCAAATACTTAAGTATTGTGGCTCAAGTAAGGATTTAGCTGTCACTAGAGTAATGTGACCAAGTGGATTTACCTTGGCTAAAAAATAATGAAGTGTTCTTTGTAAACTGCAACTTATTACATAGCAATAAAAAAGGCATAATTAAATGACAAAAAATTTGATTTTAATAAGATTCATTAGCCATAATATTGTCACTCGTTTCCATGGCAACAGATTTGGTGGTGTCTCCTTGCAGGATGAATATTTTCATTGAATGTTGCTACAGAAAAAGTGACCGACTTTTGCGTGGAGTACTTGTTGACATTTCCTCCTCCAGCTTTTTTCCACTTGAAACTTTTGTTTTTCGCGGACATTAAAAAAAAAATAAAGCTAATGTCACAACGTCAAAACCGTAAGCTTACTTTCTTCGTTGCCGTTAATGACAGTGATACGTAACAGTGTTGCCATTTTCTGGGTGACAGGGTTTCGCTAAACTTTGGGGGCCCAGTAGCTCCTCAGGCAGCTTTAATGTCTGTAGCTGTTAAATGCCGCCATTTCTGACATTCTTGCCCCCAGTGTTTATCAAAATACAACGGGCATGTTTTGGACTAAGTGGCAACAGGCAGAGTGTTAAAGCACTGGACTCCTTTTGGCAGAGTTATTTAGATGTGTGGCGCCTTAGCTATTGTGAACTATTAGACACTGTTATGGGTTTTGGGCCGAACAACATCAAATATTTAACAACACTGGGCAGTTATTAAGACTGTGTTATAATGAGATGTTAAAATGTCTGTTTTTTTTTTAAGTAATCCCTTGGCTCTCTGTGTTTTCTATAGAAACCTCCAGAACCTGCTCATTTTGACGGCCATCAAGGCAGACCGCACACGTGTGATGGAGTACATCAACAGATTAGATAACTACGACGCTCCTGATATCGCTAATATCGCCATCAGCAATGAGCTCTTTGAAGAAGCTTTCGCCATATTCAAAAAGTTTGATGTCAACACATCAGCCATACAGGTAAAATAAAAAATGACTGTTGAAGCTGCACATATACTCTTCTTTTAGAGATAAGTTTCAAGATTTTTACTAGCCTGAAAGACAAGGCATTTAAAAGTATTTCAGAAAAAGCAAGTTTATTTGCTGAGCACCTTTGTCATACATATGTGCGAGTAGCTTTTCCTAAATTAGTCTTCTTAATGTTTGAAATGTATAATCATGTAAGATAAAATGTTGTTACCTTTCTTCTTTAGGTATTGATTGAGCACATAGGGAACCTGGACCGTGCTTATGAGTTTGCAGAGCGCTGCAACGAACCTGCAGTGTGGAGCCAGTTGGCCAGAGCTCAGCTGCAGAGAGACCTGGTGAAGGAGGCCATCGACTCCTACATCAAAGCTGTTGACCCCTCAGCGTACATGGAGGTGGTCAACGCAGCCAGCAAGAACAGTAAATCTTTTGCTTGTTGTATAACCACGGATTTCTGTCTGTTGTGGTTTATTGAGTTGATAGCATTGGTGTTTTTTGTGTTTTGTAGATAACTGGGAAGACTTAGTGAAATTCCTTCAGATGGCTCGAAAGAAAGCAAGAGAGTCGTATGTAGAGACAGAGCTGATCTTCGCTTTAGCTAAAACGAATCGTCTGGCTGAGCTGGAGGAGTTTGTCAGTGGGCCCAACAACGCTCACATTCAGCAGGTAAGAGTTCGAAACAGTTGATGCTGCTGCAGACTGTGCAAGTCCACCTACATGCTGAACCCTGCGTCTCTTTCATTCCCCCAGGTGGGAGATAGATGTTACGAGGAGGGAATGTATGAAGCCGCAAAGCTCTTGTACAACAATGTGTCCAACTTTGCACGCCTGGCATCAACACTTGTCCACCTGGGAGAGTACCAGGCAGCTGTGGACAGTGCCAGGAAAGCAAACAGCACACGGACATGGAAGGAGGTAGATACCACACTAACAAGTTCAGCTGCTTGTCTGAGCCACCTTGTCTTAAAATTGAACATCTATCCTAATGTTACCTTTCCCTCTTTCCTTGTCAGGTGTGTTTTGCATGTGTGGATGGGGAAGAGTTCCGGCTGGCACAAATCTGTGGCCTTCACATAGTGATCCACGCGGACGAGCTGGAGGACCTGATCAGCTACTATCAGGATCGCGGGTACTTTGAGGAGCTGATCGCTCTGCTGGAGGCTGCTCTAGGCCTGGAGCGTGCTCACATGGGGATGTTCACCGAGCTTGCCATCCTCTACTCGAAATTCAAACCTCAGAAGATGAGGGAGCACCTGGAGCTCTTCTGGTCCAGAGTCAACATCCCAAAGGTAGACAACCCTGTACCCTTTTTTTGTGACTGTGCTTCAAAACTGTTGGTTTTCTGTAAAATATCAAAAAGCTCATCACATGAGGAGACTGCCTGTGTGATGTGAACTCCTTAGATTCAGATTCACTCCACAGGGATTTCTGCTTCTTTTCAGCACTATGATGAGAAAGTCATTCTTTGTGTTGTAGATCCCTCGAGCTGGGTTTTTCCTTGTGTGTTTTAAAGGAAACTGCCATGTTACATTTCTATTATGATCTGATATTATTTTTCTTTTATTGGCTGGTAAAATTTGTCATCATTAAGGTGTTTTTTTCACTGTGAGTATCTTGAGTCCTTCATGCCTTGTTGACAGGGTTTTTGGATACTTGTTGCTCTGAAGTAGTACTTAAGAAAGTGCTCATACGTCTCTTTGAAAAAGATAGATTTGTATTAAAATAGAGGGTTTGTCCAACCTCGATAGACCTCTTGCATTTCAACAACTCTTTGAAAATGGAGAATAGTGTTAGTATATAAAAAAAAAATGTCAAGATTCGCCCAAATTTGAGTCCAGAATGAAATCAAATTAAGCTTTATGAATCATTAATGACGTCTTGAAAACCGCTCAACTTTGGCTTTATTTTCTGTTTTTTTTTTTTCTGTTTCTAGGTCCTCCGTGCAGCAGAGCAGTCTCATCTATGGGCTGAACTGGTTTTCCTTTACGATAAGTACGAGGAGTACGACAATGCTGTCCTCACAATGATGTCTCACCCAACAGATGCATGGAAAGAAGGGCTGTTCAAAGATATCATCGCTAAGGTAAGTATCTCTAAATAAACTTCTATGGTCCTTCTTAACATCTTTACTTTTTGTCATCATTTTGTGTGTCTTTCTTCGTGGTTCCTCAGGTTGCTAATGTGGAGCTGTACTATAAATCCCTTTCCTTTTACCTGGACTTCAAACCTCTGTTACTGAACGACCTGCTGACCATTCTGTCTCCACGTCTGGACCACAGCCGAGCTGTCACCTATTTCAGCAAGGTAACCAGAGATGAGTTTAAGTCTTGATGACCAACGTTTACAGTCAGAAATCAGTGCCAAACCCAGGTCACATGACACTTGTCACTTGTATTTATTTCCTTGACCAGGTGGACCAGCTGAAGTTAGTCAAGCCTTACCTGAGGTCTGTCCAGAATCACAACAACAAGTCGGTTAATGAAGCTCTCAACAACCTGCTGACAGAAGAGGAAGACTACCAGGTCTGTGTGGCATTTTACTGCTGATACAAAGAGGTTAAAACAACACGGATACTTCATGGTTTGCACATTATTCTCACGGATTTACTTTTGCAAACTGCCGTGACTAAGATTTGTGTTTATGTATGACAATCCTAATTCTTACCTGCTGTAAAAGCCATGATTTATTTCTCACAGCAGCAGTAAGTATACAGTACACTAAATTTTGATAGCCACTAGGGGGCACTGCTGGGAAAAGTAAGAGGACACCAGCTGGATTAGGTAATGTTTGTCTCACTTTCTGGTCAATGATGACACAATTTTCCTCTCTATGTATTATCCACAGGGCCTGAGAGCGTCCATCGATGCCTATGATAACTTTGACACCATTGGCCTGGCTCAGAGGTTAGAGAAACACGAACTGATCGAGTTCAGACGTATCGCTGCTTACCTGTACAAAGGTAACAATCGCTGGAGACAGAGTGTAGAGCTCTGCAAGAAGGACAAACTGTACAAGGTGAGGAAAAAAATCCTATAATCACCACATTTTAAAGAGACAAGAAGTCACATGTACCTCACTTCTCCCATAGATGGCACTGTTTGATTGTTTGTGAAGAAAACTTCCTATAATTGCATGAAGGCCGTCATGTTTACTTTTATAAGTTTGTCAAATACTCTGTACATCTGTTTTACCCAGGATGCCATGCTGTATGCAGCAGAGTCCAAGGATGCAGAGCTGGCGGAGACTCTGCTGCAGTGGTTCCTGGAGGAGGGCAGGAAGGAGTGCTTCGCTGCCTGTTTGTTTGCCTCCTATGACCTGCTGCACCCTGATGTGGTGCTGGAGCTGGCCTGGAGGCACAACATCATGGACTTTGCCATGCCGTACTTCATCCAGGTCATGAGGGAGTATCTCTCAAAGGTGAGTTCTCATCAGCAGTAAAGCGCCATGTAGAGCCTATATGCTTACTGTTTTATTTTCAGCTTTAGGGTTTTAGTAAGTTTCAGTCTGTTCATTCAGAAGGATTTTTTAACTCCTGTGTTTTAAATGCACTAAAATTGATTCATTTTTCTTAGATGAATTTCCTGTAGACACTTTTCCTGACAGGTGAATGGTGGACAATAGTCTGTGATATCTCTGGAGGTACTGTAAAAGCAGGTCATAATGATGTTCTGAGGCAAGAATGTAGAGAAATCAGCTTTGTACACTAACGTTAGTAAAGTATGAACTCCCTCTGGTAATCCCCATGTCCTTAAATATCGACCTGTAGACATGTGAGGTCACTCTGGGTCATGTCTTTGGGTTTTTTCCAGGTTGATGAGTTTGCTGCGAAGGTGACGGTCTCTGGCCCTCTTTTATTCCTTCTTTGTGTTCTGTCTGTTTTTTGTTGTAACTTATCTCTTAGGTTTCTGATGTAGGAACCTAGCATGGACTGTAGACTGAGTACGGCCTAACTAGCACTGGTCCTGGAGAGCTGTAGTGTGTCTATGTGTGTCTATGTGTGTGCAGGCTTTTGTTCCACTTATGCATCAACACAACATCATTACAAAGATGGTATTATGGTTTGTCTTCTTTTACAAACAAATACAAAGTTAATTAAGTGAAAATCTTGTATGTTGGCCAAGTTTTCAACTATGAGAAACGTGTTTGAGTAATTTCGGGAAGACTCTGCAAGCTGCTTTGAACAGTTTGAGCAAAAAGTCACACGAGAACTAAGAGAGATCTATACAAGAATTCCTCAAATCCTGACATCATCAGGTGAATCTCCCTAAAAGGGCGTAAAAATAAATGAAGCGCTTATCGTTTTGTGTTGCGGCAGAATTTTGTCCCTTTTAACTTTCTCAAATCAGATTTAGGGTCCTAAACTTACAGCAGTATTTAATAATTTGATATTTCAAATGAAGATGCACTGGTTAAATCAATGGCAAAATTTATAGTGCGGCAACAGTGGAAGAGGGTTCTTGAGTAGTTTAAAATGCCTTTACGAGACAGTGGCTGATACGAAGCGTTCCAGACAGAGGCTTTATTGAGGGTTTCAAAGACATAAATCTGAGTTAAGTATTTTTTTAAGCTTTTAAATGTACAAAGAGGACATAATAATAAAGCCTGTAAATGAGCTTAATACAGCTGCGTTAGCTACATTGTCAGTGGGATTATAGTAAGCTGTTTTGACATGATCCTCCTGGGGAATGTCATTGTCTCTGTGATGGGTTGGTTGTTTTGAAGTTTCAAAGTGGAAGCAAACACTAATACACTGACAGACACAAAATAGTGATAGTCTCTCAGTCGTTGGTTTCAAAACATTGAAACAGTTTCCTCCTTAATCTGCTGTAACCTCATTTATTTTGCAGTGTTTTCTATTACACCGATATAAGTAGAATTTCTAAAATATTTGCAACACTCGATGCAAATACATCCACTCTACATTAGCGATGAAAACAAAAGTTGGCTTCTTTGAGTGTTTATAATGTCTTGATGAGCACAAGTTGAACAGATTTTCTCTGTCATCCAGCTCCAGGAAGTATAATGTTGTCCAAAACAGGAGTCCTACCACTACACAATATTGCTGTGTTGATGGGTGAAGCCAAAGCCTGTGCACAGTCTTGTTCTTCAGGACCAGGATCAGTCTTTTTTGGTCTAACAGATACCTCTCACCCTCTAACTCCTCTCTTGTGGGGCTGCATCTGGTGTTCAGTAGTGTTTCTAAAATCCCCAACAACCTTGATTGTGATGTTTTTGTTCAATGCTTCATGAGAAAAAGGGGTTCATTTTTAGAAGTAGCTCAAGCTCTCTTAAGACCAGCAATGAATTCAGGTGTGGAGAGTGAGCTGCTCCAGACTTGTTAGATGCATCCCCATGTTCCTAACTCCAGGTTAACCTGTTTTATCCTCAATGTTAACTGTTTTTTAAGTTCAGGGCTACAAAACAATAACTTCAGGGGTTTTTAGTTCTGCTTTCTGTTATTCCCATTAATCACTGGTCAGACTGGTAGCAAAGATATTAAAACGTTTTTAAATACCAGTCAAGAGGACCAATATTTTTTACTTCAACAACAGGTGGCATGTCCTATTTTCCCTTTCATTTAAGGACATGTTCATCATGAATCACTGACCTGTAGACTTTCCTTTATTTCAAGTGTCAGATTATTTTCCAGTTGGCGCTTTTTAATCTTTTCATTTTTTATTTGATTATTTCTATTACCTTTTTAAATTTCTGAATTGACAGAAATGCAACATTTTTCTATTCTTCTTGATTTGAGTTTAACTACTGTTTAAACTCAGTTACTCATAAATCAGATACATGCTAACCAGTTCTTTGCACAGCTAAAGTCTGATTATGTTTTATCATTTGGTCAGTACGGTGCATAGGCATTATGACCATCTCACTACCACTAATATGGCCGGTGAGAATAAGATGACCTGTGAGCTTTTAAAAGAACCAAGTTTAGGTCCAGAAGAATTAAACACACTGAATAGACATCCATAAGGAGGAGCTGCTTACAGCCATGAATGTGATGCATGAGGTCGCTCTGATTGTCACTTAATGATGAGACTGTTGACTGTGAATGGCTGCAGATGTAGCATCAGCGTACAGGCATGTGTAGCTTTTTTCACTTAATACACAATATAATGTTTCTTTAACCTTGTACCCCCCTATAGCTCTACTTCTAAAGGGTCAGTTCACACAAATCACAGAAATAAGAATGTACTCCCTCGGTGATAACTAACCGTTATGTAGCTAAGGTGGTCTTCATCACATTGATGCCAATCCAGTTTTATTCTGGTGCTCAAAACATTCAAAACAGAGAAGTAAAAGCAGTGCTTTACAAATACATTATTACTATCATTATTACATATGTAAGAAACAGTATTGAATTGAACTGTGAAAAGTTAGTTTTGTTTATGCAGTAAGAAAAAAAAAACATAAACTTGATATAAATTTTTAGTGCTTTGAGCAGCATGAACAACATTTCTGACTGTTTAACTCTCCAAATGAGTCTCAGCTGCAATTATCTGCATGGTTGGGTATCACATGGGGTTAATTGGTATTTTATTTGCGATTTGGATGAATTGACCCTTTAATTGTTGACTTAACATTTGTTCTGGAGGCTGTCATAGAAATTCTCACCAAACTTGCATGGCATCTTCTCTGAGGTAAACTTAGTTGCACTGAGAAGTACTGTCTGTAGTTTTATCTTTGGAAGTGGGTATGGTAAAAAAAAAATCAGAGTTAGTAAGTCACATTTGGTTGTATTTATTTCAACATTAGTAAAAACTTAAATGTAGTGAAGTAACTGAAGCATAAGACTTAGTTGTAGTTGATCAAATGAAGATTTGTCATGTAAGTAGATTGGTCACAACTGTGATCACTGCTCCATTCAGCAAAAGTCTGTCTTTCATGAAATATTTGAAACAAACAGCTGACATATTTTTATATCCATGTGGTTGTTCTGGTTTTGTAGAGTAGTATTTCAACAGTAAACAAAGTGAAAAGATCCTGCAGGTTAACAACAATGTGTAAAATCAGACTTTTCTTCATTGATTGGTATCTGATTGCCTCTTTTCTTTTTCTGTATTGCCCTCAGGTGGACAAGCTTGAAGAGGCAGAAAGCCAAAGGAAAACTGAAGAGGAGGTGACGGAGCCTCAGCCAATGGTGTTTGGTAGGTTTGCAGTCAGAACATCACCCTGAGGGACTGACGGCTGATGCTCTTAAACGGGAGAAAATTATCTCCTGCTGTGAAAACAGCAGGATGAAAGCTGCAGTCTGTTTTTCAGTCTGTGTCCAGCTGTCCAATGGACCCAGCTGAAAAAGGGCAGTTTAGGTTTAAAACTCTGTCAATATGTTCTGATTGGATGAAATAAATGATGTTTAAGCGTTAACTGAGAAATGAGGCACACAGTTAGGTCTGTCTCTCTAATGTGGTCAAATGTGCAATTTTGGGGGTGGATTCATCAAGTCATTGATACTGCTTTTGTGTTCCCAAGGCAAAACAAGGCAGACAGAGTTACTTAAGATGCAGTTTTATTCAGGTGGTGGCTTTGTCTCAATGTTCTCCTTAAGGATGAAATAACATTAACGTTGATATGCATAGCTCTTTTTGCAAGCATTTTTCAACGGTAGAGAAATGATGGTAACTTTACTGCTTAGTTTTCAAAAAAGGAATGGATACAATGGACCTGTCTGTGTTGATTTATCATGAAACCTGTGGCAACTGTGTTATTCATCCTCTGATTATTCACTATATAAGTACAGTTTTGGCACCAAGTTATGACAAACTCTGATGACGCCTTGTGCCCAAAAAAGATGTGGTTCACATCTTCTAAGGGTCTTTTTTTTTTACCATTTAGATTCTTTTATTTTGAAAGGGCAGTCCAAGAATTGTGGGAAGTAGAGAGATGAGGATAGGTTATGGTGGTCGGACCAGCTAAAGGACTATAGCCTCTGCACATGGGGCTCGTGTGTAAACCACTGGGCCACAAACATTTGAGCACTTTCTTGACACAGATGTAGACATTTTTTCTCACTTGTGTAACCTTTTGTTTTTTTTTGTTTTTTTTTATTAGGCCAGCAGCTGATGTTGACAGCCTCTGCAGCCCCAGTGGCTCCACAACCAGCGTATCCAGGTTATGGATACCCAGCTGCAGCAGCAGCAGGTTACCCTGCTCAGCCTGCAGCAGCCCCCGTCGGTTACCCGACACAGCCTGTCGCTGCTGCAGGCTTCCCTGCTCAACCTGCCGCGTACGGCTTCAACATGTAGAGACCTGATCCTTCTTCTACCACTTTTATCTCCTGTTACTCCTACACACACTCACACATCTTCAACTTGAACCACACCTGAACTCTGCTGCTCTTGGTCTCAGTTTACCGACTGATGGTGACTGGGCCTTTGCTCCCTACAAGACTCCAACTGAATTCACCAACACTGCAATAGAAAAACCTCCACCTCCGCTTTTTCAGACACACACTTTGGGACAGCATCAAGGCTGTTGGACCCTCCCTCTTCTCCTCCCTTTTCCTCTTGGACGTTACAACTGCATCACCAATCTACACAGCATGAAGTCGCCTCTCAGCTCCTAGAGGAATAAAACAAACTGAATATAATATTAGTGACACCAAACCACTCTGTCCTGTTCTAGCTGTTCCATGTAGACTTTATTCACCATAGAGCAGCCTCTTTTCTTTACATTTTCTTTCCATAGAGATTCAGCACTGATGAGAAGGAGACTTTGATACTGAGGGGTCACGGGGCATTTTTGTGCCCCTCTGACCCCTCAAGCACTGCTACGGCCTTACACACTCTGAGGAGGAGGCAAAAAAACGGGCTCATTTGTTCATGTTACTTTCACACCTGTCTCACATTCTGAGTAGAGAGACAGGTACAGTGCAATAGTTCTGTTTGTCCTCTCACTACAGGTACAAAGTGTTTGCTGTACACGGACTAAGAACACTTGTTTATGAGGTTACGGTACTGTCTGTGTATGTGTGTGAGTGTGTGTGTGCGTGTGCGTAGCCTCTAAAGCCTTCAAGGGATTCGTCACCAAACAAAAAGACACTCAATGAAATGTCCACTCCATTGCAGCCGCAAAACTGACGGGACTCTGATTCAGGACTTCAGGATGTTAGTGAAAACAAACAAAAAGGAATACAGGAGGTCGAATAGTAAAAAAAAAACGCTATATGCTGTAGTCTGTGCATGTGCTGCCAAACTATAAAGCTGCAACCAGGAGCACAATTTCCATGTTACACTCAAGTATATCAAGTATTACTAATGTTGTGTCAAAAACAAAGTGATGTTTGATGAAACTCTCTCACCTGACTAACAGAAAAACTCCAACAGACTTGAGGGATGGAAAAAACAGGGGGACATCCTGATGGTTCAACAAATAAAAACATTATTGTACTGAAACCTGTATAATTTAAAATATATTGAAATACCTAACTAATCGAAGAAGTCAAATATGGAATACCGTATGTATTGTCTATAGTGTGTTGTTGTAGTCTAAAAAAAGCATAATGATTTTTGTAAGAAAAAGAACAAAATGCAAAAACAGCAGGTGAATAAACAGCCAAGTCTTGAGGCAAAGCTGCTGGAAGTGCTGATGGTTTGAGTGGGTTGTTTCCTTCCTGAGGTTTCCAGTGTAAAGACCTTGTATAATACTCTGTCCCATCTCTGGAAGCTAAAGGCAAAAAAATCCCTGAGCTACACAGGAAGCACTCGCTTTATCTGCACAAGTCATGAATTCAGAAAGAGGAATAAAGTTTACACACAGTGGTGTTTGTGCATTATTTATTGATAACTACTATGTCAGGGCAAAGATTTGCAAACTGTCCAGAGGGTTTAGCAGGCGTGAGTCTAGTACAGTGTTCACGAGAGGTGTAGACCCTCTTAAAATCTGATTGGCTATTTGCCTTAGCAAATGTGGGACTTGTTAATGTACATCTTGACATGATACCTTTTTTGGTGCATCTCTGATCTTCAAATGTATGGAAGTAAATCTGTGCCATCTGAAAAAGCAGATTTTTTTTCTTCTTTTGCATCAAAATCAGACTTTGAATTTCAAAACCATCAAATTTCAGGCATGCGTTTTTATTTCTTACACTTTTTTTTTTTTTTACAATGATGAAATAAATTTGGTGTAAAATAATATCGGTCCCTCAAAATATTTGTGTAGTAGAAACTTAAAACAAACTAAAAAAATTCAACATAAAAAATTTTAGCGTCAAATAATTCAGTGTCAAATATTTGTTGTAAAACAGACTGTTTTTTTATGTTGATTTTTATTTTTTTTCCCGTTTTTTTTAGTTGAATTTTCTACTAAAAAATCTTTTGAGAGACTGACTTTCTTTTACACTGATTTTATTTTGTCATTGTGAAAAAAAATAAGTGTCAGAAATAAAAATGCATGCTTGAAATTCAATAGTTTTGAAATTCAAAGTCTGATTTTGATGCAAAAAAAAGCTTTAGGAATTCCAATTCAAAATCAGATGGCACAGATTTACTTCCATACAAATGTCTCTTTCTTTGTACTTTCTGGTAGCCCAAGTGGAGATTTATATCTTGAATCTCTAATGCATTTGTTTTTGCAGTTTGAAATTATACACAGGGATGTTAAGTCTGTATAATAACCTATTGTGACTTAAATGTTAAAGTAGACTTGTCTATGTTATATGCTGCCAGAAGCCAAAGCACAGGGTTCAGCCTGTATTTATAGTGCTGTAAAAGCTGTAATCTCTTTTATGACAAGGTTTTCTTTTGTTTCATCCTTATTTCCATCTCTTGCTGACCACAGACTGACATTTTAGTAGCCAATCTGATTTCAGACCTGATTGATGGTTTCAGTCTGCAGCCTCATTGTTAACAGAGGGCGTGGCCGAGCTGGGTTGAGTCGTTTACAGCCTGATACCGGGGGAACGAGTCGGGTTTAGGTTGTAAAACATTTAATAACAGAGAAGTCTGGTTTTAATCCTCGAGGAGCCACATTCTCATGGAAAAACAGAGACTCCGCCCCGCCCTGTTTCTCTTCTGGGCTACTCTCACCCTGCCAGCATAAATAAGCACCTAGAGAGCCACCCACTTACTCCTGGGAGGAAAACAAGCTCAGTGGTTGTTAAGCTCGACTCGCTTTACGTGGAGATTTTCAGGTTCCACGCGGCAGCAGGATACACAGACAGCTGTTTGTCTTCCCCTGCTTCTCTGCTTCCGGGTTGGTTTTGCTCTCTTACGTAGCTCTACTATCGTCGTGATACAGCGTTACCATGGTTACAAATAACAGATATTCGATATAGCACATCCTAACTTCCTTGACAGTCCCAGTGTCCGCCCACTGTCAACACAGAGACCCGCCGGAGTCTCCGGACGCGTCTGAGCAGCTCACCTGCATCCTGGTAAAAGCGCACGGAGACAGCAGCCGTTCATGTGTTGCGCGTTCCGGTTTTCTTGAAAAACATAAAAAGCACACTTGAAGACTGAAAAAAACCCTTTGAAGAAGAAGAAGAAGAAGAAGAAACTAAGAGCAGAATCTTTTTTTCCCGGAGTGGTATTGTGTGTGCGTTTTCGGGTAGTAATGCAGGATAAAGGCACATTTGTCAACCCTTTTCTCAGACCGAGGTGTCTGGCTGCAGCGGCGCCGGCGGGGAAAGCCAAACTAACTCACCCGGGGAAGGCGATCCTGGCAGGTAAGTTCAGCACTGTGGAGCGGAAAAGTCAGGAGATGGGGAATAAATGTCACTTAGAAGAGTTTCACTTGAGTTTCATCACAGGGGAGGCTGGTGTTTGGGAATTTCACATCTTAGCTCCCTTGAATGAGCCGGTACAACGAGTTACTTCAACAAAGTCACAGATTTTCCCCTCAAACCATGCTGACCTCCTGACTCCTGATAGCTGCTGGAAAAGACTTCCACCCTAGAGGAGGTCAGATACCTTCTTTCCTGTGGTCCTGCAGTCAGATCTGCAGCACTAATGTGATTTTACTCCTGTAATCTAAAAATCACTCTTAGTTCACTTAACCTAATCCTGTTAAAGTGAGTTAATGCATGCAGTAGTGTGCATGGTTTCATTAAAAAAAGACATTTTTGTGGTATTTATCTTCATGTTTTAAACTCTAATACTTGCAATGTTATTTTTAATCATCACCATTCAAACTCTTCATTTGATTGACTCTTCATCACCACCTCAGTCCTACTTGTTTTAGTCGTTTATCCCCGCTGAGGTTCAGAACCTCCAGTCCTCCTCTCCCGCTGCTCAATCCCCTTCCAGACCCCCTTGTGTGATGATGATGAGGGTTCAGCAGCTCCTGATGATGAAGAGCCTCTCAGAGCTGCTGCTGTAGGGAGGCTTCATGCTGCTGTTTGTCAGGCCCTCTGTTGATTTCAGTCAACACACATTCAGAGCATTTCAGAGATTTTAATTGATTCCCTTTTTATCAAGAATTTAGCCCGTCACTGCTGCACTTAGTCATCATTTAATTACTTTGCTGGTATCTCACAAATGGATTTAGCAAAAAAATAAAAAATAAAATAAAATGAAAATCTTACTATGAAAAGTTCCCAGAGGCAAAGGCAGCATTTTCAGAGTAGGCCTGTTATGTTATAAACTGATCAGACCCCAATATATTACGTGCAAATTATATATAATTGATATAGAGACAGAGAAAACGTTTGATGTTCTGCATTTGAAAGCTTACATTACAAACTGTATGTAATTTGATCTTTTAGACAAACTTTTGAATTGATCAGTCCACTTTAAATTAAATGTTTTAGCTCTACTTTTACAGCCTTGAGGATATTTCTGAGTGTTGGTAGCTGGTAAACCCATCTGTATGTGGCAGAAAGACAAGGTTGTCTGTATTGTTTATCCATCCATGACATGTTTGCAGTAAAAGCAACATATAAATGCATGGCAAAAATGAAGCACCCAGTTGTTTTGAAGTGCAACAAACAGTTGTTTTTACAAATGACTGTTGACTGCATTTAGCCATATTTTTTGGGGATTATTTATGCATTTTTAAACTCAAACTAGATGAGACACCCAGACTAAATTCATAATCAAGCATCTACTGGCACAGATTTTGGGACTCTGGTATTTCTCTATCTGTATACGTATTTGTATTTTTGATACATTAGTTTGCTATCCGCCTCTGTATGAGGTGATTGACCTTTCTCTACTTTGTGAGATAAAACTGTGTCAGAAAAGAGTCAGATAAGTCTCAGACAAAAAACCAAATCTCCTCGCCTGACCCCTATAGTCCAGTCAGCCTCTGAGAATTGGAGATGTGGCTCCTCAGTGAGACCTTCCCCCTCCCCCCTCAGTCCCGTGCAGCCTGATTGACTGGATATGGCCCAGTGTTGATCCTTCTTCCTCCTCGCTGTGTCGTTCAGCACGTCTCAAGCCTGTCTGTCCTGTTTTGCAACAGCAGCATGATTGCTTGCTCTGTGTCTCAACCTCTGACTCCTCTGGCTCAACTGTGAGGAAACAGCTGATCAATCACTCTGTTTAAAAAGATTTTCAGAAATCCAAGTGTGTCTGTCAGTGTGATAGTAGACCACTGGGATGAGTCAGCGATACATAAACCGTCACTTTTAAATTGATTCAGAGATATCCATCTAACAGCTAAACTAATGTTAGAGTCACATGCTAACACTTCATCAGGGGTTATCTGTTACTGTTACAATGTGCAGATAAAGTGCCCCACACACACACACATGCCTGAAGGCTCTAAGTAGACAAAGCAAGAAGTAGAAGGTCAGATCTTAATGGAGTAGAGAGCCCATGCAGACGGTGGTTGCTTTGGAGGAGGGGTTTGTAGAGCTTTTCAGATGTCTGTGAGCTCTTTCTGCTCTCATTGGATAGTTTCACAGTCATCTGTGAGCAGCCACTGGTGTGGACTGAAGTCAAGGCACAGAAAGAGGGAGCATTTTATCTGTGTTGGGCCTGAGGGAGTGAGAGTGGCCTAAATGGGTCTCTGGTCTTGATTCGCAGACTATGGTCGATTTGTACTTGGTTTTTACTTTTATTTCAGACCTCTTCAAACTGAGTGGAAGAAGCAAAGAGATTGCTTTCGAGAGGAAGTCCCCTTTTCTATGAGAAATTGGATTTTTAGACAGACTTGTTTTTATGTCACTTCATGGTCCTGCTCTCTTTTCCTCCCCTCTCTCTTTCCCTTTCCAGCCTGAGGGCAGCCGCTTAGTTTTTCTGAGTGCTTGTCTCCTCTCTGGCTCAGAGGGCTCATCAAACTGAGCGCTTGCTCCATGTTTCCTCACGTCACAGGTGACGCACCCACTGTCACCGCCCCTCCACTGTTCTGCTGCTCGCAGACCCAGAGCACTGTGAGGCGAGATAATAAATCACAGTGCACTCCCAACACCCCCCTCTGTAACAGCTTGTCAGCCTGGGTAAAACACCGCCATAGAGACGGACAGAAATAAGCAGAGCAGTTTGAGACAGGCTTTCCTTGAAATACTTTACCCCCTTTTTTCTTCATTTAACATTTTATTTTTGTAGATTTATCGCAGTATCACAATGGATATCTCATGAATTAAACTATTCTGTTTCCCCAAATTTTACCCACTCATAGTGTAATGGTTAGTTTCTTGGCCTCTCTGTTAACCCCATGTTTTAATTCATCTAACTGTTCAGACTTGAAACCTGAATTTGCTACAGATATTTTTCAGAGTTACGTAATGGTACCAGCGAGTTTAATTTTCGAGTAATTACTTTGCAGGCTGAGAGAACGCTCTGACGTTAAAACATGAGAGATAGATCCCCACTAACAGTCTGTTAAATGCCTTGACAGCCCCTTTCTCATTCGGCGTCAGGAAGTTGTGTAGTCTTGAGAGAAAAATCTGCCCTGTGTTTCTTAATCTTAGGCCTGCTACCAGTTCACTTTTCCCCCATCTTGTTGTATAATCAGAGGTTTGTCATTGGAAACAGCTGCCCTGTACATCTGGAAACAATGCAGAAGCAAACTTAGAAGCTGAAGAACAACAATAGAGTGGACCATAAAGTCAGACCAGTGAGAGGATTGATTTAAAAATGCTCCGAGGCTAAAGGCTGGCCAGGGTTCTTAAAGGCACCATAAGGAACTTTCATGTCATGTTGATTATGGTTAACTATTTTGGTTGTGTTGTCACTGGATGAAGACTTTGTTTCCTATGCAAAGCCTTGTTTGTAGAGTCTCTCTATCTGAAATGATACTCCAACAGGAAATCTTGATACAGTATCAGCCATGAGTTTAAAACATCCCATAAAAAGAAAAACATCTAAAGAAAAACTACCCTCCTGTTTCCTGGCTTGCTTCTCCTGGCCAAAAATTACCTGTAAAGTTTTAAATCTAGCCACTCCCAGGTGAGTTCTGGGCATCGACTTGTTTTTCTTGTTCTTCACAGAAAATTCAACCTAAACACAGTCACTTAAATTAAGTTTAAAGGCACTGTAGAGAGTTTTTAATTGTTCAGAAACAGATTGAAAGTGATAACAATGCCTCTCTATGACCTACAGAGGCAAACAAGACCATCAGCAACAAGGCTGTTGACTTGGGAGGGAGGGTTCAGAGCAGATAATTGACAGCAGGTTGAAGAAACAGACTTTTTAAAAACTTTTTGCCATAGTGAGTAAAAATTCTCACTGTTAAGAATAAATGAGGTTTTAGTCTGAAAACACTTCTGTCACATGTACAGAACAAAAAAATAAAAAAAAAGGAGAGGTTCAACTTTGTCCACAGGGGGCGCCAAAGTTCACACCAAACAAAATGTTCTCACAAGAGAAAACGATCAAGCTGCTGCTGGACTTAAAGGGATATTCCGGCGTAAAATTAAGTTAGAGCCAAACACACCGTAACACCGAGTCAGACGCCCCCTCGAGAGATGAATGTTGCCAACTGCTTGTTTCTCTAGTTATACCAACTTCAGCAACGACCGCATGATAACAACAGACAGCGGTCTACATTTCCATGCAGAAGCCTCAACCAAAAAGCAACACTATAGCCACAAATAATGCTCAGAATGGCACCTAACTTCATGAACAGTACATATAGGGTACTAGCCAGTACTAGCCATCAAACATCTGGAATAGAGTGGTAGATCGCTGTGTATTGCTTTCGTTCGCTCGTTACTAAAGTTGGTATAACTAGTGAAGCAAGCAGTCGGCAACATTCATCTCTCGAGGGGGTGTTTAACTTGGTGTTACGGTGTGTTTGACCCTAACTTGATTTTACGCAGGAATATCCCTTTGACTGTGCATGTAAACTGAGTGAAAAACTTCTCACAGTGCCTTCAAATATGGACAGTGGTTTGTGAGTGCAGGTTTTTTAAAATAGCTCTTAAGTGTGTGCAGAGCTCCCTTGAATAAGCTAAAAAGAGGAGCTTTAAAATCCTAATAAATGAACATGGAGACTGAAACAGACATATCTGGTTGTTGTTTCCCTCTGCTTACAGAGAGCAGATTCTGTTTTGTTACCTGACCCATTTAACATGAACGGCCAATCATAAATTAAGCATGTGAAGGAAACCTGTAGCTGTACTCTGTACTGTCTAATCACAGTACAGAGTGTAATTGTCCTCTTCATGTAAATCACTGTACATTGCATGCTCCAGGGTTCTAATCAGCTAATCAAGTTTCCATGTAAAATTAATAAACATCCCTCCTGTAATTAAGCATCAGTGCAGCATAAGGAAGTGCTGATCAGGACAGAGGAAGCGTAAAAGGCCAGACTTTAGATGAATAATTCTTTTCATGTTTTACGCCAGGCAAACAGGAATATTACATCGCTATTAATAAGACAACAACTGTTTGAAGTGATCAGTCCTCTGGCTGCACTTCATCTGGACTGGGGATATATGGACCTATTAACGTTTCCCCTAAGACTCTAGAGTTTTTAAAGTGAGGGATTCTTGTCTAAATAAAGAACATCTGGATGAATAATAGATCAATTCTGTAAGGAAACTGCTTATTAATCTGCTCGCACATGCTCACACACACACACACAAGTAAAAACATGGATTGTTGAAGGTTTTGGACACTTTTTTTTTCTCAGAGTGCACTTCGCTTTGAGAACTCCACAGCTGCTCCAAAAAGTTTCTGTCTGAATCCGTCCCTCTCTCTCTGCTATTTAAAAAATGTTTGTTTTGAAGTAGGTAGAGTCACCATGTTCAGAGACCATGCTGAAGTTAGATCGTCAGGAAGCTTCTTAGTAGACCAGATGTGTTGGTGGCTCATTAGAGTCGCTGGAGCAAGCAGGACAGGATTTCAGAGACTGTTCCTCCCTGTCAGCTGGCTGTCAACACACTCACCTGGACTCCTCTGATCCTCTCAGCGCAGCACAGAAGAGACTGTATTTTTGTTTTTATATACAGCTTGTATGCATGCATGAGTATATGGATAAATATGCTCACTCTAGGGTATAAGATATGGACGTCTCATGTGGCTTGGATCCAGCCTTAAAGGGATATTCTGGCGTAAATTTAAGTTATGGTCAAACACACCGTGACATCGAGTTAGACATCCCGTCCAGAGATGAATGTTGTAGACCGCTTGTTTCTCTAGTTATACCAATTTCAGCAACGACTGCACACTAGCAATACACAGTGGTCTATGTCTCCACCTACAAACCTTAACCGAAATGCCACTCTATAGCCACAAATAATGCTCAGAACAGCACCTAACTTCATCAACAGTACATATAGGGTCCCAGCCATAGTACTGGTCATCAAACAACTTTTTACCTTTGCCTGGTTTCTTTAGCAAAGAGATCAAACACAACTCACCCACTCTTCTCCAGCAGCCGCTTGTTTGTGGGGGAGCCCTGACGAGTCGATCGCTGAGTGCAGCGGAGTTTCACAGCTCAATGAAAAATATTTATGATCATTTCTTTATGGAAATGCAATCAGACCAAGACGCTAAGGCAGAAAAACTACTGCGTCCGCAGTGCAAAATGATTATTGTGATAATTATTACTTCAAGGAAATGATCCGCTGCACATGGTGATCGACTCGTCAGGGCTTCCCCACAACCAGACAGAATTAAAAAGATGTTTGGTGGCTAGTACTATGGCTGGGACCCTATATGTACAGGTGCTGTTCTGAGCATTATATGTGCTGATGTGGCTTTTTGGTTGAGGTTTGCATGTAGAAACATAGACCACTGTGTATTGCTATCGTGCGGTTGTTACTAAAGTTGGTATAGCTAGAGAAGCAAGCAGTCAGCAAAATTCATGTCATGAGGGGGTTTCTGACTCGGTGTTACGGTGTGTTTGACCATACCTTAAATTTATGCCAGAATATCCCTTTAAGAGGAAACTTGAGGAACTGCAGTTTGAACACTACCTTATTGGCTAAATTCCTCATGACAGGAGGTTACGGCTCGGTTTAGGGATTCATGCCCCCCAGAGGACACACCCTAATGCTCTTGAGAGTCACCAGAAGATCCTGTATGATCATGACAGTCATGTTTTAGCAGTCATTTTTCATCCAGCTCCATAAAACACCACTTTGTTTATTTCAAATTTTGGTTTCCACACACTGTCCATCAGATTGAAGAGTGATGTGAGCTGTGCTTCGTGAGCTGACTCTGATAGAGGACCTCACCAACTCCATTATGGTCAAATAGGAGCAAATCGAGGCCTGATATGGCGGGGCACTTCCTCAGAGAGTGAAGCTGTTTCTATATAATGAATCATGAAATAGCTTGTACGCCCTTACATACATCGTGTGTTTAAGCTTGGTCTTGGACATATTTACTGAAACTTGTAACAGGACTACATGCAGCAAGTTCTGGTCAGGCTGTTCCTGATAAATAGATAAACAGTATTACCTGAAACAGTTCATCAGTCTACGTTGTTTCTATTAAATCCTGCTCAGCTGGTGACGGTTTCATGTCTCCGAGCCTGTTGAAGCAGATTTCGATCACCAGTTTTTCCTCTCCTATGACTCCAGTGCCATTTCCATTTCATTTTGGTGTAAGTGCCAAAGATCTATGAGGTTGCATTGATTTTATGACACTGTGTATTGGAGAGTTGGGTGATGAGGAGAGAGGGAGGAAGGTGCTGCTGAGAGAAAAATGAACAACAGGAGAGGAGAGCGAACACGTGAAAATAGAGATTAATGACCGTTCTGTTCATGTGACGCCCGTTTGGCAGTGACACAGCAGTCATTTAGGATGTCGTCTGTAAATGTGTGTTTTGGAAGTGGACTATAAAATGAAATAGTCGGCACACAAACTGCTGCTGTGTATTGGTGTGTGTGTCATGAGGATTGATCATGGCTGCTGCTCAGGCGCTGCTGGTTGATTTTCACGTGCAGTGCCGTCTCAGGCTGAAGAACGATGAATGAAGTTTATTGTCACTTCTTTTCTAAGATGTATACTGACCCACTGATCCCGGATCAGGACAAGTGGAATGGAGGGTCATGTGATTTCTGTTATGTCTCAGCAGGATTACATTTACTCACCAGTCGACGTGGATTAGAAGAATTACAGCTCGCTGGCCTGTGAGATCACATGAATGTCATGACTCAGCTTAAGATTTACTTATTAGTTTAATGCAGTTTTAATCAATAACAGCTATAATGCATTCATTTTAGTATTCTGATGCACAATTCAGATCAGAAGATAAGGCAAATCAGCCCATCACACTGAAAAACATATGACTTAGTAAGTTATTTATTTATAAAAATGATCAAAAAATAAAAGTCTGATATTTAAAGAAGCAAAAACAGGAACAGATGTGTCCAAAATGGTGCACCAGTTTTTCTTTTAGTCTGTTTCCCCACCAAAAACTCTTCAAAGGAGCTTTGAGTAAAAGCTGTTTTCCTGTATTGATTTCCTTTATGAAATCGGACTCGCAGAAGAGGAAACCTTGATAAGAGAAGCACGAGTCTAAGGCTTTTAAGGTTATCTATTTTGCTAACAGTGCCATCCTCAATTTGTCTCCTGAAGTTCCCGCCCTGGCTGGGTTAAATATATATTTTATCTTAAGTGGAGGCCCTGCTTTTAGGTGCTGCAGTGATAAAGGTCGTGTTGGCAGCAGTGACATGTGAGAGGGGCCAAACAACATATCTGCAAGTCTGGAGGTAACACAGAGAAAGGAAGAATGAGCACAAGTGCAGGGAGAAAAATGAAGACAGAGTCATGCCTGTATTTAACCTTTAGGACTTATTTTCTAAAATCATTCACAAACATTTAGCCAGCTTTTACATTTTTTCTCAGTTCAATAGAGAAGAAATAAGGTCAGTTTTTGATATTGTCCACAGATCATGTGCTGAGATAGATTCAAATCCGCACAAAGGTAATTAGACATGTCTCATTTGTGTACAAGCTTATAGAGTAACTTAGAGAGTTCATACTTGAGCTTTAAAATGGTGATTTTTACTTTTTTAGTTTGTGCATCCAGAGTAATTTTGGGGTAAAAGTTGGTCTTCAGAAAATCTATAAATAGATATTACCATCTGTTCACATCTGATTTTCCCAGAAACAGAGAAACAAACCCACTCTCTGTGGAAAGCAGCTCTCCTTGAGTCAGATTCATGTTCCATAGAAAGTCTCTTATAATTGCTCGCTACCCATCAGTTTGATTTCTTTTTAGTTTGACCGCAGTGTGTGTCTGTGTGTGTGTGTGTGTCTCTGTGTGTGTGTGATTGTTTCTGTGTAACCACATGATGTGTGTGTGTGTGTGTGATTGTTTCTATGTAACCACATGATGTGTGTGTGTGTGTGTGTGTGTGTGTGTGTGTCTTGCTTGCTCAGTGTGTTTGTGTTCTTGTGTGTGTCTGTATCATTGAGTTAATGGAGGGTCTTGCCCTGCGTAATGGAGCCCCTCCCTGCAGGCTGGGCAGATAATTTAATTAATGTTCGCTCGCTCTCTCTCTCTCTCTCTCTCTCTCTCTCTCTGTCTCTGTCTCTCTCTTTCTCTCCTGTGACTCATCTGTAGTCTTATCAGCCTTTTGGACACTCATCCTCCTCTACTCCGTCTCCACCCATCAACTGGGACCGAACCCTTCTCTGGTCACTCACATGTTCAGTTATTCATTATTTCCCTCCCTGCTTTCTGAATGATGTCTTCTCCACAATCACAGTCATTTAGACGCAGATACGTCTTCTCACTCTTCTTTCTCCCCGTGTGACTTTCTGTTCAGTCTCTGTGCAGTGAAGCCAAAGCAGCACCAGCTGACTTATCCTCTCTTTGCCCATTACTCTCTCTCTCTCCTTTGCCAGCGCTGCTTTTAATGTTTATGGAGGAAAAGCCATTTGTGGAGTCACTGTAATGATCCATGATGTAATGGCACCTCTTTGCAATACATAAAGCTGACAGAGGACTGGACTAGGTCTGGTTAGACTGCAGTATGCTCTATGTTAAATTGAGGCAAAACTCAAAACAAAAGGCCTGATCACAGAGAAATCTTTGCTTTTCCTACAAATTACTAACTTTTCAGGTACGGATTCATTTATATTTGTACTTCTTGTTTGTATTGATGTCAAACATCTGGTCTTGTCTTCTGTTTCTCAGGTGGGATTGCAGGAGGCATAGAGATCTGCATCACCTTCCCTACAGAGTACGTGAAGACTCAGTTACAGCTGGACGAGAAGGCTAATCCACCCAAATACAGAGGAATAGGTGAGGAGGGCGTGTGTGAGCGAGCGTGCTGACAAACTAGAGGACATTTTTATCAAAGTAAAAACACATCAAGCTGATAATCTTTCAAGACTGATTTTGTTAGAAATCTAAAAGTGGTGCATGAACAAATGTCTCTGTTTAGCAAGGATGTGGTAAGCATCGGACAAAGAAACAGGAACCTCCCCATATTTACTTAGTGACACTTCTGACAAATAATAAACAAAATGTGAGCAAATATATTAATCATTTATGGCAACTTAATGACCCTTTTCTTTAAACCACTTAAAATGTGCACATGTTGTACGTTAACATCATTCTGATTCATTTAAAAACTGTTCTGGCAGCATTTCAACACAGCAGAATTAAAAGCGCCGTAGTCTGCATACAAGTAACCCCCAGTATGTGTAGTTCATGTGTAGTTTTGGGTAGTATGACTGGCAATACTAGTTTTGCTTTGAGCTCTTACAATCAACTGAGTCACACCTCAGAATATAATTATTTATTTGATTCAAATTTTTGTTCAGCTTAGTTTGAGAAATAAAGATATTATCCTTTTCTTTGTTACAGTAAAAACTTGATCATATGAACAGAGAGAGGCAGTGCTGCAGCTGATCACACAGAGCAAAAAGTGATCACGTCCTTCTTAAAGAGTTAAAAAGCACAGGTTCTGTTGAAGTGGATACATCTGGCTAGTTTGGAAAATCTTGAAAGTTTGGCTCAATCCAGAAGAATCACACCCTGAATTCAGATTTTTCTACTCTCCCTAAAGAGGAGCTTTTTCTTGCAGCGAGAGAACCGCTGCTCACCTCCAAATTAAAATCATCAAAAAGCATCACACCAAACCCAACACAATCAAAACAAAACAAATGACAGCAAAGTTTTCATTTCAACCTGTTTATGAATTTAATTTACTGTTAACTGACTTTTATTGTCAGTTAATTTTTATATTTAAATATTATTTATTTAATTAATGTATACATATTTATTTTATTTACATTAAATGATCATCTTATCCATAAATAAACCATTATTTATGGCACATCAACAATATAGTGGAAAAACAAAGCAGACGTAGATGTCAATATGTTGCAAATGATATTTCAAGCTATAGAAAGATTATTTTTATGATAAGAAAAGCAGCTGGTTATGATATCTATCTATCTATCTATCTATCTATCTATCTATCTATCTATCTATCTATCTATCTATCTATCTATCTATCTATCTATCTATCTATCTTTTTAGTATATTGTCTTATTTACTCTATCTTCCTCTCTTAGGAGCTCATTATCTAATTACCCATCATCCCCAGGTACATTAGGGATTCTGGCAGGCTGTCACCGTGCTTGTTTATGTGACTTACAACAGACCAATGCACACACGCACTCTCCTCTCACTATCTGTGCAAACCAGCGCGCGCACACACACACACACACACACACACACACACACACACACACACACACACACACACACACACACACACACACACACACACACACACACACACACACGAACAGGCATATGCAGAGCGTGTTAATGTTGGCTGCAGCTCTGAGGATAGCCGACCATGCTAATGAGCACTACAGACAGCTGTTGCTCTTTCAGCTCAGTTGTGTATTTGAGGAGACAGCAGAACACGGATAACAGGACTGACGTCTGCGAGAGCAGGAAGGTTCAAGAAGTTCAAAGAAAAACAACCAATTTGAGGGAGAAAAGTCTGTTTTACAACACTGGTTATGGAGAGGATATGTCACTTAGGTTAAAAAAATACAAACAAAATATACAGCTGCTAGGAGTGATGACAAACTAAGCAGACCTTTCAGTCTGTAGCCAGCACTCAAGGATAATGGATTTCCAGACGAGACCGCACTTTGTGCTTAGCTCTGGTTTAGTCTGATTCATAAGTGAAGAAGCGATAATGGTGTAAAAGTATAGGGAGACATTAAAAGGTGTTTATTTTTAGCTTTAGCCTGAAAATTTTCACTTACTACAGTTTTGATGTGCACTAATATACAGCATCCGTTTGTAGGAACTGACTATCTTCAAGATACTAGTTAATTTATAACACACCTCATTGATAAATAACGTGTGTGTTTTCATCCAGCTGACTGTGTGAAACAGACGGTACAGGGTCATGGGGTCAAAGGACTGTACAGAGGACTCAGTTCACTGCTGTATGGATCCATTCCTAAATCTGCAGTCAGGTGAGTCAAATAAATGAATAATTCTGATGTTTTTCAGTTATATGTTTAATTTATTCATTCAAGAACAGATGATTTTTAATGTAATTCCTAAGAATTACATTGTGTTTATAGACAAATTTACTGAACGTGACATTTCAGAGTTCACCCAAATTTCATTTTAACCAGTTTTACAGAAATGACTGAATGAGTCGTCAAAGACACACATTTCTAGTTTTGTGGCCAGAATACTGTATTTATATCAATTCTTAAATCCTCATTTAAAGGCATGTTTTGTAGTAATCTGCTTTGTTAAATCATAAACGTGTCTATCCCAGGCTGGAGTTCAATGAGCCCTCTTAGTCGAGGCATCGGGGTCTGTTACCTGGAACCACTAACTCACATTCTCCAATTATTCTGGCCCATTACCCACGAGGCCGACATAAATGCCACACCAGCCTTCAGTTTAATTACATTATTCTTTTTCAGCAATGACATTTACACACTGACACGTTGCAGCGAGTGCGTGCACATGCGTGCATATGCACACATGTTGCACAAAAGCACACCTCCATAGTTATTATTTTTATTATCCCCTTCCCCTTTAGTCTTTTCCACAGCACTCCCCTCTCTCTCTCTCTCTCTCTCTCTCTCTCTCTCTCTTTTCTCTCTCTCTGTTGTGCTGGGGGGAGGCTGTCTGTACGATGGAGAGACAGGCGCAGCCAGGCGGAGCAAAGATGCCACTCAAACTCAGGCAGGGTCTCAATAGGGGAACAGAGAGGGAGACTTGTGTTGGTACGCTGTCAGTGGATGTGGTTATGTTTATGTACAGTGTGTGTTTTTGTGTGTCAGTCAGACGTCAGCACTCTTTCAGAGGGGGTCTGAAGGGTTTGTTTCTGCTCTGAGGAGAGTTTTCTCTTAGGAAATATGGCACAGAGGAGCACCGAGGTTTACAAAGAGGTCATTCAAAGAGTGTATAAACCTGCATTCAATCATTTTGTTTAAATATTATTGACATATTGATAAAATCTTGATCCTCTTGGTGCTCTTTTTTGGCTTACTGATACTGGTTTTGGCTTCCACATTTGCTACTGGTACCTGATTTTTCAGCGTTTTATACACATCCCTTATTCTATACAAAGACTGCTCTTATTGTCGTTTGTTAACCGATTTTAAAAGAGCTGCCAAACTTGAAACTGTTTTCAGCTCCTGATTTAGCTGGTTCACCCATTTGTACCGTTATAGATAGATAAAGACTAAACTGAGACGCTGAGGAGGAATTCAGCAGCACACAGTTCAGTAGAGTAAAAACATGAAGTCTCCTTATGAATTTAAGTCTGACAATATCTGGACAAAGCCATCCTCAGATTCATTTTGCAATTATTGCTCATGTTGAAGGAGGATACATTTTTAAAACATCTAATATAATTGTGACAGGTTATCTCCCGTCAATCCACAGAAAGAGCAAGATATTGAAAAATGACACATTTAAGACTCTCAGTCGAGAACGATCCACTCTGATTTATGGAAACTACCTTGGCAGTCTTCCATTGACCACCACTTCCTCCTAGTCATTTGTTGAATCCTTTTTTACTCCCCTCATCTCCCCTCCCCTCCCTTCCCTTCCTAGTGTCCTACCACATCTTCTCCCTTGCTTACCCTCTTCCTCCCCCATCCCATTAGCTGATTGCCTGTGCACCATCATGCCCCGCACAATCTACTTGATAAAAAGGTAGGAGAAGGACGGAGAAGAGAGCCGCTGACCTTTCCATCTCCTTAACCCTTCCTCCATATTAAGATCACTCCTTTTTCTGCCTTTCTATTCTATTTCTTCTCCTTTTCATCCTCTACTCCTCTCATCAGCACACCTGACCTTGTACAAAGAGCCACTAATGAAGATCTGGAGCTCTCTGCTGTCCAGAGTGACTCATCTCTGACTGTGGATGTCGGCCAAAACATGAAGTGTCATTTTTCTGAGTGTGAAGTTCGGTCCACTTTCTATATAAGGGAGGGAGACTTTGGAGTAAATTGGCACAGGAGCAGGAATGACAGCAGCATATTTCTCTCCTGCAGATTTCAGAGAATAGCATTTGTTTCACAAGGTTGGTTATTAAGCGCTCGGCTTTAGAGAGCTGTGGCTTTCCTTTATTTTCGATCCCTTCAAAGCTGTTTGTGACCAGCATGAGGTGTGCAGAAGGAAATGGATTTCTTTTATGTTTTGTTTGTTCCTGTTTAATATAGGGAGTTGGTTAATTGTGTGGAGCTTTTCTCTTAAAGTAAACAAACCGAGCTGAGAGTGAGACAGATGTGGGAAGTTAATGAGCTGAGGAAAAGCCCGAGACTGAAGTGCAGATGGTTGCGAGGAATAAAGTCCGATCAGGCTGGTGAATTTTTGTAAGAGCCGTAACACTGGCAGGTAAACGGCTCAAGCAGGCGGAGAGAAGACAGAGAGGAGAAACAGAGCATTAATCAGGACCGAGTGTCTGTCCTCCCCCGCCCCTGAGCTAAATGTACCGGCCAGCGTCCTACCTCTACCACAATTCAATTCCATCTATAAATAACCTTATTGTAAACGAGCCGCTGGCACAACACTTTCTGATTGAGGAGAAACATAAAGTGCACCTTCTCTCTCTCTCTCTTGGCCTGCTTCCATAGCAGCTGTTGCTGCGTACTTGTTGGTAACTGAGAAATAAACTGTACTGCTGCATCTTTAATCAGGAAACAATCTGGATAAGAAAGTTAATCCCCTCTAACTTTCTGTACTTGATCTCAGTGAATATGAGGGATTTTTTTTTTTTTTGCCCTAACTTGCTTCTGATTTTTTGTGCTCGTGATCACTGCTTCATGCAACCGTGAACTACTGTTAATTCATTTTTTAGCCAAAAATTGTTTACTTAATTTTGTGTTTTCTGGCTGTGAAAATGGCCAAAAATTCACTGCCAAAACTTTTAACACTGTAAAAATAAAAAATAAAAAAGAAAAAAGAAAAAAGAAAGAAAAAAAAGAGAATACTGTAATATTATTATTCAGTAAAAATGACAGAATGTACCTTCGGTTATAGAAACCACAGTAGTTTAAAAGGAAAATGCTGTAAAATTTAACAGGGTGATATTTAAGTGAGGTTATTTGTTGTTGAATTAAAAAAATATGTTTTTTTTTTCTTTTGGTAAAAACTTGTGCATTTCATTGTATGTGGCAAAATTCATCTTCATCTTTGTCCTTTAAATTTCCCTTTACCATAAAAGCAAAAAAGGTTCTACTGTATTTATGACAATAAAGTTCTGGTAAATCAGCTGCTAATTTTTTACTGTAAAAAAATACAGTTTTGTTTTTACAGTGCAGCATTTTTTTTTCTGATAGGAATTTTATGTTTTAGTGTGAGATTGCTTTCATATTTCCTAACTTATTTTTAATATTTAGTACTTACTGGAAGAAAGTACTGCATATGTAAAACACACAAACTCACCCTATAACAAAAGTTAAACTAAAATGTAAAAAAGTAGAAAAGATCCAAAACTATACGTTTCTACATGTATGTACAGCTTTTATAGAGATCTATATGTTAACCTGTCCTGCTGCAGTGCTGTGCTCATCTCTCCCTGTTGGCTCTGTTCTGGTCTGCAGGTTTGGGGTGTTTGAGTTCCTCAGTAATCGTGCCAAGGATAAGTCTGGGCATCTAGACAGCACCAAAGGTCTGCTGTGTGGACTGGGAGCTGGGGTGATGGAGGCCGTTTTGGTGGTTTGTCCAATGGAAACTGTGAAGGTACTTAACTAACTGATCTGTGATCAGATGTCACTTTGGATTAGTTTGGGTTTTTGGTGTCATTCCTGGTAGATGTGCTGCCTGTTCCTGTTCATGTACAGTTAGTGTGATCAGTTTCATATGACTTTCATAAGACACATTTGTCTCCAAAATCATGAAAGCTGATTATAAAAGAACTTAGCAGGAGGAGCATTTCATTTGGAAACTTTCTGATTTTGTGCTATAAATCATGAGGCTTGCAGCGTGTTGCAGTAAAAGTGTACAATACTGTGTCTGTGCATGAACTTCTGAAGTGTCTCTTTAATTGAGTCAGACCAATATACTTGTCTCATTTCCCTGTTAAAGGTCAACAAATAAGTCTGCTTTTGATATTTATTTATTTTTTTAAGGTTAAATTCATTCATGACCAAACTTCAGCCAACCCTAAATATAGAGGCTTCTTCCATGGAGTCCGAGAGATCGTCAGGGTACAAGGTAAACACCAACTTCAGTGCATGGGGCTCACCTGACATCTAGTGGTTATAGTGGGTAGTGCAGCCAAAAACATTTGATTTACATGAGTTGCATCCAGAGCTGAGAGTTTTTTTTTTTCATATTAACCATATAAAAGAAGAGCATAATAAGTTTACTCCTCTGTCTTGCCCCTGCAGGATTAAGAGGGACATATCAGGGTCTCACTGCTACTGTCCTCAAACAAGGATCCAACCAGGCCATTCGATTCTATGTGATGACCTCTCTGAAGAACTGGTACAAAGGTCAGTGTGCATACCATAAATGATTTTTCTCTTTTCATTATCATTTAAGATACATGCAAACAGATTAGAAAAAGGCGTGGCGCTGGTTAGCAGTGCTAGTTTTTCATGTTGCTAGGCCATCATACTTTCCTGACTTTAGCCGACCAGTACAAATGTACAGTTCTGACATGGTGTCATGATCTAGCTTTTGTCCAAGTTTCAACACCAGGACTTAACATGCATGAAGGTATTATCTGTAACCCACTCCTCTTTTGTGTCCTTAAACCAGGTGATAACCCCAATAAATCTATTAACCCCTTGATAACCGGAGCCTTTGGAGCCATAGCTGGAGCAGCCAGCGTCTTTGGAAACACTCCACTTGATGTTATCAAGACACGGATGCAGGTAAGTGACAAAGATGAGCAAGTGAAGAGGAGAAGTTTTTGCTCAGCTGGTTGAGTTGTTTCCTGTCAGTGCCTCTGAGTTATAAAAAATCAGTCCTTTTGTTTTCTTTCTTTAGGGTCTGGAAGCACATAAATATAAAAGCACGCTGGACTGTGCAGTGAAGATCCTGAGAAATGAGGGGGTGGCAGCGTGAGTACAGCTTTTGTTTGACTAATTTCAGTTTGGTCTTTTATAGAGAACTGATAGATGCATATTATTAGCTATGTGTAAATGAACTCAATCTAAGAAGACTTAATCTTAAACTTGTCTTTTATTTGCATGATTTTTACACATTTTTAGATGTTCAGCAGACTTTTGTAACTGTGTCCACAATGCACGCCAGTCTGTTTGGCTGTATGCTCGTCATAGCAACCTATCAACCACCTCTGTCCCTATCTGTAGGTTCTACAAAGGAACGGTTCCCCGGCTGGGCAGGGTGTGTCTGGATGTGGCCATAGTCTTCATCATCTATGAGGAGGTGGTGAAGGTCCTGAATAAGGTCTGGAAAACAGACTGAGCTGATGAAGCTGCAGAGAGGGTGGCGGCTTCCTGTTCTTGAGGCATCAGACACAGACCTGAGTTCCCCAGACCTCTTCTGCTGGTGAGGGGGGTTTAGACAAAGAGCTGAACTTAGATCAGTGTTACATGCTAACAGGAAGCTGATTAGATCCCAGGGCGGTGCTGCAAAAATTAAAAAAAGCCTGTGAAGAGGCTCAGTGTCGCCCACATCTGGACAGCTTGAGTGTATGTAGAGCTTTGCTGCTCGGTGCCAAAACACCGGATGAGTGTGGGTTTCACAAAGCGGGATCATAAAGTGAGCCAAATAATCAAAGTGTACATCATCACTGTCTAAAAGTAAAACAAAACCCTAAAATGAGGCTTAACATCATGTTGATGTTTGCTCAGAAATAACCTGTTTGAGGAAATTTCCCCTTTTCTCAAGTTATTCGGTTCACTTTATCCATAAACCTGCTTTGTGAAACAGCTTCTTTCAGTGAAAACTATCATTTAAAATCACTCACAGCTGTTTTAAAAAAAAAATGAAGTTTACAGCAACTTTTCAGGTGTCATGTTGGATTTCTTGAGTTTTGTTGCTCTCTGTCTCTTCTTGTGCCTCGTGTGATTCTTCATCCAGAGGAGCCAGACTGCAGCTGTTTGCAGGTTTACAGACACATAAACTGCAGTAACATCTTTAACTAACTAGGCCTTCAATAGAATACATATTATTTTTATAAATTGTAGATGCTAATTTTTTATTTACTAGCATTATAGTTTTATTGTAAAGTATAATATATATATTTTATCCCTGTGCCAAATGCCAAACCTGTTAAACCACGGAGCTGTGTCAGAGGAGACACATGCAGAGGTAGCCTGGTAGAAGATGTTGTGCAAAACTTTTTAAATGTATTTATTGAAGCTGAATGTTGAATATCTAGGTATTTGAGAGACTATTTGCTGTTAACTTGTGCCACTTGTGTCAAGTTTTCTGGGTGTAAAAGTGTTTTAAAGATGTTAGTAAAAATATTTTATTGCTGTATTTCACTGTGAGTCTAAATGACAAAATGCAAAGTAACCTCAGAGCTCTGTTTGTTTCGTTCAGTGATGGAGTGACTGTTCATCAGGTCATCCTTAAAACAGCTTCCTACACCTGGATGGTTTTAATGATTTTACATCTGAGGCAGTTTTCTGTCTCTGCGATCCTTCCATCCATTTACTACACTGATGCTTCCTAACATTAGGGTCACAAAATGAATGAGCAGTTGACAGATGAGTACATGCAGGTGCAGATTCATGTTAAAGTGAGATTTTTAACTCTTTATGCTAAGTACCCTGATGGATCTGAAAATGATACAAATTCATCCAGAACCCACTTAGTACTTTTACTTTTTTTTACTGTTACGATAAAAAGATAGATTAGGTTCATCTGACTAAAACTGGATGTTGACAGAGATAAATGTAAACGTGTTATTTCATTATGTTCATCTGACTTAAATTGCTATAGTATCCTAGAGTCAGTCGATGAGTTATGTTGAATTCAGAACTGACAGTTTCTCTTAAATGACTTTCAAGGCTTTAACTTCATGTGTTCAGTTTCATCACCATCATGTTTCAGTCAGGTCTCTTTCTATTCTTGCTCATGTGCCTTTAAATGGTGTATCTGTTGGTAAATTAACTTTAAAAATGCTGTCATCCACTAGCAAACTCGTGAATGATATTTCCTATGATTTGAAATAACTCTGGTGTCGTCATTTTGTTTACTTTAATCTGCATACGCCAACCAACCAGCCATGACACCATGGACTCCTGTGCAATCTGATGCAACCCATTACAACAGCTCTACCAAATTCTACTTTCAGGAAGTGTCTAAGCTTTCTGTTTGTGTTGACATGATCGGACAGGTGACTATTACTCTGTATCAAACCATTATTACCATACCATAATTATCAAACCATAGTGGTGGTAAACTGGAGAGTGTTACAATGAAAGATGTTCCTTTCAGCAAAATATCAGGGAACACCTTTCAGTATAGAGCACTCCAGCAAATAATCAACACCCACTACGACTCAAACAGTTAATTTAAAGACTAATTATCACCTGCCAACAAAGACTAAAAAGATAGTAGATATTATATCTATAAAAGTTACATTTATGATAGCGTTGTTGTCCTGGATGACTCAGGTGTTCATGATTTTATGGCTGTATAATTTTTTTTATATCCTTTGTTGGCCAAACAGAGTTGTGTTGTGCCAGATATAAAGAAAGTGTTATTATTATAACAAATCCATGTACTCCAAGGCTGTGTTTTTCTGTATGTGTGTGTGGGGGGTGGGGGGATTGTAGCTCTTCATGATGAAGCCTGTGCAATAAACATGGTCCCTCCTCCTGTTGACTGTAAAATGGTGTTTGTGTGTGTAGGGAAAGGGTTCCTCAAAACTCATTAAATCAAGCGTCTAAAAACCTGAAATCTGATTACTACTTTTGTGTCCTCTCTCTCTCTCTCTCTCTCTCTCTCTCTCTCTCTCTCTCTCTCTCTCTCATGTTGCTGTTCAGCCTGTTTGGTCACAACAGATCACATTGGGTCAAACCACAGGAGGGTAAGGAGGGTAGGATATGGACAGGGAGCTCATTGTTCCAGTTTTGGCTGATGCTCATGTCCAGTGATTCAACTATCTGTCTCACTCTCTCACTCTCTCTGTTACACACAATTACACACTTCATACCCCCAGTGCTCCAGTGTTTGTTGTGAGAAGGAATGCACAGCTCTCTGCAAAGGCTCGGACTGAGGACAGCTTGTGTATTGGAAATTTTGGCATCAATGAAAAAAATGATCAGTGTTTGAGGACCAGTATCAGATTTTGATTTAAAGCTCTGGTGGATACAGTAACTTCCAAAGAAGGGTCAAAGGTCAATTGAGATGTCAGGATTAATGTAAATTATATAAATCTAAAACTACAACAGTTTTGGCTTGACAACAAGATTTTTAAAGTTACTTTTCTCAGTTTTGCACTCTGGGAAGTTACTGCCTTTTTCCTTTACAGGCCAGTGTAGATGACCGGATCAGAGCATTTCTGAAACTGCAGCTCTTGTCAGGTGTTTGCAGTCTGCAGTGGCCATAGCCCACAAAAAAGTGGTCCAAAGAAAGAAAACCAGCGCCACAGAGGATGACCATGCCCTGGTGAAACGCAGCAGTGTTGATTTAGTTCTAGGGCTGGGCGATATGGCCTCAAATCAATAGCATGATATATTGAGCAGTTCACTAGTTCAGTTCGACAACAATAAATAGATGGTAACTACTCCACAAGTTGCTCACCCCCTCCCACATTAACTTCGTCTACTTCAGCCGCTACAACTTTTGAACTGTCCTCGACGTAGGATAGCCTACCTACACACATCCAAAACCAACTTTTTAAAATGTATTTATTTTTTCTGATTCCGAATATATTGACATAGGTAAAATTACGTTGGTTATTGTCATTAGTTTCAGTATCGGTAGATTTTTGGTTTATCGCCCAGCCCTACTTGGTCCCCAAATTTCCTCAAATCGCAATCCAGTCAACTGAATGTAAGATCAGCTGGACAACAAAAATCCAGTCCTGTTTAAGTCTGGATACCAGATACCACAGTATGTTTTCAGATGACGAGTAGAGTCCATGTTTGGTGGGGTCAGGGATTTTTGGGCCTAAATTGATGAGAGGGGACTACATAGCACATAATCTCAGGCAACTGGTCATGATCTGAAACTGCTACCTCGATATTTGGAGGAAAGTTAATAAGTGCACAGTGAAAAGTTTGTCTCCAGTATTAAAATGATTAATAAGTGCCTCAAAAAGTATTATTAAGTTTCTTTAACACCACTTGTTTGAGTTTGAGGTTGTGTTTATGATTAGTATAGCATTAAAATACAGGATTATTTTTATTTTGTAAACACCAATTGGGCAAAAATTGACTTTGCAGCATGGGTTTAAGACTTTTTACTGAGACAGATTTTATCTTGTGTCCAAAAGTTCATCTTAAACAGTAGGTGGAGCTGTTGCTAGAGCCTCAAGCACATCCAAGTCTCCACTGACCAACTGCGATTTTATACACACACACACACACACACACACACACACACACACACACACACACACACACACACACACACACACACACACACACACACACACACACACAGCAGTGATGAGAGAGAGGGGCCGGCTTGCTCCTCACATCTGTACAATAGGGCTTTATAAGGGGGGTCAGAGAACCCACCAGCCTCCCTTCATCCTAACATCATCACCCCTCCCCTCCCCTCCTCTTCCTCCCTCCTCCTCCTCTTCCTCTCTGCTTCATGATGGTGGATTGTTCCAAAACTGCCCCAAAATCTCTCATCATCCTTTCAGACATCATACAGCATACAGCTCCTGCTTTGAGATCATCTTTGAACCTACAGGAGATGATGATAGAGTCTTGAAGTCGTGAAGCAGCTTTACAGCCAGTTTACCTTCATTCTTCTCAACTTGTCTGTCTCATATTAGTGAAAAACACACTAATGTATCTTATAGCTTTAACTTTTTTTCAAGCTATTCTTCAAACTATTCCAAAACCTCTAACTTTGGTGGTCATCCAGTTGGATTGTGGCTGTTATTTCCTGCGCAACACAACAAACCTTACATGTATCACAAATTACAGACGATCTACAACTTCCTCAAGGATCTTAGCTTTGCTTTTTTCCAAATGAAAGGTTCAGATCCTTTCACAATAAACAACAACAAAGGCGATTGTCCAGAGTCCTCCTGGTGCTGATGCTCTTTTACAGTAACCCCCACCCACCATCACCCAGTGTTTTCAGGAGCCTCCATTCACCCACAGCCAGTGAAGAGGAAGTAATGTCATTGTTCTCCAGGCTCTCCCTCAAAGGGTGGATGCTCTTAGCTGTATGAGTGGAGATTATTTTGTCACTGAAGCTTTGAGAGGCTGTTTCCCTAAAGGCTTTTTGGTTGAATCTTCTTCACATGCTAACTTCAGTTTTGTTTACGTTTTGATATCAAAATGGCCTCGACGCTGTCCGTGGTGCTGAATTTGATTTCTCGATTAAGATCTCAACTGATCTTTATGAGGATGTTAGATAACCCGTCACTCATGTATCTTTGTCTCTAGATTCAATAAAATGTTAATAGTTACAGCTTTTGTGTTGTGTTGTGGTGTAAGCCACAGTAAACACTTTAAAGCTTATCTCAGTTGTTTGGAAGTTTTGCCCTAAAATGAACCTTTTCTTTGGCAGAAGAGGTTGTCCAACACACTTTAAGAACATTGTTTAAAGGTTCATAGTTGGAGAGAGAGAGAGAGAGAGAGAGAGAGAGAGAGAGAGAGAGAGAGAGAGAGAGAGAGAGAGGTTGCTACTGTATGCCTTACCTAATAACCAACAGTAGCTGTGAGGGGCGGTGTCCGGCAGAAGGATAGGGGAGAGCTGGTGTACGCAGCCTCCACTTTTACGCATCAGTTGTTCGTGAAGGCATCAATGCTAAAGATACCTCCAATCTGGATTTTGTGTACAGATCATCACCAGTTTTTTTCTGAAACATAATTCCGTTTTAAGCTCTAAAAAGGGAAGCGTACACCTGCCGAGAGAGCGGAGCAAGTGGACCCAAAGAAAGTTTCCGTCATGGGAGCGCGTGGATGGAGCTCAGCGCGTCTCGGGTTTGTCGTTTGTGGATATTTAGCGTTTTTCTGCGGGGAGATTTTCCCACAGGCTGAAGCGGGCTGCAGGGAGAGAGAGAGCCCCAACTGCTGCACCGGCCGGAACAATGAATGTTTTGAGTACACCAGGAGAAAAACGGTGTGCTACTGTGATACCTACTGTCAGAAAACCAGAGACTGCTGCGAGGACTACCAGAGCGTGTGCCAAATATCTGGTGAGCTGCGTTTAAACGCCTTCAACTTGTTTTGTTTGGATGTTATTCATAGCTGTCCAGTTTGGGTCAGAGATGGCTGGCATTGAGGTGACATGGAGACAGTGAGACATACTACACATAGCTGTCTCCAGTGTGCTTATTAAGGCTGTTTGTTTAGAGTAACCGGACAGAGATGACCATTAGGCTCCTATACAGGCAGGGCTTTTGTTTTTCAAAGGCATAGTTGTGTGTTTTACAGGTTGCTGGGTTGACCCATGGCATTAAAAGGTTATAAATGTGCAGCTTAGTTAAGAACTGGTTGAGGAGTGAAAAAAAAACTGATCAAGGTAAAGTCAAAATGCTGCTCCAACTCATGTTTTGTCATTTTATACTTACAAATAAACACATTTTAAGTTTATCTATTGAGACACAGAGATAATAAACTGCACTTTGAATCATGAGATTAAGGTTCGATGTTCACAGAAAGTGTGTGTGGGTCACCTCTCCTCTCATCATCCTGGCTGATTTCTGCTATATATGGACAAATGAGGAACTGGACGCCATGGAAACAGACTGCCAAAGATGGTCAGAGTACAGTAGAGCTGTGTCTGTCTGAGATGTGACAGACAGACAGGAAACGTACAAAGCTCTCTCAGTATGTTGAAACATCTCAAGTTCAAAGTGAGTAATTATCTGTGAGCAGATACACACAGACTGTGACCCTAAAGTGCTCACTAACAATCACCTGCAGAGTGGCTCTTGCAGGTCAAAGGGCTCTCGCCATGCTGCACTGATCCCTCTATTTAGGCACATTTAGCGTACACATTGTGACGTGTCCGTGCCGGGATGTGAACTGGCTGCTTCATTTGGACTCAAGTGAATCACTTCAAAGTGCTTAAGAGGAGGCAGCACTTTATCAGACCTCAGCGTAAACTTCAAAGATAGCTGAGAGACTTGTAAATCACTCTTTAACTGCTGCATGCTGTGCTAAAAACACACACTTGTAAACTAGTGCACATTTAGACTTACTTTCCTCAGTACTTAAATTTCTCACTATGTCTTTGTCTTTGAAGCATTATTTGCAAATTAAGAAACACTGATGCTGGTTAAGATTCAGTAAAAAAAATACATCAAGTTTTTGAAGTTTAAAAAAATTATCTGTCTGCTTTTATTTTGGTAAGAATTGTGTTATTGCAACAAAAATCACAGACTGAAGAGGTAAAAATGATTGCAAAAACATCATATTTCTTTTTTTTAAATTTAATAGTCAAGCTGTTCTCATCAGGATAAGCCCAGATACATATCAGTGAGTCTTTTTTACTTTTATTTCCTACCCAACAGCAATGGCTTGACTGCCAGCATCTGAAGGTATCAAAGCAAACAGACAAGTGTAGCCGACTAAAGCCTTAGTGCGTGTTTGGTACCCACCAGTCAAAGAGGATCGTACTGTAGAGACAGTGTTTATCACCCAGCAGCCAGCTGTAAGCAGTCCAGACATGACTTGATTTCTCCCATGTGTCTGCCAAACTGAAACCTAACAGAACCGGCTCAAGGAAGCTCCTCAGGTCAGTGTTTAGTCATCAGTGTTCGGTTCAGCTGCAGCTGGACTCTCAGGGGTCGGCTCACGGCTGCACGGGCATCAGTTCACTCACGTGTCAGAGGGTTTTTTTTTCTCTGAGGACAGATTGTGGGCTTACTCTGACAGGTGAATCCTGCTGTGACAGAGTGCAGAAGATAGCGGATCTGTCCTGGGAGAGCTTCAGGCTGCAGGCTGGACAGAGTGTCACTGTACAGAGCATGAAATCAAAACATGACTGCTGAATTTTACTAAAAGAATATTGTTTTCCACTTCAATTTGGAAGGATTTGCAAGTCACAAAGTGTGCTGCTTGAAAATAAATCATGAGGTTTTAATTCTCAAACATAGTATGCAACATTTAGGGTATTACGAACTTTTAAAAAAGACAGAATGCAATTAGAAGAATGAAATTGAAGTAAAAGCAGTGAAGACACTCCCTGAAACAGAACGACACCACCCTGTCCACCATCTTTACAAGCTGCAAGGATGAGTGAACTTTGAGTGACGCTCTTCAACACACCTTAACTTCCTCCCCCTGATACCTGAGCATCTCCACCGTATAAACAACAACAACACGCAGCTGTGGTTGGCTCAAAACGCCTTGATATTTTCTCACCCACATCACACTCACACCTTATCTGATCCTGATCCTGCAGCTCCGTAACGCTCGGCGGCGTCTGTCTGTGCACCGTCTGTCACAGTCTGTAATTTAGTCATGTCAGCTGTAGCCGAGCAAAGAGCCTGCTGGAGTGGGTGACATCAGAGCAGAGACAGAGGGGGTGTCAGACTGTTTGTACTCGCACTCAAACACTTACAGGACTGAAGAGTTTGATAAGATTAACTCCAGAGGTGATTTTTCTCTAAAGTGAAGATTTGGCAGGAGTTTGGGGTTCTTGTTAACAGTGCGGAGGAGGTTTACGTGTGTTATTCTCTGTTTAGGGATTAAATTACGTTAAAAGTTGAATCATGAGTGTATCGTTTGAGCAAACCCTCCCTACTCTGATAGATTTAAGTCCATGGATTATAAGAAAACATAAAGATTGAAACTATATGCTAAGTATAAATACCATAAAGCAAACCTTGGCTGCTTTATGGTATTTATACTTAGCATGCATAAAGTACATCATCCCAAAACTACAGGACTATCTTTCTATATATGGATGCATTTTGCAGTGAGAAGCCAGAATGATTAGAGTGATCCTTTAAATGCAGTGTTACATCCGCAGGGGCAGCTGTCTCTGGTTGTAGGAGTACCTGTTGGACATCATAATTTCAGTGTCTGTGCTTCTGTAACTCTGTAAGGAGGACAGCAGTGGCAGCTGGTAGTTTTCACATCACTATGAAGACATATTGAAGTCTGATGAGCAGACTCTAGAGGTCTCTCTCCCGAAGGCTTGTCTCCTCTTCCTTCTGTCCTTCAGGGTGTGGTGCACGGTCATACCATCATATTTGATTCTTTCCACCTCTACTCTCACTCCTGTTTTTCTTCTCCCCTCCCTTGTGCTCGTCCTGCAGCCTCTACAAGTAGAATAGATGTTTTTAATGCCGGGGCTGAAATAACCCAGCTGCTGCAGTCTTTCCATCCTGTTTCTCCTGGAGCACACGTACTGCACGCAGCAAATGAGATAACTTGGTTACAGAGTTGACACCCATCACTTGGACTCTTCAGGAACCAGATAACTAAAGTGTTATAATCCATGCTGAATTTGAAATATGTCAGCTGTTGTCATAGGAACTGTGTCTACCAGGAGATACGTGCAGGCTAACTCTTCGTTAATGTTAGAGTAATGTGGAGTCTCTGGTACATGGATGATATTAAATCATGCATTTGTGTTTCAAGAGGACTTTCTGGCTTTCTTTGTGTTAATGAGATGCTGACAAATGATGAATGGACATGAATTCTGGTCGAGGTTTTTAAGCCCCTCTTGGTTATGAATGGCATCAACTTTTACTCAAGTTAGCTACGCTGGTTTCTCCTGTTTCTAAGCCAAAAGTGTGGATGTTATCAAGCCAAGCTAAAGAGCCCATCACTGTAAACACATCTGATTAACATTAGCATGTTAGGGTTGTTTTGTAGAGACAAAGTCCTCCCTGTCTCTTGGACCACAAACCTTCTATTTAAAACAAAATGGTACAAGATGTCTCATTTTTCAGACCTGCAGAGCCACACTTTAACATACGTAGCTTTTCAAACTTGATTTCCTCCTTATTTTATTCCTCTGACTTGTTTCGAAAGAACTTTAACCAGCAGATGCTTCAGTGAGATAAACGCTGTGTTTACAGCTTTATGTTTAACTGTTTTAGTTGTAGACTTCAAGTGTTATTTAGTACAAACAGCTGAGTTATATTCTTATAAAGTCCGTTTGATTATCTCCCTAAAGTTTGTACCTTAAGTAGGGATTTTAAAGAGAGGGGACACCATGGATACTCCATAATTTTCAGGTATAATTTTGCAGTTCATCAACTGCTCTTGAGAGAAAACAGAGTCCACTAGTTTCAGGCGGTATGACGGGGTTATGTTAGGTCATAATTTGCAGACCATTTGTAATAGCACCACACAGGGAAGGGGGTTTCCCCGCAAGCAGTATTTGGTGCACTTTCCTACTTGTGATAATGAGTCTACTTTTGAATGTCCATCTAAATTACAACAACAAACAAACAAACACATACTTATTTATAGTACATGATCTACACTGAGGAAGGTGGAGTCTATTCTAAAGAACATGGATCACCCACTTCACAACACCTCGATGGACCAAAGGGCCAATGGTGGTGGACGGCTCCTCTCTCTTCGCTGCAGGACAGAAAGATTCAGAAGATCTTTTGTATCAACAGCCATTAGACTTTATAACTCTTGTGTAAATAGTAGATAACTGTTAGAGACATATTATGTGAGACAACAGACAATTGAATTTCCCTGCAGGGATTAATAAAGTTATTCTAATCCTTACTTTTTTTCTTATGTATATTTTTGAAGTGGAGTCAGCGTTCGTCATGAAAATATGTTTTTCTGTATTACAGTATGTCTACAGTTTGTTGCTGGCCATGTGATGCTCAAACTTCCTGCAGTGTCTGAGGAGAAAATCTGTCTCAGCTGTGTTTGTAATGAACCCTCCTAATGAGCTGGCTTCCCCGGCTCCTCTTTTCAAGGTGTCTACAGGAAATATTTATGTGCCAACCTGTCATTAGGCCTCAGTCTCCTGTCCTTCACCTCTATTAACAGCCTTGTGGTTCTCCCCTGTGTGTCTCTCAACATTATGAGTCTTGTCTGATGGGACCAGCGCCATGGGAGGGGGGGGTTTGCTGAGGAGGGTTTTGGGGTGCAGTGGTCCTCCAGAGCAGCTGGACATCTGGGTCCTATTAAAGAGGAGGTGGGAGGTGGATGGAGGGGGCGGAAGAGTGAGACCAAAGAGGACCAAACAGAGAAAGGACAGATGGGGGAGAGAGAACAAGAGGGAAGAGGGGACGAGGTGATAAAGGGAGGAGAAGAAGATAAAGCCAATTGGGCGGGCATGTCTGATAACTCTTTTGTTATGAAGGCTTAAAATAGAGGAAGGATCCAGAGAGAAAAAGCAGAAGAATGCTGCTCTGAAAAGCTAGATGTACGCTTTTATCTGACTGTGGCAAGAGTGACTGGAGATCGGCTGACAGGTCGGGAGATAAAAGCGCTGAGGTTGGATACACATTCAGAGTTTGGTTCAGTTCGTGAGGTTTGTCTGAAGCTCTGCCAGCTGCCAAGAAAATCAGCCAAATGCCACAAACTGTGTCCAAGCAAACTGTTATCTCTGTGGATTATCTTTGTCAGAGTACAGCTGCGCACGTTCACCCCTACAACAGCGATGTGCATCATTTCAAGAGAAGCTTTTTAAAACTCCAATAAAAGTTTTTTTTTGTGAGTTTGTTCCAACTGACTGTAACCGCTATCAGATTTGATTAAGATCTGGCTTAAAGGGAAAGTCTGTGTATTTTTTTAAGTGGGGTTGCATGAGGTTCTGGTTAGTAGTAGTGTATTACTCATAGAGGATGCTAGTCAGCTCGACAACAAGTGCCATTTGTTTCCCGTGTTGGGGTCAAAGGTCAGAGGTGATGGAGGAGGGAGGCTTTCTAACTTTCTCCTCTGGGACAGGGGACAGCGGCGGCTGTGGTCGGCGCGGGTCAAGCTGTGTCAGACTCTCTGAGGGGTTATCATGTGGGCGGTAGGACTGTCACACTGGTGGTAGCAGAAACAGAGCCGGGGGGACCACCACAGTTTGGCTAATTGCCTTTTGACCCCCGGTGGCCAGAGGGCAACAGGCTGAGACTACCAGACGGGCCCTCAGACCTGCTTGATCGGAGGTGTAATCGCCTTGTTTTCCCCTCGTGTTCGGGAACTCGCTGACCCTATCTCTTTCACCGCAGCAAAGACCTAAACTGGTCTGCTTGTTTGTGGATTTCACACCATGAAGAAGAAAAGCAGCAAAATAAGAGCCACACAACTGAACAAGGAGTGAGGATAAGAAGAGGAAGAGGAGGCCAGAAAAGGAAGCTGATATGTGTCAGATTGGATTACACCCCTCTGTGTTCTTTCCAGAAAGTTCATGTCACTCCGCAAAAGTACACGGGTTACTGTGTGTGTCTGTGTGTTTTAGGGTGATGACTGAAGGTGGAACAAGCCCAAGTGGGTGGGTTTAATCTGACAGAAACTGTTTTCGATGTGTGTGTGTATGCGTGTGTATATACGTGTGTGTGGCGATCTGGGAAAGGCGAGTGTCAGGTGGGCAGCACTAATGTGCAGGAATGCAGAGATTCCACAGTGGCTTTGTGGATCGGCCGTGTCACTGAGACTGCAGGCCCCCCCCCCTCCCCTCTCTGAAACCCCAACAGGACCATGGGAATGAACCGAACAGGCGGCACCTTGAAAGCTCTCTCTCTCTTTTTCTACTGTTCACACACACACACACACACACACACACACACACACACACACACACACACACACACACACACACACACACACACACACACTGTTACACTATTGTATTGAAGGGTGAGTGTGTGTTATAAAGACAGAGTTAGGTAGATTAAACGGCGAGGCGGATTAGATCCAGTTATGGTATATTTATCCTCTGGCTCCCTGTAATTTCATGAGAGAACCTCTAATAGCTTCACGCTGTGTGCACCTGCTCTCATTGTGCTCAACTTTTTACTGTGAGCATCATTGAAAGCAGAAGCTCTGCATCAAAATTAAGCTTTTAGAGGAGATAGATGTTTATGTTTGCATTTATTAATTTCTCAGAGAAAGTTGAGGAGCTCTCTCTTCTCATTTGCAGTTAAAAGTCTGCTGCTATTAGAGGTCCAGATTAGACGAGGTCTAATTACTGCTGAGCTTTGATCAAAGCAGACATCTGACTAATACGGCTTCCTCTAAGGCTGATGTAATTGGCTAAATCAGCCTACAGAAGTGGAAGCCTGATTGCTGCGACTGCTGCTTTGTTTATATGGTGTCCTGCTCGTGTCTGTGTGTGTGTGTGTGTGTGTGTGTGTGTGCCTGCAGAGGGGAACCAAACAGAACAGGATGCAAAATTAGCCCCTTATTTAAATGGCCCACACATATGTCCCTGGATGCAGACTTCCTGCGTCTAGGGTTCTAGTCTGGGGATCTGACATTAGTAGATGGTAATGACCCGGTCACCCGTTTGCTGCACGCCTACCTGAGTAAATACTCTGTGCAATATTATGCAACTCTATATCTGGGTGTGTGTTGCAGCTCACACTTTCAGCCATGCAGTAAGGCATGGCAGCAAAGATTAAAGGAGAGTTTAAAAGTTAAAACAACCTCAGGGGTAAAGATCAACTGAGTTTTCTGAAGGAAAGCGTGTGTTGCTGCACAGCTGGAGGAAACTTGAATAGATGAGGGCTAGCTGGTTACAACTGTGAAGTAAATAAGCAATCTGGGAGCCATGGATGATCAGTCTGTATCACTGCTTGCAACATGATGGGCCTTTGAGACTGCATGCAAACTTTTTGTAATTCCAGGATCATCTGCATAATGTTCAGTGAAATCATTTTTGGTGCATTACATCCACCAATGTTGCATCTGTGTCAGGAAAGAGGCCCATGTCACAGAAAGACACATTTCAACGGTTGGAGGTCCAAATAAAAAAACTGTTTTCTAGCATGTACTCGCAATTTATGGGTCTCAAGTTTAGAGAGATTTTGGAAACAACTTTTTAAATGTTCGCAGGAAGGAGGTCTGATCACTAATTTCTAATGCATCCCAATAAGTCCAGAAATGTAAAGGAGTTTTAACAAGAACAGTTTTTGAGGATATTTGATTATCGAGATAAATAAACTATCAGTAAACTAGTAGAAGTTGGGTTGTCATGGCAGCAGTGTGTGTCAGCGATTTATTTCTGCATATACCAAAGCCTGCTGATATGTGATTGGCCAACTCTGCCAATGATACTTAAATTGACCAGAACACTTTCTCTGCACAAAGTCTAAATTTTTATGAAGAATCTGTGAATAGAGTTTTGTTTGAATCCAGACGGGACTTAATTTCTCACTTATTCTGAAAACCATGTGAATATTTTCCAGTGTCTTTGTGGTCTCAATCTCTGTTTTCAAATCTACTGTATTCCAGCGTAGTGTTTATTTTGTGAATTGCGGTCACATTTAGAGCCAATCTGACTGTAAAGCAGGGTGTGCATTAGGGTGCAGTTTCCTGTTTTTTTGTGAGGCAATCCTTCAAGCAGGATAGAGACATAGTGCTGCATATGTTTCCACCCTGGCAGTCTAATTATGATTAAAAAAAAAGCCCAAAACGTTGAAGTCGAGGCTTTAAAAAGTGAGTCTAGAAACATTTACTTTCAATTTTTGCAAACGGTCTACGATTAAAACTAAAAGTTTTTTTTTTAATCGCCTTTATACCTAACTTTTATTACTTGACCAAAAACTGTTCGGCTGATCTCCCCTTCTTCCTGCTTCCCCAGCAGCCATTGACTGTGAGGTGGGCTCCTGGGGTCCCTGGTCATCATGCACATCACCATGTGGAGTTGGCAGCACAGAAAGAAGTCGCCAGGTGTCTGTACCTCCCAGAAACGGGGGCACGCCATGTCCAGACCTCAAACAGCGCCGAGGATGCTTCGGAAACAACGCCATATGCAGCACTGCGAAAGGTGAGAACTTGACCTTTTTCCCTGGCCCTGAAAGGTATGCATGTATGCAAGCACGAAGGCTGACTTTGAACTGTGTTACATACTCATTTGGTATTTCTGTGCTCTTTGGGGAACCTCTTGTTCACACTTTCACTCTTAGTAACACATTTGCACACATCTGGTCTGGAGCCTTATCTCCAGCTGCAGGGTATCAAACACCTCTCTGAAGTCCTGAAACACTTTCTGAGAAATGAAACACCAGCAGGACACAGTTCACACTTTTCCAAGTTAAAGATTTCCAGGGGGAACAAATGTGGCTTTAGAGTTTACCTTTACAAACCATTTACTGTTGAAAAAGTACTTTTGGAGTTTTATTTTGGGGCCTTTTTTTTTTTTCATAATTAGATTAGGAAATAATGTAGGAAATAGAGAGTGAGGGAGGACAGAGCCAAGGATTATGACTTGAAGTCAGACTAGCAGCCACTGCTATGGGGACTTCTTTGTATGAGACGCATCAGGGTTTTTCCTAAGGAGACAATAGAGTGTATTGTATCGTATCGTATCGTATTGTACCGTATGGTTTCACTGCAAGGCCAATCAGTGCCCCTTTAAGAGGAAAAAAATCAACGAAAAAATGATCCTTTTTTAACGTACACGTGCTTTTATCCCACCCATCTCCACACCTAACCTGCAGAGGTGGCAAAGATCCTGCCTGACTCTTTCAAGAGGAACTTCAAGGACCCGTGGAGGCGACCACACATGCTGATGAAGGAAGAGAAGGCCAGGTAAGGCCTCTATTATCAAACTGCAAACAAGCACCCAGGACTGCTCACGACTGACCCAACCAGCCCTCTTTGTTTTGTCTGTCTCGGTGGCTTTCATGTGCAATCGATGCAGAGAGTGGCAATTACAGCTGAACTCCACACAGTGTAGAGCGATTTGAAGTCCCTGAAGAGGCTGACTTTTTACATCAGAAAGAGTCATTTTGTGAATCCTATCAATGCAATTAGTGTGAAAATAAAGGTTTACTATTTCAAAAGCATCAGTGGTTTTATACAGTATGTTCAGCAAAGCTCAGGGTTCGTATTTGTCAGCAATCACCATCTTTTGTTCCAGCTCCAAACTCCACAGCTGCTTCTCAATGTTCCTTAAAATACTTGATTTGACTCCAGGTTCATATCAGGTTTTTTCCTTGGTTGTGACTTTGTTTCAAAGGTCAATATAAGATCAACTTTGTGCTCCAAAAGATTAGAGAGTACAGACCAAGGCCAAGGTTGCCAAAGCACACAGAGCCTTGAAATTGCTATGGCTGTGTAACATAACCGCTGTCATTGAATATCTGCATCATTCGCTGACCTTTTCTGATAAGGCAGCCTTAATCCCTGTAAGAGGAACACTCCTCCTCCTGCTCAGATGTCAGATTTGATCGGAGCTGATTGCAGATGTTCTCAGAGCAGGAAAAATGAGAAATGAGGGAATTAAATCATAGCTGGCTTCCTGACAGCACACGGCTCTTCACACTGATTAAAATGGACACCAGATACCCATGTTTTGACTGAAATACAAAGCATCAGGGTAATGGAAGAACATATAGTCATAAATCTGAAACTTTCAACATGGATGACACAGAGTTAGAGTGATTTCACAGAGACATCTGGTCTCTGGTATTGTCTTGGATGTTGACCAGGGAAACGAGGGGTTAAAATAACATGAAGTGATGATTGGTTGTTGTCTTTGGATCTCAAGTTAAAGCTTTACAGAGTAAAATTTCACAACATGATGGATGTTTGAATTTGATAGAGGCTATCACAAAGTTTCCTGTTTACCTGAAGGAGCCTGAAGAAAACTTGTGAAAGAAGAAAACTTTTATTTTGGACTTAAGACTTGTTGTGCAGACAGAAACCTTGTAAGGAAAAGTCATTATGACACTTTTTCCACTTCTACCCACTATCTTTTCCTTGTTTGTTATCTGCCTGGAGGACAGGGTTGAATCTTGCTGAGGAAAAAAAAAAGCAGTTTTGTGTTTTCTTTGACAAACCACCCCATCGAGGCTGGTGTTTAGACGCAGCTGACTGAATCAGAGACAAAATAAATAGTGCAAAAGTTCAAAGTGGCTGCCAGAGAACATAGTGAGCATGAAAACAAGATTATATTATTGTTTCCAGTGGACAGAGTGAGCTGTGCAAATATTAGGAGACCACAGGTGACCGTGACACTGCAGAATCACCTTCAAAAAGAGAGTTTGATTTGTCTTTAGTCTGGTAAAAGTCGTGATTTTTTGTTTGGTTGATGATAACAACGGAGGTTTTTTCTCATTTTTGCATCTTGTTCAAGTTCTCTACTTGGCTGAGTTGATGCTGTCTTTGAATAGATAAATAAGCAGTTTTAAAGAAGCGTTCAAACTTTTTGACTCGTATGTTTTTTTTGAGCAGATCCAAGCATCAAAAATAAATGAAATTCTGTCTGTTTTTCTTCACACCCGTCTTCTTTCTCCCACTCTCTCTTTTGCGTTTGCAGTTATTGTGTGTACCTGCGAGTGAAACAGGCCAGCGCAGCATGTAAACTCAAACTCTGGAGTGCTCAGCTGGTGAGAGAGAGGCTGGTCTGTGCGGAGTGTCAGAGTGATGCCATGTCAAAGTCAGACCGCTGCGGAGGTGACGGCCTGGAGAGCACCAGGTAAACTGAACCAGAAGAAGTCAACTGAACTTATCTGATACCAAGCCTATGTCGTCTTCATAAAGCCACAACGATAGCCACCTACAGTCAGGCTGTATGATAAAAATATGAAATTAAAGGAACAATTTAACCCATGTCAGCCCATGAGCAAGGCACTGACCTCATTACCACAAACTCTTCATCATCCAACCATATCGCTCCTTGTCTTCACAGAACTTTCTGGTCAGCAGCCTCAGTCCCAGGCTGTCACGGCTCCTGGGTGCGAGAGTCGTCCTCTGAGGGCTGCCGGTGTCCTCCCTACTCTGTGCTCTTTGTCTGAGCTGACACGTTAACCCCAGAATCCGTACGCAGGGATGAGAGTTCCCTCGCTGCCTCCTGCTTACCGTGGAGAGCCTTGCCAGCCAAGCCACACCGCTCTGATCCAGAATACTGGATTTGTAACTCAAGGAGATCAGCAGCATCCTGCCACTTTTTCTTTTCACCTCATACTCGTACTGTATTCACTTCTACCAAGCACACAAAAGTTCCTGCATTTTACAGCCACATTATGTTCTTATTCTCTCCCAAAGCACAGCAGCATATATGCTTTTTTACCTCTGAATCTTTGCTATCTACCTCCAGCAATGCAAGTGCATTTGTTTATGCCTGATGTACAAATATATAAATATATTATTTTGCTTTATACATTTTCTACTTTCAATTGTTTGTATCCTATATGTGACTATATAGCTACAGTTACCTGTATACAACAGTTTTAAACACCAAACAGCAGTCGCTGCACTCAGTTTAAGCCCCAAACCGCCTGCAGGTTGGAGACGCTGAAAACTGGTTCAACCAAAATGTGTCCATCGCTAAAACTCTTGAGTCAATTTATCCGTGTTTTTATGTGTCCTTTTTTTGTTTTTCATTTCTTTCAACAAAAACGTTTTACCAGCAAGTCCAGTTGGATATCAGGTATTGATTCTCAGGTGCTGAGATATGTGTCGTTTGTGTTACCAGTCATGCTCTCTCTTTCTAATGTCAGTCGTTGATGTTTTGACGAGTTCAAAGTGACTCACAGCTGAAGTCAGTCCCATCTGTTTTGACCTGATACTGTTGGAGAGGAAAAAGAGCCATTTAATTGAATTGAGACTGTGGTTCTCTCTGTCCTCTGTGTACAAGGCAGAATTACTTAATAACTATGTTGTTTTCACTCCCTGCCCTTCTTAGAAAGCCTATTACTTTCACAAGGGAGTTAACTATCCAATATAACTATCACGTTCAGCCTTTCGTTTTATTAGCAGAGTCTCCTCCCTGCGCTTCAAAAGCTCCTCCATCTGCACTCCTTTTCCTGCACTCTTTTGCCTGCTCGTCTCTCGGCATGTTTCCTTAAAGAAACTGCAGATTTATATAATTCACAACTTAAAAAAAAAAGAACAGTTGGCTGATTCCTGTTTCTCTATATCTGCCAGTTTAAGGAGGAGGATGTGTGTGGTACCAGCAAAAGGCTTTTCTCTCAGGAAAGCTGTGACTTTCTTTTGTTTTCTCTCTCTCTCTCTTCTCTGTGTCTGTGTTTGTGTGTTTATTTATTATTATTAAAACAGTGATGATTTTATTAGTGCAGCACGGCATACTCTGACCACTGTCCATTAGTGAAAATAAACAACTATACAGTCATGTCTCACCCTGTTGTGATATTTTTGTGTTTTACTGCGTTGATACATTCATATGAAGCGTATAAACTTGACATTGCCGCAAAGACCACTCTTAGCATTTCTGACCTCTCCCCTCTGTAATAACTCACCTCTGATAAGTATATCCCTGAGTGTGACCAGTGTCTACATGCAGAGCCTCACAGTTAAAAGAGGAGTGCTGCTCAGTGCATACATCTACCAATCAACATACTTTTGTTGCATTCTTTGCATTTCCTGCAGCGTGAACAAGATGACGACAAGAAAAATGAACACTAATGTCTGTGGTTGTGCTTTTGCGTAACATTCTTCTACGATTTGGGGTTTGTCGTTGGTGTTGTTATGTAACTATCAGGGCTGATGTGAAGATGGGCTAAACACTGGGCCTTAGACTCTGGATAACTGTCAGCGTCTGGGGAAACACCTGCAGCTGGTGTGTTTTTGTTTTCATAGCAGCTCTTAGAATAGATCAGGATTATCTTTTACTGTAAATAAGGACTCTGATTTTTGGGGAACATTTCTGACTTCGGTCCTTCTGGAGTGATTCTCCTGGCTTGCTTCATGTTATTCATCTTTGCACCACTTGAACTTTACCTCCTCCATTAATCTCCTCAGCCATCCTTTCTCTCCTACCTCCCCCCTCTTCTGGCCAAACTCCCCTCCGTCAGCACAACTCTTTATTTTCTCTTACTACAACAGTGGCAATAGAGTGCTGTCAGCCTGACAGCCCATCCCCTCTGAAGCAGGCTTTACCCCCCTGGCAGCCCTGACTCTGCTGCTAACCCGTTTTCCAAAGGGCAGGAAGGCCCGTCTCTGGCCCAGTGCCTGATGGGCTCCGACAGCAGTGTGTTCTGGGATTACGCCCGCTGAAAAGGGGGGCATTCCAGCACCAGCAGCCTTTGTCACAGCACGGCCACTGTTTGCTTTTGACAAGACAGCTGTTCAAAGCCCTCCCAGCCTCCACGGATGGTGTGAAGTGAAAGAACCTGGGGTGACTTCCGTTTAATGGTGGATGGTGGATGAGGAGAGCCACCTGAGGGGCCTTCAACAGGATCTCTCAAGTCTCAAATTACGTTATTGTTTTGACATCATTACATTAGAGTCAAAAAAGTAACCGGATCTTTCCGTCTGTGCTCGTATTCTGCAGCTAAAAATGTTTTAAATCAATCTTTTTTGTGTGTCCATGTGCAAAAAGAGGAATCACATTTACTTAGTTACAAGTCAGGTTAAAGTTTTATCTTTGCTATTCCCACCTCCACCACAACAGCAGCTTGGCCCAATCCACACCAATCCACAACCAAGACACAGCTGAGTACATTAAAGCTCCTGTAAGGAACGCTAGGTTTGTCATTTTTGGCGCCCCTTGTGGAGAAAAAAAAAAAAAGAAAATAAAATTTGAAAAAGATAAATTAAAACAAAACAAAACAAAATTTGAATTAAATAAAAAAATTTTTTAAACAAAAACAACGAACACTATGCATTTTCCAATAAACACTCAAGAACTTGTCAAATAAACTCCTCTGGTTTAGACATGTAGAGGCCCTCCAACAGCTCCGGACTCTCATTAGACGGTACCCCGTTTCCCCCCTCTGTGTGGCCCCTTGTGCTGTGTGATGTATGTGTTTTGGAAGTGTGTGCTGTAATTAGCAAGACATCCTAATGAGGGCCTTTCTCCGAGCAGCTGGTCCAAGTCAGAGGAATGATAATGAATAGATGCTTCCACACAAGAAACTGACCTGGACAGTTACATGACTGGTACACAACACAGTTAACACGTCTGTATCCTTTGATAATCATAATGAAAAACATGAGTACTGATGTCTAGGACCAAACTCATATTTACAAATTGATTTTCTCAAATGTTTTTACACTTTAGAAATTTTTTCTGCATAGGCTTCAGTTACTTGATGCCCTTTTAGTTGTGATGGATTCAGTTTTTTAGTGAGTGAACTACAACAAAGTAGAGTCTCCCTCTAGTACTGTGTCAAAATGCATCAGAATAGAGTGGCTGAGTAAATCTCAATGATTCAGTGAATGATCGAAAGCGGCGCCCTCCTGTGGGAGCTCATACAAAGGAAATGTGGTGCCACCCTGTGGTGCATTTGCCTTTATGCGCCCCTTCAACAGAAACCACATTATAAACACCAGCAACTCCTGTTCATAAAGGGTTTTTATTGGGGTTTGTGGTAGTGATATACATAAACATTACATGGTAAAATGAAACTTTCTGACCATCCGTTTATTTTCAGTTTTATTGATTTCCTGGATTAATCTTTAATTTTTAACATTAAAAATCTCAAAGTGGTTCATACACTCATAAATGTATCCCTAAGAGGATATAATGAAAATAATAAAAGGAATATTCCGTAGCTTCATTTATATTCACAGCTAGTGTGTTCACATTTTTATGCTGCACGTTTACTCACTCGATCATGTTCTGCAGTATCCCACACATTTCCCGGTATGAACAATTTATATAACTCTATGGAGAGAAGCAAGGAGTAGGAAGGAGCATGGATATACTTTAAACACAAAAGTCAATATTTGAAACAAAGCAAAGCATCTTGTGGAGAGACCAGGAGAGACAGAATCATGGCACAGGACTGGAATCTATTCTAGTGGACGTACAAATGTATAAATATATAAGGCAAAAGTGAGCTGAGCTGGACGTCCAAAGTGTTGTGTACATTTGTGGAGGCAGGTCCAGGATTCAAGTTAGCACTGACAAAGGAACAGAACATCTGAAATACTGTTATTTAAGACACGTGCTGTTCTCCTGAATATTTACTTACATAGATATTACCCCTACTGTGAAGTCATTTTTCTCTTCAGCCTGAATGAACTAACTATGACAGACAAACTAGTAACCCAATCTAAGTCTTTGGTGGTTTTCTACATTCAAGCTGAGGTTGAGTGGGGTGAGACAAGGAAAATAAACAGATTTTTTTTTTTCACAGTCCCTTACATCACTACACTCATGGTAGAGTCTTCCCTTCTAAACACATGTAACATTTCACTGAGGTGGCAGATAGACAGCTCTAAGCAGACTCTGATTTAAGGAGAAATCTGAAAAGAAATGAAATGAAAGCTGTCAGTCACCCTGGAGGAAACTGCTCTGGATTCAAATGTGGTCATTTGTTTATCTGTCACAGTTATGGGTTTTTGCTGGCCAGGATGGTGAGCAAAGTGAGAGCAGACCTGTTGCCTTCTTCTGTTTCTGTAAGATGAGTCCAAGTGTTTGTTTTATTTGAGGTTTTTGATCTGTTGGTTCGTGTTGTGAATCTTGGAATCCATCTTGTCCACTTTACTCAGCAAAGCATCAATGGAGTCGTCCTGTGCATCGATTTCAGCCTGAAGGCCAAGTCCGATGCCCTTCAGTCTGCTCAGGCCACTGCACATCTCGTCTGCAGGATTGACAAAGGTCAGTGAGAGATACATTGAAGGTATTTTGTTGTATCAACATGTCGAGGGATTTTTTTTCTTTAAATCTCACAGAAAAGTGGAAAAACACGAGCCAAGTCAAAAAAATAAAGTGATGTTGGAAGTTATTCAAAGTTTGCCTTCCAAAGTGTGAAATTTGATCAAAATATGATTTATAAAACTTACAACAAAGTTACACTAACATTTACAAGTGTAGTAAACAAAGACAATGTTCTACCAGCTGATTAAACATTAGCATAAACTATTATCAACACAGAGCAATTCAAAGAGAAAAGCTTTTACCCAAGTTATTATCAAGGGTTTGGTGCGCCTCTCGTAGGTGTCTGTTCTGAGGGTGTCCATTCTGTCTGGATGAGCTGTCATCTATTGATGCCGAAGCTCCAAATCCTGGAACAAAGACAGAAGCAGTGAAGGCAGCCAGTATTTGGTTTAGTCACACCAAGCTGAGTTTCTCGTCCATAATCTTACCTCCTGTGTTCAAATGCCTCAGGTTCGGATGGCTGGCCTGGTACTTATCTTCATGTTCTCTGCTGCTCGACAAGGCACTCTGTAGTCTGAGAGAGTCAGATAACACTGTTCAGCCTCTGACCGCATTTGACCACACTTCTGCTTTTGATTCTTTTGTTTTTGCAACACAACACCAGTACAACGCATTTCAATTTATCTGCAGCCAACATGACTGACTTGACAGATTATTCACATTTACACTTTTTTAATTAACAAAAATAAATACTGGCTATTTCTCCAATTAACAGTACACACATGGAGCCCCGTTTAAGTCTAATAGCCAGGGTAGGACACAAAATAAATTTAAGCAATGGTTATTAACAACAGTGATTGATTTCACCTCCACGTCATTCAAGAAAAATGAAATGACTGACTGAAATTTCCCAAGCATAATGTCTCTCTCTTTCTGTCTATCAGTGAGGAGCATGTGATTGTTAGCAGACCCTTCTCTATCAACATAACAACAAGCACATGAGGGGCTGAGTGTGTAGAGAATATCCACCTCTGATTGGAGTACGGGTTCTTTTCTCTAATGCATAACTACCTCTGAGTCCAAGTGGATGTGTGAACCAGGTTTAAAGCCAGGCAAACGATAAAACTTGAAAACATAATGTGTCATGCTATAGCGCATTATGTTTTCAGTTACCCAATTCAAGTAAGGCTTTTACTCTAAGGCCACTTGAGCCATAAAATGTTTCTATAATGAGCGAATTAAACTTACCTGTCGCTTCCCTGGTAGGCTTTTGGCTCCTCAGGCGGTGGTTTCGTCTCAGAATTTCCCTTGAAATAATTGACAATGCCACCCCACACACTCTTGATACTGGTGATGTGTTTCTGGCTGGTTTTCAGGTCCTGTTCCATGTTGTCCAGCATCTTGTCTGTCCTTTTCAGGACTTGGCCCTGGCGCATTAGCTCCTACAGAGACACAGATAGAAGGAGAGGGAGGGAAAAGAGTTCAAGTAAGAATTTCTTTCAGTTAACCTTCACGCTCAAGGAGACAAGGATGCACTTTGTGTGCAAAGTTATGCTCTTTATTCTAACATACCTCTCCAGTTTCCACACCCATCTTCTCTGACTCATAGATGAGGCCGAGGGAGCGGTAACTGCTGTCTACAGCAGAATTGGCTGTACGCATCACCTCCTGCTTAAGGTAGCGTTGTCTCCTCTCTGCTTCACTCAACCCGCTGTCATTGAACTCATCATCGAACCCTCGACCTTTGGGTTTGAAATCTTCCTCATCGTCATCATCTGCGAATGGGTTGTGGGATTTAGGGTAAGCCATCTGTGAAGGAGATACAACATGAGACAAGAGACCTTTAACTTCTATTAGTGGTCCACATCATTGTATCAACAGCCAATACCGATAATTAGACAAGGATGGCTGATATCACGTTTTTGTTTTATTTGATAACATACAACAAATTAATAACACCCTTAATTCCATGTATATTACAGTTTGAGCTAAAGTACACGGTTACCCAGGCCTGTGAAGTCATAAATGACTTTTAAGTTAATTTATTGGATAAAAAAATTAAATGTTGTAGTGATAGAGCAACTTTCTCAAACTCCTTCACACAAATGAGCAGCTTGACTATCTTCTGAATGACCCTGAAGAAAACTAACTCATTTATCACGAACTTCTGTCAGATTTAAGTTGAGCTAAGAGCTGCTGGTTAGCTGCTCAACGCTAGCTGACGCTACTCCACGAAGTCAACATCCACATTAACACAACAGTCAGACAAAGAAGAGGCGGTTTAGTCAAGAATGACACCCTTATGAGTAAAAAATACAAATAAAGTTTAAGTTTTGATAAGAAGGATCATAATCATGGGCAATCTTATCAACAAACCTTCGACCGTCGGGGTCCGAGCCGTTTCTGTTGCTTTATCAGCTGACAGTTAGCAACACAGCACTTCCTGTCACATCATGTGACGTCACTGCAATCTGGCGCTAGGCTACTCTCGCGCAACAAATGCGCATACACTAAAACTTCAGCCACATATTAAAAAATAGCGCTTTGTTAAGACACCGGGTAGTAGAGAGTTCTATTTTGTCATTTCAATTAATCAAAACAGTAATTATATCTTCATGTACACTGAAACCAATATATTCTCAAGGCATAGTTAATAGGCCTGTCCCATCTGAGTTGCCGTACTGCGGGTTTGCCAGCGCCAGCTGCCGCTGTTCGCCTCTTTCCTCTTCTGCTGGCTGAATTTCGCTCGTCTCATGTAGGGGTAAACATGTCTATAATGGGAGGAGGTACGAGAGGGTTTTACTTTAACACAGTCCTGTCACTGGCCCGGTCTTTAGCTGCCCACCGTCCTGCACCGGTCGAAAAGGTGAGGAAGTGCGAAACAGTGATATTTAATTTACAAATGTGTACATTTATCAGCCAACGTTTATAACGCTCAGCAACAGTTTTGTTCAGGGTGTAGCTCCGCTTCCGCACGGACGCTGTCTTATTTTGATTAGTGACGCCGACAAGCAAGCTGAAATGTGTTAGTGGTGAGGGTGTCTGTAATTGTCAAAACGTATGTTATGTTTTTTATTCCGTATTTTTTCCCGGGACTAGAAGAAGAGAGCGACACAGGAGAAAGTGGCGTTGCTGCTTGAGTGGTGCCTGTTACTGCATCACACAGACAGAGCAGAGCAGTCAGGCTTGAACAGCACTGCAGTCAAACAGGTTTACAGGCTGGAGAGCGCAGGGGGGTAATGAAAGGGCTGTTCACACAATTCAGCACAATGAATGACCTGTTGCAAACATTAGATTACATTTTTTTTGCCTTATTTTAGGTGTAGTTAGGAAAAAACACCATCAGTTGCTGCTGTTATTTTAAAGGCATGTGTCATGTTTTGTCAAGTTTGAAGTTTCTTCCACTGTCTTCCACCTTTTAATTATCATGCATATCTATATTAAGATTTCTGTGATACAGAAGGCTGCAGCATCATTATATTCTATGGTTATCTTGAAGACTCCAAAAACAGGCAACTGGACTGTGTAGAGCTGAGAAACAGTCCACTCTACACAGTCCAGTTGCCTGTTTTTGGAGTCTTCAAGATAACCATGACCTGGATGAATGAGAATCTACATGGACATATATTTTATGGTACTCTCCTTAAAGCAACATACAGAAAAGAATACAGAAAACAAAACAAAATGTGCAAACAGCAAATTATCTTTGTGCAAAGTCATAGTCAACAAAGATGTAGAGTGGGCGCAAAAGTAGTTCAGCTTGTTGTTATTCCCCTTAGATCTAGCAAGGAGGAAACTCAACACTGGAACCTGCAATCACTCCCAAAACATACACTATCAGCAGGTACCTAAAAGTAAATTTGCCCCTCTCTCTAAACATCTTCTCTGGCTCTTTCAGGTCCAAAAGCTACAATGCATGTGTCCTGTGGAAGTCCGTGGTGCGTTCACTTTGGATGTGCGTCGCAGGGATGCTGTTATTGCGCTGGCTGTGTTTCTGGTGGAATCTGGCTTACAGGTGGGTGGTGGTCAGGAGGAAAGTCAAGCTGTTAAGGTTTTTTCAACTTTGTGGGATTATGTCAGCATCACTTAAAGGAAATGAAAAGCCAACCTCAAGGACGCCCTTACAGTTTTTAGATCATAGTGTGGGTTTTAAAATCACACTAGAGTCCGCACAGTGTTTCACTTGCAGTGATGTTTTATATCAAGAAATGATTAGTGTTATTATTTTATAATTTTCCTGCTTTTGCTCCCAGCCTCTCAAAGGGTTATATCGCTGTGATAAGCTTATTCTCATAATCTGATTAAGCTGGTGATTAGACATGCAGCTGACCGTGTAAGCCTCTAACCTCATCTCATTGAGACACGGTGTAAAAAGCTCTCTAACCTAATTATGTCGAGATGAATGCTTCACTTCTGGTGCCATTAAGTAATGTCTGACATATTATCTTTGAGCCAGATTTAAATAAAAAGTCATTATGTTGAAACAAAGTCATATTTTTGATTTGAAAGTACTTTAAAGTGCAACTAAAAGTGTTCCTCTGAGCCGACAAGTGCAGTTGTTTGTGGTTTGTAATGCTTTGCTTTGCTTTGGCAGCACAAAGACACTCTTGTTCCCTACTTGCTGAGCCTATTGAGAGGGTTACCACGAGTCCAATGGATCGAAGAGAGCTCAGGAAAGAAAGGAAAGGGTAAGAACAATCCACTTATGGTGGAGCCTTTTGTTTTCCCGTCGCCTTTGTTTATTTGCTCTTAAAGTGCTCTGAGTGATGTCTCAAGTCGATCTTATTGACTCTAAACCCAAATTCAAGATATCATAGGAAGTACGCATCAACAGCATCTATGAAATGCCATGAGATGGCAGTTTTTGTTGCTGCAGACAAGACAGTGGCATTCAACTGTGAGCATTTGTTGTTTTCTGCTCCTCAGATTTTCTCCCGGTTGCAGAAAACTTCAGCTTCTGTCTGGTGACTCTTTTGTCAGATGTTGCTCAGAGGGACCCGGAATCCAGAGAACAGGTAGAAATGAAAAAGAGTTGTGAAATATCAGTCTTTGGTGAGGATGCAGTACATTTAGTACTGGGATAATGGTTCTACCTTTTCCCCTCAGATCTTGAACACTGTAATGGAGGTCTTGCAGGCGTTGCAGGACATGTGCCAAACACCTGATAATCACGACAAAGGTACAGAAACACACATATTTAATGGCAGCAAAATAACACCAGTAGTGCTATAAAAGCTTGACAGATGCCTTCTTGTCTTCAGTCTACCTGTGCAAATACATTGTCCCCACACTACTGGGCATGACTCGAGCATTTGGCCACTACAGCAACACAGATGAGGCCCTGCTGTCCAAGTTGTTCCCTAAAGATGCCCCCCCGGCCCGCTGCGTGATAGAGGAAACTGAGGGAGTGCGCCGCAGGTCCTTCAATGACTTTCGTTCCATCCTGCCATCCTCACTGCTCACAGTGTGCCAAAGTGACACTCTGCGTCGACCTACAGGCACAAACCTGGATGCCTCTGTACCGGTCTGTGCATGATTTAACACAACTCTATAAAGCAAAGGCATGACTGTGAGGTCAGGACAATTCAGAGAGACTGCAGGATTTAATGATCTGTGACTTTACCCAACAAGTGAAGTAGAGAGTATAAATGTTGCCTCGTTTTTTTTGTTTGTTTTTTTTAGTGATGGAAGTATTTTGTAATTTCCCATCCTTGTCATTGTTTAGGTGTTTACAGATCCAGGAGGTCACTCACCCTGTTCTCCTACAGCTCCTGGCTCACACTATTTTGAAGGTGAAACTTTTCAAACACTAAACACTTTGATTCAACTTATGTATGCTGATGTAAATCTGTATTTACTGAACTTCTGCTCACTAATCATAATCAGCCCTCAGCACTAAATAACAACAAGGTTCTTATTGCACTTACTTGTTATTTCTTCTGGTGTCCCTCATTTCAGGTGCTTACCTACCTGACAGCAGTGCAGTGGATCCTGACTACTATTTCTCCTCAGTCAGCTCCAGCTTCTCAGTGTCTCCTCTGTTCTTGGGGGCAGGGGGAAATGAGGTGGAGGTGCCTGTTGATCTGCTGAGACAGCTCCTTAACATGGTACAGTAGCACCGCAACTATTAAACATCATTCAGGTTTGATGTGGTTTCATGTGGTTTTTGAGGTTTCATGTTTACCAGCAGCTGTGTGCTTTGTTGATTTTCAGGTGAAGAGGTTTGTTTCGGACTCTTTTTTGAAAACCTTGGACGCCACAATGGCAGAAGTCTCTGAGGTACTTTGTCACTGCTGTGTGATTAAAAATGAAACTTCAAAACGACGCTGATATCAGTTGAATGATTTTTTTTTCTTCTCTTTGTTGTCAAGTCCAATCCTGGAATCAACCACTGTTACAAAACCTTCAGTGACCCTCTTTATGTGTGTGTGTTCAAAATGCTGCGTGACACACTTTACTACATGAAAGGTAAGGCAGCACAAAGATCTCACTTACTTACTTCAAGACTGAGCTCTGCTTTCATTGTTGGTTTCCCGCTGATGAGACGGACTAAGTATTTTTACTCTCTTCCTGTTTATCAGCCTTGCAGCAGGGGTTTGTACGAGAGGTGCACGACTTTGTACTGGAACAATTTAGCAGCAGTCAATCAGAGCTGCAGCGGGTACTTCATGACACGGGGGGGTTGCCGGGGGAACAGAGCCCCCTCAAGCTCCGTTGCCAAGCCAACGCCGCCTGTGTGGACCTCATGGTGTGGGCCGTCAAAGATGAGCAAGGTAATCAATTGTAGCAGAGCACGAGCAGAGCGCTGTGTTTGCATGTCATTATCATACTGTGGTTGCATCCCTCTCCCCTCTTGGTGTCTCTTATTTCAGGAGCTGAGAATCTGTGCACCAAACTGTCAGAGAAGCTGCAGTCGAAAACCTCAAGTAAAGTCATCATCGCTCACATGCCGCTGCTCATCTGTTGCCTACAGGTATTAGGCTAGAGGGCAGAAAGAGAACTAGTATACTCATTTAGATACGTCATAGAGGTGAAATATCGCATATACTACTAGATGATGGATTTTGGACAAGAAAACAATTCATATGCTCTAAAATCAGGTATTAAGTGTCCTCATGATTCAGTGCTTTCATGCAGAACTTAAAATTAAATGTCACTTTCCTTTGTTTCAGGGCCTTGGTCGTCTGTGTGAGAGGTTTCCAGTCGTGGCTCATTCTGCTACAACCTCCCTCAGGGATTTCCTGGTGGTTCCTTCCCCTGTTCTTATAAAACTATACAAATATCACAGCCAGTACACCACAGGTACATACATTTATTAACTTTGTTTTCAAGAAACCATAAATATTACTATTCAATTTGTTGTGCCAACTACAGTGTCTTATAGCTGTTTCCACATTTGCTTCATTTACAATTTCTAACTAAAACATTTACACAGCGACAGATCATAAACAAGATAAGAAGCATCATAAAAACATCACACACACACACACACACACACACACACACACACACACACACACACACACACACACACACACACACAGATGCAAACCATGACAGAGACAAGTGTATGTTATGTAAACAAATGAAGGTGACGACATTTAGATCCAAAGGAAAACAAATCAAATGCAGCGTCACTGGTTTTAGAGCTGAGCAGCTGTTAGCAGAGTTTTCAAAATAAACTGCTAATACCTTAAAATTCCTTTTATATATTTAAGGGTACTTTAAAAATATGATATTTAAAAAGTACTTGATTGTTGCAGGGCTGGTTCCTGTAGCCTCACTTCAAAAACTTACCATATAAGTCTGAAATCACTTAAATTTTTAAATGTGTGCTACTGAACCAATTAAATTAGGATTTGATAAAGGGTGAAAGTAATATTTTATATGAAGTTGAACCATAGACTGTATATAGAATGGACAGAGTCTGCCACCTCTCTGGGTGAAGCCACTCCGAGAACAGCACCCTCTGGTGACGGGCTGCAGTATAGGTCATAAATCCCGCCTCCACCAGCAAAGCTTATGGAGCTGTGGACAAACTTTAGAAATTTATTACACAGAACATAATTTTTCTCCCCCCTGCTTGTGATGTTGACATGTAGTTACAGTAAGACTGGTTTGTGCTCGAGTCCTCTTTTGTTCTGTGAAGCTCCGTTTTTAAAAGTTATTAGGGGGTTCATGTTTTCTATGATTGACACCTGATACAGCCTATGGGCGTTCAGGGATTGCGTAGCTCTCCCGAGGGGATACGCTGTTTGAGCCAAGCGTCATCACAGCGACTCTCGGTGACTGCACGGCCGAATGCGTGCATCGCTACTGCGCAGCACTGGTTTCAGGAAATGAAGAAAAATCCCGGAAATACCGAGAGCTATTTGGCTTCAAATCCGTATACAGGCGGTAGGCAAAACCAAGTTGTCCATAGTATATACAGTCTATGAGTTGAACCATAAGTGTATACAGCAGGAATACTGTGATCACTAGTTTGTCACGAATGACAGCAGCTACAGATAACAGCTCAATAGTGTGTTTGCTGGCACAGCTGTGATACATTCACATCAATAAGAGTCTCCAAGCCACACACAGACTCTCATTCACTATTGATCTATACACAATACCCCCGATGACCAGCTAAGAATACAGACAATGATAAATTTCAATTAATGCTAGTGTTTTTGTGTGTTGACACACACAGTGAGCTTCATTATGTAGTTTGTTGGATTATAGAAGTAAACATGTTCTGCTGTGATTTATGATGGTTCTGCACTAAACTTCTTTTTTTTTAATCATTTTAGAAATGATAATGAATTTGAACTGGTCCGTTTTTCTTATTTTGTATGCACTGGTATCACATTTTCTTCAGGCACTGGTGAAATAAGGATTAATGTTACCAATGAGCATTCTCAGGCTACTTTCAACGTGCTACCAAACAGGAAAGACCAGCCATCCATGTACGAGCAGCTCAGAGACATCTCTATCGACAACATCTGCAGGTCAGTCACTCAAACATCCGTCACAGCCATGTTTACAAAAAGCATCCTGTTTATCTTGAAACCAATCACGGTCTATCTCTTCTTGTCACTGTTATCTCTCAGGTGTCTCAAAGCTGGTCTGACCATGGACCAGGTGATAGTAGAAGCCTTTCTGGCCAGTCTCTCTAACCGTCTCTACATTTCTCAGGAGAACGACAAGTAAGCTACGTTCAACATTGAAAAAATAGATATTTGGCTCTTGTGTTGAACATGAGTATTTTAAATCCTGGACACAGATGAACAGCCTTTTTAAAAATAAATATACTATTCTGCCAGGGAGGCTCATCTAATACCCGATCACACTATTCGGTCCCTGGGCCACATTGCAGTGGCTCTGAGAGACACTCCTAAAGTGATGGAGCACATCCTGCAGATCCTCCAACAAAAGTTCTGCCAGCCTCCGTCACAGCTGGACGTCCTCATCATCGACCAGCTCGGCTGCATGGTCATCACAGGAAATGTAAGCAGCATGGTGCTCGCTTCTTTTTATACATGTACGGCTTAATTGTGATTTTAGAGCCGAACATGATTACCAGAGGAATAATGAAAAGTGTCGCCTAGCAGTATATCTGAAAATGTTCACAGTAATGGTGTTACATAAGCGACTCTTTTCCACAGTTGTATAAATAGAAGCAGTATTACCCTTTTGTTTTTAGCCAGAAGGAACGACATGTTGTAATTACTGGTGAAGCGCTGGCTGATATTTACTGGCTCAGTGCGGGGCGCATTAAGAACAGGTTTCAGCACTCTCGTTAAAAGCCTGCTGGAGCAGAGTTTGGTGTTTTTGACAGCTGGTACAACCAGAATTCAACAGACTATGATTAACAGCAGAATGGGAAAGGAAATGACATTTTACAGAGAATATAAATCACTATAACTCTGTGCTTACCTCAGCTCTGACGCAGATCATGCACAAGCTATGCCTGATAATGAAAACTGTAAATATCAGAGGTTAAAGAGAAGAAGATGAGCTGGCAGATATGGATGAAGAAAAATCACCCAGTCTTCGGTCTCTAGGGTCTATTTGTGTGTTTGTTTGTCTGACTGATATCTTTCTTGTAGCAATACATCTACCAGGAGGTTTGGAACCTGTTCCAGCAGATCAGTGTGAAGGCCAGTTCAGTGGTCTACTCAGCCACCAAAGACTACAGGGATCATGGCTACAGGTCAGCGTTTACTCTTACCTCAATGACGGAATCATCCGAGTCTGCAGGTTACTCTTGCCGTGTAGAAGCAGGAAGTAAAGCTGGGAGAAAGTTGAGGATTTTTGCTGTTTGTCACTTGATTCCTTTTACACTAGTTTGAACAAAATGAACACCTACAGTAAAATACACCTGATGCTTGTGTCTTCATTGGCCTTTATTGTGTATAAATGTGTTTAACTTTGCCTCTATCTGTCCTGTTATCTGCAGACACTGCTCACTAGCCGTGATAAATGCTCTGGCCAACATTGCAGCAAACCTGCAGGGGGAGCAGCTGGTGGACGAACTGATGGTGAACCTCCTAGAACTGTTTGTCCAGCTGGGCCTGGAAGGAAAGAGAGCCAGTGAGAGGGCCTCTGACAAAGGACCAGCGCTGAAAGTATGCACTTAAACACATGCACATATGTGCTTGAACCTCTGACAAACAACAGGAAATTGATAACAGCTTGTCGGTGGATTAATAAGGACGTCTTATCTCCTGTAGGCATCAAGTAGTGCCGGAAATCTGGGAGTCCTCATTCCAGTCATTGCTGTGGTGAGTGTGTGTTGTCTGCAAAATGCGGCACACGTCAAATTGACCTGTATTAACTTGAAGCACAAATTTGTAATAAAAAGTATCCATATACATGAGATTTTGATCGCTTCAGATCAATCCAAGCTGTTAGTTAGTCTTTAACTCCATCAACAAATATTGTTAGTTAATTATTGTTAGCTGCAGCACAAACATCTGTGTCTCCAGTCTAAAGTTTCCTAGACTCAATAATCATGGAGGATTATTCCATGCTATTTTTACCTTTAGTCATAGTGTATATTTACATACATTTAAAAGTCAGACTTCTAAGGTTTCCATTTTAAAACAGATTCTCGTCTAGAGGTGTTATCTTTTATTTCATTAGCCTCTCTGTTGAGGATAAAATAGTAACCAGTTGACAGACAAATCATCCTTTATGCCTCATGAAAGACTCACATCACTTTTGGAAATAGAAAGGAGAGGTTTTAACGTTCAGGAAGACACTACATACACATACAGACTCATTACTTGATGTTCCAAGTACTAAATGGACTTACAGAAGTGTCTGGCTGTTAAAGACACAAATATCACAGCTGATGAGTGACAAATATCTTGGTTAGAGCTGGAAGGACTAAATGCGTGATTGTAAAGATAGTTTAGCTGTTTAGCTCTGTGAAGGATTGGCCACTCGGCCCATGAACACAAGGCAGTTTGTGCGGTGCTCGTAGATCAGGAAGAGGAAGGGCTGGTCCACAGTGAAGCGGATCTGGGAGGAGAGGGGCATAAAGCCCACCTGGGTCAGAGCGGCAGCCTCTGTGCCCTCCTCATTCACAGTGATGGTCCCCTGGTGCTTAAGCTGCGGGCGACATCAGAAGTCCAGTTAGCTTGTAAAGTTTATTGTTGAAGGATTTAGTTTGGGTGTTAGTCAGTTTGGATGAAATCACGACTGATCTTACTCACATAGTTCATGGCGACCTTTTCAGAAGTCATTCCAGAGAAATCTGCGCTCTCTTGGAACAAATCAGTGAGGCCCATCTCCTTCAGATTTGGAATCAGGTCGTAGTTTTGCTCCAGTTTAAACCGAGGCAGCACTACCTCTCGTGTCCTGCATGGAGGATGAGAAAAGTTTTATATTTTTTTAGTTTTTAAACTTTTCCAGATGTAAAATTTCCTGCATTTCATGAAAATTCTAGATATATTTGAGATGTTCTGATTTCTACTAAATTTGGACATTGTTGGCCATTTGTGTTGACCTGTTTGTCATATTTTTGAGCCATTTGTTGATGACAGTGGGGGAGATCTCCTGTTCCAAGGTCCTCATGTCAGCTATCTTCCTCGGCAAAGCGATGAGCATGCTGATGTTTCCTGTGTATGGGAGCTGAAAATAGAAATAGGACTGAATTCCAGCTCTGCTCGCTCTTTGGAATAAGTGTGTAAAGGTTTCTATCAAAGAGAAAACTCTTGGATGCCAAATTTAAGTTTCAAATCAGCGAGGCGGCTCACCTGCAGGACGTCACACTGCAGTTCATGGTCAGCAGCGGCAAGATAGTTCCCCTTGTTAGTCATCATTGGCACACGTACAGTTGTCTTTTCATTGACTCTGAAGCTGCGATAGTGAGTCATTTCTTTGGGGAACTTTTGTTCCCATGTTCCTGTTGACACAAACAAGTTGGGTTAGGAGTCAAATAAGAGTTTCATGTTTGCTTTGTGTGTTTTGTAATTCTATCTCTGTATCTTTGAAAACATTAATGTTAGGGCTGGACTATAAACCCACAATTTACTGATAACGAAATTTACGACAATAACCAACATCATTTTGCCCATGTCTATACATTGGGTGTCAAAAAATGAATAAATAAAGTTGGTTTTGGATGTGTGTAGGTAGGCTATGGTCTCATGTCCCTTTAAGATGCTGTCCTATGTCGGAGACGTGACTCCTACCCATCCGGTCCGTAACAAAGAGAGAAAGACAGGCGAGGAGATGTAGGACGGTTCAAAAGTTGTAGTGGCTGAAGTAGAGTAGTAGCTTGTGGAGTAGTTATCGTCCATTTATTGGTATTGGGGTGAACTGCTCAATATATCGTGATATTGATTTGAGGCCGTATCGCTCAGCCCTTATTCTTGTCATTTTAAAGAAGGTGGAGCACAGTGTCTCTTTTTTTACTCACCTTTGAAGTACAGATAGTTGAGCAGCATCAGCACCATATTGGGGTCGACACTCTTGAGCGGTTCCTTAATCAGTCCTTTCGTCAGCTTCAGGATGCGGCGGTTGGCTTTGTTGAGGAAAGCAGGATCCCTGAAGTCCACAGACTGCGGCTCTGCAAAATAAAAGGCCTTCGTCTCCGCGCGGAAAGTGTCCTTCACTGAGATGTTCTTCTTCACGTACACGTCATTCACAGAGCGCAGAGTGTAGCCAAAGTTCCTCCTGAAGAGCCTGTGTGTTAGCTTCCTGAACAGCTTGTGCACTGTGGTGTTGTCATAGTGATGGCTAGCGTTGACAAACTCAGCGAATCCCAAGGCTTGATAAATCTGATTATGAGTTTCTGGTCCCGCCCCCAAGGACATCATCCCCATAGCGATGGAAATCCCAGCAGGTGCCAACAGGATGTTGTCAGTCTGATTGACATCATTGCGGAGGCTTCGGTAGAGGTTGAACCCAAAGTGCGAGTTGATGGTGTTGAGGCGCTGGAGGCGGGAACGGCCATTAAACAGCCGTAAGAGTCTGGCACGGCGAATCTTTGGGTCAGAGGGTTCAGCAAAGATGTCGATGTCTGGGGCTGGTGTGGCGATGTCGTCAATCTCATCCCCCTCACTGAAAATCAAGATTTAATCCGTTTTATACACAGGGTTTGATGTTATTTCTGAACACTTTAAGCTTCCTTCTGAGGCCTTTAATTAATGAAATGATCGGCCAAATGTAAAAAAGTTAACACTCACATGTAGTCGTCACTGCCAGCTTCCAGGATCTTATCAAAATCAATGTAATCTTCGTCCTCAAAGCCGTCAAAAACCAGTTCATTAGTGACGGTGTTTTCTTTGTGGAACTCCAGGGGGATAGCGTCCATATCCACTTCCCCCCCTTCGATGCCTCTGGGGTCCTGCTGAGGGTCAGTGAAATGTGATTCGAGGTCTTTAATTCCAGCTAGACACGGACTGACCAGCAGACAGGCCACAGAGATGACCGTGGCGACCCACATACTGAAGACTGAAGCAGAGAGAATAGATATTATCGCCTAATTAAAAAACGGACACAAATTTAGTCGATTAGATCGAATCTCATTCTTTCCAATCCATAAAAGTAATTTTGTGTCTTTACCAGCTGAAAGTCAAACAGGTTTCCCTGTGAAATCCTCTTTATGTCAGTTTCTGTCTGTCAAATGTCTTACCTTAACTGAGTGTTGGCAGGAAGTGCTGTGCTGCTGTTGTTTGTTAGGACTAAGAGCAAAGAATTGAATGCAAAACTGAACTTTGATGTGGGTTCTTCCTGAACAAATAGACCAGATCAAACAGACCCAAAGGTGCTGTCACTGACTAAAATCATTAACTTTTCACAATTCAGCCTCAGTGTGAAGGAGATTTTAGCTTCATTTACTCTAGACAGCCAGCATGTCTGCTGATAAAAATACTTAACTGATTTTATGTGTTACATATATTAATTCACCTATTCAGGGAGCAGCAAAATTACTGAGTGGAAAAATTCTCCACCTCGACATTCAAAAATCTCTCCTCAAAATGTTATAAATTTTAATGGATCATTGTTTGATTCACTAAATGTGTCTAATTTTCTGACTCTCAGTTGACGAGGAGACTTCCACCAATCAAAGAGGCCAAACCACGTCTCCAGAAGCTGTTCAGAGACTTCTGGTTGTACTCTGTAGTCATGGGTTTTGCTGTGGAAGGATCAGGTGAGAAAAAGATGGACTGATATCAGAAAAAGCAGTTCAAACGTCATAATAATCATGTGTTATTTATTGTCTCTGAATATCTGGACACACGTTTCATTCTTACAGGGCTGTGGCCGGAGGAGTGGTATGAAGGTGTGTGTGAGATTGCCACCAAGTCTCCTCTCCTCACCTTCCCCAGCGGGGAGCCCCTTCGCTCTGAGCTACAGTACAACTCAGCTCTAAAAAACGATACAGTCACACCGGTACAGTCTTTTACTTTGAACGTCAATGGCTGCATTACTTTTGAATCCAAAATCTCAGGACTGTCCTTTTGAAGCGCTGATTTCTGTCCTCCAGGCTGAGTTAAGTGAACTTCGGCTGACCATCAGCAACCTTCTGGACCCTCCTCCTGAAGGATCTGCGCTCATTAACAAACTCGACTTTGCCATGTCCACATACCTGCTCTCCGTTTACAGATTAGAGTACATGAGGTCAGCCTTTGTATCTGGATCATTTTTGGATATATTGAGGTCATATTTTTAAGATTTGTAATATCCTTCTCTCTGTTATTCTCCTCCAGGATGCTGCGGTCTAATGATCCCGACAGGTTCCAGGTCATGTTTCGATACTTTGAGGACAAAGCCATCCAGAAAGACAAATCTGGTAACAGATTCGCACCCTTTCAGTCTCGCCTATTCCTTTCCTCGTTTTGTGTGTTAGTCTTTCTCTGATTCTTGATTTTATCTTTGCAGGTATGCTGCAGTGCATAATTTGTGTTGGTGACAAGGTGTTTGATGTCTTTCTCCAAATGATGGCAGAAAAGGTAGATAACGTGTTTTCAATGGCAGCTTTAGGTCATAACAACTGACAGCAGAGGCCTGAATGTACTGGTGACTGTAATGAAAATGCGAACATGCTTCTCTTAAATTTAAGCCAAAGACCAAAGAACATGAGGAGGAACTGGAGCGCCATGCCCAGTTCTTGCTGGTCAACTTTAACCACACACACAAAAGGATCCGCAGAGTGGCAGACAAATACCTTTCTGGTTTAGCCGAGACGTAAGTGTAAATGATCCAAATCCCTGATCTGTCCACATGTACCCCTGTAATGAGTGCTGATAGTGTTTCTCATGTTTTTGACCTCTAACAGATTCCCCCATCTGCTCTGGAGTGGCCGCGTGCTGAAAACCATGCTGGACATCCTGCAGACTCTCTCTCTCTCACTAAGCGCTGTAAGCATCAGATGAGGGCAGGTGTAAAAAATAAAGAGCCAGGTTTATAGTTTGAATCTCTAAAAAAATCAAGTAATAGTTTCCTGCAGGGCAGCAGAAGAAAAAAAGTGATAGGTGTGAAATAAAAACAAAGCTTCTATTTTTGTATTGGAGTTGTTGGCGGTAGATCCAAAGCAGGAGTTAAAGTAGATGCTACCAAAAGCTGAAGCTTCATCAAGCTGTGTTCCTCTGTATCCAGGATATCCACAAGGATCAGCCATACTATGATATCCCAGACACTCCCTACAGGATCACAGTTCCTGACACGTATGAGGCCAGAGAGGTGAGTCAGACTGTATTATACTCATGACCACCAGAGGGCAGCACAACATTGTTTGAAAGAGTTGAATAATCTGTCACTAGCTCAGTTACAGGTTGTTTTCCTTCCTCTGTCCCAGGATGTTTTTAAATGTCATCACTGTGTTTAACTGATCATGTTATGTAACCAAGTATATGAGACAGAGATCTGAAAGAGGAGATCTTCCTTATCTTTACTATTTTGTGTCTCAAGTGTTTCATAATGATTGAGCTTTGTCTTCATCTTTTTTATAGAGCATTGTAAAGGACTTTGCTGCTCGTTGTGGTGAGATCCTGAAAGAGGCAATGAAATGGGCTCCTTCAGTCACCAAGTCCCACCTTCAGGTTCTTCATCTTTACATTTCTTAAGGGCAGCTTAACATCAGAGAGATCAAGACTCAAATAAAGGGGAAAGTTTAGTTTAATTGACTGATTCCTTCACAGTAACAGAGAATGATTTTACTTAAAAGAAGTGAAAGAGTAGTGATTTATGGTGTTTGGTTTACCTTTGGGGTAGAAGACACACTTCTTTAACAACAATATTTGAAAAGTTAACAAGTGTTTTACAACTTGACTGTGGAGGATGTTGTCGTTGATGATGTGTAACTGCCTCTCTTTTCCTCTTTTGTTTCTTACTCAGGAGTACTTGAACAAGCATCAGAACTGGGTGTCAGGACTGTCGCAGCACACAGGTCTGGCCATGGCTACAGAGAGCATACTGCACTTCGCAGGCTACAACAGACAGAGTACTACACTGGGCGTGAGTCAAACACACACATTGATCAACATCAAAGTTTGTACATAAAGACAAAATTACACCTCCAAAAGAGCCACTTGTAGCAGTCAATAACATTTAGAGTCTGCAGAACCCATCAGTCTTTTACTCTTTTTTAAGTTTGAGTGAAAAAATAGATCACAGTCCTTCAAAAATCCACAACTAAGTTTACAGTTTCTGGTTTCAAAGTCCTACAAAGTTCTTTTTAAACAGGCAGCTGTGATTTCTCTGAGAGTCTGTAAATTCTTCAGGATGTGATAAACACCTTTTCACTTCTGAGAGTAAACAACAAACTGACAAAAAGAAACTATCATTTGTGCTCATTAACATTTCTCTGACAGTAACTGCTTCTCTGGTTCTGGTTCGGTTCTCGTTGTTAACACTGACTGTAGGGCTGTATTTCCTGGTTGTGTGTATTCTGTAGCTCTGTGAACTCTGGGAATCTAGGTGCCAAGTTGTTAACAGTTTTGTATGTCTGTGCGCATGCTTACTAGTCTGTGTGACGTTTTTTTTTGCTTGCTCTGCATTTTCCTGTGTGTTCCTGGGCTTGCATTCTGCTGTATCTGTCTTTTCATTTGCTACATTTTTTTTTTTTGTATTTTGTCTTTATTAAACTGCACCGAACTACCTACCTGGTTGCTTGGCTGGTTTACGGATTTGCTGGTTACCTGGTTACTTACCTGCAATGGACGGGTGGGTTGTTGGCTGGTTGCCCATTTGGCTAACTGGTTATGCTGGTGCTGTCCTCCGCCGTGTGGCCAACCATAGGCTGCTTTCCCTCAGGTTGGTCTGATCACTTAATACAGTGACAGGGCTCAGGCATGACGCCCTCAGTATATCCAGAAGTGTTACAGTTCAGCTACAAACACGTTACTTTATCAACTGCGTGACATGTTTTCCTCGTCGGTGACTGTGGGACGCTAAATAGTCCCTAAACTGTGTTTTTTTCAGACCACCCAGCTGACGGAGAGACCCGCATGTGTGAAGAAGGACTACTCCAACTTCATGGCTTCACTCAACCTGCGCAACCGTTACACCGGAGAGGTGAGGTGTCATCCCGCACAGATTATGGTTTGGTTTTGTCAGACTTTTTGCAGAGAAAGGGATTCATGCCGGTCTGTTCATGTGCTGCCACAGGTGGCTGGTATGATCCAGTTCTCAGAGGCCACTCACAGCCAGTCAGATCTCAACAAGCTGATGATCCATCAGATGACCAGCGCCCTGGACAAGAAAGAGCCAGAGGCCTTCACTCAGGCTATGTTCAAGATGGCTGCCCTGCTCATAACTACCAAGAGTGAGCAGCTCTGCCTCATTTCATGCTAACACTGTACAGAATGAGGCAGTTCTGTGTGTCAAGATGAAGTTTTGGTAATCTCCTCTGTTTGTCCCTCAGACTGTGATCCTCTGCTCCTGCACCATCTGTGTTGGTCTCCTCTGAAGATGTTTACAGAACACGGCATGGAAACTGCGATCGCCTGCTGGGAATGGCTGCTGGCTGCACACAACGGGGTGGAAGTGCCGGTATGTTTATCCATCACTTTCTCTAAAAACACATATGGGTTTTGTAAATAAATGTGTATTTTAGTTCGTAGCTGATTCCCATGCTCTCTTTCCATCTGTGCAGTTTATGCGTGAGATGGCAGGAGCTTGGCAGATGACAGTGGAGCTGAAGATGGGTTTGTTTTCAGAGGCAAAGGAGGAGGCTGGCCCTCTGGCAGTTTCAGAGGAGAGTCAACCTGCACCGTGTGCTCCTGACGTTATTCCTCACTTCCTCTGGATAGAGGTTAGTCAGTAACAAACGGACTGATTTTTGATTTCTCACCAGCCACTTACATTTAACACTTACTTCATTTGAAACTCAGAAATCACATATCTTGATGTCACTAAAATACACGCTGCATGCCTATACCAATCCACAGTACCAGGCTGTGATGCTACACTACAGAGACCCACTGAAAAATGATATTCAAAACGGTCAAATCTGTGGACTTTGAAATGCAGAGCTCTCTTTTAACAGACCACCTGTATGATAGTTTATTCTTTTTTTTTTCTCCCTTCAGTTTCTGGTGCAGAGATTTGAGATAGCCAAGTACAGCAGTGCTGACCAGGTGGAGATTTTCACCACCATTCTGCAGAGATCTCTGTCTTTGAGTGTAGGCGGTCCCAAAAGCAGCCTCAACCGGCATGTTGCTGCCATCGGGCCAAGATTCAGGTACCCTGTCCTGTTATGAGAGCTAATGGTTCATTACCTCCGCCAAGGAGGTTATGTTTTCGGTAGCGTTGGTTTGTTTGTTTGTCTGTTTGTCTGTTAGCAACTTTACGGAGAAAGTTAAAGACGGATTGACCTGAAATTTTCACCAGAGGTGCGTCTCAGCCACAGGAGGATCCCATTACATTTTGGTGGTGATCCAGATCGCCTTCTGGATCCAGGAATTTTTTGAAGGATTCTTTATAATTGTGAGATAGGGCACATTTTGGAATTTTTGCATTTAACTCTATAAAAATGTCCAGAGTCTTTAGTAAAAAATGACACAAAAGGATCTCAATGAGTTTTATGAGGTGTCAAAGGTTGATCCTGATCCAGACAAAATTCCGGATACTGTGATCCAGAACACACAAAAATAAGGGTGTCGTTGGAATTTTCAATGCTGAAAGATAACCAATGGGCGGCACAGTGGTGTAGATAGGCGGCACAGTGGTGTAGTGGTTAGCACTGTCGCCTCACAGCAAGAAGGTCCTGGGTTTGAATCCAGGTCAGGGCATTTCTTGTTTAAGGAACATTATGAACAGTGAACATACCAGTTTAAACACAAATAAAAGTTAATAAAAGACACGTAACAGTAAAAGTTTTGCTGTGAATCACAATATAAGGGGGGACATGAACTGCTTGGCGGAGGTCTGCGCTCTCTGAGTGCTTTTCTAGTTTTTGAATATTATGATAGTTTAACCCAAAATCTAAACCTGGTTTAACTGATTTTTTTTCTGTTTTTTTTTTCCAGATTGCTGACTCTGGGTCTGACTCTTCTGCATGCTGATGTTGTCACAAATGCAACCATCAGAAATGTTCTTCGAGAGAAGATCTACTCCTCGGCTTTTGACTTCTTTAGGTAAAAAACAAACAAACAAGCTGCTCCGTTAAGAAGTATTAAAAGTCTTTGGATGTGATTTGAAACTGTCTGCGTGCTTCTCTGTTTTTGTGTAGTGTTGCTCCTAAATTTCCCACCCAGACTGACAAAAGGCTCAGAGAAGACATAAGTATCATGATCAAATTCTACGCCAGCCTACAGTCGGACAAGAAGTATCTGGCTGCCAACCAGCTGGTTCCTCCAGGTACAGGACAAAGAAAAAAGACACTAAATCTTTGTACAACCATAAATGAATCATTAGGATGATCTTGGGTTTAGCTCTTTTACTTGATCCCTTTATTGATCAATGATTATTTACTTAAAGGGGAGATTAACCTTTTTTTTTTCTTTGTGTAGATCCTCAGGACATGTCTGTGAACAGCCTCTCGGTTGTGGCAGTGACAGACAGCAGAAGCAGCCTCGATGCCGCTGTGGGCCAAAGGCAGCAGGTGGCACAGGGCTGGATCAACACATACCCTCTCTCCTCTGGGATGTCTACTATATCCAAGAAATCAGGTAAAAGACACATAAAGCTTGTGGTAAATCAATGCTTCTTTCATAAAGTTTCACCATCATAACCTTCTTTCTGTCATTTGTACCTCTGCTCTGTTTTTCTTCTTTCAGGACTCTCTAAAAAAAGCAACAGAGGCTCTCAGCTTCACAAATACTACATGAAACGCAGAACTTTACTCCTAGCTTTACTGGTATGAACAAAAACATACGCTACTATCAATGAAATAACCGTATAATTTCATATCTGCGTATAGATCTGTTCTTACAAGTCTCATCCCTCATTTGTCTCTCTAGGCCAGTGAGATTGAGCGTCTCACAATCTGGTACAACCCGTTATCGGCTCAAGAGTTGGCCATTTCCACTGAGCAGTCCGTGGAGACCAGCATCGCCAACTGGAGGTCGAAATACATCAGTCTGACGGAGAAACAGTGGAAGGACAACGTCAATCTGGCCTGGAGCATCGCACCTTACCTCGCCCTACAGCTCCCTGCGAGGTACGGCAGCGCATCACACGCAAAGATGCAGAATTTTTTGGACTAAAAGCGTAAAGCCCAATAATTTTATAAAGGTTCAACTATTTTGTCCCCCCAAATAAAAGTTTAATACCCTTTATCTGCATATAATGCCTATATAATAACAGGTTTAATCATTCGTTGGGGATGTTATATTAAAGTTTGTATTTGTTTGCAGGTTTAAAAACACAGAGGCCATTGTGTCTGAGGTGACTCGCCTGGTTCGAATGGATCCGGCTGCTGTGTGTGATGTCCCAGAAGCAGTCAAGGTGAGGTCAACCACCCGATAAAACGAACAAAATGTCACCCTTTTATGAAGTAGTTTTATTAACATGGTTTTTATTCAGATTTATCAGGAGCAGAATGTCATCAATTTAGTAGGAGAAGGGCTGAATTTTGACTTAAAAGGGGTTTTAAGTTGTCTAAATGTCAGTGGAGTTTGGTTGCTGTCACTGAAACTGAACAGTCTTCCATAATCTCTTTTTTTCTCTTCATTTTATCCTACTTCTTTGCTTTTACACCCAGTTTAAACAATATACTGGGTGTAAAACTCTGATTATAGTATATAGAGACACTGCAGTCATCGTAGCCAGTCATACAAGCTTATTGACTTCATTTATTTATAAGTTTAAGAATCAAAATATTCTTCATTAAAACTAAGAGTTAATAAGTTTCATTGCAGCAAAGGTCATGCACGAGCAACAACAACCACTAATGCTTTCATAAGGTTGTGTCCTTGCTGGTGTGTTGCTGAAGTAACCCTTTTTTCCCTCCAGCTTCCTCAAGTCCTTCCTGTTTAGTTCTACTTGACTGAACTCCTAATGAGTCCGGTATCAGTCTGAAGACGAAGCACAGGGAGGCAGAGCACGGCCTTCCCAAAAGGCTTCATAACTTAGCGATTGATCCTGCCTGACATCTCATGGTTGTTTATCCCCGTCACTTTCATAACTGATAAACACAGCGTCCTCTGGAGGCTAGTTAGCAAACCACCAGGCTTTGGGTCATAACCTTGCATCACATCGCTGTCATGTTTGTCTATTATGGATCCTGTGTTGCACAAAAGAACACATCCGTATGTTGATGTCAATGTCGGTGGTTTTAAAGCATTTTATGGATATTTCTGCGTTTTGTGTTTTGTCAGTTTCTGGTGACTTGGCACACAATAGATGCTGACTCCCCAGAGCTGAGTCACATTCTGTGCTGGGCTCCTGCAGATCCTCCAACTGGATTGTCCTACTTCTCCTCCCTGTACCCTCCTCACCCCCTCACAGCTCAGTATGGGGTCAAAGTTCTCCGCTCCTTCCCCCCGGTAAGTTCACATACAGTACGGGTGGGAGAAAAAATCGATACAGCATAGTTTTGCGATATCTTGTCTGGAGATATATCCTATCGTCTCATTAACCAAGTATCAATTTTTCAAATTAATTGCTAATATGATGTCAACTCTATGATAATGGAAAACTAAAATTAACTGTTTGTCCAGTGAGGTTGGCAGAAGTAAGATCATAGAGCAGGAGACAGTTAGTACAACAAATATAGCAGCACCTGGGGAAAGAAGTTAGGAACGCAAGCAGGGCACAAATGAGATGGACCTGATACATGAGCTTAACAAGATGTGCTACATGAAAATAAAATACTGTGTAAATAAGACAAACATAAAGGAAAGACAAATGCTTAATTAACTTAAGAGCTGAAAAATTGTATAGATCGCAATACATTGTATCACAATAGTCACTGTATTGCAAAATGTTAAAAATCACAATAATATCATATTGCGGCCCAAGTATCGTGATAATATCGTATCGTGGGGCCACTAGTGATTCCCACCCCTAATATACAGCATGTGTACATAATGTACATAATGCATAATGACCGATGTAACACTTGACAAATTATTAGTCTTAATTATAAGTAGTGTATCAAGGGTCCACAATTTACTCTATAGAAATAAGTCTTGCTTTTCCTTTCATGTGAAACAGAAATTGTTGCAAACAACCTTTTTGCCGGTTATTGGTTATGGAGATGTGTTGTATATGGAAGCGTCTGCTAGTTGTCTACATATGCTAGACAGTGTGTACCATGGAGCACTGAGGTTCATTACCAACCGCGGTCCCCTTACTCACCATTGTGTACTATATTCTATGGTTAACTGGACGTCTTTACATGCTCGACGCCTCTGTCATTGGCATGTGTTCATTTACAAAACCATTCTGGGACTCATTCCAGCCTATTTTTCTTGTTTCTTAACTAAGAAACAAGGAAGCCACAATCTTCGTTCGATGGATGTTCTGCAATTTGTTACCCCCAAAGTACGAACTGAACTGGGCAAGAAAGCATTTAGGTTTGCAGCACCTGATGCTTGGAATAAATTACAATTGAAACTTCAACTTAAAGCCCGAGTTACATTGAATGAGTTTAAAGCTACTGTAAAAGGTCTGCAGTCTTCCCTGTCTGTATGCACGTGTGTTATGTGAGAAAGTTTGAATGCTGTAAATTTTATATTTTAGGTGTTATTGTTTTCTTTTTTTTTTTTTCTTCTTTTTTAATGTAACTTCGCTGCTGCCCTCTTGGCCAGGTCTCCCTATGGGACTTACCTGGTTAAATAAAGGCTAAATAAAATAAAAAACTCTAAAACTATCATGTTTAGTAAGAATTTTTAACTTAACTTGAGTCAAATAAACTGAGAGATAGGAGATTGTTGTTGTTATACAATTACAGTTTTTTTCACTCTAATTGAATGTTTCCTTTTCTGTTTTTAGGATGCTATTTTGTTCTACATTCCACAAATTGTCCAAGCACTTCGATACGACAAGGTAAACTGTGTTTATTTATTATTGTGCTAGGACATGCTTGAAATCTCTCTCCTTCTCATCAAATTTAGCTTCATGTTTCTCTTTTTTCTTTAGATGGGTTATGTGAGAGAGTACATCCTGTGGGCCGCTCAGAAGTCTCAGCTCTTGGCTCACCAGTTCATCTGGAACATGAAGACCAACATTTTCCTGGATGAGGAAGCGCACCAGAAAGACCGTGAGACATTTTCAAACTCACTTCCTCATTTCAGTCCTTTCTACAATGGAGTCGCACCGTCACTGCTGTTGTCTCTCCCTCACAGCTGACATCGGCGAGCTGCTGGAGCAAATGGTGGAGGAGATCACGGGCTCTCTGTCCGGCCCGGCCAAAGACTTCTACCAGAGAGAGTTTGACTTCTTCAACAAGATCACAAACGTGTCCGCCATAATCAAGTACGAGCAGCAGGTTTTGTGTTTGGCTTTTTGATGACAGTGCAGCACTTCAGAAATCTGGAAGACTCCATGGCAGCCAACATGTACTTTAATGTTAGGTTTTTTGAGCGTTTATGGAGAGTTTTAAAGTGTGAAGAGGAAATGATTTTTTTAATCTTAAAACAAGAGTTGAGTATCTTGAGTAATGACTGTGACATTGAAAGAAAAGAGAAACAAATGAAGTCATCAAAGGCCTCGAAGTTAACTTTGAACCTTCACACGGCCCTCTAGGTAATATTTAAGGTGTTAATGAAGTGAAAAATACATTTCCCCTAAGTCAGGGTGTTTTGTTCCTTTCCCGCCTTGTTTTACCAGTGATATCATCTCTTAACATGTTTGTTGTTCATTAATTTAACCGGCGGTTGATGTATTATCCCTCAGATCAGAGCACTTAAGTGGAAAATCTGCCTCCCTCTGCCCCAGACTACCTGTCTCTCAGTGTGTGTGCCCTAAAGCTGATGAGCAGCTCTCTGACAGGTCCCGTTATAGCCGACTCTTAGAGAGTGTCTTTTCGCTGACAGGAGGCAGACAAATTCCCCTCAGCCCTCGTTAGAAAGATAATTACAATTGTCCAGGGGAGAAACTTGTGCCGTCCCCCGGCTTTCGCTCTCATACTTTCCACTCCAGGGACTCTCCTGTGTGAATAACAACGGAGCCCGACTGTCACCTGTGGTCTGGAGTCGTGCTATGAGATACCCATGCATGCTTAAGTTGTTTTCGTTTGTCCTCATCAGACCTTTTCCCAAAGGAGAGGAGAGGAAGAGGGCCTGCCTGGAAGCCATGTCACAGATCAAAGTTCAACCCGGCTGTTATCTGCCCAGTAACCCAGAGGCCATAGTTCTGGACATAGATTACAAGTCTGGGACCCCCATGCAAAGGTGGGCCTACAAACTATTTTCAGTTGTAGTGGTACAAAAAAGCAAAGCTACTAAAAGCAGCTTTATGTTTTCCTTGTCATTAGTGCCGCCAAAGCTCCTTACCTGGCCAAGTTCAAAGTCAGGAGGTGTGGAGTCAGTGAGCTGGAGAAAGAAGGTACTGCTGCTAATGTTTGATACAACGAGGATTAGACTTCTCAAATGTGTCCACAAATCATCTGTTTTTCATGTAACCTTCCTCTCAGGTCTGCAGTGTCGCTCAGACTCCATCGATGGGGAGAAAAGTGAAGAAGAAGCAAAGAGAATCTGCTGGCAGGCGGCCATCTTTAAAGTGGGAGACGACTGTCGACAGGTCTGTTTCTTCCTATTCTCCTGTCAAAACACCTCCATGTAATATCTCCTCTTTTCATGCTTACGTTATCTTTGCTTGATTTCCTTTTTATAAATAGTTTTCTTTGTGTTCACAGGACATGCTGGCTCTCCAGATCATCAGCTTGTTCAAGAACATCTTCCAACTTGTGGGTCTGGATCTCTACGTGTTTCCTTACAGGGTGGTGGCAACAGCTCCTGGAGTAAGTGGAAAAAAAAAATCCTCTATCAAAACAATTTTACAGCCACAATGTTGACTTGAAGATTTGAACTTTCTTCTTTGACCTTCTTTATGTTTCTGATGTTTCACACAGTGTGGAGTGATTGAGTGCATCCCAGACTGCAAGTCTCGTGACCAGCTAGGCCGACAGACTGACTTTGGCATGTACGACTACTTCAGGAACCAGTATGGAGATGAATCCACCCTGGCGTTTCAGAAGGTAAATGCCTTAAAATCAACATCCAACATGATTCAGTCATTTACAGCTTTAAAATCTTGACTACGTTTTTTTGAACTCATATCTCTCCAGGCACGGTACAACTTCATCCGCAGCATGGCCGCCTACAGCTTGCTCCTCTTCCTGCTGCAGATTAAAGACAGACACAATGGAAACATCATGTTGGACAGTCAAGGCCACCTCATCCACATTGGTGAGTAATGTGTGCATTTAGTGGCTCTGATAGCTAGAAAAGCCTCGATAATTTTCATATCCCTGCTGACTCATCTGCGATCTGCTGAAAATGACATCAAGATGATTTCATTACTGTTGTGGATCACCAGTCATAAAAACAAGGAGTTTTTTTGTCTAGAATTGATTGAAACCTGCTGCAAGGATAAAGATGCAGAATAACAGTTATTGAAAAGCAAAGTAAATGTAGGGCTGGGCGACAATGGGAAGATGTTTATCACGAAATAGCTCCACATCACCGACGCTTACTCGTGTTGTCGATGATGTTGATCGACCTGATCATCTGTTGAGCCTTCATCTGCATTTCTGCCGGGGGTATCACTCATTTTCTTTTTTTCTCACCGACAGTGCTGTTGGCTTCACGTGTTAAAGTGCTATGGTTGTGTGTAGCTGCAGCCTGCTACTACACAGTTGTTTGCTACTTTGGACATGATTGGTTCAGCGCGAAGCCGACTCGGAGCAACTCCCCTTTTCATTGGTTATTTGTATAGTCCCATAACATGGCAGAATGCCGACTATCGAAAAGCATATTGACCATGTTTTACATTGATATCGAGGGAAATAAATTTTTGATATATATCATTATCGTTTTATCGTCCAGCCCTAAGTAAGCGTCTAAAAATAACTGCTGACCCCTTGTATAATTGATGTGTGTTTGTTTTTCAGACTTTGGCTTCATGTTTGAAAGCTCTCCTGGTGGAAACCTCGGCTGGGAGCCGGACATCAAGCTAACCGATGAGATGGTGATGATCATGGGCGGCAAGATGGAGGCGACCCCCTTCAAATGGTTCATGGAGATGTGTGTGAGGGGATACCTGGCTGTCAGGTGAGTGTGCAGAAACGGTAGAGCAGTTTTACTCAACATATCAAAAATTTCCTAAAAGAAACATTAAGAGGAGTTCTCCTGTTGAATTAGGCCCTACATGGATGGAGTGGTCTCTTTGGTTACACTCATGCTGGACACTGGCCTCCCCTGCTTCAGAGGACAGACCATCAAACTGCTCAAGTGAGTGAGGCGTGTGGATTTACTCAAATTTTTGTTCTAAGCTTGAGTGGCATCTGCAGCATAACGCTTCCCTCTCATGCGCAGGCAGCGGTTTAATCCTGGTCTGAGTGAGAAAGACGCAGCGTCCTTCATCATCAAAGTCATCCAGAATTGCTTCCTCAGCAACAGGTAAAACCAGAACCTAAAATCATAACCTCCAAATGTATCTCCTGAAGCATCTCCACATTCGTAATCACTCTTTTCTTTTTGCTTTACAGGAGCAAAACCTACGACATGATCCAGTATTACCAAAACCAGATCCCATACTAGACGTCTGTGCCTCAGCATGTGCATATATTGCCTGGTACATTGTGTGTGTGTGTGAGTGTATGTGTATGTGTGGGCAAGTGTGTGTGTGTGTACCTTTTGTTGATGTTTTATGATTAAAGATTGTGGCTCTTAACTCCTGCTGATTGTTGGATGTATCGTTTGTATTTGCTCGTTGTTTCCTCTATACCTGTATTTCTTTCAACAAGTTGTCTTATTTATGATGTTGTGTTAAAATGATGTCGTTTATTTTAATCATACTATTGCACTAGCATCTTGACTCGTGTGCACTTAGAGAAAACAGCATTTGATATCCTGCACGTTCAGTAAATACTTCAAGAAGAGTTTGTGCCAACTTTTAGATACTTTGTAATGTTCGTAAATGTTGGTTCTTAAAGCGGTTGGTTTTAGACGGGGTTTGAAACGTTATGTGGATACTTGAAGTTTCCGATGTGGACCGGTTTTAGTTCTGACCAATGTGGCCTAATCTGTCATCCTGTACTTGACTGTGCTTCTCTCTTAAATGGACCAGTCAGATTAGTGCGACCTGTGGCTTGGTGCTTGTCTTGTAATAAGTGCTGGTGACTGGTTTTATCGATGCAGGTGACACAGTCGGTATTTTGCTGTTACCTCAGCTGTGGGAAACACTGCGGCTGAGTTGTGTATATTAGGTATCGCCAAAGGAGGAGGGAAGATAATGCACATAAATCCAACTCTCCTGTTGTTTGTGAATGGAGGTAAAACTAAGCTTGAATGTTGGGCAGTTGCATGAAGTTGAGCATAAACTACCATGTAGCCTGTGTCTGATGCAGCTTTTGGTCAGAGTAACTTTAGTAAAGCCAAAGTGCTGTGCCCCATGTTCATAAAGGCTTTTAACTCTGTAATGTTACTGATTGTAAAGACTTTGCCTCTCTTTGTATATTTATAATCATGGCTCATTTTCTGTCTCCTTTTCTATCTTCATGCCTTTTGACTGAGAATGCAGAGAATATGAAATATAATAAAGATCTATTAATGTATAGATGTTGTCTTTTCTTTCCACTATGGGATCAATCTCGAAACCTCTTTTATCGAATATACAGTGCCCAGCATAAGTCAGTACAGCCCCTATTAAAACTAATGTATCACTCAATATCTAGATGAGCAAAAGTTCAATTTCCAAAGTTTTGACAAAGCTGAGTTTAACACAACATTTGATATACAATAAGATGAAAATAAGGGTGGTATGGTAATTAAAATTTAGCTTTGCTCCCAGAACTTTGATTGGGGTGTACTCATTTTTGCATCCTGATTTTAAATCGGAAAAAAAAAAAAGAAAAACTTTTTGTATGCAACTTTAAACTCTTGTTTGCAATCAATGGCCTAAATGAATAGTCTGACAAAGAAAATGTTGATTTTTAAAAGGAAACTAGAAAAATTGCATTTCCTTGCAGAAAATGCGTGGAAATGCTGAGTGCTGAAAGCTGAAAAAGCAATGCTAAACTGCTAATAAAACATGGAGAAAGGTATAAATGTTAAAGCTGTTGAAGGGGTGAAAAAGAAATATAAGTTGGATAATTGTTTAATTGGTTGAAGGACAAATAGTATGAATATGCTCTATAAAAGGAAATTTTATTCATGCTGAAAGAGGCTAGAAAAATTCTAACAACTCTGAAGGGGTGTACTCATTTATGCTCATTACTTTATGTGCTTGTCTTGGTTTAGCTCGCCTTTAGTTGCAGTTTTTTTTACTAACTGGAGGAGTTTGAACGAAACTGACTTGAAACAATTGACTGAAAAGCAAAGATAAAGCAACCTGTTTTTAAATAATACAGTGGCCTGTGATGGGAATAGTCTTATCATATTATAAGATTTAATTTACATGCACTTTCTGTATTTATGGTGGATGTGTACCTGCTCCTGCCGCATCTCTACAGAATCAATATGTTGCATTTCATAATCACATCCAGCAGGTGGCAGCATGAAATGTAATATCTGAAGTATTCCCACAAGCCGCCCTCCTTGGTAACTTCACAGAAGACACCAGGAAGTCCAAACTAATCTGAAACCACAGCAGCGTCCACAGTCCTGAGTATCATTTTGAGGTTGCCACTTTGAAAAAGACACAAAACTCTGTGGTGATTCCAGGAAATGGAGATCAGGGATTAGTGCTGTCAGGCTAATGTTGAGAGAGGGCCTCAAAGCCCCCACAGAAATGCAGAGAATGAGTGATTCTGGTTGTTGGAGAAGATCCTGACCCCTGACAGAAGCAGGACTTTAAATGGTTCCTGACATGTGCTCGCATGTTTTCTGCTGCAGGGGAACAAATGATCCCAAGATGCAAACTGGTGTAAACTTCTCCTTCTAAAGCCCTGAAAGATACATCATGGTAAAGTGTTAATGGCGGAAAAAGACGTGAATAAAAACTTTAACTTCAGTTCAATAGCTGTGTTAAACTTTTGTGTACAGCAGCACTAAGAATACACACCAACTTGCCAAGTTTGTGTGTATTCTTAGTTCAATAACTTGTCTTGGTTGCCTTGGCCTCTAGTGATTCTTTGAATATTGTTGGTGAATGAATTATTTATTTGCTGAAATAACTTTCTACGTTGGCCTGCAGAGGAAAGAGGAGCTCATCAAACACTAAACTCCAAACAGCGAGTAAGAGATGGAGAAAAATAAGAAATGGAGGCTGACAGAGAGCTGCTATATCTGCTGGAAGTTCTCATAGCTAGTGTATATTTGGTTTAATGAAGAGCCTACATATTTAATTGAAGTGGAAAGTGCTGATGGCTGTTGATGGGCGGATTCTCAGTGCTTTATTTGGTTAATATTTCATTGCATACAGATGTCCAGGGGGGAAACACCTTGATGTATTTTTGATGAGCTCAGATCACTGACTGTCACGGCTACTCCCCGTGGTCCTGCAGGTGTACTGATCTAATCCCTGTAGCTTCACACTGACATTCAAATTCAGTGTGTGTAACTGCAGACTGGACACGTACTGAAACTGTGGAGGAACATACAACTTTATTAGAGCATGGATGACAGCCAAGGCACACGGGTTTGGATGTTATTTGGTGTCTTTGGAGGAACAATTTTATAAAATTATAGTAAATGCACATTTCTGCTCCACATATTCTGTCTCGAAATACAAGAATCTTCACTGTGTTAATACAATAAATATATATGTGTGTGTGAATGTATATGTAATTATCCTGCATGTGCCCACTGTGCTGTTTGAAGGATCACACGTGAAGCTCTGATACTCTTCTGTTTCCTCTTTTTTTCCTCCCCTCAAACACACACTGCAGCTCTGGATATCCCTGACCATCACATGTGTGAAAGTGACATGTGTTCAACTTGTGACACATTTGGGTGCAGCCTCGGTGTTGTATGCCAGCCATGTGCTCTGCAATAATTAACTCTTCTCTGAGCCGTTCCAGCCATTAGAGCTGTGAAGAGAAAAGTGGAGTAGAAAGAGCCGTTTGTCCAAAGGGCCGGGCAGACAGTCAGGTCTATTGATGAGCTGCTGGAGCTAATCAGGGATACTGGCCGTGTTTCTCTGAATAGCAGCGTTGATGTGTTTTTTTTTTCCTCATTTTGAGGGGGTGTAAAAAGAGAAATGGGTGTGATACAAAAAACTTGTTGTCCCCCCTTATCACCGCTGCAGTTGTCAGATCATACTAACACCACAAGTGATTCTTCTTTGTCTCTGAGATAACCTTCATGATTTGAGAGTTTCAAAGGGGACTGACAATTACAAAATGTAGTTTTACCTAGATGGATTGGCTTTGGAGGGACCTTCATATTAATTCCTCTTAATGGGCAAAGCTTGACTGAACCACAGAAGCTGCCCTCTCCACACAAAGAGTCCAACCGTGATGTAAAATGCCACACAGCTGCTTTTAAAGTAAAACATATTATTAGAAGTTTCAGAAACTCTAGAAAAATCTCAGTAAAAAATAAAAGGGGACTAGGTCCAAAATCAATACTAAAAGGCTGTAATCTTCCAGACCTTAGGCACCACTGCATTAACCCTCACATACTGTTTGGTCAAATTTGACCCGTTTTGACTTTTAACAGCAGTAAAGATACCCTAAACGTCATTCTTTTAGCCTGAAACTTCATGACTTTTCCTGAAGTAATACATGAAATTAGTTTAAAAATATTCATGTGTATTTTTGTTTATGTGCTACACATTTTTCCCCTCTAAGGCTGTTATGGGTCAAATTTGACCTGTATCTATTTAGATGGATTTTAGATCTACCAGTGTGGGACAAGTGACAAACAGTAACAACAGTGTTCAATATAAAGTTTGTTTTTCAATAAAATATATTCAAATAAATATGAAACTATTATTACCTTGACAGAAGAGCCGCCATTTCAGTGGCAAACACATGTGCAAGCTCCACACACATACAGTGTCCTACCTTTGCTTTGAATGCAGAGACTAGCAGTGAGGACAGTGACAAACAGTGAGAACAGAGTTTAATATGAAGTTTGTTGTTCAATAGAATATATTGAAATCATTCTGACTTTTATATTCTTTTATTTCATACATAATATTACATGACATTGTCCTGTGTAATAGATATTCTTCTCCAAAATATATTTTTCACCAAAAACAAGAGGTGTTAGAACGGAAAAAAAAGCACTTTTCCTGCTCATTTAGGAAGGACTAATCAATAATAATTTTTTGAAGTAGCATAAGTCATTTAAACATTATAAAAAGGTTTGGGGTTAGAACTTCGGTGAAAGTATTTGCTACATGGGCAATTCTTGGGCTGCATCAATTTTGACCCGGAACATACTGTGAGGGAACTGGATTTGAACAGTATGTGAGGGTTAAAAGCAGGTTTAGCTCTGCAGTGGAAATCACCACATAGGCTCAAACAACATCTCAAAACCACTGTCTGTAAAATTAGACAGTCATTGTTTCCACAGATATAGACAAAAAAAATAAAGTATGTTTATTTATTAAGACTGCTAACTTGTCACCACTTCAAAATGCTGTTGAGCAGCTGAAATCATTTATCAGGCAACAATAGGAGAACAATATTTCACTTCTTTCTCCTGGGTCCTAAAGCGTTTACAGAGAGTTGTTAAAAGAAGAAGAGGTGATGTAACACGATGGTAAACATGACCCTGTTTCTTCGGTTTTAAATCGTGTTGCTGGCATTCAGCACTTTTGATGAAAAAACAACCAACTTTTTTTCAGTTTCAACACTTGATTTTATTGTCTTTGCACTATTTTAAATTAAACATAAGATCTGCAAACTATCAAAACCAGTTCTACTGAAATGGCAATGCCAGTCTAAGTCTATGCTACATTTACTGTTTTACTTGGCTGTACTTTGTTTGGCACTATCCCTGCACACTACACAGCGGTGTTCCTCTGCCTCTAGTGTATGAAAGTTTGACTCCTAGTCAGACAGAAACACAGTTGGACTCCCTGGTCTACACAGAGTCCTTTACCCCTCTGCTGTTGTGGTTTAGCCTGTGTGGCAGTTTTCTAATGTGGCAGCAGGGCTACAGCAGGGTCAGCCTCTCCTCTGTACTGTTTCCTCTGCTGATCAGTTGTGTTATCTGATGCTGTGATGACTTAAGGGAGGGGTCGGAGCCACAGGCTTAACCAACACACACTCACTGTTTACCTGCGAGCTAAAGGCCACTGGGAAACAAACACTGAACATTTGACACACGCAAACACATGTATGCACATGCAAACAGAGGACACGCAGAAGTACTGCTGGAACCAACTGTAAGACTAACACCATTAAAGTTATATCTCTCTATATATATATCACTGTATTCACTACAGTTTGGCATATTAGCATAACAAACCAGTTTCATAAAGCTCCTCTATGAAAAGACTTTCCCGTTATTCTCTTCAGGGGATTGTTGAGACACACACTGGGGCCAAAACTCTCGCTTTTTTTTCTTTCTTTCTGTCTTTTACTCTCTGTTTCTCTGTGCCCACGTGTTTTATGCTACTGGTCCGAGCTGCTGAATGGGCCCCAGTGTTCACCCTCCTCTTAT